CGGAAAGTTTTCAAATTCCCGGGGTGGGAGCGGAGGCTAACGCTTGACAAGCCCCCCCCCCCCTCCCCCTCCTTTTTTTTGTGCACCCCCCAAGGCCACCGAGGCGAGGGTACTTTGCTTCCCCGGTTTTCCGATCGAGCTTCAGAAAATGCGATCTACGGAAACTCCCTATTAGGGAGTTCTCGTAGATCGTTTCCGCCGTCCCGCAACGTTCTCCGCAACCCGCTACGAGATCCGGGTTTCTTCAGTCAAGGGCTAGCGGCGCGCAAGCGCAGTAGCGGCCCCTTCGTTGCGGATAGCTTAGCGGAGGTGGGAAAACGGTCTACGAAAACTCCCTATTAGGGAGTCTTCGTAGATCGTTTCCGCCGTCCCGCAAAGTTCTCCGCTACGAGATCCGGGTTTCTTCAGTCAAGGGCTAGCGGCGCGCAAGCGCAGTAGCGGCCCCTTCGTTGCGGATAGCTTAGCGGAGGTGGGAAAACGGTCTACGAAAACTCTCTACTGTCGTTCTTCCGCTCCCTTAGTTCGTCTGCGGCGTACTAACGTTGCTGTCGGGCAGGGGTCGCGAGCGCGTCCGGAAGACGCGACCATGTTATGCTGGCAGCACCATTGAGGCGGCGCTGTAACATTCGATTTTGCACATGCCACGTTCGAATGCAAGCATCTGTCAGCATCTGTAGACGCACGATAACAAAATGATTAAGCAAAAAAAAAAAAATAAAAAAAAAAGAATTATGCAGCTTGCGGTGTCAGCGTCCCAATAAACATTCCTTTCAGGTTTATTATTTTATTGATTTTTTTATAGTTTCCGTGAGCCTATATGTTTCACCAGGACTTGAAGTCTGGGGGATCTCAGGGGGTCTCGGACCCCCCACTGATTTTAAAGGACGGTCTGAGACCCTCCTCTACAGTCCTAGCACTAGTGAAAGAAAAATCATATCTTGCAATAAAATATATTTGTTTTCAGGTATGTAACATTTCATTGGGGATTATTTTATGTGCATCTAGTACATCTCGGGTGTTTTTGCGAAGACTTTCAGAAATCCTAAAAATTAGGGCGATTGAAAAAAGAAACTCTCTTCGGGAACAAACTACCAGCCACGGCGGACGTCAGGAATTGCCAAAAACCTACTAATTAGCCAGATAATTAATTAAAACTTGTTAATTAACTTTTTAATTAGGGGAAATAGACATATGGTTCCAATTAGAAAGTTGCTGAGCGTTATCGAAAACCACTAAATCAGTCATTTTCAGAAAGACTTTGAGCGCGTGAGACGAGTAGTAGCGCACTGAAGTTACCACTCGTGGAGCAGGTACAAGGCTAGCGGTTGTGGTAAGGCGCCCGCGCGATTTTTCCGCCTCTTATCTAGCCCCAGCCTTGTACCTGCTCCACGAGTGGTAATTTTATACTTCGTCTCACCTTAGTATGGACTATTGTTAGCCGCGCGTGCTAAAAGCACGAGCTAGTCTCTTTGAATGAAGCCGCGGAGGCTGCGCGAACGCTCGTGCAGCAAGTGCTCTAGTCAAGGCAGTCAAGGCTGGCCGCTCGCGCTAGCACAGCGTTCGCGGTTAGTCCATGCTAGGGTGAGACGAAGTATTAGCCCCGAGAAGTTCGCGTGGCGCCCCTTTACGGCGAACCGGGGTGACGTCACGGCGAGGAGAGAATTTTTCCCCGACTCGCCCCGCTCGCCTGTGGAGGCTGTGACGATGCTAGCTGTCGGCGCGCTCGTTTCTATTTAATTTTTTTTCGGCGTGTTTTTCGTAGGAAGTGTAAATTTTTATTTGTGCCTTTATTGAGGCATGGCCTGTAGCTACAGGCGAAACTTCAACCAACATTTTAAGCATGGTTGACAGGGCCGGCAACGTTTGAATCACAGCTGGTATATGAAAATAAAGAAATATGGCCACAATTGCAGGAGCATCACTATAGATTTACATCTCGCACAATAAATGCTGCTGATGGTCTGAATGAATTGGCAGGTTATGTATACTATTTTTTTGTATCTCTGTTTTTAAACAAGATCGCCGAAGCAGAAAAGCTGCATGCTGCTCGAGCAACATGCTAAATACAGTCTGGGCCATGGGGAGAGAATCACAAGTAAGGCAGCCGAAGTGCAGGGACAAAGTAAAAAAAAAACAAGGAACATTTATTATATACATTGCTCGCATTTGACCTTTGCTAGATTGGGCTAGTATTTCAATGGACTACACGGGTGGTATTTGTGGACTTGTTTATATCAGCCCTCAAGTAATGTATAACAAACGTAAGCGAAGGTGTCTAGCTCATTATTAGTCCTTTAAGCCCTAAAATTGAGATTTTACATAAATCGAATTGTCCTGAAGCTAAAATGCCAGAAGCTTTTCTCACGCAGACTGTCGCCCTTCACAGGTTCCATATTTTCTGCTACTAGTGCAGTATCTACCACTGGACAGACATTCGAATGCTTGCTTTTTCTCTGTCAGCTGTAGGGAGTTTTGAGGCTGAGGAAGCTTTTGGGGACCTGCAGTAGTGTCTCCTTTAATTGGAAATGACAACTCAGACTAAACGGTGTATTTTCTGAATACCCAAGGCTGGAATAAAGAATGTCAGGAAAAAGTATAAACATTCCAATTTACGGCACTATTGATGAGCATATTTTGAGCAGTTCAATACATATCATACAGGCAACTGGGGGCAATTCGGCTGTTTTTGCTGCTACCATACAAACTAATATTCAGTAATTGTGCATCTTCTGGGAAATATGCCTGCATACGTGTATAAACTATATAATTAATTTACGAAGAAGCTACATTTATGTAAAACAACCCTGTTCCACGAGCACTTCAAAGATAATCAGACACAGGGCCTTCAAAACATCTGCGAACTAGTGCGTGCAGAGTGGCAGCGCAGAGTCGGGGTCGCGAGCTAATTTGCCGACCACTCAAAGGCCCATGTTATAAATGCCACTTCAGATGCCTTGAAAGCGGGACGTAATATCGTCTTAAATCACGAACATGCAAGGAACAGAATTCCAGCGTCTGAAACACTTGCGCCACCGCTTCACCGACCCCTCGCAAGATTGCCTTGTGTCGTGTGGACGGACGGAGAGGTTCGTCAGCGGAATTGCCTCCGCCGATAGCTTTCGGGATTGGTAACCCAATTTTAAAGGTAAAAGGGACAAGCAGGCTTATAAAATGTACGGAAGCACGTCAATATCGGCCTAACTCAACGTCTTGTACACCGAGTAAACGAAGTCCAGCTCCTCGAAGAGCTTGCGGCACACCGCCAAACCAGGAAACTGGTGCTGGGAAGCGAGCCGATGCGAGATCGCGGAGCGGAGTCCTCCTCCTGACGTCACGGTACACCTCACCCAATCAGGGCGCGGCGACCGCAGCGACGCTTGTGTTCGCTCTCGGGGCTAATAGACGCTTTCAGCAAGTCAGTTACTCGAACTGCCACCAGTCGGCGCGCCCTTCGCGCGCTTTCCGTAATGTAAGTAAGAAAGATAGAAATGCTGCCAAGAAGTTTGGGAGCACTTGAACTCACTCGGTGAAACAACGCAAGCTAGACAAAGGTTCATACTCTCGCATCAGGGAGATCAATTGGAGGGAGATGATGCGATACAATATATAGGAGCAGTGATGGAGGAGGAATTTCGGGAACGGGTACATGTGGAAGATAGGAGAACCGAAGGAAGTAGCAGTCCAGTTTGTGACATCGCGGATTTTGGACAAAGAGAATGGGAAAAGGCGGAACGAAGAGTCCCTAGTGGCACGTCGACAGGCACAGATGGTATCCCTATCAAGCTGGTGAAGAATTTGGGTCCTAAATCTAAGGCAAAACTAAGGGAGGTAGTGAGTACCATGATAACAAAAGGAAATATTCCAGATGAGTGGAGGCTTAGTAGGATGAGTATGATATATAAGGGAAAGGGAGATAAGTCTGATATTAGGAATTATCGTCCTATAACCGTCACACCGGTTATTTACAGGTTGGTAATGCAGATTATAAAGAACAGACTGGAGGAATGGGTAGATTGCGAGGGCATACTGGGCGAGTTACAGAACGGGTTTCAAAAGCAAAGAAGATTGGAGGACAATTTATTTTCTCTAACACAGTGTATAGAAATAGCGCAAAAAGAAAACAGACAGCTCTGGCTGGCATTTCTGGATATCAAGGGTGCCTATGACAATGTGAACCAAAGAAACCTGTGGGACATAATGGAGAACTTAAACCTAGATGAAGGACTAACAGCACTATTAAGGAACATTTACAAAGATAACAAGGTGATTATAACATGGGAAGGAAAGGCGACAGGGAAAATAGAGATAAGACGAGGCCTTAGGCAGGGGTGCCCGTTATCGCCTTTGCTGTTTATGTTGTATCTGAGAGGATTGGAGGATAGACTAGAGAAGAGTGGGCTTGGGTTCAACCTTTCTTACAGTAAGCTAGGCCAAAAAATTCAGCAATCCTTACCGGGATTGATGTATGCAGATGATATTGTACTAATGGCTAACAACAGGACAGAGTTGCAGGAATTAATGAGCATCTGTGGTAGGGAAGGAGAGGAATTAGGTTTAGAATTCAGTAGCGAAAAATCGGCAGTCATGATTTTTAACGAGGATGAAGTTGAGAGGCTGAAGATACAGAATATTACAGTTGAGAGAGCTAGTAAATACAAGTATCTAGGAGTATGGATATGTGATGGTGCAGAATATCTCAGAGACCATGAAAAGTATATAATAGGTAAGGGCAACAGAAATGCAGCTGTAATGAAAAATAGAGCACTTTGGAATTACAACAGGTATGAGGTGGTGAGAGAGATTTGGAAAGGGGTCATGGTGCCTGGCTTGACTTTTGGAAACGCAGTGCTATGCATGAAATCCAAAGTGCATGCGAGACTAGAAATAAAACAGCGCGGAGTAGGTAGACTGGCTTTGGGGGCACATTGCAAAACGCCAAACCAGGGAGTACAAGGAGACATGGGATGGGCATCATTTGAGAGCAGGGAAGCGGTGAGCAAGGTAGAATTTGAGGATAGGTTGATGCAAATGGACGGGGAGCAATGGGCACGAAAGGTTTTCAGCTATTTATACATGAGGAGTGTAGACACAAAATGGAGACAGCGCACTAGGAAATTAAGAGGAAAGTTTTTGGGCTATAGCGAAGATACGGAAGAGCAAGTCTCAGTTAAGAACAAAGTTAAGGCCACAGAAAGCGATTGGTGGCTAGAGGGAATGCAGACAAAGACGGCTCTGGAAAGCTATAGATTAAACAAAAGAGTTATTGCCAAAGAAAGCATTTATGACAATTCTAGGGGAAGCTCATTGCTGTTTGAGGCAAGAACGGGTGTTCTGCGAACCAGAACATACAGAGTGAAGTACCAGGAAATTGATACAGTGTGCACTGCTTGTGGAGAAGAGGACGAGACGGCTGAGCACTTGATACTCTACTGTAAAGGGCTTCACCCTATGCCTACCGAAGACAACCTAGATTTAATAAAGTCATTGGGTTTTAGAGACAGCGAAGGGAGAGCGGATTTCAAGACTGTACAGATTACCAAGCAAAGATTAAGTGAATGGTGGCAGAAATCGAGAGAAAACTAGGTATTTTCTTATTCACTGATGGCAAGGGGGTTTCATAGCCTCACTTTCTTTGCACTGCGGAGTGAATATAGATTTCACATTTAAATATTCTCAGCTTAAATGGTAAAACAAAATGGCTAGGTGGCGTAAGCTACCGCCCGATCCAAAGGGCTCAGCCGTATTCATCCATCCATCCATCCTTCCGGGCCGCCATAGCCGACCTTTAATTTCTCGCCGTTGCTCCCAGTGGTTGCTCCGCGTTGTGTGCTGCACAGGCACCACCGGAGCTTCGCTTTCGTGTTCTTTTACGTTGCGCGTTGAAATCTTGTATTTTCTTTAGGTCTTTTCGATATTTACGACTTTCATTTAATCATTTGATATTTATATTTCGACATAGCTCTTGTACTTTCTTATTTATGGAATGGAATCGGACAGCGAATGGGTCTACGGTACAAGATTATGAAACTTCAATGACCATGTAAGTTCATCCCATCCTTACGTTTTTGTCGCCATAAAGGGGAGTCAACACTATTGCGGCATATGTAAATTTCAACTGACGCAGTAAGGCTATCACAGTCGTGCTTCTCACTGCATGTGCGCGCTCGTTTCCTTTTAAAGGGGCACTGACACATCAAAATCATATTTTTTTTTTATTATCCGAAACGATTGAAAACGATGCCGGGACATTACCCTCAGAATTTGAAATTTGGGAATTCAGTATTTGTGAAGTAAAAAAACAATTTCCAAATGCCGAATTCGAAGTTCCCGCGCGATCGGCGCCGGTGCCTTGACGTCAAAAATCGGGGAGACCTGATAGTCGACTTTCTTTCACCACTCCCTGCTGTTGCCATGGCGACCCAAAGCGAGGAGGAAAGGAGCGAGCGGTGGCGTTACGGCGGACCGGTTTTGAGCGGTGTCGCCTGTTTTCCGTTGGAGGATACAAATCCAGGAGACGGCACCACAACGAACTCCCGATTTTTGGTATTTCAAAAAGAAGGGCCGTAGTGCGTTCGCAATTGCGTTAAAAAACATGTTTTAGGATTGCCGTTATTAAATGTTATAGAGATGTCGCCTACAAAGCTTCTAAATTTCCTGATTTTTGACGTCACCGATCAAAAGAAGCGAGGAGGCGAGAGGCGGGAAAATCAAACGCCAAAAATAAAAAGGCGCGCGCGCGCGCGGGAAGTTTTTTTTTTGCGATGCGTTTTTTTTTGCGTGTCTATGACTGCAACTTGCATCATTTAGACAATAAAAATAAATACGACCTTTGGGGTGTCAGTGCCCCTTTAAAGCCGACCCGCATGTAAGCGATTTTGCGTGCGACGAGACGAGCGACGGAGATTTCTCACTTCCGCCCGTCGCATCGCTCGGTTTTGGGATTTCTAGGAAACGTCGTTCACTGTCTTGGTCGCTTGCTCCGTCGCTTCCATGCGGTTTGCCTCGTGGCGCGACTGACTGAGCGACAGCGAAGCGGGTTGCCGTCGCTTATCTGGTCGCTCGCCAAATCGCTTACATGCGGTTTATACTCAATTAATTTCTATGCACACACCATTGAACCATTGGAGCCTCGATATTAAATATAAACCGCATGCAAGCGATTCGGCGAGCAACGAGACAAGCGACGGTGACCCGCGTCGCTGTTGCTCGGGCAGTCGCGCGACGAGGCAAACCGCATGGAAGCGACAGGAGTAAGCGACCAAAACGGTGAGCGACGTTTTCTAGAAACCCAAAAAACCGAACGATCCAACAGGCGACAGTGAGAAATCTTCGTCGCTAACTCTCGTCGTTGTCGCCGTCGCTCGTCTCGTCGCACGCTAAATCGCTTGCATGCGGGTCGGCTTTACAGAAACGAGCGCGCATATGCAGCGAGAAGCACGACTGCGATAGCCTTACTGCGCCAGTTGACATTTGCATATGTCACAATGGTGTTGACTGCTCTTTATTAGCGAGAAAAACGTTAGAATGGGATGAACTTACATGTCATTAAAGTTTCATAATCTTGTACCGTCGATCCATTCGCTGTCCGACTCCATCTCATAAATAAGAAAATACAAGAACTATCTTGAAATATAGATATCAAATGATTAAATGAAACCCTGAAATATCCAAAAGACCTAAAGAAAACACACTATTTCAACGTGGAACGTAAAAGAACGCGAAAACAAAGCTCTGGTAGTGGCCGGTGCAGCACACAACGCGGAGGAACGGTGAGAAACTGAAGGGCGGCTATGGCGGCAGGGTCACGTGACGTCAAGATGGCGGCGCCCATGAAATGTTGCCTGAAAGGGTCTATACTTTTCTCAAGCCCGTCCACTTCCTCAGTGTGCTATCATGGCACAATGCCCCCCCCCCCCCCCCCCCTCAGGGGTAGTAATATTGTCAGCTGCTTGTCCTGATATTGATTGACGTTGCTTTGTACTGCACTTGAGGCACTAAAGAATGCTTTATACATTTTTCAGCGGATCCTTATACATGACTGGTTCTCAAGATCTTTGAACCACCATGGAAGCTTCTGGTGTCTGCTTTCTTCATATTACAAATCTGACAATGCCACACAGGTTCTAAAGGAAAGCACACTAGCATTTAAAGAAAAACAAAATGGAGACTTTGTGAACACACAGGTACTAATTTATTTCAAAACTCAACATAAAAAAGAGAAACATTCTAGTACTTCTTGAGTGTTTTCCTGATAAGGGCCATGCGCTGAAAAGGAAGTAGCAAGAAAAAATGTTAGCAGACTGTTCTGCACCAAAGGAACACTGCACTGAGGACCAAACTGAGGTGCAATCTGCTCTTTCTAATACGCTAGAAATTTTCTTTAAACTACAGCTTGGCTTTTCATTCTGCTACAACAAGGTGCTCCCAAAGAAGTGATTCTGTGAACAACAAATTTAGCCTGCCAACTATTACGACTGCAATAGGTAGTAAGTCTTAAAGAAGAAAAAAAATGGTAAACCAGCAAATCAAGCTTTTGTAAAAAGAAAAAAGAAAAAGATGATCACTGTTGAGGAAAGGTAAGATGTCACAAGTTTGTAACAGCATGATCCATAAACAGAGAGTCCAGCAATTCACCTGCTTGTGTGCCTCAGTACTGCTTGATTTCTTGTACGGCTGCAATTCATCAGCACCAAAGCCAGGAATCCACATGTTCCAGTTTTTCTCTGCAGTAAGGGAGAGAATGTAAGTAGTCAGTACCATTAAAAGCATATTTTATGCTGACCTAACAGCAGCTCTTCTGCTCAAAAACCAAAGCTGCAAGTCAGCCACAGGGGCTCTCTCCCTCCTATACTCTGTTTCATACTTAGCGTGCAACGCTGTCAAACCTACTGGCGCGAGCGTGGGGCTTGATCTCGTTGATCATTTGCACGCGTTGCCGCGCAAACAAAACCATAGATGAAGCCACGCGCTCGCGCCAGTAGCTGTGACAGCGTTGCACACTAAGTATGAAACGGAGTATAGCACCTTTACGAGGAGTGACAAATGAACACTAAAAATATGACTCTCTTTTTACTCCTTGTAATGCGGGTAAGTAACATTGATCTACCATATTGTATGCACTATAGTTCACAGATTATCTAAACATGAAGACCACAAAAGAATTTGTTCGTCAAAGTTTCCCGTCATCAGTGTAGTTGTTGCCCAATGCTGTTATCAAGATCACATTGGATTCTGCTGGGCATTAGTCAGCAAGAAAAGCATAGACAGACTGTGCTCTGCTTTGGCCCTCGGTGCCCCTGTGGTCGACGCTCAAGGTACTAATAATGATCAAGTCTGATCTTGGTGGCTGAAATGCCCAATGCTTGCAGTTGTAAAGTTGTTACTGTGGGTAAACGAGGGAGTGGAATCAAGGAGCCTTTCTGGATCCATGGTTGAGACGGCTTCAAAATAAGCAAGAGTGTTCGTGCTCATTTTCATTTCTTAGTATAAAAAACAATAAGAACTTCAAAAAGAAGACAGTTTAGAGATGTCTTTCTTAAGTCCGCACAAAGTCCTATTGATTTTGGAATGAATGACTTGTCATTTTCAACACCTAGCGGAAATTACCCAAAGAAATTTTTCCAGCCATAATTTTCCTCTGTGTAGAATGGAACGTATGCTACACCAAGAAATAACACTAAATACCAAGGGTTGTAAACACCAGGCAAGTATGTGCAATACTCGACTGACAGAACCATCCCCTCCTTCAACTGACGATATACATAGGTAGTCTACACTTCATGAACATGCCATTCACAGCTTCACAAATTGATCAGTGATTTATCCATACACCTGCCCCATAGTAATGAAATAAAAATTATTTTGTGCAGCAAAAAAATATCTTATGCCAAATAAGAATATGCCCCCGCCCTTGCCGCCCCCCCCCCCCCCCCCCTGCCTAAAAAAAAGGGTTGTTAGCTTATAAAAAAATATATATACGATATATATATATACACAGTGTTTCTTTTTAAGCTTTACAGATTTGTTTAAAAAATCAATGAAAGCTACACTTATGTAGTTTGTGCAGGTGAGTTATACGTCCAGGGGGACGTAGTATAGGGGGCTAATTGTAATGATCTGTCGGCTAAATAAGTAAAATTTGTTAATTATCTTTTTTAATTAGTGAAAATAGACAGATGGTTGCACCCAGCGAAAGGTGCGACGAAGACAAATATCTAGAGTGAGCGATCTTTCCCCAAACGTTGAGATGGGAGAACCATTTGCAGCTTGAAGCGTCAGGCAGTTTTGGCGATCCTCTGAAGTTGGAGTTATTACGCTGATCTCCGCCCCCAAGTCGACCAGAAAATATATTTTTGTACTCTTCTCGGAGATAAAGAAAAGACGGCTGACATCAGGTACCATGGCATTTGCAGTCTTTAATGCGTGGTTGGGGGGTTTCCCTGGTAAGAACAGGGAGGAATGCAGCAACGGGCCATGTCACCAAATTGTTGGTGGTACCAGCATGATCCGCTCGCTTCGGCGGAAGGAGATCTGCTTGCTCTGGGTCCGAACCTCGATGAACCCCAATGGTTTCTTGAGAAAGATGACTCTGTGACACGGAGGGATGACACCTGAGAAGAGAGTTGGTCCATCTTTCTCGAGAGCTGTAGGACGTCGTCGTTGAGTCTCTCTAGACGGTCAACCGCTTGGTTCGATGAAGGTGTCGTTGAAGTGAGAGTTGCAATGGCAGTGGTATTCACCTCCATGATCCTGTCAGCCATGCGAGCCAAGGCCTCAGTAGATTCTATTTCCGAAGCGGACAGGATCATGCGGACGTTTTTTGGGAGCCTCTGAAGGAATAGTTCTCGTAAAATTGGTTCCTCGACTCTGTCCAATCGGTCACCGAGTAGCTGATGCATATGTTGCAAAAGGTCCGTTGGTTTTCTATCACCCAACTCTTCCGTTGTCAAGAGCTGTTGAAGTTGGCGTTGTTCCGACACCGTGGTGCGGCGAATAAGTTCACCTCTAAGGTGATCAAATGGATTGTCTGGTGGTGCACGAAGGATGTCACGGACAATTGCGGCTGTAGCCTGGGGTAACGCGGCTACTACAAAGTCAAAACGGGACCTTTGGGAGGAAATTTGATGAGAACGGAACAGGGCCTCAACATGCAAGAACCAGAGTTCTGCGTCGCCATCCCAAAAGGCGGGCAGCTTGAAACTTGGGGTGGCAATGTGTGTAGCCGGTAAGATGGGATCGCCGGCGGGGGAACCAGTGGGCAGTCCAGACTCCGTCATTGCTGTCGAAGAGATGTGGCACGGTTGATCAGAAGCTAGAGGTCCGAGTCTGGGTCACCAATGTTGCGCAGAAAACGCGTAGATCGTCCATGCTACTAAAATAAAAACCTATTTAACCATCATTTTAAATTTGCAGTTAGCTTACCAAGCGCCGAGATCAGTTGGAATGGGAATGGCGGTTAGTCAGAGTGCCGGCCTCGGTGGTCTTTCGCACGTGCAAAGGCGCACTGATGCTTGTTGGCGATGGTTTGCTTTAGTGACATATCTGTTGGGTCTTTCGACCGCCACAATTCCAATTAGAAACTTGCTAGCCATCATCGAAAACCACTAAATCAACTCTTTTAGGGGCAAAGCTCCTTAGAGCTTAGCCTTGTCCGTCCGGCGTCCGTGCTCACATCGATCTTGCTGGTGCTCGTGAGCTCACGTGCTCATGAGCACATACTTGTGTAGGGCAAAAAAGAAAACGAAGAAAAAAGAAAAAAAAAAGAAATGTTTGCGCAGTCAACAGGATTCGAACCTGTGCGGGGGAGACCCCAATGGATTTCTAGTCCATTGCCTTAACCACTCGGCCACGACTGCGGGACGGGTAGGGGCCTGAGATGTGGTAGTAACTCAAGAGCTGGGGATGTCATGGATGAAACGTTGCATGTAGCTGCTCAACGTATATACAGGAGAGGGCACTGTGGTCAAATGCGTATATAATCGCGTTAAACTTTGCATGCATTGGCTCAACGTTTATAGATGAGAGGGCGCTGCGGTCAAACGCTCAAATGCGTATATAACCACGTTCCATACCACACATTCTCTTTCTGACATGGATGAAAACGAACGAAAGGCTCGGCATGCTGCGGCTCGGCGTCTACGCAGACAAGCACCCCCAGAGCTTCACCCCAATCAACGTCATTCACCACGTGGAGATGCGGTCATTTTTAGGAAGATATAAGACAGGGGCAGCATTTTACGACGTTCTGCAAAAACGCTCAGCTTGGATGCGCTTCTAGGTTTCGGCTTCTTATCGGAGTGCATCTTTGCGCCTGCAGTCTGGTCCTTGGGAGTCGCGGCGCAGGGCCTCCTCCTCGTCTCCCTCGTAGAATGGAAAGTAGTGCACACGTCTGTTGCGCTTCTCAGCCACTGGGGAGCAGGATCGCGGGCGCAGAGATGCACTTTGATAAGGAACCGAAATCTAGAAACGCACCCGAAAGGAGCGTTTTTATGGAACGCCATAAAATGCTACCCCTGCGTTATATCCTACTAAAAAGAGTTTATCTAGTGATTTTAGGTGACGTTCAGCAAGTTTCTATTTGGAACCATGTTTATTTTCACCAATTAAAAAGTTAATTAACAAATTTTACTTAATTAGCCAACTGATCATTATGATTAGCCCCCTATACTATGTCCCACTGACCATATAGCTCACCTGCACAATCTGCATAAATGCAGCTTTCACAGCTTTTTTTTAAACAAATCTGTTATGCTTAAAAAAAAAAAAATCCTGTATATATAAAGAAGGGATTGTTGCTCCTGCACAATATCCATAAGCTATTTCCTTAGTTCCATCCTTTAAAAATGCTTTTGAAGCATGCCAGTGGGGTCTTCAGGATGGGTTGAGAGTTTGAAAGTGAAACTAATAAAGTTTCACTTTCAAATAATAATAACAAACATGACAGCATCATCCTGTCGTGTTTGTTTCTTCACTTCGTCTTCGGTGTTTGAGTTGTTTTCATCATGTATAATAAAGTGGATAAACATATAAAATAGTGCAAAAAAGACAGGACAAGTATACAGGACAAGCGGACATGCATGCTCCCGAGCACGGGAGCATGCATTATCAGTAAAAAATAAATATGGCTCGCATTTGCCTACAGATTGCAACACGTGTGGCTGTGTTCCGTGACTTCGGCCGATAAGGATTCTGGGTGGAAGCCGAGAGATGGTCGCTTGAAAGCTATTGGAAGCATCCTTTATAAAAAAAAGTGGGACAGCATGTGTCAGCGACACTTCTATTGTACTTCATAGTAATGAATTTAAGTTTTTGAATGATTGGGTAAAAAATTAATAAACTGTTATGTGGTGCTGCTTTGCCTGTCGTGTGTATATATGCTTGCTTTTCCTGAGTAGAACTAGTTAGAAGTTAGCGCTTGTCCTGTACACTTCTTGTCCTTGTTTTTTTTTGCACTATTTTATATGTTTAACTAAAATGAACCAACTAACCCAACATACCCTACTAAACTATAATAAAGTGGTTTCTAAAATTTTCATAATTAAATAAGGCTTATGAAATATAATAGAATTGATATCAATACATTGTAGATACACACAAAAACAAAAATAAGCTAATATATAATTGAATACTTTATTTTCTAGTTCTTTTTTTTTTTTTCATAGGTACCTTTTTTTTTAACAACTTTGCATTCTAATAAAATTTTTGCACAGTTGTGTTTTTGCTGTGAGCTTGAATGGAACTATCAATTACTTATTTTGTTTCGTGATTTTTTTAAAAATAAATGTAAAGTGAAAAAATATGCCTTTATTTTACAAAAAAAAAATGGTCTAATTTTTTTTTTTTTTTACGAAAGTTGTTTTAGTAGTAGGCGTGCAGGAATATAGGAGCTCTCTGCCTATCAAATTTGATAACTCTACAATGAGTAGATTTGCTTGTAAAAGTACAAATGTAAAAAAAAAAAAAAGTAATTAAACAGCATAGTTTTTCATGTATCAACCATTTATTGATAACAATTTTACTAAACCTCATGAGCCGCTCTTCAGTTGCGAAAGTTTGAGAACCCACTTTGTTAGTTTCACTTTTAAACTCAAACCCGACCTTAAAAACTCCAGACCTGATCAAGCTTCCTATTGGAAGCCAGTAGTCTGGTGTCCTAGGCTTAATTCATTGTAATAAGTGCCTAAAAAAATAGACAAAAATAAATTACCCAGGCTCAGCTGGACGTCTTTGGTTTCGAGGGTGGTGGACTTTCTGTGTTTCGCCAGGAGGCAGGATGTTGTCACCACATTCTCAATAAACTCGTCTGCTATTTGCAACAGGAGCTGGAAGCAAAATGAAAGCATGAACAACATAAAAAAACTGCTCGAGACTTACCAATATTCAAAATCTCACAGAAACCAAAAAGAAAATCAGAAAAGCAATGTAATACTACCCCCTGACTAAAAACCTGCAACAGTCGAAGTTACGTATCAGCTCTGCTCAACAACTGGGCTTGCCGTTCTAAATTAATTAAAGGAAATATAAGAACCACACAAAATTACCTGGTTTGTCTTATTTGCAACCCTCACTAGTCATAACATTCTTTTGATGCTTAATGACCCTGGAGAACCTAGTCCTTGACTTGAACTAAGCCACAAGTTACAAATACTGCCCAGTAAATTCGTGCGAGCACTTAGTAACATCACTGTGCCTGTCATACATGCATCATCAAAATCCATCACAATAACGATTCACGTGATGAGCATCAATGAACAGCTTTTTAGTATCATCCACCCATGTTTTTCTCGGTTGGCAGGCGACTCAACTTCGATGTGCTCACCTCCTCAACGTCATCGTCCAGTTGTTCATTGGGGTCGACTTCCTTGACAAGGTCCTGGAGTCTTTGCTTGTTCAGCACCTGCAAGGCAAGAAGCACGGGCTAATTACATAGGAAATGAACAGACACAGGTATTCTCAATTTTTTTTCATGCATCATCTGCCCCCATTTGGGATGAACTTTAACTTAAAGCCTCTGTTGCTAGCCTATATTATTCAGTGTCATAGTCAAATTCTGTGTTAACTGTTTAGTTATGTAGTATTGCCCAATTTTATAGGTACATTCAAAGGTCCAGAAAGCACCCATCCATACCCGGTTTCATCGAAAGGGCAAGCAGAGCCGAAGCTACAAAAGTGAGAGTCGCCTTGAACGGCACATTTACTGCAAGAGCTGGCATGTTCAATGATATCCACTCAAAGAGTAGAGCTTGCTTGCCCTTATAGCTCCGCCTTTGCTCGCACTTATGGTGAAATGCATTAAAAAGGCCCATCTCAGTCATGGACCATTGTTATGGCTCTGGCATTGTGTCGGCTTTAACAGTAACTGTGCAGCAAAAAACAATGCCATCAAAGAATCGGCCTGAATGGTTCTACTGCTGGTGTACATCAAGATGACTGTCTAGGTTTAAAAAATTCCTCCTCACAACTACACATTCCAATTTTAAGCACTTAGATTTCTACCAATGCTACCAGCTTTCTGCCCAATGATGGCATCTCTGAAAAAAACTGCCAGGCTACACCTGTAGTCGGTGCTCACAAAACAGGGCCGGAGCGATAGGCAGGATGCTTCAAAACCCAAAAACATCACTCGTAGAGCAACGTCTCTAACGGATGGCCATACTTTCGGAAAAGAAGAGCACGAATGAACACAGCCAAAAAGACGCGTGACGTCACAATTCTCATTCCCTCTCCTCTTCGCTTCGTCCCCTCGAGATGGTGAACCGAAGCGAGGAGGAGAGAGGCGAGGCCGCTTCCCCTCGTTCTCAACTGTTCCAGGAGGATTATCACGTCACGATCCTCCGCTCGACTTTTCCAAAAAAAATACGCCCATCCGTTAGGGATACAGATGTATGTTTGATGTTTTGGAGATTGTAGAGTCCCGTTCAACACTTCTGCGACCTTTATTTTGTGAAACCCAAATTTCCGCTCAGCATCCCTTTAAGAGTTCAAGGGAAGCTCCTCCCACCTCTCTCCACTTTAACAGAGCAAATGCTGGAGAGGATGTTGCCTGCTTACCAGCATTTGCTCTGCTAAAGTGGAAAGAGGTGGGAAGAGCTTTCCCCAAACACTTAACCTGTCACCAACTAGAGATGCCCTATAATAGTCCGTCCTCCTCACTCATTTTAGAATTAAAATGTGTCCTGTGTGCCCTTCACAAATTACCTCCAAAACCCACACTAATGCGAGCGTCGAATAACGGCACGTCAAAGTGCAGGCGGGAGTTGGCTACGCTATTGATGCTGCTAAAACAAACCTGAACACCGTCGCCAGTGTTGATGTGTCGTTCGGGCAGACTGGTTGGGGCTGTCTTCACCATGGTCGTGGTCAGAACTGGGGTGCACGCGGTGGCGATGCCGAGGTTTGTCGATGTTATGGGCGTCACCGTCGGAGTCACAGCGGGGACGGTGATGGTCCCCGTGAGCGCCGACGTGGGCTGGACCATCGTGTGCTGCGAGGCAAGCACCCCACAGTCAACGACAATTTTCGCTGTTAAAGGCAATCCTTTCGCGGCGTCAGCTTCACACCGTGAAACATCGTTTCTGGCATTGTACAACTCTCACCTACTTCAAAAGAATCATAATATTAAAAAAATTTAGAGGAGCCTATTTTTTTTTTTTTTCTACAGTTCTTGAGTTTTAAACATTAGTTAGCATCATGTGCAACAAGATGCAAACTAAGTTATCTCACTGGACTACGCCGCATAGGTCTAACACACTCAGTTATTGAAAAGGCGTTCCATGTTGGTTTCCCAATATTGATATTTATTTTTTGCTGTCGAAACATTACGATTACAGCATCAATTGAAAAATGCTTCGGCAGCAAAACCACAGGCAAGGCAAATGCACTGTGTGCCTTCACGGATGTGCCTTCTTCCACCACATGGTGTCTTGCTTACGAGTTGAGCCCCGCATATCCGCAGATTATCCGCAGTGCTGGCGGATAGAATATCCGCGGGTCCTGATCGACATTTTCGCTGAGGCAACCCACAAACGTGTGTGACCTCAGAGTGTAGGGTGAATAAATAAGCGATACTATGAAGTGCGTCATTGAATGTTTCACGGGAGCTAATTACTGTCTTAAAGAAAAGGAGCCAATCGGGGAGAATATTGTTTTTTATGCCCAGAAACAGCCGATTCTAGCCAAAAATCGCTTTAGAGCATTCTATCTCGTCAAAAATGCTGTCTCTAGAAAAAGCAAAAAAAAATGCAGGGGCATCAATCGTCCTGGGAAAGCGTGTTCTTGTTTGTCAGGAAAGGAGAGGATAACATTCTTTGGCAAGAAAAGCCCAAAACGTACAAGACACAAGAAAGAAGAAGCCTCTTCCAACAAGTAAAACGTGGCGCCTGTGTGCATCTTTTTTTTTCGACAGTTCCCCAGTTCGCGGTCGTGATTGCAATTGAAACTGACAGGATATGTTGCCATTATTCAATATTGTGCTATTTTCCCGGTTATGTACTCGCATTTTGTCACTTTGCTCAGTGAGTGACCGGCTTTCCTCTCCCACTTTCTTTTATTGTTTTACCTAAGTAAAATGACATAATGTTGTTAGTCTGTCCTTTGTTAATATTCAGGTTTAGAAAATGCGCGTCCATGTGAAGAGGGTGTTACAAAAGAAAAAGTAAAAAAAGTAGATGAAAACATTCTATATGCGCATCTTCTGGGCAGAATGTCCAGCGACGCAGAGTCTCTCTGGAAGGATGATTGCTTATAACTTTTTATCTGGGACGAACTGGTTAGTTTGTACCAGCTACCTGTGTGTGCTTCATTACATATTTCTCATCCGCCCCGTAATAGCCCCAAACGGGCTGACAGTATTAATAGATGAATGAAATGACGGACGATCGCTTATGATAGACATACAATAAAACAAGATATGAAATGGCTTTAACTATAAGTGAAAAGACAGTGAGTGTGCAGGCGATCTTGTGATAGCTAATAATGTCATATAACACCTCTCAGGTACTTTAACAGTGTCAGGTACTTTAATCATATTCTGACTCGAAAAGTTTGTGTACAAAGATAAGCAAACAGCGTATAAAGTACACCATCCAGACTTTTTCCATCCAGTACACCATCCAGACTTTTTCTAATTCACGCTAGTTGTTATTCGCGCAGGGCTCTACTTACAAGGGCGTGCGCACAATGTTTACACCATTGCGATTGTGGTTGGTGACAAGTAGTTAACAGTGATAAGCGGGAACGTTCGATTAACTACATTAATTACAGACATAATTGAGCAATTGAACTTTCAGTTCCTCGTAGGCACATTGCAGGCTGAAATATGAACATGACGAAGAAAATATAAAATGACTTGCTGTGACTATGGAGGGCATGGACACTTGAATGGGCAGGGCAACGGTGGAGGTAGCGCACAGCTGGTTCTCGATCGTCGCTTGGCACAGGGGCACGGAGGTGGTGTAGATGCTGGCTGTGGTCACCACACTCGATGGGACCGTGGCCATCGCAGTTGAGAACTCCAGGTTTACTTCTCAAGGTGCCATTCTGCAGAAAAACGAACGACATTTGAGTTGAGGCAGCGCTGTCATGGTGAAAGGCCAGAATCTAGCCCGCGGAAGGTTTCAGCGTTTTAAGATCTGACAGCAAGAAGAGCTTATGATCGCGTATGAAACGGGCAGAGCTAGAGAGGATTTAATTTCACTCAAAATTGTAGACATTTATAAACAAACTCTCGCATACCTGAGCACCAACATCCAGCAACGACAAGCAACAATCGAACCCAGATCCTGGATAACCTCGTCTCCAGGCGGTTTCTAACTCTTCTTTCCACGCGCACTAGACGGCGCTAAAACACAAAACGCTGCATACTCTCAAAACCAGACTATGTTTTGGGAGACAAACATGGCGCTGACCATGTCGTATCTTGGTAACTTGTGAATCGTAGGAGCTGTTTATCGTTCAGTGGTTGAGTGAGGCATTCGTCGGTTCTTATTTACAAGCCTGCTCACTAGAAAGGTCTGGTTCTCTTGCAAGACATGGAGGCACCGGAAAAAAAGAGTCGCAACTTCGGGAAGGTATCGCTGGGAGCGAGTGTGTCATCGGTGAGTACCGTTTTGAAAGATTCGAAATCCTGACAGATTCGTGCTGAGGATTATCTTCGCGTTGGTTCACGTCGAGGTATCCATGCATCCGTAGCTGTTTGCTCGCTATTTGACAAATGGAACTAAGATCAGAACTCAAAAGTGTTGTGTTCGTTGTTTGATTCTCCAGCTGATCGATTTGAAAGCGGAATTGCTTCGAAAGCGAGAGGCGCTGAAGGCAGAGAAGTTGAAGCAACCTGCCCAGAAAGAGGTGTACGTAAAGCAAAAGGTATGCTTTCGTGGCGATCGTTTCATAAATATTGCTGTTAAAAGCAAGAGCTAATCGAATGCTCCAACGTCGTTGCAGCTAAGCTTTGCGAACCAGCCTCCCCATGCTGAAAAAGGACCTCCGAAGACAACCCCAGTTCCCGAGCAGTTCCCAGAAGAAGACGCAGACCTGCAGAAATCAAGGTTATAATTTGTTTTTCTGTAATATTATCTTATTAAAGCTGCTGTAAGTTGTACGCAAGCAGGAGGAAACAATCGTGAGTCATCACGCTCATGCCTTTTAATATGTTTCTTTTTCTAGAGCCGCATTAGAGCGAAAGGCGAAGCTCTATGACAAACTGAGCTCGGGCCAAGTCATACCTGGTATGTGCCACTGCCTTTGCCGCAATAGTGCGGAAATGGAGCAATTTTTATTTTGCAACTGTATGTGACATCCCTCTTTCGTGAAGGAAAACAGGGACACTAAATCCGGTACAAGTGAGGGTGAGATAGTGAACCAATATTTACTCCTCACAGGTGTCAATTTCTATAGCCAAAATCAGTTAAAACAAAATGGTTCCCTAGATTGCACTGTCTTTCTACTGTAATATATATGCTCACCCTAGCCATTGACTGCTCGGTATTCCAAGATGAGTTGATTCACACAAGAGTTAAAATGTGATGCTAAGTGTCATTTCTTACAGACGATGAGGAGAACGAGCACTACATGGTCAACTTCCAGCGGAAAGCAGTGGACACCATCATAGAGGAGAGGGAAAATAAAGAACTTAGGGATGCTCCGACTGTCCCCACTAGGGAGCAGGTCGCGAGGCAGAAGGAAGAGGACGAAGATAGGAACCTCCCGAGGGCCGAGTACGAGAAGATCGACGAGGGCCTCGCAGGCACAGAGGACGAGTGGTCAGTGTCTTCTCTGTCTTGCTCTTGAGGAAGCTTGGCATGCTTTATAGAGTTTGAGCAGGATGTGCTCACTATACATGGCTAGCACGTGATATCATCGCACCATACTGACCGTCATTTCTATTTCTCCTTTGCGGAGAAAAGCACATTCAGTGGTGGGAAATGTATGCTTCAGAAGGAAATATATGCACGGTAGCTAGGTTCTTCGTAATGGTCACTGATGTGGCGTCAGTGTAAGCCATTTACAGTCACTGACAAACAGTCTATGATGGAACACACTTACAAACAAATTTTTTAGGAATCTGAAGGCCTAAAAATATTTCTTCTGGGTGGGCGAGTGAAACCTTCCAGGTTGGGACATCTCTGGAAGTTGGACGTCTCAGGCACCTACTAGGACGTTTTGTGGTTATTTTTTCCTAGTTTTCTAATGGTACTTGAGCATTTCATTAATACTTAACATGCTTGTCATGCTTTCGTCTGGTTTGCATTTGAGGACATGCTGAAATATACTTTTTTTTTTTAGACACAAGTGAGGATTTCTTTCTCACTTTCATGAACTTTGCACTGTTCTAGGCCTTTAAAGGGTTATAAGTTCTCAAGTTTTAACCTTTGGGAGGCCTCATACATCCCTAATAAATGCTGCTAATGTTTTGTCTATCAGATATGTAGTGCATTGACTTGTGGTACAACATGTGGATGTCACTTGAGTTAAATGTTAAAATGTGAGTGAGATGCCACTTCAATGTGCAGAATATCCATGGTGCCACCTCATCTTGTGCTGTTACCTCATGGCATCTGAAGGTATTGTAGCCAGTGTTTTGGGCACATGCTAATGTTGTACTGCTCTTCTGTCAGGATTGATTACACGGATGCCTTGGGTCGATCACGGAGGTGCATGAGGAAGGACTTGCCTATCCTGATCAAGAATGACAGGGAACTCACTGGGAAAACTGGGTATGCAACCTCTTCATTTATCTGTTTTGTTTCTTTTGCTGCTGTTCCATTTGTTGTTTGTAGGTAGCTAAGAACCAATATGTTGCTGCTTTCACAAATTTTTCTTTAGAAATTATGTTTTATCAAAAAACATTACGGGTCAAATACACAACTCTTTCTTTTTATAACATTGCATGAAATGCCTATACTAATATATCAAACTGTGGTTCTTATATATATATATACCTTTCATAGTAATGTTTTCAAAAAAAAAAAAAACACTTCTAAAGGCAATTTGAACTTTTTATTTTATTAATATTTGTAGCTTGAACATCATGGCTCATTCTATTTGCATTCAATTGTCAAATCTATATGAAAACCAGTGATATTTCGTTTTACATAGTCATATTTGATTTGTAGTCAGAATTTTATTTTGAAGTTGTAAGCTCCTAGAGGCATTTTCAGTATTGATGTAGTAAAATATATCTATTTTCTTTATTTGAACTTTTGACAGAGAGGATGATTGGTTTAATAAATGAGAGATGGGACAATTACCTGTTAATGGACTTACAAGAACGTGACCTAGTTAGCGTGGACAAGCAATTGCCGGTTCCCATTTTTCTTTCAAAATTGAAAGGACATCATAGAAGCTAACTAGCATGGTGTGGAAAGTACTTGTTCAGGGCTCTAACCTAAATGCCGAATTTTCTGCTTGTCAACACCTTGTGTCATGCTGCGTGCATTAGACAATGAAGCAGTTAAGTGCTGTTGTTTTAATTAACCATCTACCTAATTGCAGCATTGTGGAGACGGACAAGCCGGAGCGCACGGCACAGTTCCTGTCGCATGAACGGATGCGGGAAGAGCTGAGGCAGAAATGGGAGGAGCAGGAAGCCGAGAACGCCTTCAAGGAATCCATTCATTACGGAGACGTGCGCTTCCAAGGTTTGCCCGTGTTTGCTTTATAACATTAGCAGTGTGGCGTCGTGCAACTTGAATGTGGTCTGAGCTGAGGAAGAATACTGGCTTGCCATTGTGTAACACTAAGGAAAACAGGTAAGCTAGATTCCGAGCAAAAGGCAATATATTGATTCCACTTGCTTCATAGTGTGGGTGTTCTAATTCCAAACGTAAAACAATATATTGATTCTACATATACTTTATAATGTGGGTGTGCACGTCAGTGAAGCTAAATCGGGCTCTGTTCTTCTTTTACTTTTAGGGTAGTGCTCCAGTTCATATGTTAAATTTCGACCAAGTTTTAACTCTGCTACACTCTTTCAGTAAACTGAAATTTCAAGATCTTTTGTACACAATTTTATTAATGATATTTTAATGGGTAAGTTGTACAGGTGTAATGTCCTTGAGAAATATGAAGTGTAGTAGTGTGAAAAATTATTTTCGTTGTATGACTTTTCTCGGCTATGGGGCGAGAACTCTCGTCCTTATATAAGGTTTCAAAACCAAAACTAACCGGCGAAATGTGCCTGTGCCGTCTACCCCTCTGTCCTGCGCCTGTTCCGCAACCCAAGGTTGCAAGTGGCGTGGTCAGTGTGACACAAGCGTAGAGCCAAGGGATCGACGTCACGAGCGCTTTTTGTCGGTTAGTTACGGTTTTGAAGCCGTAATAAAAACTTGTCTTCTAAAACCCACTACAAATGTATTTTTTAATTTTCACATTTAAAATTTTAATTGTAGCCAGCATTGATTCGCAGGTTACGTCATACCCAAAAAAATTTTAATTTAAAGTTAGTTCAATCTTTTTAGTTAATAACCAAATAACCAAAATTGCCTCTTTTCTAGAGGCCCTCACGGTTCCCCAGAGCTAAAAAAATATTTAATGCAGGTTCCCTTTTACCCAAAAATTACAATTCCTCTAAAAAAGACGACAACAACAACAAAAAAAAACCTTTGTAAAGATTGAGTGGTTTCACAACCAACATCGAGGGTGTAGGATAATTGGCTGCAGAATGGCCCCAGGAGTTATGCCCTCAAACCTAGTTTCCCAAGGTCATCTAAACATTAGCTTTATACCTGGAAAGCCAGATCGTGTGTAACTTGTTCCAGACTAATCATTAAATTCATTCGCTCTTTTACCAGAGCAATTAGTTTAACACCGGGTTCCTAGCTTTGGTTTTCGTCGAACATTTACTGACTATCGTAACCGAATGCGTTCGTGGTTGGCTCCGCACAGAGGCACGAGAGCACGGCGTCGGCTTCTACGACCTCTCCGGAGATGCGGCCGAACGTCAGAAACAACTGGACCTTCTCAATAAGCTGAGAGAACAGGTACATGCTTAGACTTTATTTTTTTCCTCTCTTTGTCCCTACGCATGACGGCCGGCCTGTCTGCTGGTAGGGTTGGATGACTTTCGCGTCGCTTAAAAGCTATGGTGCCTAGAACGCATCTCCGACTGGTGCGTTTACCTCGTCCAAAGAAGTGGTTCCCCGATCCGCCCGATGACGTCATAAAAGTGTCACGTCGTCGCCATACGTTATTCTGGCGGTGCCGCAGCAGCCAAAAAGGGGGGTGGGGGGATGGGATGGAGCTGGGCGGGACGGGACGGGACGGGACGGGACGGGACGGGACGGGACGGGACGGGACGGGACGGGACGGGACGGGGCGGGACGGGGCGGGACGCCTGTTCGGCTGCAGGTCGCTCTCCAGTTTGACTGCCCACGGACGCTTCGGGACACTGCGATGACAGCGACGTTTGCATTCTCTCGGCTTTTTTTCCCACCAACTTCTATGCGATGTCTGAGAGCATGACACTGCGATTTTTACGACGTCCCTTGTTGCCGCTTTGGGACCACTTTCGACACACACGCAAGACGGGGCGTCAAACGCGTCGGTCGAAGATGCATTTCAGGCACCGTACTTGCAACCGAACGGTGGGGCATGGACCGATCGAAACCTTTCGTACCTGCAGACGGAGAAGCAGAAGGCCATCTCCAACAGCATGAAGGAGAAGAGGAAAGCGATGCTGGAGGCCCGTCTTGCTAGGATTCGCCAGAGGAAGAACATCCAGACCGAAGGTGAAGAAAAGAAAGGTGAGCATCACCAAGCACCGTGTCATAGGGGTTCGCTTATCACGGAGCATGCACTTCAAAGAGTGCACCTTACTACGTTACTAGTGCTACAGCTTCACCCTGTTCTGAAGCAGCGAGCTTTTTTTTCAAATTTCTACAGGGACCATTTCGAACATACTATTTTTATAACTTATTTGAGATGTACGGAAGTCTTTTGGAAAGTTTCAGTTCATCCTGCTATGGACATACTATAAAGAACTTTTGTTCACCTACCCAAATTTAAGGATTTTTAGTGGAAGTAGCCCAAGATGGAAAAGGTTTATGCGAGAATAAATCGACTCGCATATAAAATGGAGTGCAGCTGGCGCCCCCTAGGCGATCGGTGGCCGCCGAAAAAATCCACTTGGTCAAGGGTTTGATCCTGTGACCTCTCCAACACTAGCTGAGTGCCGTCTCAATCCGGAGGTTTGTATTTTATTTAGTGATACTACATTACTACCGTATGCTCAGGATTGGTGGAGGAGTGGCTGCTGAGTGAATGGTCCAGATGCGCACCCGGCCCACAGGCACCAATTATGTGATGCAGTAGAAGGTGTCCGATCAAGGAGGGCGGGGCGGGGGGAAAGGGGCATTATCTAACCCAATCCAGAACCACTTGCTTGCCGATCGCGTCTGAACTCGTCGTGCTGCCCTGTTCCGCTTTTCCAGAGTCGAGCGACGAGGAAAGCGGCGACGAGGACAAGAAGAAAGAGGAAGAGGTGTCGGTGCTGCCCCAGGGGGCGGCCGAGGAGGCCAAGGACAGCCGCGTGTTCGAGGTGCCCGAGATGCGGCCTTGGGACCAGGGTAAAAACCTGGCCCAGATGGTGAACGAGCCACACTTCCGCAAGAAGAAGCGTAAGTCTCGTTTCGTGCTCGTTTGGTCGTCTTCCTGTCATGTGTAGTGTGTGCACCTTCTCGTGTTTAGGAGTTGTGGCTGGGGAACTGGCCTGCTTCTGAAGCAATTGAAAACTCGGCACCACATTTATACATTTATATAGTCATTGTTTTTGCTGGGTTTGTGAATCACTGTGCTACACATTCAAGCCATCTGCCTAGTAGTCTAGTTATCTGTATAGTTCTAGGAGTTCAGCGAGACCAACATCGGACGATGTGTGCTAGCCATTGTTACAAGTTTTGTCATCCGCTCATTGCTCATTGATTATAATTTAATGTAATAGAAACCCTTATAGCATATGCCACCCAATTCATCCTTTGTGCTTCCTTTTAAATCTCTCCTTACCCAGTGAAAAGTTAAGCGAGATAGACATGTTGGCTTTCTGCTCTCCCATCGTCGAACGTATATGTAATTGCTGCAACAGCCATCCGAAATATGCTCGATGTATTGCAACCAGCCCTTTATTCTGTTTTTAAGTTATTTCACGATACTACATTTTCGTGGCTGTTACATCCACGAATGCCGGTCTCGTTGAACTCCCCTAGAAACATGTGTTCATTTTTTGTTTGTTGCGCTTGCCTTCCCGGCCGTTACATTCAAAAACTGCCACGAGACGCGACACGTTCAGCACGTTACCTGTCGATGGCTGCCCTCTTCCTTTTGCTCCGCTCGCACTCTTCTCTTTGCCTCTCCACGTTGTGCTTCTGGATCTTTACATCTCTTTCTCCGACACATACTTACATTGTGGTCGTTTCTTTTGGGTTTCGCTAGTTTCAGTTTTCATTGGCAATCTTGGCTCAGTGGAAAAGAGAAATTCTCAGTTTTAAAGAGTTTCTGCAAACATTCGTTTGGCAGTGCTCCTACACTTCATTTCACCTTAAAGGGATACTTCAACGAAATATGAAATATACCCGTCGTGTTCAGAAATAGGCTGAATATGATCCACTATATCTATAAATGACAATCAGATGTTTGTATTTTGAGCCTGTATTTTTCGTTATAAACGGCCCGCTCTGGCAACGGAGAGCAGCCAGCGGAGAGCATGTGACATCCTCCGTAATCGTGACGTAGATTTTCTCGGGACGAGCAGAGCTGCGTGGAGGCTGACGATGAGAGGACGTCCGAGCCGTTCCAGCCACTGAAGCGGCCGAAGCACGCCAGTGGTCGGGCCACTTTTAACTAATCCCAAAGCTGCTTTTGTAAGAATTTTGAGCGATGGGTAAATCTCCTATAATCTTATAGAGGGACCATAGCCACGTCTGGGACACACAAAAGGGAGTCTTGGGGAGAGGGGAGTTCCTTCTTCCCTTCTTCTCTCGTGGTGGCCGGAGGCGAGACAGTTATTGTCACTAACTGTCAAGGTTCCTACATGGGCATTACAAACAAGGCGTTAGCGACATCCACCAGGTGCTCTTTACTATTCGTTTAATTTCTTTTAAAATTCCTTTTTGTGTCCTTTTCAACAAGAGATTAGTGTGTCTGATGTGATACTGCTCCCTTGAACACGAATAGACCAAGAAATATAAGTGCCGAAATTTCATTGTAGTATCTCTTTTAGACGAGGTGTAGCTGACGCTGAGAGCTATCAAACAGTGCCAAAAGTACACGTCACTGGGCCTTCCCTGTACATGATTCGTGCAGCGATGATAGAACACCTAGAGAAACATGACAGACGCCATGTTGGTGCGCTTTTGACGCCATTTGGTTGGTCCCATCAGTTCGTAGCATCGGCTGCGTCCTAACTTCAGGTGAGACAAGGTAAAAACTCGCTTGTCAACCGTGCTGGTCAGGACGTCAGAACTTCTAATCACTAGCATCGCCACCATTGCAGACTTTGTAGCGAGTCTCATTTTTTATTTTTACATAAATGCACGTTAGAAATGAAAATTATAGCATATTTTTGCCCACTCCTGCATTGCAGTTACTCAAGAGGACTGGATCGAGATGCAGAGGCAGGAACGGGAGGGCGAGTTTGCACCTCCGTCCGCTTACTCGACGGGTGCAAAGCAGCCGAAATATTCCAACTTCACCCGAGGAGGGGAGGCGTTTGGGCACACCCCAGTCGGCTCCCAGCCCTACAGCGCAGGAACGTCCGAGCCCAGTTACACCCCGAAACTGTCTTTTGAGGACCTCATAACGCAGAGACTGGCAGAAGTGCGGAAGCTGAGCGAGCAGCAACAGCAGTCTTTCGCGGGTCCGTTCTAGGTGGCCCAAGGACTAAATCCAACGTTGATGGACCATGTTTTTTTTTGTTCACATTGGTCACTGGGATAATGTAAAGCTTCACACCTTTGGGGTGCCCCCGCTGGTCTTTACACCAAACAATTAAAGGACAAAGGAACATTAAATATTTTGCAGCAACACTTCTCAATCCATGCCTTTGCACGTGCCTTGCAAGTGGTAGTGAATACAGTGAATAATAGAATCTTTATTTATATGAACTTTTACCTGATCAAATTTCAAAGAACCTTACTTTGGGGGGCAAAAGCTCGCGCTGCAGAACCCACGGATCCTGGGTTCGATCTCCGCTCCTGCTTGTTCTGATCTGGATGAGCATCGCACCGGCGCATGGTTGTGCATCAGTACAGGCTGATGCACATTAATTAAAGACCCTTGGCCAGCAGGCGTAGAGCACTGGCTGAATTTCTCACTTACAACATGAACCAGTGTTGCGATACAATGGCAGACTGACCTCGCACTACGTAAATACTGTCTAATTCGCTTTGCTGTTTGTCTCTGCTACCAGTGCCTTGCCATAAGCATAGATTTCACATCCGTATGTGGTACGATAGACTAGAGCATACAAGGCTTTTATTAGCAGCTTCACATATCCATAATAGTATGTTCACAGTTCTTAGCATATCTTGGCTTCACTGGCTAATGTAGTGCAGGGGTCAACAGGCTTTCAATAAACAGTAAACACGGGGAAACAATTCTTATTTTTAAACAAATGTGTGACAAAAAGAAAAAGGTTTTCTCGTCCAATATTTATATTGCAACATTTTTTTGATTTGCAGGCGACACCGAAATTATATTCCTGTGGAATTATGATAGTGTTTGTACCCAACTATACTCCATTCACCCCTAAGCTGAGGTTGCAGTGGAAGCTACGTCGTCGTTGGACCAGTCATAAGTTTTGCTCGCTGTAAATTTTTTTTTTTTTTAACAGATATTAATTTTGAGGCATGTAGAAAAGCAGAAAAAGATTTATTTTCCAAAGTTCAGTTTTTTTGTTTTCTTTTTAAGGGAAGTGAATGGGGTGCTTGCAAAACATAGATACAGCAGGCCAGTCACAGTGAGAGTTCAGGAACGCTAAAGACAAGTGGAAGAGTGAAGTTCACTGCTTGCAGAATAACCACCTTTTAGCTCAACACATCTCATTTAATGTTTCCGAGGAGTCGGTTGCACGATACGAAGCATGTTGCGGCAATTAAACGAGAAGTAAATATGCAAAAACGATAGCCACCCCACTATGAATAAGGACTTCACCTGAAACATTCCACTAAGAAAAAGTATTAAATAGTTTTATCTGCCGCAAAACATAATAAGCTCGTCAGTATAAGAGGGTATGCTTTTCTTCAAATTTAAAGACAAATTATTTTCAAAACTTTTTTAATGGCACAATTTTCGGAATGAGGCAACAGATTCTTTTCAATTCTGGTTTACAGAAAAAAAAAGTTCTTGGGGGAAAAACAAAAACCAGAATAATTTATTTCTTCATTTTCTGCAAATGTGTGATGCATCTATTAAATTATACGGCTTTAAAGAACCCAAAAACTCTTTCATACAAAAAAAAAAATTTAAATAAGAAGATTGAAAGAAATCATATTATAAATTGAAAGTTGCAGGACTTGCAAATTTTCAAGTAGCTCTTGTGCCCATTTTCAACAGAGAACACTTGAGTTGGGACAAGTACTGCAAATAAATACCATACTCTCATTAGCCAATAGATTTTCAGCTCATGTAAACAAATTCCACGGTATTTCCTGCACTCAGAGTTTAGATGTGCAGGTAAGTTGTCCTCATATACACCTCCCATTTGAAATACACAGAACTAAATGGTCCCTTCAAGCTCAACATTTGGCTTCCTTAAGGATGCAGCAGTCGATGGTGGACAATAAAATAAGAAACTAGTGTTTTGCAGTTGTGTCAGTATTGTTGCCTCAGCAAGGCAGCAGGTTTATAAACTAAATGGCCAAACCAAACACTGAGACTATGCAGTACATGGTCTTGTTTTCCCATCTCACAGTGCAACTCCCTGAAAGGAAAAAGTGTGTCAAATTAAGAATCAAAATGAACATGTCCACTGAATTGTATCTGAACTATATTGTGACACAATCGTTCCACCCAACAGGTAAGCAGGGAGTAATGAGGAAGCTGTTTTAATACTTGTCAACTTAAAACACACGAGAATGATTTGAAAGAGGATTAATGTGCGGACAAAAATATCTGGGTTTGCTTCGAGCTTGCGGGGCAGGTCATTGTCTGCTAGTGGCAGTGTGACCCAGGAATTGAAATTAGGGGGGGGGGGCATTGAGAATAGGGGAGTCGTCGTGAATTACGGGGTGCCTTCGGAAAAACAAGGGGGGGAGTACATCTTCGTAGAGGGGGTGTAGGGAAATCACCGACCCTGTGCCAGGAAAAATGTATCCGATGGCATATGCAGTTGAAGTGAATTGCTGATAAGTCCGTTAATGATTCTCATGAAATGCAAAAGGTTGGCACCCTAATACTCCAATGCCAGTGGTGCACCCTCAAAGAGGAATCTGTAGTTATTGACAGGATAAAAAATGCAGGGACTTTCTTTTGGATGCTCAGCCTTTGCTCCTCGCTTTTCCATCATGCTTTGACTGCGTGAGCACTCTCGAAGTTCACAAGACGCCCAAGTGTCACTGAAGGTAGAAAGCCCGTGTTACAAGATGAGAACGGAAAACCATTCTCATTTTGTCAGTGACTATAGGTAACCATATCATTTAAGAGTAAAACTATACGCACGAGCTGGTGCACCTTGGCTGGAAATGGCCATACGCACGCCGCAAAACACATCTAAAACAAATGGTTAGAAGTTTACGAGGCGGTGGTGTAGCTTAGTGGAAAGGTATCTGCTTTATACGCAGCGGCCCCCGGTTCGCTCCGCAGGGTGGGCTTACTTTTTTTTCTTTTTTCTCAAACATTTTGTTTTGTCAAGCATTTGGCGATATTTATGACATTTCTTTTAGACAATTAACACTGAACAAAACGAATGTTGTCGACGAAACTTCACTGAACTAAATGGTATAGGGCTCCCTTTCCGGAGGTGTAATGGGGGGGACAGCAGGGCTTGGGTTGCCGGCTGGACGCTGCGAAGCGGCGTGTACAGGGGGGCCATGTGGGTTAATAGCTTTGTATTGAGCAGCTGCAGACTGTCGCCGTGAAGCAGCGTGAATGCAGGCCCGGGGGGGGGGGGGGGGGGGGGGGGGGGGCTTAAAGGGGCACTGACACATCAAAATCATATTTTTTTTTATTATCCAAAACGATTGAAAACGATGCCAGGGGCATTACCCTCAAAATTTGAAATTTGGGAATTGAGTATTTGTGAAGTAAAAAAACAATTTCCAAATGCCGAATTCGAAGTTCCCGCGCGATCGGCGCCGGTGCCTTGACGTCAAAAATTGCGGAGACCTGAGAGTCGACTTTCTTTCACCACTCCCTGCTGTTGCCATGGCGACCCAAAGCGAGGAAGAAAGGAGTGAGCGGCGGCGTTGCGGCGGACCGGTTTTGAGCGGTGTCGCCTGTTTTCCGTTGGAGGATACAAATCCAGGAGACGGCACCACAACGAACTCCCGATTTTTGGTATTTCAAAAAGAAGGGCCGTAGTGCGTTCGCAATTGCATTAAAAAACATGTTTTAGGATTGCCGTAATTAAATGTTATAGAGATGTCGCCTACAAAGCTTCTCAATTTCCTGATTTTTGACGTCACCAATCAAAAGAAGCGAGGAGGCGAGAGGCGGGAAAATCAAACGCCAAAAATAAAAAGGCGCGCGCGGGAAAAATTTTTTTCGCGATGCGTTTTTTTTTTGCGTGTCTATGACTGCAACTTGCATCGTTTTAGACAATAAAAATAAATACGACCTTTGGGGTGTCAGTGCCCCTTTAAAGGGGCATTTAAGTGGATTCTGATATTGTCTGCTTACAATTATAAATCAATCTAAGGGCTCTAAACATCCTAAAAAACCCTAAATTACATTCAAGCGAGGCGCATTTTCATATTAAAAATCGAATCAAAGATTGTGCCACACCCTCCTTTCTGCGCCACGGTGCTGAACCCCAGGGGGTGCCACCAGACGGGAAGGCAGCAGGGGAGAGAACGCGACAGCCAATCATGGGTGACGGCTTCCTGGCGGACTAAAATTTCGAATACGCGCGCCTCCAAAAAATCAGTCTGCCGAGAAGCAGTCACTTGTGATCGGCTGTCGCGTGAGCTCCCCAGCTGCCTTCCCGCCTGGTGGCGCCCCCTGGTGTTCTGCGCCACAGCGCAAAAAGAGGGGCGTGGCACGATCTTTGATTTGACTTTTAATAATGAAATCGGCCAATGCTGAGTGTGAATTCGTTTTGTTTTTAGGATACTTAGAGCCTGTAGATTGAGTTATGGCAATAAATAGACAATTTCAAAATCCACACGAGTGTCCCCAGTGATACACGCGCCGTCCGAAAAAGGTGACCCAAATAACAAGAGCTCTCCACATCGTGTGTATAGCTATTTTTGGTCAAAGTGCACGAGCTCGTGCGTATAGCTTTACACATAACTTAAAGATGCCTCGAAACAGTTAATTATTTTTGCACACATTTAGCGGCAATGTCGTTCAGGCGAGCATCTCTGAGAGTCTAGCGAAGTACTAAACGCGGAAACTGAATGTCTACAAAAACCAATAAATAAGAGGTTGTTCTCTTTGACAGGTGGAAGGGGTCCTAGCTCGGGCAATCTTATTCAAGCTTAAGAGCAGATATGCGAGGTCGAAGCAACTGCGACAACAGTTCCGCGTACCCACCATCGGTTGTGTTGTCCCAGTAGCACGACGTTGCAGTGTGAAGGCCGGCACCGTTCTTTTCCATGATGACGCACGTGACTGGAACGGCAAAGAGAAACGTTCGAGAGAAAGCCAAGAAAAGGGAAGAACGTTCGAGAGCTATGGAAGGAGAATAACGCTCGAGAGTGAAGTGTGCGGCTACGATACTTGGAGTCTTCCTTACCGATATACTTGAACGGCTTGTTCATTTTCGTCAGCTGACCCAGAATATGCTCCACGGTGGTGTTCGTCCACTGAGGCACCTTGCTGTGTTGATAAATATTTCCTCCGATGATCGTCTCCATCGCCTGTCAAAATTCGTTCCCTCGGTTAGATGTCGTCCGTGGCAAAGACCGCGACCGTTGCGAATTACCTCCTTAATGATGCTGCTAACTTCGTCGACGACGAAAGTACCCTGCAATAAATACGACGACCAATTGGTTAAAAATGCTGTTCTTGAATAAACGTTGTCTTCCGATTGCAGACGTGTTATGTGTCCTCTGTTAACCTAGCAACGCCGGTCTTGCGTATTTACCTCTGTGAAGTCGTTGCTATCCATGGTCTGTGCAGCTAATATTAATTTATTTAAGATACCCTAGAGTTAAAAGGTTCAAGGATCAATGCACTACGTGAAGCAGAGCTCTCGACGGCTCCGAAAACATCGCCCACCCAAAAAAAATCGGAGACACGGATATGGGCTTAGAATGGCAATGAGAGCAACAAGTGTACGCGGCGTGAGGGCGCTACGAGTTTTTAAACAAATAATTTATGATCCTCCGTTGGATGGTGTTATATTTATTAACGTTATTGTTATAAAATTATTGCAATATTTTGTATTATCAAAATTATAAAAATATTGCAATAGTTTTACGAGTCTCGTTAAATTTGTAAGTGTTGAGGATTTTATTGGCTCTTGAGTCTTGAGCACGATCTTGAGTGATTTTAGAACCGCGAAGGCGGAAGAATGACGGAGTACTGATCACACTGGGCATCACAAAGTGAGGAAAAGAAGTGGGGAATTGCATGTTTGACGACAGTCCGCGTTGTTATGATAGACATGGGGCAGTATTTGTTTACGTAGTGCGTGGCGACATGTGATATCTTTCTGGCTACATGTCCGAGTCTCCGAGCTAGGTTATGCTACTTTCTCAATTGGACGAAGAAGCCAGGTAAGTGCGTTACTCTAATTCGCATACTCTACGGGAGTCGGAGGAACATTCGAAGCTTCATCTAAAAACAAAATCTACGTTCTGTACCGTGCATATTTGAAGCCACGCTTCGCGGTGGACTGAGGAAAGCCCGACAGTTTCTCGGTTAAAATCGGTTAAAAGTTCGCTGACGGACTAACGCCGGACGTGCAGTATGCTACTGTCGTCGCAAACAGTATCTTTACCGAACTTTGCGCCTTCGTGACAGGGGTTCCATTCGCGTCAGTATGCATTTGCATCATAGTTTCCTTCGCGCTGCGGTTTTTTAGCGATGTTCTTTTCTTATTTTTCTCGTTGGGCATACCGCGCTTGCGTTTTTCGTGAGGTGTCGTGTACGAGTACGTTTGATATACGCCTTACTTGGCTTCAGCCGTCTTGATAGGAGTCGTGATACGATCGTTAGACTTTTTTTTTTTCTTGTTTTTTTTTTTTTTTTCTTTTTCGTTTCGTGTTGCAACGCGCGCGCGACATTGACTGATGTTTCTCTGGGCGCACCCGATAACTTGAATATGGCCTCCTAGCAAACTAGTACAATGTCGAGGAACCTATTTTGCTTTCTAATTTATTTATACAACTACTACCAGTCCCACTTGGCATTTCAGAAGTGTGGCACCCGGAGAGTTTTACGTTCAGTGGTTTGGTCCTTAATTATTTTAGATTTGTACGATATAAAAACCTCAGTTAAGCTGCGTTACTGAGTTTTTGCTAAGCAGGGTTCTAAATGCTCAAGAAGGTCACTTGTTACTTTCAAAATGCCCTCCAGTTACAGTTTGTTCTGCAATGCAGAGTCAAACAACTATAACAAGAAGAACAAAAGTATTAAAAAGGTCTTGTTTGCCTGATCATGCTGACAAAGACCAGGGAGCACAAAATGTGTCCCGCACGCCGCATAGGTGCGCGAGATACTAGCACAAACCACACTCCGTGCGTGGCTTGTGCTAATGTTTTCATTGTGCATCGCAATGCTAGCCAGAATGAGACCAAGCAAAACAAGCGTGCTGTACGGATGCTTCTTATGCTTGAGGTCAATGAGGCAAGCGGTCACATGATATGACGTCGCGCCTCTTTTGCCGTGAGCCCAATCCTTTCAGAGCAGCTGTGCTACATAGCTCTGTGGCTATGGTATCTGACTGCCACTGCACTGGCCCAAGTTCAGACTTTATTCATAAACTTTATATATAACCTTAACCAGCGTTGGGTAAAGTACATGTAAGAAGTACTTGAAGTAAAGTACTGTAACTATAATGTACTTTCATAGTAAAGTACGAGTACTTTAACATAATCTTTAATGATGCCCTACCATTTCCTTTTTTTTTTTTTTAAACTGGTATGCTTTGCCCCAGGGGTAATCGGGGCAGCATCAGTTATTTTCGAAAATTGCAGCGAATATTGGATAAAGTCAAGTGGCCACAGAGTAGTTGTTTTACCTTCACTGACAAACTATTTATAAAGCACTTATTTGTATCATACTTATAGCCACCATTACATCACTCAGAAAAATGATCAGATGATGTCTCGAAAGTCGATAGCGCGTTTTCACATAATGATCAACCGTTTTTTTTTGTTAGAGGTTGGACTCATTATGGACGCGTTATTCTTGAAAGAGCCTAATTTCACCGAGACCAACTTTGGGGTACTTTTCTCGGAAAGTACCAGAAAAAAATACTTTAAGTTAAGTACAAGTACACACTCAAAGGATGTTCTTCAAGTAAAGTACAAGTATTTTAAAGCTCCTTAAAGTATTACTTTAAGTACGATGTACCTGAAGTACCTCCCAACACTGAACTTAACATTGCGTAACACTGCCAGCGTGTGAGTCAATCATTCATGACAATTTCCTCATAGAAAATGACTCGTAAAACACATTCTCTGTTAACAAAACCCTTACATCAGTGATGGAGAAAATCTGTCTTCTCAGCTCTCCCCCTCACCTCTGTCCTGCCCCTATTCCCTCCTCAAGACCCTTGCCAGATTTACTGTCAACATTTACTAGTTAATCTCCTTCGTATAAAAGACGTGCTTTCCCACCCAGGCTTGCAGACATATCAAAAAGTAGTCCTGCAAAAAGACGCTGACCCTTTCCTAGCTTGGCAACACATGTTGTTCACAAATGTCTATGGTGCATACAAAAGTGTTTGAGGCTAGCTTAGCCAAATGCTTTTGTTTGTACAAGAATGTTTGTGGGGTGAGGTACAGACTTCGTCAGAATATTCAACAATGGGATGAACTGATGTTTTATTGCTAGCAGTGTTGTTTTTGGTAGATGCTTATTCAAAAACACTTTGGAGCTGATTTCAAGACTCTTCCAATTTCACTGAGAGATAGCCCCATCCGGTTACAAGTAGAGGATAGAGTGCTTCCATTGTCCATCTTTTTTTTGCTATTAAAAATGTTCTTGGCTAGCCACGTCTCAGTGACAATGATATCATTAGGATAGGTACTAAAACGACATACCTCGAGTTCTTTTAGTTTTTTTAGAACATTTCTTGCATTCATGTTTAAGATTTGTTTTCCGATTGGTGGTGCTCTTTATTTTTGTGGTTCACCAATTTGATAGCAGCGTCAAGTTCTTTGGTACTCCATGGGAATTTGTCATCGTTAGGTGCAGAAAACCTTTTGCTTATAATTTCATGGAGTAAAGGTACTAGTAGTGCAAATAAAGGCAAGATAGCAAACTTCCAATCTTCCAGACTCACAAACGAAGAAACACTGACCGGTGTAAGGCATGCTAAGGTGTGTTTAAAACCTGTTCTTTTTTTTTTTTTTTACTAGGTGTTAAGTTTCACTTAAATTATAAATTTTCTTGCCCAATACTGTATTTATGAGAATCTATGGAATAAATATACTAGGCATTTACCTCAAAATTGCAAAAAAAGATGACTAATAAATCAGGGAGTAAAATTATTTGACAGTGGTGCAGTGCTGATATAGTGCCTGGAGTGCGTTTTCGACTGGTCTGTCTACGGTCCCATCCCGCCCATGCATAGAAAGCTGTCCCAAAGTGGCAGCAAATTGCATCGCAGGAGCCAGCGCGTCTTGCTGTTGGACGTTGCGATCCTGGTGGTCAGTCATAGAAATGCCAGCAAAAAAGGCGAGCAGACACAAGGGTTGCCGTCGTCGTGGCATCCCAACTTGCGTCTGCTTCAGTCTCCATCTATTCACTGGCTGCAGAGCGGCCTGCAGCCGAGCATATGTCTGCCAGGTCCACCTTTGTCGCTGTGCCACTGCTAAGATCCCGACGGGCGAAAACGTGACACTTTTAGAATGTCGTCGGGTGAAAATCAAGGGCCCGCTTGAGTACACAGTAAACTGACCAGTCTGAGATGGGCTTCAGACACTATAGTGCCGATAAAGACATCAAGTATGTGCGGGAATGACAACGTGCTGACCTTGTGAGACGAACGCCTGCCACGGTCAAGCTTAAACGAAGGAAGGCGAATCCAGGAATGATCTGGTCTCTCCCGCAGGCCCTAGGCTGGCAAGATGGGCACCGTGGTGCTCGAAGAGTACGAGCTGCTTGGCGATGCCAAGTACCGCTCGTACGTGACCGCCATTGACAAGGCGCTCAAGAGCTTCGAGAGCACCAGCGAGTGGGCTGACCTCATTTCGGCGCTCGGAAAACTCAACAAGGTAAGCGGGGAGACACGAGAACATAAAAAGTGTCGTTGGTCTAATGGTCTTCCAAGGTTAGGAGTGGATAACTTGCGTTCTCAAATTCAATTGTCACCCCCTTGGGAAGTGTGTGTTCCTCAATGTAAAATTAAGGCATTTTGTTCAATTCAATCTCTGGTTAATGCAAAATGTTAGCCTCAAAGTTTTTTTAAAGCTGCAAAAGAGATTCGAAGCCTAAAAATAAGTTTTCTATGTGTGACCGAAGACTAGGCATCCTTTAAAAAAGTAGCATCACCGCCCCTTTACCAAAATTTAATATTTTCACTAACTACTTTGTATGTATGTGATATATGGTAACACAATGTAAAACAGTGAAAAGACAACTGACAACGAACAAGAACTGACTGGACCATTAGTGCTTTGTCCTGTAGGTTCTTGATGATCTTCTGTTGTCTTTTTGTGCTGTATTACATTATGCTACCGTGCCAACTTTCCATCTTTTTAAGTGTAAAAAATGTCTGGTAATTTTTTTTATTCGCCCTCCTGCAGCACAAACGGGAAGCGCTTTAGTGAGGGTCCCCCGATTCTCCTGCTTAGTGGGCACGGCGGAACTGCTCTCATTCATGGCTTGCGAAATGTCATTTTGGAATGCAAACAACACTCTTTACTTTCCCAATGTAGTGCTGCAGCCGGTATGGGATTGTACCTTATTAGAAAGTTTTAGTATTGCTTATAGAAGCAAACACAAGTGCTGTGCATTTGCGTTAGTGTTGCGCTCCATGTTGCGCATACATGTCATTGCCATGCACCAATCTAAAGCCGCAATATTGGGCTCCACGCGCGCGCAGTGTGGAACACGCAAAGCTAAAGCAAACACACAGCGTTTGCGTTTGCTCTTACACGTAATACTAAAAACTCACTACTGTTTCACCGGCTTCTAACGCCAAAGAAATGTGCTGCAGTGTGCAGGCGTGCAAGCAGGTAGGCCTCCTTTCAAACTGGAAAGGCTGAGAATGGCAAAATGACGGCGTGTAAAAGTGAAAGTAAGTAAATGTTGCAAGAAGATTGATAATTTAAAAGGATATTGGTTGACAAAGCACTAATGGTGGGCGGTTGGTTTGGAAGGATATTGGTGGCGACTTTGGGAGTTTTGCCGATTGTCAAAAGTCGCGACTTTGATAGCACTATATGCTTTACCCACAATTAATGTAATTTTACATGGATTTCAGACTATTTTTATTTTATAACTTGGTAATTAAAAATGCTGCCATTGGCATCAGTGATGATAATTAGCACACTTTTGATTGTCATACTTGTTTGCACATTTGAAGTTATATCATAAGCTACAAATTATATTCGAGCTTAAAAAATTACATATTAAAATGTCTTAATTTTAATATTATTATTAATACAAATTGTGGCAATGTATGCCCCCAATTAATGCCACAATCACAAAAATATGCATTTATACATAATAGTCTCTCAAGAAAAGTATCATTTCATTTTCTTCTTGGCATATGAAAAACTCTGACATCGTTATAAAGATTGACAAACAGTCAAACACTGGATGCAATGTATAAACTCCTATGCATCATGTGTCGCTTTAAAAAACACAAACACTTCAGCTGCCTGACTCGGATTCCGTATTTGGGTTTTTGTAGTGAGGACAGACAGTGTTTCTTAATTTACATGTTTTGCGAACATATTGTAAACATTTGATTTATTCTGTCATTCTTGTGCTGTAAATAATATTAAAGCAATTAATCATTTGAATATAGAAAAACCCATTAAGAGGCCCGCAGTTCATTATTTCACATGACAATTATCGAGCGAGAAAATGCAGCGAGAACGCACAAATATCAGCCCTGGTTTTTTCAACAAATACAATATTCTATGTTACCCCGAAGGTGTATGAAAGACCCTGTCTTTAAGGACACTGAAATCTCCTGAATATTTTGAAGTGTGGATCAAACACGTATGTTACAAAACAATGGTTCCGCGAACAACTTCATTAACTAAACAATTACGATGTAAGACACATGTTGAGTTATGAAAGAATCCGAATTTAAGATCTATATCGAGAAATTAAATCCAAAATAGAGGTTAGTTTCGGTTTTGCTCCAAAATTAAAATGTGGCTCCTGGCGTAAATATTACACTAAACACCACTTTTGTTTTCAGAATAAAGAGGTGACCTGTGCTCATAACACCCTAGCTTCCTTGTATTACCAGAAATAAGTTGTGTTGCTCAGTGAAGCCAGCACGCTAGACAGGCTCAGCAACGGCATGCATCTCTGACCCTCACTATAACTGCCATTTTGAAAAACGAATGGCACCACTTATAGTCAGTTGGAGTTGCATTGAATCATTTGCCATGGGGACTGTAAACAACAGCATTTCTGCACCTTCATTATCATTGACAAAGACAGAGGTTGAATTCCTAACACCAGAGATGACTAGATTACTGACACCTTGTCGTGACGCTACAGCTTTTTAAACTCTTATATTTATAGTACATTTCCCTTTTGGACTGCAAACAACAATAATTCTGCACCTTCATTATCACTGACAATCACAAAGGTCGAATTCTAAGTAATCAGAAATAACTAGATTAGTGATACCAAGTCGTGATGCCAGCGCTTTTCAAACTTTTATATTTAGTGTATTCCCTTTCCTTTATAACTATTATCTCCTTTCTCTCTTTGAGAACGTTGAGACCTTTGGGGGGCGGTTTTATCGTTGTGCCATTCTATGTTGTTGCTAAATGAAAGATATCCTGTTCCGGTCCTCGTCCTCGCTGTTTTTTTGTACTTTCAAGTTTTGTATATAGGGCCTCTTCACACTCCTCTCTTTGCAAGCATAGTAAGGAGGCTAGACAAAGGCACTAGGGTCACTGAATGTTCCCAGAGTACCGAATTCCATTCAGTTCGCTTACCGGAGGTCAATCCTGCAGAATTTAGTTCTGATTGGCCGGTTTAGCCTGTGGCGGTAGTTATCCGTCAACCATCTTGGGATCGGCAAAAAAAAAACATAGTACATAAAACGTTATTGCGGATATGGCGGGTATGTTCAGGTTGGAGCTCTGGGCATTGATGAGTGAGGACCGAATGAAAATGTACCTTGAATTTTTCTAGTTTTTTTTTATATGAGGTAGCCGCTAGTGTGGTTTGCCAAAGAAGATTGCCGGATCGTTTGCTCGCTCCGGTTGTGATGGTGCCGCGTTTCAAACTCTACGGCTCGGATGCTAAGCCAAGTAAGTGACTTCGATGTGTTTTGAGGCGAGACAGCTAGGAGCAAGTCACAGATTGCTCGGAACAAAAGAAAGAACTTGAATACAAGCAAACCAGCGTCGCCACAGACCGAGAAAGTGGATTGAAGAGCTCGCATGAGAATGAATGGCTACACTGTATGTGCTTCGCTTCGACCGCAGAGGGCAGCGCCATATTGAGGATGGGTTGGAGCGTGACTGCCTCGCTGCGACTCGGTTCTGAAACGAAGCTTGGGAGTTTCGGTGCCCTATTAAGAAAATCCTTTAATTGTAAAATCAACCTCGACGAAGATATTTTTGATTGTGCACGACTCGTGATTGGCATCCAGGTGCTTCTGAGCAATGCGAGGTACCAAGTAATCCCCCGGCGACTGACCGTGAGCAAGCGGCTGGCGCAGTGCATGCACCCCGCGCTCCCCAGCGGGGTGCACCTCAAGGCCCTGGAGACGTACGACCTGATGCTGCGCAGCGCGGGGCCCCAGCGCCTGGGCCAGGAGCTGTTCCTGTACAGCGCCGGCCTGTTTCCCCTGCTGGCCCATGCCGCCATGAACGTGCGTCCGGCGCTGCTGGCCCTCTACGAGACGCACTTCCTCCCCCTCGGGGAGCGGCTCCGCCCAGGCCTCAACGGCTTCCTCATCGGGGTGCTGCCGGGCCTGGAGGAGGGCTCTGACCACTACGACAGGTCTTTGCACTATCCATTCACTTCTTGACCGCTTCTGCCGTCACATCCATTCACTTGTTTAGCTAGGGGAGAAAGAGGAAAACCTCCATGATAGTGCCCGGCACCTCCCTCCTACCGTAGAATACCAAGCTAGCACCCACTCCAGAGGTGGAGAAGGTGCGCATGTGGCAGGTTATTCTTTTGTCTCATCTGACGGAACGGTATAAGAGCAGTAACCCCGCGGACAATATGAGCCCAAAACACCCCATCCGGGCTTTCTTCTGTGACTGTGATCTCCACGAGCTGTATTATCTCTCAATTTATCGAGTTATGTGAAGTATGAGGCCTCAACTTGGCATTCTGTTCCTAATTTGTACCGCAGCTCTCCAGTACTGGCAGGTATGCTAAAGAAGCTTGAAGGACTGTTTCAGTTTGTATTGCCCGTGATAGTGCGGGGGTCTGGCAGAGCCCCTCATTTTTAAAACTGCCGAGCCGCGCTCGTCAAAGCTGCTTTGTGCGGGCTTTCTTGCATCAAGCTTTACCTCTTTGCACCAGCGCTTCTCCACCTTGCATGACTTCTCGGCAAAGGAGCTCACTTGAGAGCCTGAAAGACTTTGTCTATCTGACAGGAAGATTTTAGCACGATCCCAAAGGGGAAAATCACAGTGTGGTTCAAAAGAAGGTCACACATGTATTCCAGAATGCAAAAAATTTAAGCTTGCGTAATATACCCTCGTAGTCACATCTCCCGTTTCTTTGTTTGGCCGGCCTGATTTCAGGACGGACGCCCTGTTGCTGGACGTGTGTCTGAGCGTGGAGAAGAGCTACTTCTATGGCAGCCTGTGGAAGTGTGTGCTGTGCAACCCGGCCGTGAGGCTGGCGGCCATCAACTTCATCATCTCCCACTACAACCGGCGGCAGAGCATGGAGGACCAGCTGTTCATAATCGGCACCGACATCAACTGCATGGTGGGTGCTCTGGCTCACGCCCTTCCCTGGTCCAGTTGTCATCCAATTTGTTCAGATTCAAGGTGTTGTTTTCTCCAGAAATATCCGGTTTGAAATTTACAGTCGGATTCGAAGTTGGTAAGAAGGAAATTATCCCGTCTAGTCGTTTAGTACTTACGTCCTGCTTAAGCTGGTAAGTTGTAGGTCTGCTCAATTTAGCGTGTCATGGTTCTGCACTGAACCTCCAACTCAAAATAGGTTTTTTGTGAAATCTTTTAAGGGAAAATTGTCATGAAGGACCGCAGGAAAGTGTCGTAAATGAGCGACAGATTAAAATCGTATACAGTCGAACCTCGATATAACGAACTTCAATGTAACGAAATCCTCGATTTAACGAAGTATTTTATTTTTCATAATTTTTTGCCCATAGACACCATGTATATTTAGTCTCTTTATAACGAAGTCTATTTTGCTGCTATTTCAATATAACGAAGCGCCATTGCCATAGAAGGCAATAAATAAATAGACTCTAAAAAACAACTTCGCAAAAAAAATTGTGGTTAAAAAAAAAAAAATTATGCGCAAACGCGAGCGCTTGATAGGTTACTTCACGGGGACAGGCCTTCCAACGTTCCTAGGCTGCCCGAGGGTGCGGCGCCGGTAGCGCCGGCGAGGCATGCGGCAAAGCGGATTCCGCGGGGCTGGACAGAAAATGCCGAGCAAAAAGTTAACACGGCATAACAGCATCACCACTGACATTCACTGATCATCATAGTCCACTGTACCGCGGGTAGCGCGGGAGCCAACTTCAGCGGGGGAGCGACGTGATGGCGCGACCGCACGGGCAGTGCCATCCAGGAGAAGACCGAGAAGACCGATTATCGCTGGATTATCGTCTTGCGAGCGTGATGTAAAGCAAAGGCGCAAGCACACTGTGGGCCCTGTGTGCGCAAAAGGGCAAGTTAGTAAACTGTGCGGGCAAGAGTGCTGTGTAGGTTGGAAACATTGGCACCGCCTAAACTACACCGTGGCCTAAACTAAACAGCTTTATTTTTCAACCGGGCGGTTCACTCACGTGCTTGCTGCCATAAGGAAACGCAAAGTTCTTTTTTTGGATGAGAAAGCAAACGTTTTGCACGCCATCCTGAAGAAACTGCCGAGATCACGAGCACTCGGAAAGTACTCGACGGAATGGACGTACTGAGGAGGCACACGGCGTCGCATGGGCAGCAAGATGCCGTGCAAGCGCTCTGGGCGCTCGAACGCCGTATGACGCCGCTGCTACTGTCGGACAAGGCGCAAGCAAAACTCGCGGACTACTTTGCCCCTAAATAAATGTCATTTTCGGTGAGTTTTCATACCCGTAAAATGTTTCGGAATTTGTTTTTTTGCATGCTAAAGCCAAATTTCGATTTAGCGAAATTTCAATGTAACGAAGTAAATTGCGAATTTTACCGACTTTGTTACATCGAGGTTTAACTGTATATATTTTTAAAAAATATTGTGTGTGGTTTGTGCAGGACACATTCTGTGCTCCTTTGTCTTTGGCAGCATTATCGGGCTGGAGTAATTTTGGAATAAAATGTTTTTTATGAAACCCTAGCCCTATATTCTTCCTGCTTAATTTATTTTAATTGCTGCTCCAAACTGGTGTGCAGGTGCAGGGGCTGTGCGCTGCCCTGCAAGACACGAGCGTGCTGGTGCAGAGGAGTGCCCTGGAGCTGCTGCTGCTGGGCTTCCCGCTGCACAGCTGCCAGCTGGTGGCGGCCGACCGCGTGCGCGTCTGCACCGCCGCCGTCGTGGTGCTCCTCCGCAGGGACATGTCCCTCAACAGGTGCGTGGGCCACCTGTCTCTCTGGACTCTGGGTGCATGCATGCGTGGGGCGTCTCTCTCCCACCATCACTTCTGGTTTGGGTGGGTGGCTTAGTACCAAAGAGTAAGCGTGCGATGAACACGGTAGCAGCCAAGTTTGTTCGGACTGGTTTTCGTGAACAGGTGACTGCATGTATTGACCACCGTTTGGAAACAATTGATATTACTTATCACGATTTAAAAATTAGATGGCTATACATATTGACCTTCGTTCAAAAACAAATGACTTACACATATCGACTGCTATTGAAAAACAAATGGCTACACACATTGATCACTATGCAGAGCAAATGACTATGCATATTTTGATCTCTACTCAAAAACGAATACACTACACATGTTAACCCTTAACAGCAACAGATGGCCGCGTCATATTGACCACTTTTCAAAAACAGATGACCGCGGTACGACTACTATAAAAAACAAACAAATGACCGTATATATCGACCTCAGCTTGTAAACAAGTAGGCACACATATCAACTTCTACGTATTAAGAAAACAAGGAACCATAGATATTGACTACATTCTAGCCCTGGACTTAGGACCTTTTACTTTTACTAAAGCTTTCTCCTCCTCCTGTTGATTACATTCCATAAACAAGTGACTACACATATTGACCCCTATTCAAAAGCCAGTGAACACTGGTATCGACCACTCTAAAAACTGAGTGACAACACACATTAACCAAACAAATGACAAGATTCATTGACCACGATTAAAATGCAGGTGACAGCATTTATTAGTCATACTTCAATTGCAAACGATGGCATACATTGCTAGAAGGACTGTAGGGCTGAACATGATGGTTAACCCTGAATACTGCGATGGAATAGAGAAAAGCAGTAAGAAAGACGGGAAAAAAAAGTATAGCCAATTGCTGGGCAATTGTGTTGCACGTGAAACATCTGGCATCTACGCTGTCGGCGCTCTTGATTGGTTAGTTTAGCGACTGGTTTAACGCATAGCATGAAAACTCTATAGCAATTCCTGGAATAAAGATACCGGTGCCAACCTGGGTTTTAAGAATGTGTGACAAGGTGTTAACTTGCTACCTGCTGGATGCAGAGCAGATGCCCTACAGGGCATTCCCGTCAAATGGCACCTCAACTCGCAGCGATGTGTCGTGACATTCTGGAAAGGCACTTGCTCATTATCTAAATGGTTTGGGATCAATTTCTGCCTGGTACAAACGCTTTTTCGCTGCGATGGCCTCTTCCCCTCCACTCAAAATCCATCAGTGTCTAGCCTAGTGGCCACGCGTTTATCCAGATTGCACCTTTGTCCAGGCTTCACGAAATGCCGATCAACTAGCCAAATAACGTTTCACATTAAAACGGGACAGACAAAGTCTCAGAACTTTGTCTATCTCCCTTCTTTTCTGTTTCTCTTTCTGTTTTTATCTTCTTTCCATCCCAGTCTCAGGGTTTACCATCGAAAAACACACCAGCTCACCTGCACTTCAAGCATTTTTTTTGTTTTTATTAATGAAGGTGAAGCCTTCATTTCCAGAATCATGGTTTTCTTCTACGACCAACTTGCAATATTAATTTATGCGGGTTCCTTGACGACCTCAATGCCTATTGTTTTGGAAGACCTGCTGCTCGGTTTCCCAAAGGGTGTGGACCAACCTTGTGTGCCACAACCTGTTTCCAGGCGCCTTTTCGCATGGCTGTTTGGCAGCGACGGCTCCACCACCACCAGCGGAGTGGCTGCATCACCGCCTGCAACCACGTCTACCGCCGCCATCCCCGACCCCATCGATGCGTCAACTGCCTCGGCCTCGACATACTTTTACACAAACTCCTGCGCTTTGCTTTTGGAGGCGCTCAAGTGTTTGTTCAGCGTAAGCTGCATGCTCGTCTTACTTCTGTTTTGGGGGGGCTGCTGCATTTGCATGTCAGCCGACCACCTCTCAGTATCGTTGTCAGAGCTCGAGCATGACCGGCTTCGAGAAAGAGACATTCCTTAAAGTGCAGCTTCATTGGGTCTTTTAGATTTTGGAATTACGACTGTATTTAGTGTAGCAAGTGTTTCTGAAGTACAGGATATATATACTGGGTAATATTTTTTACAGCGGAGCTGTTAAGGGCTAAGTTCCCCAGGATCGTGTCTGCGTATGTCGACACAAACCTACCTGGACAGCTATTGCCATCTATATATATATTTTTTTCTTTTCTTGTACTGTGGATATTTGGTATCAAGCTATGGTGTTTGTGGCACAGACTCTAAAGCGGTGGTAATGCTAGTAATCTGTTATTGCAATGGCGAAATGGTCACTTCTGTGGCATGGTGCATGTAGCTGGCTGTGTCGAATGAGCTATAGTCGTGAAATCCTGCTGCCATGCACAAGTGCATTCAAGGATTGGTTGAATCATCAGCTGATAGTGCAGTGGAAATGGGCGGAATGGTGCAGGAGGAACTGAGCCCATACTGTGCTGCAGAAACGTATGGGCTGTGTGGAAATGATGAGGCCGCTCAGTATTACTTCAGAAACAGCTAACCTACCAATGGCTATCTAAGTTTTAGTGATACCATATTTAATACTGGCTGTAGCGAAAGTCCTCTTATCATTTTGATGTAATATTTTGGCACCTTACATCCCGTTAAGCAGTATTGTGATTTGTTTTAGTTCAGTTGCACTTTAATGAATTGACACCTATAAAAGGTAACTTTAAATTTGGTGTGGTTACAGGCATTGAAAGGTTAGAAACTGAAGTGTTTCCCATTTACGTCAAGAATGTCTCTATGAAAGTTCCTGTCATAATGTGAACTTGCGGACGTTTTAGCTTGGAAACAGACTTACGAGAGATCATGTTTCGAATAAAAAAGCAGAGTAGAGTGCAACAATATCTTATATCCATATATGTCTTCCTCTTCAGTGCCTGTTGTTTGTTCTAAACCTACAACTAAGCGCAGATTTTCTTTTCCCTTCCCCGCCCTCTGCTGCTGGCAGCCCTCGACGTGCAGGGCCCCCGTGCTGTCGAGCAACTTCTCCGTGTTCTGGCCCTACAGGATCCTGGTGAGCCTGATGGACAAGCCCGAGATCACCACCGCCATCCTCGACGACATCCTCATCGACGTCTTCAGGTCGGCACTCTTTGCCCTGCCACGGGCCCTGGGCTGCTGCCAAAACCACTCATACACGCTGACAGGATGGCAACAGCAGGAAGGACTTTCAGCAGTCCCACCTTCAGCGCAAGCCTCTTACCTTTGATAAGGCTCGTTATCGATGTTAAGAATAATAGCTAATTACTTCGATAACACGAAAGAGACGCCTCGACGTTTTCATCCTGTTAGTGATGATAGAAGACGAGACCTGCGCTTTTCCTCCTTTAACGTCGTCGCTAGTGGATCCTCGCCGCACCATCTTTCTCACGTCATCGCAAGCGCAATGAGCGCTAGACGATGCCAAGGCGCACGGGTCTGCCGCCTTGTTGCATGCACTCTGCGTTTCGGCGTGCTTGCCACACGAGAAGGGTCGTGTATCCACTCACAATGACGTAATGTGCTGGCTTTTGTCTCTCAATTTGTATTGCTAGCCCTCTGACCTGGACGAAACAACGCTCACGCTTCTTGGTGGCGATCTAATATTTTACAGTTTGTTAGGATGCCCTAACATCCTGCCCAGTGACATCCGGTCATGAAGGTTTTTTTTTTTACGAAATACTAGAAGTACACTTGTTGCAGGGAGTTCACAATCCTTCCCTCGTGCATACCGTGCAGGTCGCTGTACTTGGAGTGCAGCTCTGGCACGCTTGCCAAGTCGCAGCAGGAGAAGCAGGCGGACCGCACCCACTTTGAGCTCGTCAAGACGGCCAACCTGCTGTTCAGCTCCCTGGAGCCGGACTACCTGTGGGGCTACGTGGCCAAGAGCTTCCACGGTGCCTGCGTCAGGAGGAGCGCCGACCCCCTGCCCAGGACCCTCCAGTCAGGAAAGGTGGCCCCCGTGGGGTCTGGGGCCCCCACCCTCCAGGAGGTCTGCATACTCTCAGAATTCCTCCTTGAAGTCATCTCCATGGTGAGTCTGGGCTACGGCGTCGGGCTTGACGACCGGTTCGAGGGTATATGATTGTTTTATGCGATTGCTTGGAATTACACAGATGCACCAGTTCTCAGCAAACAAATCGTGCTGTGGTTTATCTATTTATTGAATCTGGGCTTGCAATCCTTGGCCGTCATTTAAGGTAGCCGTGCCAAGTTCCCTGAGACTAAGGCGTTAGAGAGCCCCCGTATAAACACTGTGCCGTCATCTGCTTTTCGGTTGAAAGGACTCGTACATGGAGACGGAGCATTTGCCAGACCTGCTGCACAGCGTGGCCGAAGACCTGCGCGAGCACTGCAGCTGCCTGCACCCTCCAGAATTGAAGAGCGCGCTGGTGCTGTGCTCCCGGCTCCTGTCCAAGGTGCAGCCCTCGCTCCAGCCAGGTGGCTCCGAGGCTGTCCCGGGCACGACCTCCCGCTCCAGCCAGCCGGACACCTGCCTGGAACAGGCCGTGCCCCCGGGTGGGGCTGACGACCTTTGCTCGGCAACCATGATGGCCAACTGCGTGGCGTCCTTCCAGAGGCTCTTCCTCCGCTTCGTGGAGCTCTGGGTCCTGGTCCAGCCGCAGGAGACACTCGCCCTGTTCGGATCTGCGCTGCTCCGCAAGCGAACCATGCAAGGTGGGCTGTGGGACTGTCTGCAGATGGGTTTGGGCGAGGCGGCTGGATGACGCCACTGCCTCGAGTGATTGGCCAGTTGGACTATAGTTCTGTTGGAACGAGATGTAAGACCGAGTCAAGCCCCGAGCAATTCGTGCATTGTTACACGGACAACTATGTTATGTTTAAACATTCCCAAACATGTGGCAATCAAACTCTAATTTAGTCACTCTCAAGATCAGAATGGCAGGGCGTGTCTCTTAAACGCCTCCATGCGCTCCGTGCCTTCTGTCATGCTTTTGCTGTGCGTGTGCTTACGAGGTTGGAAAAGACGCGTAAGTGTTGTCAAAGGTAGGAAGCTCGCACTGGAGGTGAGACAACCGAAGCTGTTCTTATCTTGTCAGTGACCAGAAGTTCACAAAAATTGAGGTGTGCAAATACATTTGTTCACATTATGTCATAAATTTTTTTATTACATTATTTTTGGTCCATATTTTTACATGGTAGATTTCCAGTGACACTCAAGAACGAAGACAAATAAAAGGCATGCTCAAAACATGACAGACACTGACAGCCTTTTCTTTGTCTTGGACCTTGAGTGCTGTTTGATTTTCATCACGTTGAATGTGTACCAATCGACCCAATTCTCGAACATGTTACGTCTCTATCCTGGGTTATATGCACGACTCGCAGGGTTTTACCAAAAGCTGTCTTCTTATATTAACTTTGTTATCTTGTTATAAATAGTACCAGATTTTCCAGACCGTAGTTTTCACCCAGCGCATATTTCATACCTGGTGGATATTCTGCACATAAAACATTTATCCTGCACAGTACATATCAAATAAGGCCTGCTTTATTAGCACACAAAGAAGCTTAGCTGTAATCTGTTGTATTGTGCAAATATTAAAATTTTTTAATAGTAGTTTTGAGTGACTCGCTATTCAATATGTCTCTTTGTTTTTTTTCCCCGCCTTTTGTTCAACAAGCCCCCGAAGGTTACAAACACATTCACGAAAAGAAAACGCTGCAGATTCAACTACACACAACTCTGTCAAGCGAATGCTTGTTCGGATTTTTTGCACCACCCCCTCTTTCTCCTGTCCTTTCTTCCTCGCATATCTGTGACATACTGGGTTTTCTCCGGAGATTAAGATCCGTTGTGCGAATACGCCATTAAAGAACACGTATAGTCCGCAGGCTACGTTCTGGAAAATTTGGGTACCTTTTTAGTCCTACTTGTGAAGATTCGTTTTGTTGAGCGACTTGTTTACTTGCGCTGGCGGTGAAGGTGATCGAGAGAAGGAGCTGCACAGACTGCTGGAGCAGTGCCTGCGGCGGGGGGAGGAGGACCCCTACCGGAGCATCGACCTTCCACGCCGCAAGACCCCGGAGAGGGAGGTTGCCCCGGAGGTCAGCCTGGAGCTCCGGCCGGAGTTCTCGGACCTCAAGGAGGCCTACGCCTGCCTCTGCCAGCTGCTGGTGGAGCTGTCTTCCTTCCCCGCCTCCCTCGCGACGCTCAAGACCATACTGCTCGTGGAGGTGCCGGGCACAGGTGACGCTCCCTGCCTCCTCGTTCAAGCCGGTCTGGCGCTGCTAAGCATACTACGCTTGGTGTACTGGCACTTAACTTCGTTCCCCGATTCTTTTGTGGGTGCCGCCATTTGGGCATTCAGTGCAGAGTGAGTGTAATTAGCGATCGTTACGATTGGAAAATGTGGCTTCACGAGCTTTTGATGCAATATATGGAAGCACAGGTGTTGTCACCTTGCTTTGTCGCGGACCGTTTGAACATTTCTGGGTGACAGAAAAATGTTTCCTGCGGTTTCAAGTGAAGCTTTGGATAACTGGCAACAATGACTCTGAGCACAGAGATGGCTAAAGTGTCGCTACATTGAAGCATAGCTCACTTAGTGGCTCTAGGTAAGTCTTGCGACAGTCTGAAAGATGGCACCGCCAAAACTGGGATTGGAGTGGCGCGTAAAAGCCTATTGCTTGTGTGTCCTCGGTATCGATCAAACTGCCCTAAATCAGACACCATTTCAAACGACCTTGCCTAGAAAACCTAACTTTACAATGCGACTAGTGGAGCATCTTTTGTCTATGGGGGAAGCGTACTCAGCGGAGCTAAAGCAGTCAAGAATTCCGATATGGGAACATTGGAAAATATCCTAAACGTTTTGGGAACAACTCTTTCATTCAGAAGCTGAAAGGAGTGCCCCAATATATTGGAATTGAAATAAGAGTTTAGAATATAATATTTGTGCACGTTTATTATTGACCTCTTCCTATACAGTAGAACCTCAATGACAGATTTTGCCGGAGACTGAGGAGAGATATGTGATCCGTGAAAATGTAACAATTGATTCTAATCAGAATACATCCAAGTATGCAACTCCTGAATACATGCTTAGTTGGAGCGAGGAAGGTTACATTTTTATCTTGGTCTTTCTCATCCGGCAGTGTTAACAAATGGCATTTTAGATATACTAGAACTTGATCTAGGCCATACGAAACACACTCGTGGATGCACACCGATGTAAAATTATGACATGCCACTTGCCTTCAACTCCCGTCAGCAGAAGGTCCGGAAGGCACTGGCGGCCTCCCCGACTGGCTGCGACAGCTCCTGATGCTGTCCTGCTTTGCTCCCGACCAAGACCTCCTGATCTCCACCACGGCAACGGTGCTGGAGCTACTCGAGCTGTCTCGGACCGCGGCCGCAGCTTTGGAGCCCTCCTTTCGCGACGTCAGTCGCTGCCTGACTCCGGGGGGGAGTCAGGCCACCCTGGCCATCGTGGTGGTGCCCATGGTAGGGACTAGAATATTTCATACTTGAAGCCTACAGGGAAGGCGAGGCAACAAGCACAAACTAGCGTGAATCCCTTGCTTTCAAATGTGCCTTTTTAGCTCGACATTTCGTTCTGCGAAAGTGCACATAGAAGTTGCAATTATGTGCTCGTAGCCTCTTTTGCCCTGTAAGGGCTGAACAGAGTTTAGTTTAATTTTAAATTCACTTGTCATAGTTATCAAATTCCTAAAAAAAAAAAAAAAAAAAAAAAGGAAAGTTGTTTTGCGCATGTTTGAACAGCTTGAACGTCTTTCTGCCTTGGGGTGAGACAACTTCACTCTCTCTTCTGCTCGAAAGGAGCAATGTGGCCAGCGCAGTATGACTGATCTGGGGTCTTCAGTGCGTTTCATACAGTAGTGGTCACATGAGTGCACTTTTATACATTGGCCAGTCGCGTTTAAACCGGCAGGGGCGACGTTGGAGCGCACACTTCTCAAATGAAAGCTTGAGCGTCGATTCTCGGGTTTCTTAAATTTTTTTGTTGAAACTTCAAAACTTGCGAACAAAAACAACCTGTGTGTGTGTTGTCAACTTTAACACAAACTCCCTTCTATGAGTAGTAGTTTTTTTTATGAAAAAATTATCATCAAGGTGTGTTGTGCACAAGCGTCGTGAACGAGTGACCCGCCTCTGTGAACGCCTCGTGCGTGGCGTTCACGGAGGTATTGCTCGGCAGTACATTTGTCGATCCGAGCGGGAGTGGTCATGTGAGAGCTCACTCTGCCATAGTAGGTATAACCTGTCAAACTCGGATCAGTGCTCATCGGAAGTTATAAGGCTTACAAGGCTGTAATTGGTTGCAGAAGTTTTGACAGTTGCTCGGCCATGGCGTTCTTGCGTTCGACACATAGGGTCCAGAAATGGCACGAAGAGACTCGGGCATTGAGGCAGAGGGGTGCTAATCCTTGCCCACCCCTCGACCTTGGCAGAACGTGTCTGTCTCCATAGGGAGCGATTAGGGAACGAGCACGATTGTGTGATTAGACTGTAAGACCCCCACTAGAAATAACATGAGTTAGACATGTAAGCTTTGTAATGCGTGAATAAATGTAAGTTGCATATTTGGTTACGTGGTTGGTGTACCCTGGTGCCCATGCACCTTCTGCAGCATGCACAAGACGTCTCACATATATACCCCACTGCGGCTGCATTTCCGGGACAGCCCATCCGATTATTTTTTTCCCAAGTCTTGGGTTTCCTAGAAGTTGAAAGTTCACTGGCTCGCCTGCACATTTTTTCTTATTTCTACCGGGAAAACATGTTTATTTCTGGGCCGTCTCGAATTGCTGGCAACCCCTTTGAATCCCCAGGTGCGCCCGTCAGACCTGAGCGCCGTGCTGGAGCAGACGCGCTTTGTCCGGGTGGTAGCCGGTAGACTTTGGGAGCTCCTCGAGCCGCACAGGGAAGCGTTGCACCTGAGGGCAGTGGAGTTGCTGCAGCTGCTGCACAACGTGGCGCCCGAGGGGGACGGGGCCTGCGAGGATGTCCTGTGCAGGGCGCTTTCAAGTGAGGACGAGCAGGTGAGAGGCTGTGCCCTCCTGTTTGTCCTATAACTAACTCCCTGGAGGCTGAAAAAAAAATTAGTGGAGAGGTTGTGTCTTCTCAGTTCTTGTACTTGTCGAAACAGCAGATGGTCGGAATCCCTTTTGTCTAACGTCCTGGGGACTGGCAGAAAAATGCTCCATTTAGCTTGACCCTACGCTCAGAAGTAAATGTGTATGCAGGATGTGTTTTTGTGGCATTCTTTAAAATTTGTAGTAAACATTGCAGCTTAAAAAAAAAAATTTTTTGTTATGTTGTGTGATTTTATGTTATTTTTTATGGGATGATGGGCACTTCTTGAATTTTTGTTCCTTCCCATAAACTGTTTGAACACAGTGACACCGGCGCCTGGTATTCGCATTCAAACAGTTAGTACATACTACCACCGTGATAGAGACAAAGCCAGTTAGCTCTACGTCTACCCACACATTAACGCAGTGGTAAAATGTTGAGCTCACAGTCGTGGGGTTGTGGGTTCGTGGGGTTATGGGTTCGATTCCCGTTGGGGTGCATTTTGGATTTCATTCCATCTTCAGAATTTACCACTCTTTTTATTCCATATTCCACATTTGGTAACGGTTTCCGTGGTGTCCAGTTGCACTTTTCTCAGGGACCCCAGCCCTTTAGCACATTCTGCATTTACATTAGGTAGATATGGGAGTCACTTTGTTTTAATATGCGTGGTGCAAGGAACGGGACATCAGGGTCCCTAGTCTACACAGCGGGACCGAGGAACCAGGACATCGCCACCTGTTGCGATTGGTCAGTGGTGCGGCGCCGGCCAATCGTAGCAGGCAGGGATGTCCCGGTCTCTTGGTCCCACTTGATCCCGCCGTGTAGATTAGGGCCCCAGAAGTCAGAACATACTTTTTGTGTAGCGTCGGGTCTGCGTGAACGGCGTTCAGAGCGAATACTGAATGTTTTGGAAGTTGCCAGTGAAAGTTGAAAGGAAGGCAGGTGTAAGAAACCTGGTTAAAACCTAATCATTAAAAGAAAAGAAAACAGGGTACTGCTGTCAAAGGACCATACCATCGTAAAGCCTTTGATGATGCGCTCGGTCGACGGTGACTGCACTAGAAATCGATGGCAATTAATTTTTTTCTTTAAATTGATTTGTTTTTGCCTCATATTTTTTAGTTCCTTGTTTTTGCCTCATTGAAGCATGCTGTTTGTTTGACATGCACAAAAGAAAAGGGAAGGAAGAGAAATTACTGGGGCGTAGGTGGGGAAGAAAGGGGAAAGGAATCTGTTCTTGCTGTCACTGTAGTGTGTGTGAGTGGTAGAATTTATCGGCAGTCAATTGCAGAACCTTTGTTTTTCAGAAAGTTTTATTCCTTGAGCAGGTATGTTCTTTTAAAGCTGGAGTTTGTTATGGTGGTCTGGCTAGCGAGTTCAAGCAATACATAATGAGCCAGGAGTTTATTTTCTTCATGAAGCGGGTGTTTTTGTAAAGCAGGTATATGTGACGTGGTCGTTTGACTGTAGTAACCAAACCTCATTCATTGTACAAATGTTTGCATGATGCTAGGTCAATCTTCGTTCTAAATTTTATAAGTTTGTCGAAAATGTTTTAGAGCTGCAGTTTGTTGCTTGATGACAAGCTCCTGATATGCTGTGCTTTGCATCATGGGAAGCCAATTCTCTGCTGCGGCCTCTCTATTATTAACTTAAGTGTATTCAACTCACTCTTTTATTTGGCCTTATCTCGACATGAGATTACTGTAAGAACCCAGGTGAGCGGTGTCTGACATATCTGACCTTTTGTGTGTGGTTTGCAATCTGCTTGCTACAACAGCTTTTTGTATCTCTATTTTTGCAGGAACAAACTGAAGCTCAGAAGAGGTTTTCCATCCTGTGGAACCTTAGTAGGAATCTGAAGTTCAAATCTACTCCATCCAGTCTGGTTCGTTCGTTTGACAGGTTGGTGTTCCTTCTTTTGCAGAAATTTGTGGGAATCGGGTGAATTACAGTAAAATGGATAGGTGGGCTAGTTGGTGCATGTTTAACTCATAAAACGCCTAAAAAACGAGAACAAGAGGAAGACGAGACAGGACCAAGCAATCAGCGCTTGGTCCTGTCTCGTCTTCCTCGTGTCCTCGTTTTTTAGGCGCTCTACAAGTTAATCAGGTGAATTAGTGTGTCATACTCATCTTTTGCATGTGCATTTTTTGTAAAATCCTAATATATTTTTCTGATGTTTCAATAAAAAGTTTTGTACAATTTTATATAAATAATTATTAATAATATAAAACAAACTCAAAACAAACTGTGTAATTTTTGCATAAAATAATTTTCCTAAAAATAATGTTTTATATAAAATTATGATAATATAAACTGTATTTTTTCAAAGAGAACCAAAACTGTTTAAGGAACTTGGACAGTGCTGGGAAATAAAAGAGGTGCAAGACCTGACAGGACGTGTTCTTCCAAACTGGTAAACAAGCTTCTAATGATTGCAACATTTATCTGCTTGCACAAAAAATAAATTACCGTGTTTTCCGGTTGAAATTGAAATTTTAGCCGATGCGGACTATCTACTAATGCAGACTATACAAGGATTTTTTTTTTTTTCTAGATTGTTCACTTTGACAAGACGTGAAGGGTTTTATGAATAACGATGTATGTTAATGTTGATTTACGTATGATACAAGCTTCTTTGGGAGCTAATACAGCAGTCATTTGTCAAGTTGTGCTGTGTATGATTTTAATGCGAAAGCATTAACTGTCTCATGGAGCGAAGCCAACATTGTCAGTAACCGTCTGTAGCAGAAAAACGGCACCCACAAGCAGAATTCCCATTGGCTGCAATGTGTCATATCATATGTTTCGTCACGGAAGGCAGGGGGGCGCTCAAGGTCGAAGCGGACACGTTGCCGTGGAGCCGGCGGGTGGCTGCGCCTGCACAGTGGGGGAGCGTGATGTCACAGCCGGCACGCCGTGTAAAAAAGGGAAGACGTGGCATGCTGCTTCTTGGAATGCACTGCACGTAGGAATGCTTTCGCATTCCTACACGGAAGCAGTCTTAAGTGTGTCTGCCGAATTTTTTTGGTTCTGACTGAGCACTAAGTGCAAACTATTCACCAGGTGCGGTCTATCTAAGCAGATACTTCTATTTTTGACCCCAAATTTGTCGCTGCGGACTATGCACCGGGTACAAAAAATATGGCGCATGAAATTTGGCAAAAGTTGGCTCATCAACCTTGTACCTTGATCCTCTGGTGTTTCTAGTTGCTCAGAGTAATGTGCTCGGAACAATCATATAAGGAGACCGACAGGCCAGTATGGTCATCCACCAAATTTCATGTAACTACGACGGATGCTGTGCTTTTGCAGGGCATTTCGAAGCTCACATATAAAGGTTAAATATTTTGCATAGCAGTACAACTCTAGATGTGAACCGGATCGAATCTATGGCTCGACGAGAAACAGAAACTAAGCGGGCATCAGCGAGCGAGCCAGGCAGCTGAGGGACTAAAGCGGGACACGTACGCGAGGATACACTGCCTCTGTGCATAAAGGCAGCAACCGATGCCAATGCTACAACGTTAACCATGGCGGTTGCCGTGGTTACATCGTTAGCACAGCACGACACAGTTACTATTCTTTTCACATATCTGATGCTCCGTGTCCGTCTTTGCATCCCTGGGCAGGTGCCTGTTCCAGATGCTGCACTGCCTGAGCCGCCCCTGGGGTCCCCAGCGGGCAGCTTCCCAGGTGTGGCTGAACCACTCGCTGCTGCGCGGCGACCTGGCCCGCCTGCTCGAGCCGCCCATGATGGTGCTGCTGCACCCGGACACGGCGCGCATCTCGGTGCAGCACGTGAGCGTGCACTCGGGCATGGCCGCCACGGTGGAGCCCGTGCCCGTGCTGGCCAGGGACGAGGCCTCTTCGTCCGAGGCCCGCATCTTCGCCATCAGCAGCGTTGGGGGCAACGTCATCTACCACGTGGACAAGGCCAAGGTGGCGGCCGGAGCCGTGGCCCCTCTTGCCTCCGTGAATCCGGAGAAGAGGGTGCTGGCGCTCACCTCCATCGTTGGTCCCGAGAAGGGCAACGGGTCCAAGGTGAGGACCGTTCTGTACCGCCGCGGCGGTGGTTTTGGTTCTTCGGTGGGAAGCTGTTTGATATATATTGATTGCCTTATCTGGCGGTGACTGCCTAAGAACTGTGGCGAGGAAATGTCTGTGACCGGTTGGTTTTGCAAGTGTGAGAACCATTGCAAAAGCGCTCTTTTGCATGTGGCAGTGGATCCTTTGTTTCTTGCTGTGGCAGAGGTTAGTGTTCTTGCCTCGTATAAATATCTTTGCTAGTTCATTCTGTGTGGAAAGTTGGATTTTTTAACCTGACAGTGTTTACGAGCTTGTGTCACAAAAAATCCGGTGTCGGTAGGACCAAAATTCTCATAATGCAACGCGGATGGCCACGTGTGACGTCACACGTGGCTGGGACGTCATGACCCTTGTCGACCTGCTAAATTTGACGGGAAACTTTTCCGCTAAATTTAGCAAAATATCTTTCCCACAAAATTTAGCGGGCCAATTCCAATGAAAACGTGACGTCACGTGACACGTGACGCTACCAACTAGACCACGCACACATGCTTGCACGGCTTGGAAACAAGCGCATGTTTAATGAGGAGGCTTTGCACACGGGGCACGATAACGCTATCACCTTCCACTCTTAAAGGCGAAGCTTAAGCGCCCCCCGACTTCTTTTTACATCCTCGCACAGTCAGCTGTTTGGTAGATTTATGAGCAAACTGCTGGTGCACTGGACTTAAATATTGTGCCTCTTGTGTTGCCTTATACTGCAAAGAGAATGCTAGGAACCAGCCGCTTGTCTATATTTCGATCATATGGCACTTATTATTTGCTCTCCAAAAAGTTTTCCCTGAACTGCAGCATATCATCTCACTGTGGGATAAACATGCAAAATTACAAATTACAGTGCAATTGCACCTGATTTCTGATTTATTTTTCCGGGCCTGCTCCATGTTCCGACCCATGACACGGCGTCTTTGCAGTTGCAGGTCGTGACGCGGAGCTCCAAAGTGGACGTGGAGTTTCCCCCGGCTTCCCTGGACTCCCTCCACCAGATGTCGCTGTTCGTGAACCCCTTTGGCTCTCTGACGTCCCTCACCAATGACTACCTGCTGGACTCCTACGGCTACGACGCCCCTGACCTCTCCAACGCCACCCGCATCCACGGGACGTCGCTTCGCAAGAGCTCCTTTGACGAACCCGACGAGAACGCCGCCAGCGACAGGGAGGACTCGGCGCACGAGATAGTGCGCTCGATCCTGGACGAGATCGTCGACCTCGCCACGTCCATTCCGAAGGGTCTGCACGACGACGATGCCGCCGCGTCAGACTCCGTCTTCCACGAGGAGTCCAAGAGGAGCTCCGTCGGAGCGTTTGCTGGCCAGCCAACGGCCCACCCGCTCCACTCGCACCTGCTCCTCTACTGCCAGGTGTTCGACTCTCAGAAGACACTTTACGCGCTGGGCGTGCTCAAGCTCGTTGTGGAGTCGAACCCGCGCGCGGCGCTGTGCAGCATGGCGACGACGAGCGTGAGCAGCTCACTCTCGCAGCGCGGTGCGCAGCTGCAGACGCTGTTGGCCCGGCACCGCAAGTCGATCTTCGGCAACAACTTCCACGGGGAGATGGCGCCCGAAGCCCTGTCCGGGTACCGCAGCAGCATGTTCCTGGAGGTGCTCGTATCGGCCTGCCTCTACTTCGTGCGTAGCTACTACCCGAGCCTGCCGCAGGCCCATCTCACGGCCGCCGAGCTGTCAGGGAACCGGGATGTGCGCCTACTATGCTGTGAGCTGCTCCGGCTGGTGTTCTCTGAGATGGTGGCAGTGGTGCGGGACAGCGGGCGCAGCTTTGCAGTGTATTTGGGGGACCTGCTGATGCGGTGCAAAGTGCAAAAGGCACTGCTGCACTGCCTGGTGGCCTCGGTGTACGGGTTCCAGCAGAAGACGGGGTCCGACGGGGAGCGGGCCATCACCACGGACATCATCGAGTTCAACGAGAAGGTGCCCGTCGGGGAAGGCCTGGCCGAGGATTTCCAGGAGACCTTCCAGGTGAGGGATTTTATGTTCCTTTACATTGTGTGCGTGTTACATGGCACGTCCGCGTTTGCGTGTGACAAGAGCAGATGTCATACTGTTGAAGCCGGTTATAACGAAATAGTGGCTACAGCGAACCGATCACAATTTCTCATTTCCTTTTGACTTCGTTATAACCGAAGTCGGTTTTAACGAAATAGCGGGTATAGCGAAGTGATTTCCGTTTCTCTTTGGCTCTCTTATTACCGGTCTCGACGGTAGTCGCGAGTTGTGACGTAATGCACATGCAAAGCCTTGTGCTCGGCTGGCTGGTCCATGTTCGATTTGTAAATATGTTGGCATTCTTGGTGCAAAGTAAACCACATCCTGCGAGCCCACTGCCAACTATATCGTTACAGCGGTAGATGTTAGTGCACCCTCCTGAAAAAAAATGCTCATGTATGAATGCAAAACCCCCCTCTTCAGCAAAGGCACTGCTCTCCCTCTTCCCGTCGTTCTTCACACCAGGGCAAGGCTCCCTCTCTCTCCCCCCTGTAGGCTGACACCGTCCTTGCTCCGGCAATATTCTCCGCCACTCCTTTAGCAGCCGCCATTGCGAAATACCCACACTGTCACGGTGCGCAGTCACAGTCCCTTGCTACCCCACTGCTGCCACCCAGGAAAGAACCTAGATTTGAGAGAGGGAGCAACTCCAATTTAGTGGCAGACGCCTCCTGGGCAGATAGGCTCAAGTGCGTCTGCATTTGGTTGTCTCGCGGCCAGCGTGGCAAAGAAACCAGGCAGAGAGGCAGACATGTTGGCAGACGGTGGAGGCTTTTGACTCTTTGCAGGCTGCAGCTCGTTTTGCAAACTTGGCCCACAAACCATGTGACGCTGATGGAGTTGCCCCCTTCGTTAAATCTAGGCTCTCTATACCGACGAAACACAAACTTCAGCGTGAACTCGGTGCCATGCGCGCTTTCTTTCTTTGTGTTTCGTGTCAGCGTCGCTAGTCGGTGTGGTCGCTCTCTGCGCGGAAGTATAGCTTCGCACAAGCATCGATTCGGCGACTGATTGCCACTCAACGATGGCGAGTCCTTGCACTGCCAGTACCTTGGCGGGGAAGACAAAGGCCATCTCTTTGAAACAAAAGCGTGCCGCCTTCCTCAACGAAGTGCGCATCAACGGGAAAAATGCCGTCCACCGCCGGCGTCCTCTGCGGCAGCCGTTGCAGCTGTCAATAGGGCTCTGAACGTGGTTCGTACATAGCTCGCGCAATTTTCTTTTGATCGGAGCTTCTCGCGGTTGGCGAGAAGTGGCTCCAATCCAGCAGAGAACTCATGCAGGGAAGCCTCAACCGCTTTCTCCAGGCACGATAAACATGTGCCCGTAACGGCCCGTGTTATCTTTATTTTTTACGGCGGAGCTGTTAAGGATTAGTTTCCCCAGTGTCGTGTCCATGGACAAACAAATGTCGACACAAAACTCCAGACAGCTCCCGCCGTCGCTCATAGATGGCGGCAACCTTTTCAGCCTTTCCACTCTGGTTTTCACCAGTGTGAAAAGGCTGAATTTCTCTAGGCGTCGTCCTAGAAGCCGTCCTTGAGGTTGTCCTAGCTTTGAGGTTGTCCTAGACGTCGTCCTTGAGGTCGTCCGAGAGGTTGTTTTCGAGGTCGTCCCTAGGTCATCCTCTAGGTGTCTTCCTTGAGGTCGTCCTTGAAGTGGTCCTTGAGGTCGTCCTGGACATCGTCCTCTAGGCGGCGGCATTGAGGTTGTCCAAGAAGTCGTCTTTGAGGTCATCTTAGACGTCGTCCTCTAGACATCGTCCTAGATGTCGTGAAGATAACAGCTTTGCTGGTCCTCCATCTTCACGTGAAGTGGAAGGGCTCTACATTTGTTTTATGCGTTAGCATTAGAACACTCGTTTTGTCGAAAACCCGGTGGTGTCTCGTTTGTCAGTGCTGGGTAGAGAGGCAGAAGGAGGGAGAGAGGCTGAAACGTGCGAAACTCCCATTGGTCTGAAGTACTGATGCCAGCATGCGTTAACCTCTCCCTCTCTCCCTGGCGCTGACAAACTGATAGACACTTCGGGGTTTTTGATAAAACGAGCCCTTTCGTTTTCGTTAAAGTTACGCGCCAGAGAGGAGGAGGTGCCACACACACCTCCTGATAACAAAGCCGTAGTACAGAAAGAGATGGCGTCATTAGAGAATGCCAACCCTGGATACAGATTGGAAACGAGTGCTGCGTCAGCGCTCTGCTTCGAGTCAAATTGGAGCCAAACGTTGACGCAATCATCGGGTCGAATCTGTGCCCAGCATTGGCCTTCGCTGATGACGCCATCTCATTCAGTACTACGGCTTTGTTATCTAGGGGTTGTTGCGCCATGGCACGGTGGAGTGCGGGCATGCTCAGTTGCCGCTCTGCCGTCGCTGGTTGTTTTTGTCTGGGTTTCCGTAGTAGTGGTGCGTGTGCTATGATGTGTGTGTGCGTAGTTAAAATGATGGATGCAGTTCCCTCCATGAGTAATATGGATACGGTTCCTTCCACGAGTGGTAGGGATGTGGTTCTTTTCACGAGCGATATTGAAGACTTTATCTAAGGGCGTCAACATACTCTGACAGGCAGAGTACAGAGAAGGGGTGAAAAGATTTACAGGAAGATTTATTGGTGGATTTTTATGGAATCCGTTAGCATGACCCTTGGGAAATGATACGTACGTCGCCTTTTGGGAAACACTAACACTGACCCTGTAACGAGGACAAAAAGAGGCAGCAAAAAATAGAAGAAGCAAAAGAGACCAAAGGAGAAAAGTTAAAGGGTCAGTGTTAGCGTTTCCCAAAAAGGGACGTGTGTGGTGTTTCCAAGGGTCATGCTAACGCATTCCCTAAGAATCCACCAATGGATCTTTTGTTTAACGAGGATACGCTGGAAATCTGTGTACCTTTACTTTCATATCAAATAAAAATTTGTGGAGATTCATATAAAACTATGGTGGGTCACAATATGGTCTTGACAACCAGCCAGGCAAAAATTGGTCAAGTGGAAACTTCGCTGCGGTCCCAGTCAAGTTACATCTACATTGCATGATATATTTGCTTTTGTAGAGATGCTTTTTTCTACAAGCAAACTCTTTTTTAAGATCGTGAAGTCTTTGACACGCAAGTTTTTTGGGTCAGCTATCGTCGCTTTTACTTATGTATTCATTCAACTCACAATCTGTTTTTTTTGCTTACTTTTATGGTGTTTAGATATAACGAAGAAGCGGATATAGCAAAGTGATTTCAGATTCCTGTCTACAGTAATATGTGAAACGGCAGCTTGAAAGCGGGATTTTCGTCGTGACATAGACTCGTGTGTCAGAAATATGCATTTTTTGAATTTTTCTTGCTCTATTCACTATGCATTGTATTATTCAGCATTATTCCCATAGTACTTGTCTGAAATCAAGCTATTATTTGTTATTGCTATTATTTTTAGTATTATTACTGTTTTTTATTACAAACTACTAATGTTTGACTATTTGTCTCCGTGTGTTTGGTGTTCTTTTTCAAAACACGCACGTCCTATGTGTTTTGACAGGTAAATAGACTGACGTGCAAACGGCTGGAGGCCTATGTTTCGGGGTGATAGATTATCAGCAGTTTGTTAGCGAGCTATTTCTTTTGTATTTAGGTTTGTCTCCTCATTTTCTCTGTGCTCCAGGTGTACCTGCTGCAGCTGATAGCAGCCCTGATCATCTTCGAGGACCGGGTGGCAGCACAGATGGGCGACGACACCCACCCGGCACACAAGCCCAGCACGGACAAGGTGGCCCAGAAGACACGCTTCCAGCCACAGATGTCCACCCTTCGCTACCAGCATGGTGCATTGTTTTTGCAAGTTGTTCCCTCATTGAACTTCCTGCTGACGTTCAGTTTTTGCTCTGGGACAGGCGATTTCCAAAACTATTTGGCAACTACACTCCGCAACACTGTTGGCACGAAGAAGCCAGCGGCGGTTTTAACTGTTCTTCAATCAGTATTTAAGGACTGTCATTTAAACTAATAGTGTAGTGGTGGAGAGAGCTCACTAACCAAAATGGTGAATTTTGAACATAATTTAAGACAAAACCCAGAGACTGGGAAGAAGCTAAAAACGAACACAACACACAAAGTCTCAAACATGGCTGAATTTATTTGAAATAAGTTTGAGTTTATATAGGGTTTAAGGATCCCAACAAACCAGCTAGTTTGTGTCCTAACTTGTTGTTGGCAAATTTTTATGCCTGCCTTTCTATTGTAGAATGTAAAAAAGCGCCAAAGTCGTGCAGTGTATACTAGAAGATGCAATATTTCAGATTTGAGTGACCCTTTAGTTGCCGTAGACCTTGAGTAAATTGATCTGCTATTCAAGGGGACAGAGGTGCCTCGAGAGTTGCAATTCGCACGACATGCGAGCTCTAACGTTGAACTTCTGCCTAGATCTGCTTGTAGCTCTTGTCACTCTTACGGGGAATTCCCTCGGTGTATTTGGAGCAATCCAAAAGTTCTTCATGCTCACGCCTTTGGAGCAGTTTATGCTAGCGTGCGTTTGCAGGTGCCAGAAGGTACCTTAAACAACCCGTAAGGTGAAACGCAGCGATAGCTGAGGTGTGTCGTCGGAGCCGCTAAGGTGTCATTTCGAAGCAGGTGGACTGAATGAATGGTAAAGGTGCGAGCGCACACCATAGAGTCTGCTCAGGCGTTTCGTATTACACCGAGTAACAGACCGGACGAAAATTCCATAGCGTTTTGGAACCAATGAGGGTGCATTAAGTGGAGAGCATTTCAGCTGTCTATGTTAGAGGGGAGCATGTTTTCGTAGTTCACTTCGGTACGAAGAGTCACACGTGCTAAACGAAAAGCGCAGCATAAACGAACAGTGAAGTAGACAAGACGAGGTGCACTCTCAAATGGAGGATTATTGAAACAAACAGATGCTATTAATATCTTCTTTCTGGCTATTTGTTTTGAAAATAAAACTCTATCTGTCAGGTGCATTGATGGGGCACCAATGCACTTGCTTTCCGTTTACTTTCTGATACAGAATGCATCGTAAAGTTCTGAGGCAGTTTTATCTGCTTGTCTCCTCAGATTTGTTGTTCGTGCTACGGTAATTCTGGGTCACAAGGGCACTTATCCCAGTGCACTGCCAGATGGCCTGGCTGGGACTGTTTTTCTGACCATACATTTTAACTTGCTACCATGCATGACCATGCATGTTTTCTTGCTTGCTTGCTACCTTGCTATCAGCGACCTGTGGAATGTTTTGGCAGAGAACCGAAAATGACCAGCGTCGATACGGAGCGCGGTTGACGGTGCGAAACCGCGAGGTGTCCTACTAACAGCTATCGCTGTAAAATGTGCCCCCAAACTGCTCCGAATCCACCGAGGGAATTCCTTCTTACAACTTGAACTGTGACAGAGACAAGCCCCTGTACTTACCTGTCGTGGTGAAGGTTCTCACGACCAAAGAACTGAAGGCTGGTTGACACACTTGTGACTGCTTATGACCATATGCCTTGAAATCTGTTACAACGAGAAAACACACTAGCACCATCTTTCGGGTAGTCATGAAATACTTGGCGTTTCCATATATTTTTTTCTTTTTTTATGCATCCTTCTTCCCTTTTTTTTTTTGCTCATTAACCTTTTAAATGTTTTAACAACCATTTCTAATGATAGCACATACATTTGATCTCGCAAATAATGCAAAACCTTCGCTCTAATGAAATGCAGTTCCAGGGTCGCCTCATACGTATATGGCGCCAACTTGCCGGTGCGTTCTCTTGTCATGAGAGGTCCCAAGAACTCGGTCGTAAGCAGATGCAAGTGTGCGAACGGGCCTTCTCTCCAAAGTTTGAGAGAGTTGTCGCATCACACATTGCTCGCCCGTGCGTCGTGCAGGGGTGCCGATCCCGTGCCAGGCCATGTTCGGGACGGCCACGCTGACGGCCCTGCGGCAGCAGCACAAGGCCCAGCTTCACTCCCACTGGCTGAGCCTGGTGATGTGTGCCCTGCCCTTTGCGGGCAAGTGCCTCACCCAGCTCGTGCTCTCCGTGGCCAGCCAGGTTTGCTCAAACCTCGAGGCCGTCGTCTCCGACAGGGCAGGGTCAGTGGCCACAAATCCCTGCGCGGAACTCTGCTTTGAGAATGTTCCGAGATTAAAGAAGGGGTGAATGGGGGCAGCTAAGGGGAATACGAAACGAGGCTGTGCTCTTGAGCACAGTTGAACAGTTTCCTCTTTTAATTTTTTTTTTCCTAGTGGAGGCCCAGTCACCATTATAAATTAAGGTACTCTAACCGCTTATTCACACTGGAAGCGGATCCACGTTCGCAAAGTAGTTGCGAACACGGTTGTATAAAGATCCAGTACAATTGCACGCGCACTTGATGTCATCGAGTGCGCATGCAATTGCACTGGATCTTTATACAACCGCGCAGTGTGAATGAGCGGTAAATGAGCTAGGAGTTGAAGATTATGTTTTGCCCTGGCAGAGGCGCTAAAAAATGCTGGATGACCACAAAAGAATAACATACATTTATTTGCGAATTATCCCCCATATTTACTTTGTATGCTCTTTTTAAGATCTTTATCCAATTTCAAATTGTCCAGTTCAGAATGAATGTGAAAGTTGCCTTTTTGGTAGGGTGCGCAATGTTTTCTTAAAAGTCTCGGTGATACCAGCTTGAAGTGTTGGTGTTATGTTCTTTCCAACAGACTTTCGTTTTTACTGTTACTTACCACTTGTCCAACTGACGGTCATCCTTCGTGACAGTACTCAAAGCTAACATCCATCTTTTGGTCATGGTCAGGGTGTAAGATAGACAGGTGGGGAAACGGCCCATTGAACCCTACCGCAGCGCCGTGACCGAATTGTGTACTCGTCTGCTTGCGGGTACCCCCGACTTGCGACAGATAGCGCTGCGGCGAGAGGAAAAAAAGTCGGAATCGGATATGCGTCGAACTTTATGGGAGAGTGCGCAAAATAAACCGAGAGCACGACAGTCCTCCATTGAAAATCCACGAGAAACCATCTCCGTCAGTTTAGCCGGTCGCCATTGGTCGCTCACCCGGAGTGAGAGTTCGCGGTGCTCCACATAGATGGCGCCACAGAAAAAGAAAAAGCAGAGGGGGACACAATCCGGTCGCTCATTTGGCTCTCGTTTCCCCACCTGTCTATCTTACACCCTGGTCATGGTGCTGATCTGAAACGAAGGCTAGAGTTTCACTCATTTCAATATTCGCCTCGTGACTAAGGCAAGCAGCGAGCGAAGCGCAATTCGGGTGCGCCAAACTGGACAGTGCTGCGAACGTCCGTTTCCGTGAGTGCAGGCCCGGCGTCCAGGGAGAGGGTGTGGCCAGGCCCCCGGACTACCTCATCTCGTTGGTGGAAGGGCTGACCCTCCTCTGTCACTACTGCCTCCTGGATGGGGTGGCGGCACCGGCTGTGAACCCGGTCACCCAGCAACCGCCCCCCGCACCGCCGGCCCTCACGCCCAGCGCCAACGTTTCCCAGATCATCTACAACCTCATCCACGTGTTCTCCAACACCGACCCCCAGAAGGTGCCGTGGAACGTTGCACTGTGGTCTCTCTTTTAGCTTTAGTGCGGAAAAAATATTTGCAGCTTTTTGTCACAGTGTGGGAAGAAGTGACAGCAGCGGCTGTTATTGCGCATAGTGACCTCGATTTTTACAATTATCCACTCAATATTTCCTCGATCACACACAACGCACCCTCGTGGTCTCTGGGGGATATAGGAAAGGGACATTGACTCATGCACTGTGGGGACAGGCAGGGACATTGACTCATGCACTGCTTGCATGGGTCAATGTCCCTGCCTAAGAATACTGTTATGAAAGGTGAGTTGCTTTATATCAGATAGCATTTCGCAAGAGCCAAGTGCATGCACTTTGGCCAATGTCATGGAGTGCACATGATTGGGAATTTTCTTCATGGTGCAACGCCGATGCCGCGAATGCAGCTGGTAAGTTCCTATAACAGCTGTTGCTCTAAAGGAACCCTGAAGCCTTCTCGTACGTTAAGTGTCGAACTGTTAGTGTGAACACGACATTGGTACATTTTGGGATTTTTGCTTCAAAAGGGTACTGATGTGTGCCAAACTTTACCACTCGGGTGTTTGTGCCCCATAGGAGCGCTTCCTACCACATTCGGTTTTGGTCATAAGAGAAAATGAAAATAACCAGCGACCGCTTATTCGCATTAAAGGAGTCATGAAACGCTTTTCCAACTTTTTCGTGTTTAGCTTTCCTCCTCAACTCATAAATCGCGCATTGTACCAAACAGTTCAAGAAGTCGGAAAGGGGTTTGTCCCCTCTTGCTCGGAATCTCGCTTTTGTAGCCGGACACAGCCATTGTCCCCCTAGAAGATTAGCCCGTCACTCAAAATTCCAACTAGTTGCTTTCCCCACCCCGTTCACCCCGAAGCTGACAGTGCTGTGGAAGCTACGTGCTCGTTGGGCCAGCCACACATTTTCCACATGATCACGTTCTCTCGCGCATACCGACCCGCAGAGAATGAGGTCAGGTGATGAAAGGGAGGCGGCTGATTGGTCCGGCAAGCGCGTAGGTTCCACCGCAATGTCAGCTTAGGGTTAAAGGGATTAAGTGAGGTCCGGTGTCGCGTGACGTGCGCTTGGGCCTGGTGACGCGCTGCGGGTGCCCGGTTATGGTGGCTAGTAGCCCGGTGACGCGCTGCGGGGTCCGCGGATGTATCACAGTGAAAAGGCGGAGAGTTTACGAAGGGAAGGAGGTATGAAATAGTCCGCTATGTTTTGCAAATTTTCGTTGCGAAAGTCAGGCTTCTGACTTTCTACCTTTGTTCTTTTGGCCCACTGAACGATGTGCTATTAGTAAAATCCCAATATAAATTGATTTACTCCAGCCCAAAATTTGTTTCATGGGTCCTTTAATGATGTTGTGCCATGTTGTGCTTGTCTTGAAACTTCTTGATGCAGTTACATTTCTTGGGAAACAAAATCAGTTATTTTTGGGGAGTGGGCGGCTATTTGTACTAACAATTTGTTGCTTTTGAAGGCAATGAATCTGGGCTTCTGTTTTGTGAACCTTTGAAGAGAGGTGCCTTTTTATTTTAAGCCTGAGCACGGCTGGGCTAGTATGAAAACTTGTACGGCCTTCACTTGAGGGGTAGTCTCTCCTTCCCACCGCAACTTGGTTGGATGGGTGCGACCTTGCCCCTTCGAGGGAACTTTAAGTCACTCTGAGGAAGTACCCCTGTTTCAGGGGTACCTCCTTAGAGAACGCAGCTTCTTCTTCGTCTTATCAAAAAACAATTTTCCATAAACGAGCATTTTTTTTATTGTAAGCCGAAAGTATTCCTATCGGTGCACTACAGTTGTTTTGTATGAGTACATTTGCGTACAATTTTAATCACGGTGGTTTGAACAGTCATTCAGGGTGGCTCGGGCAGTATTCGATGGGTTTGCAAGGTCGTGCTCTTGCGCGGTAGAAAAAGTCCCGTCATTTTTTAGCGAGAGCAAGGGCTGTAAGGGATGCCGCCGTCTAGCCTGGCCATGGTCTGAGCTTGTGGCCGTCTGTCCAGGATCTGAACAACCGGGAGAGCGGGGGCAGCCTGGACCCAATCCTGTCGACACGACGCTCCCTGCTGAGCAACCTGCCCCGCATCCTGGCTGCCCTGGTCACCGTCTGGGAGGCGGTCTCCCGGGACGACGGGGGGCCCCCCGCCGGCAGCGGGGCCAAACAGTCCCGGCTCTGGATCATGGGTGCGCCCAAGGTAAAATGAAATCGGCCATCTCTCCGGCATTTCTCGAAGGCGTTCCGAATGCGTAGCCTTAAGAACAACTTTGCCGACGTCCATCCGAAACTGCAGTCTGTCGCGCACGGTACACACTGCTCTGAACTGCCTGTAGGCCGCTAAATAAAAACCTGTTTACAGACTTGCATTTGCTTCGGACCGAGTTGTTCCGATCTCTTACGACGAGAGAGCACGCTGGCGCCATCTATGAGATGCCCCTGAAACTGCATTTCATTCGAGTAAAGTCTTTGCGGTATTTGCGAGATGAACTGTAAGTACTTTTTATGAGAAATGGTCATGTATAAGATTGCCAAAAGTTTTTTGAGCCAAGGAAGAACGAATGATGAGCGAAATAAATAGGAAATATAGAGAACTACCAATTGTTCACCGGCTATCCGATAGATGGCAGCACAGTGTTCTATCGTCGTAAGAGGTTTCAAGGATCACGGTCTTAGGCTGTCGCAAGTGCTTGAACGAGCCTTAAAGCAGACATGCAAAAGAAAAAACATTTTCTTTTTTAAGCAGCCTAAATAGAAAAAAAGCATTGTAAAACAAATTTACAAATAAAAAAAATAAAAAAAGTTTTAGAGCTATATATACGGGACGAAACGAATTTGTGATTGGCGCCCGCAGAAAAGTGGCTGTTACGGTCAAATGACTGGCCGATATGGTCACGTGGTGCTTGTGCTCTTTTTGGAGCTTCATATGGGCTCTAAAAGTGGCTTATTAATCTTTGTTTTAAGTGCAAAAAAAAAAAAAAAAAGATTAATACATACCTTTTAGAGCCGAAAGGAAGCTCCTGAGAGAGCGCAAGCACCACGTGATGGACCTTTTCGCCAATTAGAAATTGACGGCAGCGGCACGCCGGAGTGTTCCCTTCCGTCAACGACTGCGGCGGCGGCGGCGGCGTGTAAAAACGCGTTCAATTGGTGGCGCACCACACTCGGCGTGCGGCAGCGCACAGGTCTGCCACTTAACAGTGGTGGACCTGTGCCACTGTCATGTGTCCATTCGTTGTAGTTGGCTCCCATGGGTGCCAACTACAAATTCGTTTCGCACCGTAAGTATAGCTCTAAAAGTTTTTATTTTTTCATTGTAAATTTGTTTTATGACTTTCTTTTTTCCATCTAGGTTGTTTAAACAAATTTTTTTTTTTTTTCATTTGCATGTGTTCTTTTATGGCGACTGGCTTCGCGTCACTGCTGGACTCGGCAATCTCGTCTTGCCCCATGCATTCCTTCCTGCTCCCTCTTCACCTTGCTCCGCCCGCCATTGCTGCTTTGGTGGTGCACAAAGCCCGAACGCGAGAGCCTTTTTAGTATGTGTAGTCCGGTTTGCTGCTGCCTAGTTCCCATTGAGAAAAGTTCCCTCTCCGAGGGCAGTCAACGGTTGCGTGCACAGCGTGCCACGGGTGACCGCAAGCTCCGCGCTACACGTTGCGTTGAGGCTACATTCCAGGTTCGGACGTGAAAGTGCCATCAGCTGGCCCGATAACCGTAAAAAGAGCTAGGCTCGTCCAGTTGACTGCCGAAGCCTCTGATTGCGCAAGTTCCGAATGCAGCGGCAGTTTGCGTCGCTCGCCGCCACGTGCCAAGAACAGGCACTCTAAATCGCTACGACGAGCGGGTGTGTGGCATGCTCAGTTTGTATTTGACCTACAGAGCAGAAACTTTGGGTGCTTTCTAAAATCTAAGATCAACCGTACTGGCTCAGATCAGGTTCCTGAGTAATATCCAAGCTCGGTGCTGTTTGAGCGTAGGTTTTTATTTAGTTGTGATTGAGATCCCCAACATGTTCACGGCGGTTGGTTGATGAACCGCGTCTGTACGACATGTTGCAAGATACGACCCTAGCACATATGAGGTCGATAAAAAGTTTTCTCATAGGCTTACAGTGTGAAAAAGTTCTTGTATAAATAGGCTGAGATTAGGGGAAGTTTTAGATTACTAGTTGCTTCTGCTGAAAGATTTTTTTTTTTTTAAATGTATTATAAGAAAGCATTATGCAATCTTTAAAAAAAAAACATATCAAAATGTTTTTTTTAAGGTAGCACGAATCAAGCAGGAAGTTTCTTTTAATGCACAGAAATCATCTTTTTCTGCACACTTGCATTCCTCTTGCTGCTCTCTTTGTAATCTTAATGAATAATTTTGTTGTTCTTTTCGCAGAGTTTTGATCAACGAAGCTGGATACCCAGAGTCATACTAATAGGAATTTGGGTTTTGTTGTACTCAAACTGCGTAATCTGGCAAAGCCAAATCCAACTGCAGCTTCCTTGCAAGGGCACTCGGAGTGATCCAGTTGCTACATTTGCGCCATTTTGATAAATTCCCGCTTGCCTGCACCTTGCTGCGCCCAAAGGGAATACAGTAAAACCTCGTTATAACAAAACAGGATATAACAAATTAATGGATATAACAAAGCAATCATAATTCCCCTTGCTTGCTAATAGTGGGAAGAAATGGACATTGGCTATAACAAACTAATGGTTATAACGAAATAATTACGACCGCTCCTTCAACTTTGTTATAACGAGGTTTTACTGTAATTGCACCAAACTGCGCCAAGGCGAACATATCTGCGAACGAATTGGTTTTTGTAAGAGTTTGTTTTCGTCTGGCAACTGTGGGAATCCAGAGGGGTTTGGCCATCACAATCCGACCCAGGTTTCCGACTCCGCAGGATTGTTTCACAGGGTTCGCACCAATTTTACCGACATTCCTAACGCACCACAGTTTTAACCATTTTAATTGCATTTCGAAGCACACTACTGAAGATTAGCAAACACAAGTAATTCTTTTTTTTTCTGCGTGCTCATGTTCAGAAGCGTGGCACTGTTTTATGTGAATGTGCTCGCACATGCGGTTCCCATTTCATTAGCATGCTTGGTCGGGACTGCTTGGTTATGAATTGTTGCCTTTTTTAACGTCAAATGATCTGAATCCTTCATTGTATGACTTGTTAATATGTCTATACATTAGGGAAGTCCCAGAATATTTTTATTCATTATTTGCTTGTTTCACGTGATGAAACTTTGTATGGTGCTAATTTACCTCTCTATCTAGAGCAGGGTTCTCAAAACCCCGCCCACGGACACGCTCTGTCCGGCCCGCAGATGGCCGCGGTCTTTCCAGTGATGCCTAACTCGCGGCCAGGCGTCACTGGAAAGACCGCGGGAGAGGAGACCCTCACCAGCGTTCTTTCTGCAAAAGAGGGAAGAGGAGGGAAGAGCTTCCACTTTACTCTTAAACTGTCACCAACTATAGTACAGCATAACTGCTAAATTTGGGTTTTTAATGGGCATCACATAACTGATCGCATAAATGCATGCTGGTATCACTAATAGGGAACTGCACCGAATTGCTCCAAACTTACGTGTATGCTGCTCCAAAGCTACTTCAAAAAGCGACTTTTTCTGATACAAACATGGCTCCATAATGAGATTTTTTCTGCTCCAAAAATTGCTCCAAACTCAAAGCTGGCTGGACCACCACTGGGCACTGGCCACTCGTTTGGCTGAATTCCAGGTGGTGAAGCAGCACATCCTGAGTTTCCTGAGCCCCATCTCGCTGAGCTATGGTTCAAACTTTATGGCCGCCGTTGCGGTTGTCTGGTACGAGCGGAGAAAGAAGAATGCGGTCCCTCAACGTAAGGTGAGCAGCGGTGCTACCCTCTCCACGGCCTCTTCTGCATTATTAACGTGGGCTGCCTCTTTGATGATGATCCCATCCTTGCGCACTAAGCACATGGTTCCTTGGGTTCCATATGTGACGAGACACCAGGTCTCCTTGAGGAAGGAGTTCTTTCTTCTTGGAGTCTGAAAGGAGTGCACCCACGAAATCGTTTTTAAATAAGAAGAATCACACAGTAGCAGTAAACGTTTTTCAGGCGACAATATTTAGAAAATCATATGATCTGGGAAGACGGCATTGGAGCTATTCATTCTGTGTTGACTTTCATGACTGTAGAGAGCTACCGGATGTGTATTCAGACATAGTATGTCAATGGTTCTTTTTCTGGCACTGTTCAAAATTTGGGGTTGCCATATATCATATTTACACGATTGTAAGTCAACTCAATTGCAAATCAACCAAGCTAAACTTACATTGCACGTCAACAAAAAAAAAAAAAAAAGATATATATATTTTAGGGGCACATTTTACGGCAAACGCATGAGAAGGGCAGGGTGTCTCTTTCGAAAGCCCAGCCTCCAACACGCGCTCGATGCCTTCCAGTGTGCTTTGGCTTTGCACGCAGGCATGAGGCGCACGCGGTGCCCAATCGTTATCGAAGCTAGGAAGCGCATGCTGGAGGTGGGACAGCTGAAGCTGCTCCCTAGTCGTTCTCACTGTGTCTGTGAATAGAGACTATGATTCGTCCGCGCTTGTGCTGTCGCTCCCGTCGTCATCGCTGCTACGTTCACAAAGCACATCGTCGGCGTCATCCAACGAAATCTGGCACTTCGCAAATGATCGCACAAACCGCATCTTCTGTGCTTGCTCAGTGATCGCGTCGCACGTCACGGGTTGGGACCGATCGTGCACTTCTGCGCGTACGTTGCAAGCCTGACCTCTAACTCCGGGAGGCACCCAGACCTGTCCGGACTTTGTCCCGTGGAAGCCTCTTGTAGTTTGTCGTCATAGTTAAGATCATGCGCTGTTGAAGATGCCACTGCAGCACTGCCTGCTCCGACAGGTCTAACTTGCATCCAGCAGCGGAGTTGTGTATTGCTTTTGGATAAAGAATGGCCGAAGTGAGCACCAAAAATCTAAACTGCCTGGATCAAGCATGTCAATACAGAGAAACGTAGCTGGCACACCACCATGATCTCGACACTTGATCAAATAATGTGCGACCGTGAATCGTGATAAAAAAGCAGCAGGGAGTGAGGCTGAGTGAGGCTGTTCCAGTGGCCATTCCGGTGTGGCTCTTGGAGCAAGTGCCGCCACGCCCTGGAGTTGGGCGCGCCGTGTGCCGTTTACCGTCATGCATTTGGGCTGATTTGCAAATTGCCATCAGTGGTGCTAGCTTCCACAGATTAAAAAAAAAACCCGAGGTACACCTGAGCCCTTCTTATGAGTTGTGAATGCGAAATCCTGCATGCCGTTCCTCCGCTTCCTTATTTTGTCTGCGGCTTACTTGCGTCGACGGTCGTGTGCGCACGCGCTCTCCTCACCACGCTGACCTTGGGCGTGGAGCAGTGGAGCCGCTGCTTCGCTGACATGCAGCGCCATGGTGAGGCGCTAATTGAAGCTGACGCACGACGGCTTCATATCATTGCCATTTTGCATGGCTTTCTGCGTGGTTTCAAAGCTGGGATGCCTCAGATCACGGCTTCGGGAATTTATCTGCCATTCGGTGTGGCTGATGACGTTGGCTTGGTCCATGAAACAGTTACCGTATTTGCACGAATATAACGCAAGTTTTTTTTCGGGATTACGTGCTCCAAATTGCACCTCGCATTATATTCGGAATCGAGTTTAGCCACGAGGCGCATAAGTTTTGGGAAATCCAGAGGAGAAAGCCATTCCTCCTGCTCAATCCAGGAGATCGGGTGGGAAAAGAAGTTGGGGTGTGGGAGGGAATTTACTAGCTATTGGGTCATGTGAAGGGGCAAATAGAAAACATAAAAAAGCATTTTTATCGCTTTTGTGTTTGTACAACGCGCGCACGCCACAGAAACTTAGTCGCAAAAACTCAGCGCGCGCCATACGCGTGCGCTATGCGGGAATGCGGGCACTAGCCAATTCAAGCCAAGCCAGGCCAAGTCAACGCAAGCCAAGACGAGACCACCAACCGCGTTTGTGCAATCGTGCAACACGCAACACGAGGCGTTTGTTTATGTTGAGGGACCAGAAGAAGTGTATCAGGTTCAGCAGTATTTTTTCTGCCTGCGCTTTTTTTAGTTTCTGCTCCAGAGTGGTCTGGTGTTTGTGTGTTGGTGCTTCTGCTTTGTGCCTTGCTTAAATTGTAAGCTGCCGAGGAGCTCACGCTGAAGAAAAAGGAATTACCAGCCAAGCGGTGGGTGCCGTGCTGCTGCTTATCTGCATAGTTGCCAAGTGGATTGTAAACGGAAGGATCTGAGCAGTCAGGATGAGTGCAGTCAAAACATAAACTGATTTTTCTTCTATTTCCATTGACTTTTAACTTTTGCTATGTCCCCGAGTGCAAGAAATCGATGCAGCCTCGGCTCGCCTTATAATAGTAATAATTCTTTTTTTCTCTTTGAGGGCATCAAAACTTGCCCTCGCGTTATATTCGTGCAAATACAGTAATGCTTTTGCAATTAAAAAAAAGGGTCCTGTAAAATGAGTGCACGGAATGGCGGAACGCTACAGGTACAGCCGGCTGGACTCGTAACAAGCCAAGGTGTTCATGACATCACAATTGGTTTTGTTGGTGGAATGCTTTGGTTCGATTATAAGTCGACCCCCCCACTTCAGATTTTCAAAAATTGAAAAATGGGTCGACCTAAATTCATATAAATATGGTAATTATAGCTAAAGAACGTTGATCCACAAGAGTGAGCAATATTTTCAAGTTTATAGAGCTAGCCCAGATGCTCACCCAAGGCAGCCGCTGCTCCTAGCACGCCTTTGGGTAGCAGTGAAGCTCAATGCCTGTGCTAGTGCAGAGCTGTGAAGCTTGATGCTTCTGCTGTGCACTGTGCACAAACCCCGACTTGAACCAAAAATATAATAGCAGAACGAGGGAAAGTAAGCATCATAAAAGCGTGCACACATGCACCAAAGAGAGAGATAAAAAGATGGACGGGCAAAACTTGCCCCATCCTTCTTTTCAACCAGTTTGGCCTTTCTGGAAGGGCTATATTTTGGGATATATTACAATAATTAAGAAGATATTGTGACGCTTGCAGGCAAAAGCAGAGATATGCCAAGAACAAATGCAAAAACAGACAATGCTTGCTCTTTACAAAAGGCACAATAACAACAAAATATGAGGGTACCTAGAGAGGGGTGTTGGTACTTGTCAGCAGGTGGTCTTAAGGTGCACATCTTTTTTCTTCTGTGTCTGTGCACATTCTCGGTGCAGGTGATTCCCCAGTGGAGCCCCGACCAGTTGCTGCTGGTGGAACTGGTGTCTGCCATCAAGGTGCTTCCGATGGACAGCGTGGTCCAGGTGGTCAGGCAAGTCCTCCGCCAGCCACCGCCCACCAGCCACGACAAGAAGGTGGGCCCCTCCCCTTTTGTAGCGAAAGTTTGCAACAAACTCTTTTTGCAGATTAGTTGCAGATTTCTTCACTAATGTCTGTTTGTCTCCTGGGGTTGTGCAGCTAATGGATGGGTTCATAAACACGTCTTGAATTACCGAGAGGCCCATAATAATGTTTTCATGTTACGTGGAAAAAAGAAATTTGTACTTCAAGATTTTCACAAGTTTTCATAGTAGTGGCATATATGTGTGTGTTTCTGGTGCTGTAGCAAACGTCTCACTTATACAGGAAGAAGGTGGGGCTAAACATGACATGAGTGCTTGTAGTGAAGCCAACGCGGCAGCTACCTTTAAAACAGCTGCTGCAGTGGTTTCACAACAAGCAATGATGTCGAGTTTAGCTCATAGCTTCTTTCTCCTCCCTGAGCCACGGCATTAACTAATTGCTTAGTTTGTCTGGTTGGAGTAAATAAGCATTGCACATAGTATATATTTCCAACTAAAACGTTACGGAGTTCCAAATAAGTGAGCCACGACCTGAGAATGCACTTAGGTATGTTATTGCGGTGTCCAGTGGGCTTGCCCATTAAAATTGTTTCAAAGCTTTTGGGCAGGAAGCATAAGGGCTGTTTTTTTTTTTTGTTTTTTTTTCAGTTTTTTTTTAACCACTGATGGACTGACAAGAGTGATGAAAAATGTTTTATTATGTGCAAACTTTAGATATATGCTCTAGCTGGTTTTCCACATAATCACCGCTTAGATTTAGGCATTTTTCATGACATGGCGCAAGATTTTGGATGCCCCCCCCCCCCTCAAAGAAGGTTGCTGCCTGTGTGCTTAGTCATTCCATCACACGTTGACAAGATCATCAGCCACCACAAACGTGCGACTTTTAGGGTTGTGCAGATATTTGAATTTTCTCATAGTAGTTTCGCATAGAACGCTATTCAATGTTCGCTTCAAGGTGAACTGAGATATTCATACTTTTCGAAGTTTTACCTAATCGCGGCAGGTTAGCCCCGTTGAGTGCGCTTCTTTCCGAGCACCTGTGCACTGCGGGGAAACAATATAAACGGAGCTCGCGGGCTCCGCGGGTAATGTCTCCCCGCAGTGCACAGATGCTTGGGGAGAAGTGCACTCAACGGGACTAAGCCGCCGCTGTTATGCAAGAGTATGTGTTAGGCACGAATATCTTGACAACCCGCATTCATCACACGTGCTTGTTTTTCTTTTTAGAGCGCAGCTCTTAGGGGCCTGTTTCCGGCTTGAGCGGCGTCGGCGTCGCCGTCGCCGTCGCCGTCGGCGTCGGCGTAACCGCGCGGTGCATCATGGGAAATATCCCATAATGCACCGCGCGAGCCCCCCACCGGGGTCACGTGACTTCGTGGGGAGGCACGTGACCCCCCCGAGGTCACGTGACCCCCCGAAGTCACGTGACTCCCCTGAGGTCATGTGGCCCCCTCCTCGAGGTCACGTGACCCAATCCTTGAGGTCACGTGACCCCCCGAGGTCACGTGACCCCCGCCGATGTCGCGTGACCCCCCGATGACGTCATCGACACTGATGACGTCACCGGCATCCACATCGTCATCGTCATCATCAGTGATGATGATGACGATGCGGATGCCGGTGACGTCATCAGTGATGATGACGATGTGGATGCCGGTGACGTCATCAGTGATGATGACATCAATGATGATGACGTCATCAGTGACGATGACGATGTGGATGCCGGTGACGTCATCAGTGATGATGACGATGACGATGTGGATGCCGGTGACGTCATCAGTGATGACGTCATCAGTGATGATGACGATGACGATGCGGATGCCGGTGACGTCATCAGTGATGATGACAATGACGATGTGGATGCCGGTGACGTCATCAGTGATGATGACGATGACGATGTGGATGCCGGTGACATCATCAGTGATGATGACGATGACGATGTGGATGCCGGTGACGTTACCGACATCCGCATCGTCATCGTCATCATCACTGATGACGTCATCAGTGACGTCACTGATGTCGTCACCGGCATCCGCATCGTCATCATTACTGATGACGTCGTCAGCGACGTCACTGATGACGTCACCGACATTCGCATCGTCATCGTCATCATCACTGGTGAAGTCATCAGTGACGTCACTAATGACGTCATCAGTGACGTCAGTGATGACATCATCGGCATTGGGGGTCACGTGACCCCCCAAGGTCACGTGACCCCCCCCTGGTTAGTCTAACCCCCCCCCCCCAGCGCCCTTCCTTCCTCCTCCTCAAGAGCTGCGCTCCAATTCGGCGTTACAGGGAGTTGTAAGCGGCTTTCACTTTTTTTTGGTCAAGTTTAAATTTGAAGAAAGTGTATTTGCACACAAGAAACAGATTTATAAAATCTCGGTTGAGATAGCTGTGACAAATTCGTCGCTTACGTGCCACAGTTCGTAAATATAGTTATATTAAAATTAACTGAGCTTAGAAGTGGACAAGTGGAAGGTTGGGAACAACCTTGACAAGTTCAGCCTAATTTTCGTTTAAGTATGGTGTACGGTTGTGAAGGGCTTGTAAAAACTGTCTATTATTCTCTATGTAAATATTCACCCCAAACCAGAATTTGCTTCGAACTCGAAATCTACTAAATATTTTGTATGGAAGAAATGGCACAAAGTTTGGGGCAGGGAGAACAGACGATGTCCATGATGATGGAGGTGTAGAAGAGCGTTGGTGGCGACTGACGGTCTTGTTGAACGCGTGGTGGAATGACCAAGAGCCCAGGCGACAGCCTTCTCAGAGGAGTGCATTCACAAGTTTTTGCCACTTATGATAACAGCTTAAATCTGTGCAAAGACTAAGGGGTGACGTAGCTACAGTACGTACCTAAATTCGGCGTATATTGAAAATTTTTTCATCACTCCTGTCTTTATAACGCAGAATGTGTTTTGCGAGTCGTTTTCATAGAAAAGGGCTCGCAAAACCCCCTCTTGTCCTTTTTCTCCTCCCCTCCTCTTCCTCCTCCTCCATAACCTCCTCCTAAATTTAGCTGGAAAATTGATGCCACATTACCTGAACTGCAATTCAGTTTCCCCGCTAAATTTAGCAGGGAAAATGATATCACACGACTTCATGGCACGTCACCTACGAACAAAGTCAGTTTCTCCGCTAGTTTTAGCAGGATAAGTGACGTCGCGTGACCTCAACACCAATTCAATTCTCCGCTAATGTTAGCGGGGAAACTGAATTGGTGTTCTGGTCATACGATGTCAATTTTACCGCTAAATTGAGTAAGGAAACTGAATGTGCAGTGTTGCATTATAGGATGTCAGAGACCTACATACCAATTCAGTTTGTTTGCTAAATTTAGCAGGGAATTGAATTTGTGTGTAGGTCTGTGACGTCCCATATAGCAAAGCGCGTGTTCAAGCCGATGGCGACGCCGCGAAACACAGGAACAAGCGCCTAAAAGCAGCGCTCTGAAAAAAAAAAAAAAACAGGCAAAAAAAAAACAGGTTATCGTACATGGGAGTCGCGACAAGGACGTCGGTGCTTGCTCTAACACTTCCTGACATGTGGTTTTCTCCCTTTGGGTTGCAGAAGCGTGTGCCGCTGGAGGTGAGCGTGCTGCAGTTCTTCCTGGCGTACGTACAGCACACCCCGGGCACCCAGCTGCTGGAGTCATGGAGCGCCCTGCTGGGGCTCTGGAAGGACGGCCTGCAGCTCACCGCCCTGCCCCTCGTACAGTTCCACCTGCTTGGGTGGGCCCACTCTCCCTACTAAAATAATTTCTAAAGGACTACCTCCACCAGATACAGGACATACTGCTTGCCGGTCTTATCGCAGCCCGGAAGATGGCGTAACTTTAATCGTGTGTATTATATTTTCCAGTCTGCAAGTTGCACTGTTGTGTGAGTCACACTTACCCATGAATGGAAACTTTTACAAAAAATGTTGGTTTATAAGTCACCTTTTTGTACAGTTGGCGCATCACACAAGAATTACAACTCCTGCGGCAAACTTGCGCATTTAGGGTTCATACTTTGTTCAAAAATAAAGTCCGCGTAAGTCACACCAGTGTACATGCCGCACCGAAAAAAATTCGGAAGTACAAAATGACACTTGTACGCCAGAAAATACGGAGCCCAAACTTCGGAACCATAATAAAGAAGATTTAGGTGCAGAATTAAGCGAAGCTTAATTTTCCTCACTCAATTACAATTGATGTTACGTAAAAAGCGTGCGCCTTGATAGAGGGTCAATTTTTCGCTTTGTGGTTGGATTAAAAAGAGAGGGAAAGTAGGGCATTTATGAACTTCATTCTTAGGACAGTGAAGTGATGTTTTGTGAATGATTTGATTGCTGTCTCGTGCCAGGTTGTTTGGTTTCTAAGTATGAGGCTCATCTTGGGCTAGAGTTGTCCTTTGAAAACTTTTTTTTTTTTTGTTACCACATTAGCTTTGCAAATTAAGGCTGGCACTACCTTTAAGCGGTTAAAGTCGCACTCGACGAGGCACGTAACAGAATTTCGATGGGCGTTTTAGTGCTTTATTGTGGGGCACTTCAACATCACTCTCTTGGTTAGCCCTCTTTTTATCCTTCTCATCCGAGCATGTTTATTCCCATGCTACTAGCCTTGAAGTTCAACTAAGATGTTGCGAGGTTGGGAAGTATGTGATATGTTGACGAGTGAGTGTAACTCAGTGTTTAGAACTCGCAAACATATGTCTGGTAGCGTTCACCAATCACTTTTAAGCGCGCCCGGCCTGCCCCCTCATTCACGACACATACATCACGGGCCTTGCAGCTCACTGCACGATGCCTCACGAAATAACTGTGTCAAATTTGTAAGGCTACCAATCTGAATACTTTCCCATTTGCAAAGCAGTTGGGTCCATCTATTTTAGATGCCACTTTTCTGTACTTGCGGTGGAGCATATATTTCTAAGGGATACATTACATCTTGTTACGGAAACTACTATTCTCATAGCTTGAACACCTCTGCAGATGCTTATGTGTTTTCGCTAAAGTCGTCAGTGAAGATAGGGTGAAGCAAGTTACACGCACAGAAATTTGAAAATTGCAAAAATATTTACTGACCGTTTTTGTGGCTGCACACCAGATGTCAGCCTGTGCACATTCTTTGCCAGTCTTTCTCTGGCTTTCTCTCGGGAAATTTTGCTGCTCTAAGATAGACGAACAAACCTTTAAACTGAGTTTTGAGTGTGACACCCTGTTTTGAATCTTTCCAGGCTCCTGAACGAGTTTGTTCAAAGGGCTCCTCTTCTCGAGGACAAGAAGGACCAGAAGGACTTGCAGGTGAGCAACTTCTGGGCCTAGTGTGCACAGTGTTCTTTACAAGGTCCATAGGTGTTTTTATCGTTTTATTGCATAAATGCCGAGATCGAAAGGTGCTCCTTGACTATCAATCGAGAAAATTGTGCATTTCTTGAGGTCAGAAAGTTTGAGAACCTCTGTTGTGGACGTCTGCACACTACTGTTGTTTCGTCCAGGACATCACTCAGAAGGTGATTGAGGCCTGCAGCACTGTGGCCAGCGCCTGCCTGGAGCAGACGACATGGCTTCGCCGGAACCTGGCCGTTCGGCCGGGACCCCAGCCCGACATTCTGGGTAGCGATGCCGATCCTGAAGGCATGTGGCTTATCACTTCATCCGAACCCTAGGAATCAATATATGGTCGCCGGATTTTCGGAAAAAAACATACCGTAAACTACTTTGGGCTCAATATTTCGTTAATTTTGTGAAATGTTGACATCGGGAATATTTTATGGGCGCAATGTTTTGCGATTTAGAATGATATGCTCCGTTTTTGTGACCAAGGGGCGGTACGTCCGTGCGGTCAATTTTACGTAATATTTTTCTGGTGGCCAAATTTGCGAAAGTGAGGTCTGCAGGAAAATTAAATAATTTATTGTAATTTATTTCCTCTGTTAGCATTGTTTTGTAATTAAAATTTATGCTTATAGTTCTCTAGGGTATATTATCTGAAATATGCTAATATTGCAGAGAGTTTTGTCATATGTGAGAGGACGTTGTATATTCTTTAGTTTGCATATAAGGCAGTTGCAATGTGCAGTGTGCAATATGCATTGTTAATTTACAAAATTTGCAAAAAAATTAAAGACGATTACAACTCCCTCTAATGCCGAATTAGAGCACAGCTTTTGAGAAGGAGAAGGGGAGGGTACAGAGAGGAAGGTATGGCCCTCCTCCTCTCCTCTCCTCCCCCCCCCCCCCCCCCGCAGGCAGCTTCACATGACCTTCACTATGAAGGTCGTGACCTTCGTTGTGACCCTCACTGTGAAGGTCGTGACCTTCGTTGTCACCTTCACGAGTGACCTTCATGACATCACTAGTGACCCTCGTGACGTCACGTGTGACGTCATTATGGGAAACGTCCCATAATGCAATGCGCGGCTACGGTGACGCCGCTCAAACCGGAAACGGGCGCCTAAGAGCTGTGGCTTAAAATAAAAGGGCAAGATATGCTTGAAAGGTGCTACCCTTTTTTTTACTTTTAAGTAGAACAGCTAACCAATGAACCGGTCACTTGAATATTATTCCAGGCAGTGAACCAGGCAAATAGACAAGTCCTTACTATAATACAAATTAAAGGAGAGCAACTTAAAGAACCTAACTAACCAGCACGCTGTCGAGTTCCTAAACCGTGATTTTCACTTTTTCAGTAGACCCGACCTCGAGCACAGACACTCGCATGCTCACAAATGGGGATGGCAGTGAGTCGCCACCTTCAACGTCGAATTTCGCCACGTCGTCACATGCGCAGTACAGCGTGCAGGCACTGTCAGTGTTGGCTGAGGTATGGCTCTGCTTTGGTGGCCTCCTGCGCAATTCACTTTCTCCCTACTTGCCCTCTCGTTCCTAAAGCTTGTTTCGTTTGTGCCCAGTTCCTGGCACCAGTCCTTGATGTGGTGTACGTGAGTGAGGAGAAGGAGAAGGTGGTTCCCCTGCTGAGCAGCATCATGTGCTACGTCACGCCGTACCTCAGGAATCGCAGGTGAGCTCATAAGGCCTGGCATGCATTTTTTTGCAAAAAAAAAAAATAAAAATAAAACGGAAAGGTGCCTTTTGTTTACAACATGCGAAGAAATAAAAGTGATAGCTGTTTGTTGCCGTGTACACGCGTCTGCCTCTTGCTGTCGTACCTCGGGATCCTCACTGTCCTCGTGGTGCCCCATACGTGTGGCACGGGTGGCCAGTGTGAGCGCGACACCGGTCACGAGCCACGGAAGCCAGCCGTTCCCTCCACGCTTGCTCCTGGGACGAAGTGTGGCCTTGTCACAAAAATGCCATTAGGAAGGGTGTGAGGCAGTGATGACGCAGGTGGAGCTGTGGGTTCTCCTGGCGTTGTTAAAGGCCGACGTACAACCTCGGGTTTCTGCAGGGAAGATAATCCTCTTAGCGATCCCCCTCTCCTAAGCTTTGAGGGGAGCCAAGTTGGAGCAAGGTAAAAAGTGGAGAGGATATAGGAAAGGAGGAGGCGGTCAAAAGGGGAAAGCGTGAAGTGTATGTCGGCCTTTAAGCAGTGAAAGTGGGGGGGTGATGTTGATGTTCAGCAAAAAGAGGAGAGTGGGACGCTTGCAGAGAAAGGAGGCTGAGCTCTGATGGGGAGGCAGGTGAAAGGTGACGAGTTTTGGCAACACATATTTTACTTTTCAAGTTGAGTTCAAGAAGTAGAGACTTTCTAGCGAGATCGAGTGCAGTGGGGGACGTTTCTAAAACCCTCAAAACATTTCGCTTAGCAACTGTGTACTGCCAAAGTGGGATTTCGTATAATGTGAGCGATGTTTGAAAACGCCTGTTTTGACGCCCTGTTTTAGCGGCAGCAGGGGAAGACGCCCTGCCAGCTCCGCGGACGCGTCCTCGTTGTCACGCCCTCTTTCCTCTTCACACGGTGCGGACAATGGGAACACCCGACTTCTCCCTGCTCATGCCATGGGGGGAAAGAAGGGTTTTTCCATCTCCGGTCTGACAACGGACAACAAACGCCAACACCGAAATCCCCGCAAAGCGTCACCCGTAAAGCCGCCGCTTTAATGGTACGTTTACACCTGAGAAGAAATCCGCTCCTGGCGGCGGCGGCGACGAGCGGGTTGCGTTTACATCTATTGCCTTCAAGCAACGGCGGCAGCGCCCGCTGTGGCGGCTGTTCTCGTAACATCTTGTCAAATATGACGAGAAGGCGCAAGAGTTCCCATCTCGGCTGTCTCTTCCGGGTGTTGCTGCTTATGGAAGTTGCTGCTCCCGGAAAAGCGTACTGATGACGTAGGCAGCGTCGCGCTGCGCAAGAATGTCGCATCCGGTCAGCGAAACGCCTCGTTCGGCAGCAGAAACAGGCCCTGGACCTATACGGCTCGCCGCCGCTTTTTCCACCCAGCGTTTCGCCCCAGCGGCAGAAGTTGGGTGGATTCGCTGGCGGATCCGCAAATGTAAACGTACCAGAAGAGGTAAACCGGGCGTCGTGGATGTTTATGCGACGAGGGATTTGTCTGCCCTTGAGATTTTGTGACTGCGGTTTAATCTTGCCAAAGAGCAAATTACGGTGCAGTAGGGTAACATTTTTATAGCAAACATTATGCTACCTTTTTGTTTACATTCTGACGTTTGGATATTGAATCGCATTGTTCAAATTGTTTGTAGTGGCGCAAATTCTTGTTGCATTCTCTGTGTTTTTTTGTTGTTTTTTTTCATTTTTGCAAAGTGCTAAGCGATTAGTTAATTGCATATACTTTGCACAGACTTCCTTGTCGCTCTACTGCTGCAGGGTCAAGAGCTCACAAAGCAGTCTAGTCTCTCTTGTTTTCTCGGTCATCACCATGTACCTTAAATGGGAATAAATTGTATTATTGTACACAATGTAGATTAAACAGTGCAAAAAGCACGAACAGAGGGGAAGAAACAAGCAGCACAGGACGAGCGCTGACTTGCAACTGAAGGTCTATCAGTAATTTATTGTGGTGCAATAGGGTGGCTAGCAACCTTCAGTTGCAAGTCGGCGCTTGTCCTGTTACTTGTTTCTTACCGCCCCCCCTCCGTCCGTGTTCCTCGCACTGCTTCAATCACGTCATGTATAACAAATACCGACTAGCACAGTTCTTGACCTGATTGCCCTATTATTGTTATTATCATTATTACATACTGGCGATCGGTGCAGGGTGAAAGGCACAAAGTTGGTGAAGGCAGTGTTGCAGAGCGGGGCGACTTTTGACGAGGGGGTCTCCCGCGGTGCAGGCTGCACAACGTTCCCAGCTTCCGGGCCTGCTCCCAGCTGGTGTCGAGCCTGTCGAGCTACCAGTACACCCGCAAGGCCTGGAAGCGGGACGCCCTGGAGCTGCTGCTGGACGCCGCCTTCTTCCAGATGGACCAGCCCTGCATGGCACACTGGCGCTCTATTGTAGACCACCTCATGACCCACGACAAGACCACCTTCAGGGACTTCCTCGGTGAGTCGAAATCAACTGGTGGGCTGGTTGGTTAAGCCGTGGTCACACCGCTCGGTCTTCGTACAAGAGACCCAGTGTGTCCCGCAGACACGTTGACAGAATTAGCTGCGGTCATGCTTCACGCATCTTCGAAGCATGTTTACTTCATTTTCCCATTGAAAATTTCAGAAAATCACTCGTAACTTTTGATTAAGATGACGGTTAGTTCTGAAACTTTGGCATTTGGTTCGGACTGCTAGCGCTACAGTTGGATGGATAATGAGTGTTCGGCGACGCATGGTTTATTTCTGCAGTGAGAAGAACCCTGTAAATAATTTTTGGGACACCCTTTCGTTAATTAAAGGAAGGTCCATTGGTGGATCCTTAGGCAATGCGTTAGCGTGACTCTTGGGAAAGGCCACACATGTCCCCCTTTGGGAGACGCTAATGCTGACCCCTTCACTTTTCGGTTTTGGCTTTTACTTTTGGCTTTTTCTCTTTTGCTTCCTCTATTTTTTGCTGCCTCTTTTTGGCTTCGTTTAAGGGGTCAGTGTTGGCGTTTTCCAAAGGGCGTGTGGCATTCACCAAGGGTCATGCTAACGCATTCCCTGAGGATCCACCAATAGATCTTCATTTAATTTTTTCCGGCGAAGCGGGGTCTTGGTGCTTGATTCACCCCGGTTTCTGTCGTACGCAGACCCACGTCAATTTTCCGCTTGTTGCGCCGCATTTCGGCCAGCCGAGCTAGGCACTGCTTCTTCTCTGTCTCGTTCGCCCGCCTGGCATGCTTAGCAGCGGCATCCGCTGCCTGATGCTGCTTTCGCTGTTCACCAATTTCTCGCATGCTCTGTGACATTGCCTCCCTCTCGCCTTTGTCCTTCATTACTTTCCTCCTCTGTACGCGGCGCGCTTTTCTTTCCACTGTTTTGTCTGCAGACGAACGGCGTGAGCTTTTCCCTGTCGTGTGGGTACTAAAGCTAATGAACTGCGATATTCATACCTTCCAAAGCGTTGATCGCGGCGGATTAGCCCCGTTGAGTGCGCTTCTCACCGAGCAGCTGTGCGCTGCCGGGAAGCAATACCCGCGGAACTCGCAGGCTATGCGGGTTTTGCTACCTTGCAGTATTAAGGGCTCGATGAGAAGCGCACTCAACGGGGCTAACCCACCGCGATTATGCAAGAGTATACGTTGCTTGCACGTGACGTCAGTCCGCCCTTTTTGGTGGCTAGAAATGCCTCGTTAACGCAGCGGAAGCTACGCTCTTGCGTGCCCTCTCTCTCGAATCCGCCGCTCTTTCTGGTGGCAAGAATCGTCTCTTTAATGCATTGGAAGCGAGCCTTTCACGTGCCCCTTCCCCCATTATGTCTGACCAAGTGACATTAGTGCAAGCTGTGTATGTTTTAGGCAGCTTTATCTTGACAACCTGTGTTCATCTTTCGTGCTTGACTTTTTTTTTGCCAAATTTGAAATTGAAGAAAGAATATTTGCATATATTAAGCAGATTTATAAATCCCCTCGATTAGGGTAGCTGTGACAAATTTGTTGTTTACATGCGTTCGTAAATATAATATAATAAATATAAATTAAATATAATGAATATAACATTAACTGAGCTTAGGAGAGGACAAGTGGAAGGTTAGGAACAATCCTCACGAGTTCAGCTGAATATTTCTTAAAGCATCGTGCACGATAGCGAAGGGCTTGAGGAAACTATTCAACATTCGTTTCAAAAATATTCTACCAAAATCACTATTCACTTTGAATTCGCTTCGACCTTAAAATCCACAATTTGTACATGCCTATACATTATACAAATATTGCTAAACTTGGTCAAAGAAATCAAAATTAAGATGGGTTGATTATTCATTTTCACTCAAGTTTTATAAATGCCCTCTTGAATCAGCTGTTGCCTCCAGTGTGGCTACCTTTGATATTTTCCTCGCTGCTCTATCCCCGTACAAGATTGACGGTTCACTCCAAGTTCCACACAGTACTTTTCCGGTATCCTTCCAGCACGTTTTGCAGTAACGCAGAGCGGCTCGCTGAACATCTTCAGCAGCAAGGAGCAAGAATACGAATCTCGTGCTCAGCTGCTGAAGCGACTAGCCTTTATCCTCTTCTGCAGCGAGCCAGACCAATACCAGCGCTACATGCCCGACATTCAGGGTAAGGAGCTTGGCCGAGGGAGGTGTTGCATTAACAGAAAGTGTGGGTAGCGTTACCGGTAATAAAATGTCTAGAAGCCTCAAAGAAGCTTGGCCTTTTAGTGAAATGTCAGCAGGGGTTCTTTTAAGCTCTTTTAAGACTTTAAGCTTAACAGTTTCAGTTTTAATGTATAAAATGACCCAGGAGTCGTACAGCTGAATTGTTTCTCGCTCTGAAGAATATGATTGTTGTTTCACAAAGGTTGCAGAATATGATTGTTGTTTTGCAAAGGTTGCAGTACATGTTGTGTAGTGCTCGAACTAAAAATTGCGTGTCTCTGTTTTGCTTTAATATTTTAGAGCATATGTTTCCAACTTTTTCAGTTCAAGGAATGTCTATTTCTCCTAATTTGTAGCCTGGAAACTCCTTCCGGTTTTGGCATTGATGCTGTAAATCAGTGCAGAAGCTTACAAACCTTGTAAATAACACATACTGGGGAGGGTTTGGCACATGCAGTACCTAATTATGCATAAATGGATGCTTCAGAATTTCTAGAATGCCACTTAAACCAAGAAAGGAACTTTACTTAGTGGCAGTGACGGCTAAGAAAACTATTTTGGGAAATACATGGGTACCTAGGAGCCTAGTTTGAGAATCGGGGGTGGCGAGGCTTACCGAGCTCCGAAATTTCCTTGTCCGTAAATTGTCTTCTCAGTTTGAGCACTATTTGAGAAAATCTGGGCCATCCATTGATGCATAACTATGTGGAAAACATTCCTTAGTATGTGCATTTATCTTTACATGGTCTGTGGGCTTCCTTCACTTCATCAATGTCGAGACCGGGAGTATAGTCCCTCGCTGCCATCCGAGAGAGACAGACCTTCCTTGAGATTAAAGAAATTGAGAACCCTAAAGGAAGAGGATAGGCGAATGTAATGAAGGCTGTGGGAGTTGCTGTCCTGTGCTCTTACGTTTGAACTGTGCATACGAGCTTGCCGTGGCCAACCACCCTCGTCTGGACCTCCGCAGAGCGCCTGGCCGAGAGCCTGAAGCTGAGCCACGTGCCTGCAGTGCAGGCGCAGGTGTTCCTCTGCTTCAGGGTCCTCCTGCTGCGCATGTCTCCGCACCAGGTGACTTCACTGTGGCCGGGAATCATCACTGAGCTGGTGAGTGCCTTAGGCCCTTGCACAATGATCCGTGTGCTCTGATACGGTTATGACTTGTTGGGGTTGCATTGCAAAGCCATCCTCTTTTTTGAGGTGGAGGTTTACTCGAGTTAGTTCTTGGGAGACATCAAAAAGGAATGGTAACTCGATTCCTTGTTGGAAAAGGGATGGTAACTCGAGATATCAAGAATGGTAACTCGAACTCCAAAGGAAAAGCTTTTGGAGGATAAGGTTGATTGATTCCCTTTACCTTCTTATTAGGGCGTGGCACTATGGCCTCAGGGGAGAAGGGTATTAGGGGGAGGAAGAGTATGGTAGGATAAATATATGAAATAACAAACTTTTGTCTTTTAGATACATTGCTAGGACTACCATATTCTGTTCCTATAACCTGAAAGTGTAAGCAACATGTCAGCAGATTAGTTGTTTGGTCGTTGTCAGATGGACTTGAGAAATAAAAGGTTGCGAGCCACCTTTGTATGACGGGTTGGAGCTTTGAGAGTAGATATGTTTTTTTTTTTCAAACGCGTATATTAAACTATACATTAAACTACTATACACATTTGACTTGCACGGTGGATCCTTACCTAAACACTTTTTGGAGTCTGTCATGGAACTATGGAACATGGCACGTGTTGAATGATAAGAACTTTTGCAACTTGAACACCCCGAACAAGAACCATGGATGTTGAAGTTGGAAAGGTTTATCGACAGTTAACCTTGGTCCACATGTTGGGATGGATCCTTTTTGTTACCAACCAACTGCTTTTTCCAGAGGTGGCCATTGGTCACTTTTCTTGCCCACACTTAACGGGCTTGTTTTTATCTTGGATACTTTGAGGATACTTGAGGATTGCAGAGACAGTGAAATAGCCAAATGACCTCGGACTCTCTAATCCCAAAACATTGTGTGTGTGTGTGTGTGTGTGTTTGCACGCATGTACTTGTGTGCATGTGTGGGGGTAAAATGTGTTTTTTTAAACACACTCGTGTTTGAATTTTTGTTTTTGGAAACATGTAAAAACCCCGCCTTTCAAAGATTTTTGTTATTTTTTTTTTATGGAATGTTTTGTTCAAGCATACAATGATGACAAAGTTTATTTCAGAAAAGGGTATGCTTTGCTCCCACTTTTAAAGGTACAAGCATTTCTACAGATTGAGCAGGAACTATCAACAGACTCTGAAGCATTTGGGTGAGTTCTAGTATTTTTCTAAATTTTTCTTCTGTAGCTTAGAAAATAATAGCTAAGATAAGGTGACACATATATGATATGTAGCTTATGTCATTCACATTTTTCTTTCATTGCTATACTTTTTGTGTCAAAGCTTAACTATTTTTCATGGTCGGTACTGTCATGGCTAATTTGTGAAGTTTGAGTAGGATGTTACAGGAGGTGGTTAGAACTTTCGTTGCCTTCTGAATTGAAAGGTTATGCTTCTCCTTGCTCTAGGCACTGTAGGAGCTAATAACTCTTTTCCTGATAAGGAGTGTTTCATTGGGCAGTTTTTGGTAAATATATTTCTAAAGAGAATATACATGCCCAATACTGATTGCTGGCCAAGAGTCACTAAAGTGTAGCTTTCTGCAGACAAAATATGTCATCATCCTTAGAGCACTTTTCTCAAGTCTTAGTGTGTATGCGGGCGAGTGCTTGATGGATGAAGGGTTCTGTGTTAGTTTACAAAGTTTTCAACACTGTTTTTTATATTGAAAAACATCCTAAAAGTGCAAGCTACCTTTTTATCTTACTTTATATTACAATTTTTCTGCCTCTTTTTGAAGCTAGGACATGCTATGATTTGTGGGCTTTAGACGCAGCCTGGTGACAAATTTTCAATGTTTCACTTTTATCGTCCACCTTTGACAAGCACTAACACCCGTTATCTTTCTCTTACCTTGAAACTCGAATGTGTTAGTACTGATTAACATTAATACTACAGAAGGAGTGGGACAGACTAATGGGACTAACGAGTTCTCGTGTGTTGTCTTGTTCTTAATGCTTTGGACGGTGGCGGACTCCACACTTGAAGCAAACGGAATCCCAGGTATCCAAACATGCAACCTTTCTCATTGCACTTGGGGATGGGATGGCTGCCAGCATTAGAGCTTGAAAGTTGCTTTATAATGCACGAAGGCTAGTCTTGCTGCCTTTCTTTGTGGAATTAAGAGCTATTCTGGTCAAGGCATTGGTTGTAAAAATATGACAGCAATAACAGTGATTTGTTGACTGCACTAAGGTAGAGGCCCGCTGCAGGGATTGCACCTCTAGGCTGTGTTCTGCACTGCTAATTCATAACTGTTTTGCCTGCACACACGCATGCATGCTGTCTCCCATTGTGTTTGCAGTTGGTTTTCAATCCTTTTAATGTGAAAGCATTAACTATCTCATGAAGCGGAGCCGGCAGTGTCTGTTACCGCAAGAAAACGGGAAAGAAATGCCATTGGCTGAGCAAAACAGCTCCTAGATAGCCATTGGCGGTCGCTTCACGAGAGCGCGCGCTCGGCAACCTTGGCAGTAGGGAAACGTGGTTGTCCATGCCAGTACACCGCAGACGAACTAACGGAGCGGAAGAATGACGTTCATGCTTGTGCATTCACAACTCGTAAGAAGTGCTTAGGTGTCCTTGTAATCTTTTTGATCTCGGGAGACATTTAGGGATGCATGCGCAACAGTATGGGTAAAATTATAAAGCAGTTATGAGAGCATTTTTGTTTACATAGGTTAAATTTGTGCTGCCTGTATAGGTATAAACAGTTGTCAGATTGTTTATATGGATGTGTAGACAGTTTGTAGTTAGTAGTAGTCTGTCTTGAAGGGTGCCCATTTATGTCTTAGCTATTGAGGGGCATTGTGATGAGTGTGGTACGTCTGCCGACACGAGTCCTTTAGCCTTCATCATGCAGCAGTAATCACCCTATAATTTGCGTGCCATTGTAGTGCCCGAATTATAGGCCTATGTAGGCATTGACTCATGCTTCATGCAAAGTTTTGAAGATACCGACGCTTCAGCTTGAGCATGTTGAAGCGCATAAAATATGTGACCGTAGCTTTTTGTTTTTTGTCAGTCTTAGCATTGAAGGGCACTGATGGGTGGGCACAGTCGAGTTCCATCAAATTTACAGTGAACCAACTAGGATCAACACAACAGCATACTTATCAATTTACTCTGTCAACATCACAATGTATACTCATCAATTTATTCAGTGGGCGAAGGAGCCAGTAACACGCTAGGCAAAGGATCCTAAATGCTATCGCATTACATCTCTTGTGACAGCGGCTAGAGAGAAGGCATACTTTTTTTTTTTCCTTTTGCTTCACTGTAGCCGTTTGCTTTCTATTTGCACAAGTGCCATTGAAACTCTGTAAAGCCTGCTGAGCACTTTTTAGAAAAAAAAAATCTATGCATGTGCTAAACAGATCTAAGCTACTGGTAACATTTTGCATTCGAGGAAAGAACATACCAGCTTTGCATTCTTTCGAGTGTGAGCTCGTTCGAAGTTGCGACGCGACGAGCGTGTCCGACATTGGCGTGGATCTGTTTTTAATTCATTTCTTTTATGCTATAGTCACTGACAAACTGAGAATGGTAGGGCATGTCTCATCCTGGAGGCGGGAGAGCTTAAACTCCTCCCTGCCATTCCCGCCTTATCAGTGACTATAGCACAGTATTACCTCATTACAACAGGAGCACTGTGGTATGTTGGGCCAGTTGGTATTGAGACATGATGAAAAACAGTGCACAAAGGACAGGACAAGGAAGAGACACACATAGAACATACAAGCGCTGAGTCGCAACTGATATTCATAAGAGGAAAAAGAAAACTTTCCTTTTTTATGCATGAACGTCGTTTTCTTTTTCCTCTTATAAATATCAGTTGCGAGTCAGCGCTTGTATGTTCTATGTGTGTCTCTTCCTTGTCCTGTTCTTTGTGCGCTGTTTTTTATCATGTCGTTACAACAGATCTAAATTACAACAGACATTTAGTTATGACACACCAATTTGTGAAGTTTGGTTGGTCTTCCTAATTATGCCATTGAGTCAACTTCGCCTATTACAGATTCTGTTATAACATGCGTTTGGATGTATAAGGGAGTTTGTAAGTAGTTCACCATTCTATTATGGCGGTCTCTTCTATGGCAATCATTATTTTGGCTTTGGCTTGGCAAGGGTGGCTGCAGTGGCATCCATTTTTGGACTGCTGCCGTTGTGCTCGGCTAACTCGTGAGCCTCATACGACCCGAATCGCGCGGTGACGACGGTCATTGGTACACTTCAATAAAAAAAAGTCACTGTAGCTTCTTTCAAAGTTGAGAATTTTAAGTGAACCAGTTCTTTTCTAATATGACCCTTTCTCATTCCGTCAGTGTCACCAATTAGAACAGACTCCAGTCATAACCCACCTCGAAGTGTGTAATAAGACAATGTGCACTCTGCAAACTCCTTTTACAGTAGACCAGAAGCTTCGTCACTATCATAGTTCATTGTAACAAGTTTACATTATATTACGCAATATGTGGGGGCAGACGGAGTGATGCCCCATGCGCGTATGTCCCGTGCCAGCTCGCACCTGCGCAGACTCCAGGGGCTGGACAGCAGCTGGGCGGTGAGCAACGGCCTCAACGCCCACAACCACCCGGCCTGGCTGCAGCTGTACCTGTCAGCCTGCAAGCTGCTCGACCTGGCCGTGGCCCTGCCCGCCGACATGCTGCCTCAGTTCCAGATGTGGGTGCTTCTTCGTGAAGGGCTAGTACGATGCCCAGAGCGTGTCCCAAAAAGCGGTCCCTCAACTTCCGCCCCCGATGAAGTCATAAAAGCGTCGCGTCGTCACCGCCCGTGGCCTCAACGGTGGCACAGCAGCGGTGTTAGTGACATTCGACTACGAGACGCGACGTCCGACTATGCAACGCGCCGATTTCCTCGACGTCATCTGTTGCCGCTTCGGGATTGTCTTTGATGCGTGGGTGGAATGAGACGCCAAACACATCGGTCGAGGATGCATTCTAGGCACTGTAACGCTGGGGATCATTTTCCCTTCTATGCATACTCAAAAGCATCAAAAACCATTCGGTCTCTGGTAATATTTAGTATACTAGAGCAAGGTGAGAACAGCAGGGAGGAGCTTTGGTTGTCTTGTCTCTTGCACCTCGAGCATGGCGGAAGGCACGAGTGCATACCCAGGAGTTCGTGATACGTGCCCGGATATGTTCCCATTCTGTCGGTGGCTATACTACGTTGTTATTTGGTTGGTACGTAACATACGCCGAGGTAGTTAAAGGACACATGCAAAGGAAAAAACATTCTTTTTCAACAGCTTAGATGGAAAAAGGATGTCATAAAGCGATTTTACAACGAAGGAAAAAAATTTTTAGAGCTATATTTACGGCGCTCTACAAATTTGTAGTTGGCACCCGTGGGCGCCAACTACAAATTCGTAGTGGCCCTTACTTATCACGTGTCTGGCCCTTACTTGTCATGTGGTGCTTGCACTCTTTCGGAAGCTTCCTTTGGCCTCCAAAACTAACTTATTCATCTTTGTTTGAAGTATAACAAAAAACTAAGATTAATAAGTAACATTTAGAGCCCAAAGGAAACTCCTGAAAAAGCGCAAGCAGACGTGATAGATCTGTGCGCCGGTCAGATGACGGCGGCAGCGCCCCGAAGCAGACGAATTTGTGCGGTGGCGACGACGGCGGCGTGGAGAACGCGGTGAAGCAGTGTCGCACAACGCTCTGCGTGCGACGGCGGCGTGACTTTGCGGCGGCGGCGACGCAGCGCGGCGGCGCACAGGCCTGCCACTTTACTAGCGGCGGCTCCCGTGGGCACCAACTACAAATTCGTTTTACGCTGTAAATATAGCTCTAAATTTTTTCTTTCTTCGTTGTAAATTCATTTTATAATTTTTCCATCTAGCCTGTTTAAAAAAAAAGTTTTTCCTTTGCATGTCTCCATTAAAGAGAATTCTGTCGGGCGACAGGTGTGAACGAGACGCGCGGCATGTGGTGGAAAGAGTTGCTTTTGATTTACTTTTGTCGCTCGATTGAGATCTTTGGTCGATGTCCGTAAGCGTATTTGTGGCAAGTTCCTTTACGCGGGAAATATGTTTACACCTAATGCACGGGAAAAAGACTTTTAACATTTTATTAGAAGATCTACAACACTCGTGTCTTTTTGCTGGAAAAAATTGCACCTTCTTATTCGCTTCATTAATATTTTTTAATGCATTAATATTTTTTAATGCAAAAAATTAAAAATTGGCAGGAGAAGAGGTAAAAACTAGAAAAATTGACGTTGGAAAAAAACGGTCTTCACTAATATAAGAGGCATATTCAAACAGTCTCATCGCATTCTTTGCCAAGCTCTCGAATATTGCCGGGGATCCTTTATGCGAAGCATTTCAGGTAAGCCAAGAAGTGCAACAGAGGTGAGGTGTAGAGACTAAAGTGAAACATGCGTTGTGTGAAAGACTAGCGAAAAACTACTTATTCAAGTAATTGCATAGTAAAATTCTGGCAAGGCAAGGTGCGTTGTGTGAAAGACTAGCGAAAAACTACTTATTCAAGTAATTGCATAGTAAAATTCTGGCAAGGTGGACAAGGTGGCATGTCCCAGTACTAACCTTTCACTATGTCACTTGTTTTATCACGAGAAGCACAAGTGGTAGGTGAACTTCTAAGCCCTGAAATCTCGGGGAAGAAGTACTGAACCTTTACAACACATCTTTGCCAGAGTGTTTAGTTTTAGGGGCGAAGCTCCTTAGGGGCTAGCCTTGTCCGTATGTCCGTCCGCCGTCGGGTGCACGTGCTCCTGCTCGTGAGCTCACGCGCTCACGAGCACGTGAGCATGTGCTCCTGTGCTCGTGTAGGGCAGAAAAAAAACAAAAAACCGCATCTCCACGTGGTGAATGATGCTGATTGGGGCAAAGCTCTGGTGGTTCTTGTCTGCGTAGACGGTGAGCCGCAGCATGCCGAGCCTTTCGTTCATTTTTATCCATGTCGGAAAGAGAATGTGTGGTAGGGAATGTGATTATATACGCATTTGAGCATTTGACCGCAGCGTGACATGGATGAAAATGAACGAAAGGCTCGGCATGCTGTGGCTCAGCGTCTACGCAGACAAGCACCCCCAGAGCTTCGCCCCAATCAACATCATTCACCATGTGGAGATGCGGTTGTTTTCTTTTCTCAGTTTACTTGAACCAGCAGAAAATTAATGCTTGATAAGGTACACTTGCGCCTCCAACTAAAGCAGAAAGGTGGTACCATACATCCTGCGACACCAACGAAAGGGCAATTGACTTACGGTACTTGCTTGGCCGGCCATAGCTTTGTCTTGCTTCTCGGAAAGTGAGGAGTTTCTAAGCGAGCCGTGCCTCTTTCGCACTTCAGAAAATTCTCGATTCACTGCATTATTGCCGACCAATTGCAAATTCTAGTGAGGGGATAATGAAATTGGTACTTGACATGGCAATATTATGGTGCAAAATACCTTTTTTGAAATTCGGTCTGGGTGCCTTATCACTATCATCACCTCGGTGTATGGCATCTGTGCCAAACAAACGGCGGCCTTCTCGAGGCTGATAAACAGGGAAGTTTACGATACTACCAAGCGGAGTACAAAAAAGGCCTGTATGTTCTAGACGTCGGTACAACACTGCACACAAAGTATACCACAACTGCATAAGCGTTTTTTTTTTTGGGGGGGGGGGGGGGGGGGGGAAATGTGGTTTAATCAGTTTCTTGGCATAAGTTTTGTTCTAAAACCTTTTGATGGTGGAAATTTACTAAAGGGGCTTATGGGTCGCCGCTTCATACTAGTTAGTTCTTATGTTCAAACTATCCAAACTGAAACAAAATCAAGACTTATGTGGTGATCGACGAACCAATTCTCGTCTGCCATTGACACCCAAGCCTGATGAAGTAGTTTCATGATCGCCATTAGTTTGTCAAAAGTGAAACTGCTTTTCGAGCCACCAGACGGCACTAAATTTTGAAGAGTCTAGTGCTAAGAATCTAAAGGATACAGCCAAGCCCCAGAGGCTGTCAATGTTTTTTTTAATTGAAAAAAACCTGCAGCATGCTATTTAATTTATGTGATACCCCGGAACAGTTTCTCGATGAGATCTCGCCTCTTTCCACATGTCTAGATTTCTCTGACATGCGTTTGCTTTACACATTTTCCAATGACGTTTACCGATGTGGCCTGATGTGGCAGGTATCGCTGGGCCTTTATTGGGGACAACGCACCGCTGCTGTCGTCTGATGGGACCCAGCCTTTGCAAGACAACTCGAAAAGCGAGCACCACGAGTTTGTGCCACACATCATGAGGCTTGCTGCCCTAATGAACAAGAATGTAAGTACCAGTTAAATGCAATCACACGTTAGTGTATATTGTAGGTCCCTGAAGATTCATTGCTCCGGATAACGTTGACATACCAAATTACCAAGAAATGCAATCTAGTCTACTGCAGTTGCTTTGCAAGTGCAGTGGACTGAAATTCATAACATCCACTGTTGGCCTTAAAAACTACTCAATATACAAAAGTTACAAGAATGTCTTTTTTGTTATTGCAGCATTTGATTGAGAGAGAATAGTTATTTATTTACAGTCACGAGGAGGTCAACCTGCTACAAAGCTGATTTGCTACTTCGCAAAGGAGAGGGAGTAGGGTTAGGCACAAAAAAGAAAACAAATAATTTTTAAAAAAGCTATAAAATAATACATGTTTAGATTTTATACACCAAACTTCTATAACAGTTTGAATAACTGAGTATGAGGGAAAATAAATTAGTGCCTTCGTGGCCTTACTTGCATCTCCAGAAGTTGGCCAAGGCCCAAGAAGGTGGTGCAGTTAGTTTTTGTTTGGTCCTAGTCCCAGCTGTATTTTTTAACGCCTTTCTTTCAGAAAGGAGCACCCCATTGTTCTTAGGTAAAAGTTGCACCACATGGCACGAAAATACGTTGATGCTTTTCTTCCGTTCCACAATGCCCAGACAATAATCTTTACTCGTGCTTCGTCGTATATCTCCGTGCCTGGGATATGTTGGGACCACACTTCAAGCTGTCATCTGTGGCAGAATGTGAATAGTGGTTTAAACCGAATAGCGTTGTGTCACACCTAGCTTGAACAATGTTAAGAAAACTGGTTGTCGTGACTTCCTTTTGCACCGCAAATGCTATGAATGAGGTGGTGCTATTCGATTCGAGCTGCTATTCGCTCAGCCCATAGTCCTCTGCCATCTTGCTCTAAAGTGAAGAAAAAAAAAAAATTAGCATGAGAAAACTGAAGATTACAAAATGAAGGAGCGCACAAACACAGGTTGGCAACTGAAATTTTTACCCCTGGACAAAACAGCAAGTAAACAAAAGACGGAAAAGATGGAAACAAAAACAACCAACTCAATAAAACACCGACACACGCCTACGCAAACTCTCCGCACCTTTGTGTAGGCAAGGCATGTGTCTGCATGCTGGGGGTGTTTTACCAACTTCGTTGTTTTTGTTTCCATCTTTTCCGTCTCCTATTTACCTGCTGTTTCGTGCAGGAGTAAAATTTTTTGTTGCCAACCAGCGCCGTGTTTGTGTGCTCCTTCATCTAGTCTTCCTTTGTTTTTTTTTACTTAAGCTATGCTAAACCAACTAGCCTGACTTCACGCCCCATTGCGTCTTGCTCTCGTAACGACTGTTTCTGTTTCGCATTGCGTTGTCCACCGCAACCGACTCCCGGCTGACCCCTCTCGCAGAACCCGAACTACGAGCCGCTCGTGCAGCGTGCCGGGCACCCGTTCCTGACCCTGACGTCCATCAAGTCGCTGTACGACATGCAGGGCTTCTTCAACAGCCTCGTGGACAGCTCGTTTCGTGCAACCGAGCTGCACGCGTCCTCCGGCGGCCTGCACAGAGACGCCGCCTTCGACGTCGTTGCCTCCTCCTCCCGAAGCCAAGAACTCTCCAAGTCGCGCTCGGCCCCCGAGCTCAGTAGCGCAACGACGCCGAGCGTGGCAACGGAGGAAAGCGGCTTGCAAACGGCGCTCCAGTTTGTGGAATGCGTTCTCGAACACGATTTCCTCGAGGCGCGGCAGTCGTGAGAGGAACCCTCGGCGCTCTTGGTCGAGAATCTTGCCGCCAGCTGCGCTCGAGCGGCGGAAAACTTTTACTTCCCGGCATCTGGAAACGTTACGGGGGATGTTGCCGTTTGGGAGAGTCGAGATGACGCCTCGTCGGAAAGGATGTTTTGGCCAGTTTCAAGTGATGCAGAACGTCGGCGTGAAGGTGCCGGGCCGTTTTCGTTTTGCCCGTCTCTTCGCCGTCAGTGTCTTGTTCGGACATTTCTATGTGTTTCTCCATTTGCGTATGGTATAGTGCTGTTTGGTGCTACGGGGCACTAAATAGAGCGATGGACTGTTATGACGGGGCCAGCGGAAGATGTTTCTGCTGGAGGTTCGGAACGAAGTTGGTCGTACGGCGCTCCTACGCAGGGTCCAGAAAAAATATATAATAGATCGGAAACGCCAGAGACGGTCCTCGCAGCGACGCTTTGTTGTTACACCGGTGCCTAGGAGTTCAGCTAAGCTGTGCGTTCCTCCTTTCAAATGTCATTGCCATAAGCTAGTCACAACGCACTTCTCTCCTTTTTGGCTTTTTGCTGGCGGATTCAAGTGGCATGAATTATGTGATTGTACCGTTGAATTTCGAATCGAGTTACGGTTACTTTTTATCGCTCTTTTCTGAAACTATCTTCTCGGGTAAAAGCCTTACAGAGTACTTGAGGGAAAAGGTCTGCGGTGGGTGCAAGCAATGATTTGCTCTTGGTTGTGATAGTTGAGCCTGATTGGAAGGTTTGCTTGAAGCCAAATTACGGCGACTTTGCAGGCTTGGTTGATGACTTGCAATTTCTAGGGTGAGGTATAGGCATACTGCTACCTATATGTAAATGTTGCTTGTACCTTATTGAGAACAATTGACCGAGGCCCAGTGTTGATTTGCTGCACCCACAAATTTACTGAGGCAATGCTGTACAAATTACTAACTAGAGCCGCATCATACCATCATTCTCGGGTTACAGCTTGTGTCTGGTATGCTGCAATTATGCATTTTGCGGGAGTTTGCAACGTCATTTTATTGTAGCAAGGAAATCTCCGCAGCGTTGGCTTATTTTGTTATATCGTTGTAATGTTGACTATTCTGTGCGACGCAATAGGATTTTAAAACTGCATGTGGCATGTGTTCGAGGCCAATTTAATGTGTGCATAGTGCACACCATGCTGTGTTGCGGTGTATAGTGGAGTGCATGCATCACCAGTGCAGAATAGTTTGCCATGTTGAACCTGCTTGGATGACATAATTTAAATCTATTTTATTATATAAATAAAGCAAGATCTCTTCTTTGCAAGTAAATACTCTTGTGCTGTGTCTACCCATTATGAACAGAACAGCGCACACAAAGACAAGGACACAGAAAAGGAACATGCAGGACACACAAGCGCTGACTCGCAACTGAAATTTATACACAAAAAAAGAAGAAGAAAACGTTCTGAAAGACACGCAGGGCACGCAGTGCTTATGACACGCGACACAACACCATCTAACTGCAATGTCTTTGCCCCATAGTTCTTTCTAAAAACAAGGTTTCAGTGTTTAGTAGTGTCACTGATGGGTGGCTGACGCAGCAGTCCCCCAGGCTGTTGATGCAATGTGCTTCTAAGATTTCGAGAGTTGTCTTGTCTCGATAGTGTCCAGATGTGTTGACGCTCTCGGTGGCAGCCATACTCGGCCTAGACATACCTATGATCCCCGTCCTCTGATATCTTTTTTGACCGATAATCACCTTCGCGTTTTAGAGGCTGATAAGGAAGGATCCTTTGTATTGATGCCTGAAGAACACTTTAATGAAAAAGCCTGTACCGCCATGAGCAAGAACTTCAAGCGGGTACAAGTGTCCCCCAAGCAGATTAAGGCGCAGGCATTAAAGCTCTGTGAACGCCATTCCTTGACAAGCTTGTCCGGAAACATCAAGAAAGCAACAGGGCTTAACCTTGAGGTGTTCTTTAGTGTGAAAACCCATAAGGAAGCCTGCCCATTCCGTGCCATCATCACTGAGAGAGGCACGTGGCAGCGCCAGATGGCGGGCTTTCTTCAAAAACACCTATCAGGTTTGCAAATCGAGGACCCCTTTTTAGTCAGCAATTCTGAAGCAGTAGTGGAAGCTTTCAAGAACAATAATTTCAACAACCACTCTGTGTTCAGTGTTGACGTGCAAGACCTTTTTTATTCTCTTCCACACCAAGCATTACTTGCCTCAGTCAAGTCCTGCATTGAAGAGCAAGGGGAGCTCTCCTTCAGAAACTCTAGTGGTGTTTCTTTAGAAGGCTTTCTAGAACTTCTGAAATTCTATTTGAACTCTATGATCGTTGGCTGGAACAAGGGTACCTTTACGCAGCGGTCAGGGGTGTGCATAGGATCATGCGTGGCCCCCGTTCTTAGTGATATTTTTCTAGCAAGTGTTGATAGAGCTATTGAAGGTGCCCTTAGCACATCAGAAGTGTCAAAGGTGTTCCGATACGTTGACGATTTTTTGCTAGTGTATCCCAAGTCTGTTGAAGGTGATTACGTTGATAAGGTTATGAGCGTATTTTCCAGGTGCGGCTTTGGGCTTAAATTCACTGTTGAAAAACCTTCGGACGGAAAGTTACAGTTCCTGGACCTTTCGTTATCTCTTCAAACAAACCATATCTGCTGGAGTTTCTCCCCTAGGTCAAAAAAGGGCATCCTTCACTACACATCCGCACATTCGAAAGTTGTTAAAAGGGGGATTGCGGTTACCATACTTGGGGCTGCACTTACGAAGTCCTGCTTTCACACTGTTCGTGAAAGTTTTAATGCTCAAGTTGAGAGACTCCAAAAGTCGGGCTTTCCATCACAGGTCTTAAACGAGGTGGTGCCGGTCTTAGTACGCAAGACTAAAGGGATTCGGAGAAAGAAACCTCGAGAACCACAGAAACGAAAGGTTGTTGTACCATACATGCACAAAACCTCTCATAATTTAAAAAGAGCAGCCCAAAGGTACGATGTGCCTGTGGTGTTTTCGGCTCCAAAAAGAATGGCACAAATCTGTTCAAAGGTTCGCTCGAAAGCGGATAACCTCAACAAAGGCAAGTGCCAGAAATGCCACAGCCACCCTTATGTGCCATGTTCAATTGGTGTGGTGTACAAAATCCCATTAACGTGTGGTAAAAGCTATGTGGGCCAAACCGGACGGTGCCTAAACGATCGCCTTCTCGAGCATGATCGTTCGCTAAAATCTACGGTGGGTGGTCACCTTCCAGTTCACTGCAATTCCTGCTCGTGTGTTCCGATTCTAAAAGGCACAACAATAATTGGACACTATCGAGACAAGACAACTCGCGAAATCTTAGAAGCACATTGCATCAACAGCCTGGGGGACTGCTGCGTCAGCCACCCATCAGTGACACTACTAAACACTGAAACCTTGTTTTTAGAAAGAACTATGGGGCAAAGACATTGCAGTTAGATGGTGTTGTGTCGCGTGTCATAAGCACTGCGTGCCCTGCATGTCTTTCAGAACGTTTTCTTCTTTTTTTGTGTATAAATTTCAGTTGCGAGTCAGCGCTTGTGTGTCCTGCATGTTCCTTTTCTCTGTCCTTGTCTTTGTGTGCGCTGTTCTGTTCATCATGTCATCATACCAACTCGCCCAACTTACTACACTTCTGTCTACCCATTATTATTCCCAGTTTTTGCAGATATTGGTGCATGGATATCTTGGTCCAGGAATCATAAGAGGTTAGGAGTTGTTTTTATGCCTCTGGTGTGTCTCAAGTTTGCCAAGCTGTTGCAGTTAGAAGGGGTCGTAATTTCAACAAGCCACATAAATTGCTTATGCAATGAAGCAAGCTGCAACTACACACATGGATTATATTTGTCTTGCCATCATGCTCGTCTTCAAAAACTAAGTTTTAGGAAGAGCAACTACACGAGCTCAATTGGGAAACGCATACAGCAAGTACCTTCCACCGGCTAATCAAGACTGCTAGTGATGAACAATGGCTCTATAGTTTGTTTCAGCCAAGTCCAGATGCAGCCAGGGCTACGAATCCGATGAGACTAATTGGACAGCGTTAAAAGCGCACCATCATGGTTTTTGTCGTGTTTGTTTGTGTTCTATAATCGCTGAACCAATCATAAACACCCAGTGACTCGTGCTTTTGATGCAGCTTGATTGGTCCCATTAGCTCTTAGCGTCGGCTGCGTCGGGTCGAAACACGCCGAAACACGTAACCTCCTTCCTGTTGAATGGTGCCGTGGACTATCTTTCATCCATGAGCAATTCTATTTTTTATTAAAGTTTGAAATGATCTTTAATATTTAATTTTACTGTTGTAACGTATAGGAGAGTACCCCAGAAAATAGCGTACAAGATCTAAACCAAACGGGTGATTGCATGCCCTAGAAACTGATTAAACAGAGGTGATCAATTGAATCGGAAGTGCTGCATGCATTGTGGGAGAACGAAAATAATTGAAGTGAAATTCCAGTCTCCCATAGTTGCTTGTAGTTTCCTCCATAGAGTTTGACAGGATCATTATAACCTCCCTCCAATTCTCAGTGAAAGCTTTTAACATAAAACATTCTTTGGCTAGTTGTTCGGCATTTCATGAAGCCCAGATAAAAGCATGGCCACGAGGCTTGACACTGATTGGTTGATGGGTGGGAGAGGAGGACTGAGGTGTGCGACGCTTATTTGTTAACGGGGAGGTCATGTGACCAGAAGGGTAGGCAAGGAGGAGCTTGACCTTCTGTGCACACTGAAGGAGAGTAACTCGACAGTATCGAAGGCTCTGGAAAATCGCCAGGTTTATCAGCCGAATTAGTGTAGTATCGCTTCATCATAAAAACTATCAAGTGTACACATTGTACGCGGTAAACTATCTGATAAAGAGCGCCGTCAACGTGGGCGTCGTCTGGCATCTGGAAACTCGGGAGTATCGCTAAACGTTTTTGATGCTGAAACGTTCTATGTAAGCAACAAAATTTTTTTGTGCTCCACATATGGACGTAAAGTAACATAAAGTGCACTGTATGGGTTCAAACTTGTAAACATTAGGGATTTCAATCTGGCAACTTAAGACTCCAATTAGTCAATAAAGGTGCACAAGTTAGAATCGCTAAAGCCCATGTATACAGAAAAGTAGTGCGATTTTCGTTCCTTTGTGCCATTTTTCCCTGTTTCGGTCTCTGTCCCTTGGCTGCATGCCACCATTTTTGAGGGAAGGTGTCAGTGAGGAGGAAGCTTTTAACACTAAATCATACTTTTTTCGTGTGCAGGGGTTCCAGAAATATCAGCAGAGATTCCCGCATGACTGAATTATAGATACAAGACTATCGGGAAAGAAAACTTTCTTTCCATTCTTGAAACTTAGTTCCTACTTTTGTACTTTCTAACAACACAATTTAAATGATTACAGAAAAGTCAGGCTTAACCTTCTCACAGTATGGGGGTTTACAGGTCCCATCAATCAATTTCTAGAGGTGGTGCACTGTGATTTGTTAGGGCTTCACTTCAATAGGACTTCATAGTGAAAACTCTCGTTGAGGGCCAGCTTATCTGATTGAAAACGTGTTTTGCACAATAAGGAGCCTCATCTAAGGGTGCTGTGTCCAGAGATGATGGGCCAGTTTATCTGAACAAAGTCCGAAACAAACTGTTTTCCCCTGTTCAGTGGTTTGCTAAGGTCCCTTTGTTGTCAAGGTTGTTGACTAATAACAGTCAAACTTTCTCATTGACAAAGTAAAAAATGAGCAAGCCTTTCGAGCGCTAGCACTCTTCCATAACGGAGGTCAAGACAAGAATGCAGTCGTAAAGCGGTCACAGCAGTAACAGTGTTTTATTCCCAACTCAAAACATTGGCCGCCTGTGCGTCCGATACTCGAAAAAACCTATTCCACGCACTCAACGCAACAGTGACCAAAGGAGGTCAGATATAATAAATATAGTAGTAAAAAGCAAGAAAAAAAAAAAATCAACATTAAGAAGTCCATAGTCTTTCTCGGCGCTTGCAGCATGGACCGCAGTTGCGCAAGCCGGCACATACTTTGCTAAACGTCGTCGTAAAATGTTTGAATGGCAGACTAGCTGAGCGAAGGATCTCTACTGGCCAAAATGAGGTACAAATTTAGGGATCTGTGGTTATGCAAAACAAAGGAAACGCCGAGGAGGCATGTTTCCTCAGTGATTACTGCTGTCGGAGTCGTCAGTCCGAGCTTCGCGCACCAGTCTGCGCCATCCCTGGACTCCTGAACCTGAAATGTGTTGCCAGTCGGGAAATCTGTTGCCAGCCGGGAAATTCGACATGCAGCGTTTCACCTGGCATTACACAGCCGTCTTGACTATGCAAGTTTTCATCTTTAATGGACCACATGAAAGTACTTGGGGAGTCTGTTGCTCGGTCAGCATTATAATATATAAGCATTATAATATCCCTGGGGGATTAACATCTTTGGGGAGAGAGGGAATTCCACTATTTTATGTGTGGTCTGGGTAGCATACTTTCAGCTGTGTTTGGGAACCTGTATATGTGTTTGCCCCCTTTTTCCAAGTGTTCTTTAGTGTCACTATTTTGAGAAACCTGTAACCCAGCCGTCATTTTCAGAAATCTGAAAATGACGGCTGGGTTACAGGTTTCCTTGTTAATGATCACTAAATTTTCTATTGAATATTGTCATACTGAATATGACAGCGAAATGCTGAATGAACATGCTTTTTAATGGATTTTTATATTTTGGGTGTTTTAAGATCGGGGCTTTTTATTTGTACTTGCCAGAAGTTTTGACCATGTATTGGACAGCAATGTTTGTTCATATGTAATATAAAATCACAATTTATACTTGGCACACATTGGCAAAATCGTGTTGCTTTAAACTCTGAAAATCTGAATCTCAACCATATGCTTGCAAAACCACCACAAATAGTTTACATCATGAAGGGTTTTCAAAACATTATTGCATTAAGATAACTTAGTTTGGTGCTAAATGTAAATCTAATGCCAAATTGTGGGAATGCTCGGAAACTTCTCCAGTCCAACTGACAAAAGAAAACCTTTGGAACTCCTTTCAAGGGAACATTCTCTCGAATTTATTTTTCATTCCTGGCTTCTTGGGCACATTTATGTTGCCCAAAATCTTATGAAAAGCCATTCTTCCGAGCCATCAACAGTGCGAGTCAACTTTACAGAACATTGGCTCTCTTATTTTGGCTACAATGCAAGTCTTACGCTATTGCTTAATGCTAAGAAAGAATAAATGGCATACTAGCAGAGTGCTACTTTGGCTATGCACAAGTCTTACGTTATTGCTTAATGTTAAGAAAGAATAGAGGGCATACCAGCTGAGCGCAAGTGATTCAACGATGCCAGCATGCGAATCATGAACGAGGCCGGCACAGTGATGGTGTCCTTGGTCTCTTCAAGCATCACCTCATTGCGTTTGATCATCTGAGAAGAGCAAAAAGTGACCATCCAAGAGTTCTCAGACTTGCATACAATGCAATCTCAATACCAGCTGCATTGTCTTAGAAACTCCACTAAGCATACCTCAGCAGCCTTTTCAGCATCGAAGAAGGGCTCTTCTTTGAGCGGAGCCCAGATCTTGATATCATAGTCTATACCACTGGATGCCAACACTGGAAAAAACAAAATATTTTTAACAATGAGTGGCACAGAACCATTGTCCACGGTTCAATTAGCACGACAGATCATTGGACATATCCAACGGTTTGGATGCTACTTAAAGGGAGGTGTCTAATTGCTTGGTTTTTCTGGTAATCGCACTACAGGAAAGACAAGTGCAAGAAAGCCTTAGAATGGCAACTCTCCTTTAATCACATTGCACTGTTTGCACCGAAAAAGAGAGCTTTTCTTGCAAAATGTTCATCCCAAAGCTTCTTTAGCATTCACTTAATTTTCCCAACAGTCAATGTAACAAACTTAACAAGGTGCAATGAAGCACTTATGCGTTTGGGACTCAGAAGAATAGGGAACTCTTTTTTCAGGAAACTCTAATGTAGCAAACACTTGAAAATAAAAAAAGGTTTGATTAGAGTCTAGTTAGATGTCCAAGTCCAAGTGCTCGGCACAAAGAGCTTATGTAAAACCCCTTTGCTACCAGAGGCGGATCCAGGAAGGGGGGGGGGGGGGGGGCGACGGGGGCGGCCGCCTCCCCCCCCCCCTCCCCCACCTCGGAGATCAATTTGACATGGGTGGACCGCCGGTGCGCACGAAAGAATGGGAGAATAGTATCCTTACAAATTTTCTGCCCCACCCCCAAAAAACAGAGTTCTGGATCCGCCCCTGTTCGCTACAAGTTGTTTTTCCAAGTTCTAGTGTTTGTCAAACAATAGCATGAAGGTCTAACATGCATGCAAAAAAATCCTCCCCTACCACACTTACCTGGGTCAAAGGGATGAGGCTGCAGGCAGTTCACAACATGATGATCTGCCTCCATGATCATGACCAGCTCGCAGGTCTCCTTGTCCCAGATGAAGATGTGACCACAATCCGAGCCGCTCATCACAAAGTCGTTGCCCCAGAATGTCGCCTCTTTTATCTTTGGCAGCACATGGGAAGGGAGACACAACATTTCTTCACGTTAGCCAGTGTCACCTACACTTTTCTGAATGACCGAGTGTCCCTTTTTGTGGCCCCTGCACTGGCACAAAGAGGAACAACCTTGGAGGGAGCTTCCAGAACACACAAGCTGCATGCAGTACACCGTTTTCCTGATTTCCAGTTTGAGTTTCTTTCGTATGAAGCTGCGTGGGCGTGGAACGAGCGAGCGCGAACATTCCTTCGAGCAAGGAAGCCTCTTTGCATCTTTGAGTTTCGGTGACCGAGATTAAGCTCCCAAAACATTGCTTTTGTGCCCATTGTGGTTAATCTTTCACCCCCGAATTGGTACAAGTAAGCTTCTCCCCTCCCCTTCCTAATGGTGCCCTTTGTTTCCTCGATTTTCCTAGAAAGGAATCCTCGAACCAAGTCTCCGACAGGGGGCAGCAGTTCTTCAAAAGGTGGTGGATCATGCCATTGGTTACCAAGTGCCGTTAAATAAATACTGTATGGTTGCCCCAAGAGTGTGCAAGGGCATTGGCAGAATGTGGTTTTAAATTACACGTGCTAAGAACAAGCAACAGCAGGGATGAGCAACTGCTAGGTATGTGCGAATTGTGGATTTTGAGTTCGAAGTAAATTGGAAATGAATAGTGGTTTTAACCGGATATTTTCTAATCGAATATCGAAGAGTTTCTCTAAGCCTTTCACTACAGTACCATGCTTGGACGACGACCCAGCTGAACTCGTGAAGGTTATTCCCGAGCTTCCACTTGTCCATTTCTAAGCTAATTTTAACCTAACTATATTTAAGGACTGTGGCCTCGGGAAGACCAATGCCTACATAAGGATGACAAGTAAGCGACACATTTGATATAGCATTAAACCTACGGAGATGCCCGGCAGTACCTCATCACGGAGATGCCCGGCAGTACCTCATCTAGAGGTACTGCCGGGCATCTCCGTAGGTTTAATGCTATATCAAATGTGTCGCTTACTTGTCATCCTTATGTAGGCATAAGGATGACAAATCTTTTTGTTAAAATTGAGCAGTCCTGCGTTAATTTACAATACAGTCAAAGCAACAGCTGCGACATGTCACAACGAAATCGTTGGGCATTGGCGTTGCATTCACGCACCAGAGACATCTGCGGTAACCATTTTGCTCGAGCCTTTGTTTCTTTTTTTGTTCTGGAGCACGTGAAAACATGTCCTCCGGCATGAGATCTTGACAGTGCTACAACAACCATTTGCTAGCGGCTATTCTTTTTTCCAAAGAGCATGTGCAATGGGCATTGGGTACTACAAAAACTTTAGCATAGAGCGGGTAGTTAACGCTGTGGCATGGCTCGGTGGTAATGCCTCTGCTTCTCATACAGAAGATCTGGGTTCAATTCCCATGGGCAGCAGGCAATCTTTTTCAAGGATTTGGCAACATTGACAACGGACGCCCTACAAAGCCAACTACAACATCAACAGTGACAGCAACTACTACTACTACAACATCAACAAAGAACATCATTTCCTGTGGTGGGAAAAGCCCGTAACAGCTATCGCTGTAAAAAAGACAATCGTGAATGATGAACACAGGTTGTCAGGACATCTCTCCCTAACATATACTCTTGCATAATAGCCACATCCTAGTTTTGAAAACGTTACTGTAATGTAGATACGTATGTATCAACATTTACAAAGTTTCCGTTTATTTCTAAATACACCAGGCGTGTGCGTGCACTATCCCATTTTGAAAGTGTGCTTTCCTCCTTGGCATGCAACTGCAATATTTGTAATTTTTTCAGTGTTCATCGTGACGGGTTACCCTGTTACGCACGCTTCTTACCAAGCACCGGTGCACCGTGGAGAAGCAAAACCCACGAAAATGAGCTCCGCGGGTGTTGTCTCTCCGCAAAGTTTCTCCGTAAAAAACGCGCTCAACGGGGCTAACCCACTGTGATCATCATTTAGAAAAATATGAATACTGCAGTTCATTTGGAAGCAAATACCTAATAGCGTATTGTATGAAATTACGATTTGAAAATTTGAACATTCGCAGAACCCTAGAAACTGTGGCTTACCATTGTCCTCGAGTTACGGTGACCGGTGTATCTTCTGCGGGCACTGGGCCCTAGCACGAGCCTTGGGCACGAGAGCTCTTCCACCTGATCCTTTTCGAGTTGCGCGTCCTCAGCCATGGCTCGCAGGACGCTCTCGGAGGCAGACATCACCGTCTCTCTGCAGAGACAACGCGAGCCAATTATTTTTAGGAATTATGCTGAAAAAGATTTGTAGACATATTAGCTTCCATGTCCTCATGTTGCTTTCCTTTATCTTAGTAATCTACGCTTTCCTTTCTTGCAGGAAGGAAAGCGTGGATTGCATCCATAAAAAAAGAAGGGTATGATTTGATTTGACATATGCAACATCTTTCCACTCATTCTTTGACATTCCTTCTCTTTGCAATGATTAAATGGGGAGGAATAAATTGTTGCCCAGACTATACTACACACTTCTGAAGACGTCGGAAAGCAATTTGAGATTACAGTAGTCATCGCCTGCGACGTTAAAGGAAAAAGTATTTAGTAACAGTCAATGTCTAACCGCAAGGCGACATCTGTAAGACTTACTCGGATCTTGACAGTGTTCTTCCAAACCGAGAGGCCTCCCGTGACAGAGGTGGTGACTGAGACCGGGCGTGTGATTGTCTGTGGTCATGAAAAGAAGATGTAGCCTTAGAAATGCTACCACAGTGGACCCTTTCACTACTCTGAAGAGATGGCCACTCCCAAAAGACAGTCCTTGTGCACATGACTTTGTGCGATAAGGTCATGTACACAAGCACGAGTGCAAGCTGGCATTCGAGGTCTTTGGTGGAATGTGAGCGACGCAAAGCACATCCTTGAGCAAGTCAGGCCTGCATGACTTGTTCAAGGATGTGGAAAGGTTGAGGGTCAAAAGTAGGTTGAGAAAAGGCTGAGGTTGATGACCAAAAGGTTGAGGATAATTGGAAAGGTTGAGGTTTAAAAGTAAATCTTTTGCAATGGTTGCTTTCTACTACACTTACATCTAGTATAACCGGAAAGCACTGGAGACAATTTATGCAAAACATATGGGCAAAACGCAACATTTACAACCAGGTTGAAGTGACGTCAGCTTACCTTCTCCAAGGAAAACTTCCGTCCTCAGTCAAATTTGTGCTTTCGTCCTCGCTTGTGTTCTCTGCACTGAGACTCCTGAAGGCCCTGGAGGAAGAATCTGCCACGAGGTGGCACTTTTAATTGGCGTGCAAGCTTCGCAAGAGACAACATTTCGTGCACATATAGTATTAGATGTCAATGAAAATGTGCAAGGGCCCAATCCAGACATGTATGGAAGCTTTTGTTGACTGCTCTTGTCCCACTATATTTGTAGAGCCAATTAAGCTTTGACACCACAATGTGACTTGCACTTTAACATTCGCACCTTACTAGCATTACTCTTATCTACCATCTAACGTTTGAGACATAAAAAAATTGCGTCATCCATTTCACTCCAAGCAGAGCGAGTCTTTGGAAGCATGCTGAGCACGGTACTATCACCTCAGGTTTTTAAAACGGAAAGGAGCTGCCACGACCTCTAGGGCAACCACTTACCTGCTAGAGGGCGGTCGTTTTTGGGCGGCAGCAACGCATCGTCCGATGACGGCTCCCCTTGTCCGTTTTCATGGGCAGGTGATATGTTCTCTGCTGCCGATTGGAAGCACTCGTTCTCCGATATGCTTTCCACCGAGTCGTGAAAGGCGACATTCTCGTCTTCGTCGTCGTCTTCATCATTGTTGTCGTTGCCGTCGTCCTCCGGACGATCCGGCGGACGAGGACCTTGAACATCCGGCGTCGTGTGCGACGCACTGTTTTCTGTTGCGTTGATTCCGCTGTTGCTGCTGCGTCCGCCATAGTGCAGTCGAACCATGAGTTCCGTGCAGTGCCTGAGGGTGTCATGCTTTGCGTTAGCGGGGGCACCAATGCCATGAGGCAGCGAAGCGTGTCTGTGCCGTTATGCTGTGAGCAGAACAAAGCAGTGCTTGTTTTGTTCGCATTTCGATGCAGGCAGTTGGGCTCGTGCAGGTCAAATTGTGTTCATGCAGGTTGCAAGGTCTATGTGAGATGGATTTAAGAAATGGCAAACTATTGAAGAACTAACCGGTTCGACTGGTGGCATGCACCTGGGAGAATCACTGTGATGTTGGCCATTCTGGGTTATCATTACTCTTTCTATGATAAACTTGGGTGGGTCTCAGTCGTCCCGCCACTTGTCGGCACTTGTTCTGATGTTTTAGCAAACTTTCCCACATTTTCCTCTCGTTCTAACAACCTCTAGTTAGCACTTTGCTTTGAAAGTGGTTTAATTTTTATGTTTTCGGGCCAGCAGGTAAACTTTAATTACTAAGAATAAGCATTGCATGTAAAAGTATAAATGGCAAGATTTGAGCTTCCTAAAATGCATTTTATGGTAAAAAAAAAAGAATACAGCAGATTTGTATTTACATTTTGGCAGCATGGAACATAGCAAGGTTTGTGGTACTCTTCCACCTCACTGAAATTGTGGTATTACACTCTGACAAATGAGCACAAAAAAAGACACTGTATCTAGAGTTTGGGCAAGGCAATAGCAAGCAGAGAATCAATACAGACGAGGCCTTGAAACACCTGAAGAAACACTGGGAACATTTCAATTAGTATATTTTAAAGCAACAGGCCACTTGTCTAAGTGCAAAGCTTCAGTTTATGCTCCCATGCTCGTACGTTTCAGCTGGATAGCCAGAAGACATTTCTTTCCATCACAGATCCATCAAAGAGTGCATTAACATTAAATACAAAGGAAAATTCCCAATGAGCAAATCATCTGGGTTCCAAAGACCCTTTCCCTAATGTCTCTCCAGATGTCGACAGGCCTTTTCCATGCTCGAATTAAGCTCGACGAGAATAGTCGTGTAACGATGGTTCACCGTAACCATGTCCTGAAGCATGCAGCAAAAGTGGTGCAGGGAATTAGAAACCGGTGGCTTCTTGGTCAGCTTTGCACAAACCGAAAGCACAAAAGCGCGACATTCCACTGCATGGAAGTAGAGACAGACTTGCCTGTTGCACACGAGACAAGAGGAGTCTTCTGCTTGCTGCCGACTGCTTGACTCATGTGAAGCCGCCGAGTTGGACGTGCCTGCCTGGGACAGATCAAGGACAGCAGCGGCAGTGGATGAGGAGCTGGAAGCTGCAGCAGCCAGATCTGAAGTGGCGGCATTCTCGCCATCTGCGTCAGGTATTGCTGCAACCGCTTCCGTTGTTGTTGTTGCTGTTGTTGTTGTTGTAGTTGTAGTTGTTGTTGCTGCCGTTGTTGCCGCCGTCGCCGCCGCCGCCGCGGCTGCTCTGCTGGCCATCTTTTGTCGGATTCGCTGTTTGATGGCTACACATAGGAAGAGTTACCACCCTCATTTTTTAGACAGAAATGAAAGCACTCAGCGCATTAACCCTTCGATGGTCAAGATTTTTTTTCTAAAAGAGGTTTTCCAGTTGTTGAATTCATTTTCGAAGGAACAGTATAAAGAAGGGCTCAATGCGGAGGTTTTTTTTTTCTTAATTATCCAGCGGCAGCACATACGGTGCTTGCAAGCTGTTCAGGTTCTTCCATTTGGTTTTATTTTGTCACGTCTGCTTCTGCGACATTTCTGCAGCTTCAGACTCCGAATTGGACGTACAAAACAAAGCTCCTCCACTGAATGGTAGGCTTTCATTCTCTAAATTCAATTTTGAAAAGTTTTGAAAGTTTGAACCGGAAGAGCTGGTGCTCCAATTACTGCCGTAGCAGCCGACAAGCGAAGCGACCATCTCGCGAGGATCATGAGCACAAAGCGTCTAATTTCAAAACTATAAATATCCCCAGCAATGTAACATTTACGGTTCCCCAACCCCATCCCCGCATTACAATCTCGTGGCATACCTTCCTGTGCTGCCTCACTTCCGAGTCTTCCTGCAACTGTCAATTAATAAACGCTAACCAAGCTGATGTTTCGAAAAGGAAACAAGGAGGATGCTGCTGTTTCCCTCACACCAGACACAATAGACCTCTTAAAAAAAAATACCAAAAATTCCGCGCTAAGTGCACAGCAAATTACGGGAACGCTCTGTATACTCGTCTTTGTCCCCTCAGCATCTACAATGTGACACTGAAAAGAGAAAGAAAGAGCGAGAGAAGGGTAGCGTAGCTGTTGCCTGTCCTCACCTGCTCGCCTGCACATCCTCCATTGCTTCCAAGGTCACCTGCTTCAGTTCGATTCAAACTGAATGCTTCAGCGTTCAGTTTGATGCCGTGAATTCTGCGAGGATGCCTCAGTCGTCTGCCACAGCCCGTTCTATACACTCAGTTCCCAGCATTCAGTTTGATGTCGCGGAAGTCTATTCTGCTCGCGCTGGTCGGGAGGACTTCTCTATAACTATGAGCCAGCACAACGGAAACCCACCTCTAGCCAACCTCAGGCTGCGGGAGTGGCGTGCAACGGTGGCCTCGGCGTCTTCGTCGGTGGAGCTCTCCCCCGCACTCTGCACGGGCGAGGGGGAGGAGGAAGAGGAGAGGGAGGGGGCTGCCCTGCCGCGGGACGAGGACGCCGTGGTGCTCGAGTTGAACATGCGCGTCAGGACGTCCGACATGCGCTGCATCAGGCTGGCGTGTAGGGAGCGCGGCTGCTGCTCGCCCAGGGCTGCATGGAAACGGTACGATGTAGTCTCTGTGAAATGGACCCCTTCTGAGAGTAAGAGCCCTCCAGAGGCAGTCTCAAAAGCTCCAATATTTCTGCACTAATGCCGGTGATCGGAGAACACGTTCAGCTAGATCAAGCACCCTCGATTTTGTCGATCAAAGGCAACATACAAGCATCTAAACATTAGAATTCATTCCCCGCTTTCTGCTCTACGCTCTCGAAGACGTTTGCTTTTCCTAGTGTGAAGAAGCTGTGCAATGCTGCCTTTAGTGTGCCGGGTTTGGCTCTGCACAGGGTGGGTAGACTGACTTTTGAAAAGTGTTGAGATTCTCACGCATGTCCACAGAATGTTTTGTGTGAGGGAGGTGAGGGTGGAATCAACGAAATATGTTTAGAGAGCACGATCGGGACAAATGGCTCGGTAAAGGCGGGCAAAAAAAAAACGAGACAAGTCAAAGCTGTACTCACAACCAAAGTTCAAGAGATGAAAAGGGCATGAAGAGAGCATGCCCTTTTCAAACAATCAGGTCGAAAACACACGCATAAACCGACTCGTCAACCAAGAACCACGTCAACACCGAGATAAGAACCCTACGCAATGCAATTTATTCTTAGCCGCAGGAACGCGACCTCCTTTTCAGATAGAGCCACAGGTTGGTGAATCCTTTAATGTGCATTTTCAGCCTGGTTAGCTTACTTGCTTTATTTGTGCCCCTTTATCTATTAAACTTCAGTTGCAAGTACAGCTTTGTCCTTTCTTTTTCTGTGTTCACTGAGCTGTTTGTCCCCATCACGTACAACATTTACCAACAGGCCCGATTTCCTAATATTTATCATTGATTTGCAGCAAAAAAACTTGCTATTCACAACCTTTAGTTATACGTCAACCCATAACTTTTAGAATGAATGAAAAAGAAAAAAATGAAAAAGGTTGGTCTACATTCAAATAAATACATAGATGGCTCACACAGTTTGCTGCACTACAGAAATGATGTGGGCTGTCTTAACGCACCTCTCATCTCGCACTCGGGCCTCGCATTGGGTCCAGTGTCCGACCAGTCTCCTCGCACCCTCAGTCGTTTCATTGACAGGCGAGCTTCTTTCTGTTTGGACTGAAACATCCGTGGAATCATCGCCTTGCAACCGTGAAGCAAAGTACCCTGCAACGACTACCAACTCAATCCCCCGTGCACACGTGCAAAGAGTAACAAATATTGTAGTCTGCAAGCTCGACTGATTTGCCGTCGTACTTCAAAAGATAATTCCTCCCGATCCAATGTAGGGTGCCAATGTCTCTGCTTAGTTCTCCACTGTCGAGGAAACATTAAAGCGGAACCCTCCTGGTTAGGATATGTACATAGAAATTGGTTTGCAAAATTTCTGAGCGTTCGTTTCATAGCTCGGAAGATAAGAAAATAAACAAGATGTGTTCTTTGCCTTCCAAATAGCATTCGTCGCGTGGTCTACAGCAGCTGATGTGTGTGCCTTCCGAGAGTTCATAACAGGAGTAGGGGAAATACTGAGAAACTGCCTTCATCTCGGCAATCGGTTACTGCCCAAGTTGAGCAGTATTGGATAATCAAAGTGGCAACCCGGCACCATTAATTTTGGGCAGGCCCCTGTGCATCATACTATTATAGTTTAGTGCAAATATAAACAGATAATGTCACTCATAATGCAAATGTATCGAAGATACATAATGAGAAACTTTGGAACCACGAACAGAAAGGACAAGGACGACACCGTCCCTTGTCCCTTTATGAGCTGATGCACATTATGGATGTGCACCAGCTGCGTTTTTACTCTAATTCCAGTATCAAAGATGCTGTATTGCCCCAACATGTTACTAACATTGTTTTCTTCTGGTTCAATGTACAATAGAAATATATAACAGAGTAATTTCCAATTCATACTGCCGTTGCTCTTAAATTTCTAGGTCACTCCTGAAATTCATCTGCTATAAACAGTACAAATTTATAAAAATACAATTAGTTTAAGGAGTGGATGAGCAAGAATCTTTGTATAAATAAAATAACCCCCTTGCGTTGAAATAAGCTTAAAAATGTTAGCTGCATATATATTTATTTTGGAGAAATATTAGAGCTAATTTAGTAGTTTAACACTTATTTCACACAATACGCTACCGTTGAAGAGCTATGTTGCATGTAGGCAACTGAAAATTTTTACCTTCAGTGATAACAAACAATTTGGGGGTGAAGCATTTCAACATTTTCAATGTTTTATCACATCAATATTTGTAATTACTAAATTTAATTCCAACGATGATTATTTCCATGTTACAACAAACTGAATTCCAGCAGCGCGATAAAATTAAAAGGTTCTACAGCTGAATACAAAAGGAAACAGCGTTAAAGTTTCATTAAACTTTCCTCTCACCTTCTAATCAAGACCATTTGCTGTGGTCATAATCAAGCTTGAACTTTTGAAATTCCTATAAAGCATAAAATGAGGAGCACCTCTGTGGTATTTGATGATTTTCCATCTGCTCCATAGACTTTAGGTTCTTGTCTACACCCCTGCATGAACAAGGCACAGAAAAGGGAACTTGAGTTGATCGAAGCACTAACAGACTGCACATAATTTGTGATTGCTGCGGTATCTGCTACATTAATAAGAAAATTACGGAAAACCTTGTAAGGCTTGTGCCTGTCATCAGAAACCCCCAGTAAGACTATAAAAACGACAAGTTCGAGCTTTATGCATGTACAGCTGTATATGCATGAAGCAGTTAGCCCAAACATACAATTGCCTATTTTTCCCTTTTTTTTTTACATGCCTAAAAAAGCTGCCATTAGAACTGCTATATCTAAGTATAGTCTAAGCTCATTACAACAGACCTGGTTACAACAGACATTTGGACATAACATACCGATTTGTGAAGTTCGGTTGGTTTTCCTCTACATACCATTGACTCAACTTCATATCTGCATACAACATACTCCTTTTACAACAGACCGAAATCTTGGTCAAAATCAAGGTCTGTTATAACGAGCTTAGACTGTATTGAAATGAAATAGTGTAAGAGGATGTTTTCTATGAGTGAAAGGCAGCAAAATGCTAATGTCATGTTTAGGCTAACTGTGCTTTTAGGGTACTGATTTGACTGGTAGCTTTTCTTGCTTCATAATTTTTTAAAGGACATTTTGAAGGAAAAGAGAATGAAGGAACATGAGTCATACAGAAATTTCCAACAATCGTTCCCTCGTTGGAATAGTGAGAGACAGTGCAAAATCACCAGTAATCAAAGATATAATACTTCATAAATGCCAGAGAGTGCAGAATCACAACAATCTTTCTTACCTCTGCGTCAAACAGATAGACGTAATCTGAAGAGTAGCTGACTAGCATCTCACGACCGTTGGGGCTGTACGTGAGAGACGTGATCCTGTGGCTCCGCCCCTCGAATTCGGGAATGACGAGCCTCGATATCATGGCATCCGAGCTGTTGCTCATGTAGTTCCCTGAAGAGAAAAATCGCATTCACACAGCATCATTGCATTTTAGGGTCCAAGTAATTGTGCAAAAATATGCTTTAAAGTTCTAGGAGTCCAACTGTTAGGGCTTGAGGTCCTAACGTAAATATTTTATGCCAACACTACATTCTTGCCTTCCAAAGTGTTTGTTAAGAATTATAAAACTACACCACAAGAACTGAAAATAAACACGCCAACACTTGTCTAAAAAAATTAGTAATTAACTATGATTAAAGGGAAGCTACGGAGCTTCTTGAAAAAAATGAGTTAGAAGTGAATTCTAGTGTATTTTTACCTCGTGAACCCGAATACCCAAACCATTTGCTGCGCAAGTATTGTTAAACGCGAGAAAACGCGAAAGAAAGTCGCTGTATGTGACGTCACCGACGGATCTTTTGGCTGCCCAAGGCTAGGGAGGCGGGGCTTCAGCCCTATTTTGAAACTGTTCTTATGGCTCTCCGGCGCGTCGTGTTGAAATATAGTTGTGATATCTGTTAATCTAAAGGCCAAATGAACGCAATTCAAGCGTTTTTTCTCAAATGCAGAAGTGCCCCATCTTCCCTTTAAAACTTGAGAGTTTATTAGTATACTATGGTGCTGCAAGTACAGTCGCCGACCGATTTTTCGGACGCCGATAATTCAGACTTGTTTGATGTTTCAGATCTAAAGGAGGAACCGTGACCTACCCGATAGATATAGTGCATATTCACGACCGATGTTTCGGGCAGCTTGAAATCCGAAAGTCTGACTTTTCTGACAAAATCGTTGCGAGCGATCAGTGGAAAACATCACAGAGAAGCCGCCATTTTAGGTTCTATGTTGGCTGCACATGGATTGGCTTGGTTTGGCGGCACTAGTTGAGTACTACTAACTTAGTACTAAGCCCTGCCACTAAATGACGCTACGCTATGGCTTTTTTTTTTTCTTCTCTAACTGCGCGTCATTATCATCATCATTGTTACCATTTTGCTTTGTTCATTCGACATTCTGCGGTCATGGACTTGCACCTCTCATCTCGTCTCGGTGAATCATGTTTTCGGACTATGCTGGCTCGGATGTCACGGCCCCATCTGTTCTTCCGCCGCCACGAAGTGATGCTAAGAAGCGCGGAAAGTACTCTACCATAATGCTTGAAAAGAAGGCAGCGATTCTCAAGCTAATAGAAAGGGGCCGAACGCTTTATGTCTGTGCGCCTTGATTCAGGCGTAACCTGAAGCAAGGCACTATTGACGGCTTCTTTTAGCCCGCTTAGAGAGTTTTTTCATCTGCTGATGTTTTAGACTGCTTTATTATTCGGACGTTTTTTTTGGTCCCTGCAAAGTCCGAAAAGTCGGTTGGCGACTGTATAGATCAAATGACTGAACGTAACTTATTCTTGCCAACCAAGTGATTTTTTTATATATGTGTGCATGTCCTACAATGGGCAACTAAGATTGCCGAAACAAATCCTGAGCTGGTGCATACCTCTGAACAGTGCAGAGCATCGATGCATATGAGAATTCGGTACAACAGCTGTCAAGAGAGGCATTGGTTCACCTGTTGTGCGTGTTCCCAGCATGCGCCTGTCGAACACCCTGACTGCAGAGTCGGAGCACCCAACAGCCAAGTGGAAGGGTGTCAGGGGATTCACCGCGATGGACGTGATGGCACGATGACAGTTGATCAGCACATCCTGGCCAGATCAAAGCAGAAACATGCGACATCTACAGACCGTTCCAATAATCGCCTTCTGCATGCCATCATTTTTTGTCTACTGGGCTGTCGAAGGCGTTCTGAGCACGCGCAGTAGCAGTCTCTGCGGAATATTTGATGCTGCGCATGCGTTCACAGCCCAGCGACTCTACAATTTTGGCACAGGTTATAAGCACTGGAAAGGTGTACAGAGGGGGCTTATGTATGCTCTCCAACACATGGTGCACATATTGTCCTTGGATGCGTTCTCGCTAATTATTAGGTATAGCACATTCGCCGTAAAACAATGAGCATTTTTATTTCTAATCTACATTAATGACTTGCATAATCTTCTTCAGTGTGCTCATTCGTCGACAATTGTGCAATTTGCAAATCTATTCATTCACATAAGGATCAGGTAACTTTTCAGAATGAAACTCACTGATGCCCAAAATGACAAATGGCTTTGAATTTCAATAAATATAAATCACTCTCATTCTCACGCCGTTCACTTGTTGCATAATTTTCGTGTCACCTTGCTAGTGATGCCTTGTTCATCATACAAATACTTGGAAATCCATTTTACCTCTGATCTATCATAGACTATTCGCAAAACCTCTGTCATTGCTAATGGTAACCATACTTTCGGATTTTTTTTGCTGTAACCTCAGACTAGCGACACTCTCAGTAAAACAACTACTAGCCTACAATACATTGGTAAGATACAAACTAGACTATGCTTCCCCAGTATGGCCGTTCAAAATGGATAACTTTGTTTCATTTATTCTGACTACTCTCCATATACAGTGCAACCCACTTACAACGATACCACATATAACAATGTACCGCTTATAGCGATCAGTTTCTAGAGTTTCTAGACTCGAAATTATCAATTTATAGTCCAGATACAACGATAATTGGCTATAACGATTGAAACTTCATGTTTTCTCATTACCGTTATAACTGGGTTGCAGTGTAGTAGCATTTCAGTATTATGCCGGTCAGCTAAGCTGGACACACTTTCTCTTTGCTGGAGAGTGTTCCACCTCTCTCTTCTTCATCATATCTTTTATCACAACGAACATCTCAAAGAACCTTTGCTATTACCTGCTCACCAAATTTTCTCTCGCTTCAACCATTCTTGCAAACTACAAGAAATTTCATCGTCCAGAGTCGCCTATCAAATGTCTACATTACCATTGGCCAGAAAAGACTGGAACACACTACCTGACCACATTGTTTCTATAAATACCACTAACATATTTGCAGCTGCCACTACCCTTTTCCTCTCTAACCCCCCTATATCTATCTCAGTGTTTTAGCACTTGTTCAAGTTGTGTTGATTGTCATTTCGTACAGTATAAGTATATGCTACCCCTTGTCTAATAAATACCCTTTTGGCTCTTTAAGAAAAATAAATGATGATGATGATGAAAGACGTGATCGTTTGGCCAATTGCGCATCGACCACAGCAACGCTTTTGGTTGCACATGCCATCAATATAGGGTGACCAGACGTCCCGTTTTGGCCGGGACAGTCCCGTTTTTGAGGTCCGTTTCGGCCGTCCCGTCTTTTTGTCTCAATAAAGAATGATGTCCCGTTTTCGCAGGAGTGTATAATTTCGAAATTTGCACAAAGCGAGTTGAAGCAAGCGGAAACTATGCCAACTTGTTACAAGTATATTTAACAAAAAAAGAAAAAAAAAAGGCGTAGGTACTTTAAGATATTTACCCAGTAAAATTGAGAGAACTGTTCTTGCCCACAAACACGTCTTTTTGTATTAACTCGTCAATAGAAATATCTTCTTCTTTTTTTTTTTTTAGTTACTGAATACAGCACGCATGTAATACGTTAACGCTTTGAAATAGCAGTTCTTGCATTAAATTTTTTCTCTAAATCTCAATCTTTAGTATGCCCCACTCCCCTCCCCCCCCCCTCCTCCTCCTCCTCCTCCTCCTCCTCCTCCTCCTCCTCCCCCCCCCCCCCCCCCCCCCCCTTCCGGGGTGGGCAGTCCAGTTTTCTGCCTTGAGGAATATGGTCACCCTACATCAATAGCAATATAGACATTCCCAACAACCACTGTCTTAATATCTCTGCTGATTTTCGGGGTTGAGTAAAAGTTGATGCTCAAAAAGCAGGCTGCTCCCCTACGTCAGAAATGTGAACACAAAGCGCCAATAGTACAGTGGAATCTCATTAATTTGAACCAGAGGGGGACCAGAACTTTGTTCGATTAACGCAAAGTTGGAATTACCGGGAGTTTCCTTTTAAAAACACATAGGACGGTACCTCCATGTTAGTAGTTTGAATTAGGGATTTTGAGTTGACGAGATTCCACTGTACCATGTACGAAATAACAGAAGCTCTATACTTCATGTATGATAATAATACATCAATAATAATAATATATCATAATTATAATTGTTTCTTATCTGTGCCAGCTTTCAGCGTGGCTTCGCACCTCGGAGCACTCCTCGGTGGAACAGCTGGTCTTGGTGCGCAGGTCGAACCACCGCACTGTGCCGTCCTCGCCGCACGACAGGAAGCTGTGGGGGTCGTTGGGGACCGTCGCAATCTCGTACGCAGTGCCGAAGTGGCAGCTGAACAGGTTGCGCAGGCTCGTCTCGGGGCGCTCCACATCCGAAAACAAGATGGCTCCATCGCCGGAGCAGGATACCAGCTGAGTGAGAGCAACAGGCCTGGTTATTCTATGATGCCAGCAATCAGCCATCATGCCATGTTTACAGTCGACTGACAGTACTGAAATGGCCCGGTTTGCCCACAGTATGGTACAAAAATGAGAAGCTCCCGCACAGAATTGGAACTCGCATACCGCCAAAGAACTATCCAAGTCACATTGCTTACATACACATGCCAACATGTTGTTAACAAACAAGCCCGCGTTTGCCCACACCGGGTGTGGGCACCGACCAGATTTGCACGAAACGAAACGTCTGTGCAGGCAGAGTACCGACAGCAGCGCCACTGCAGCGACCCGACGTCATAAAGTTGAGTTTCGGTATACCGGAAACATGACCAGTAAAACATACATGCTTGTTCTTTTTCAGCAGTCTACAGCTACAACGCACCTCATTTTCATATAGGTCAGATAAGGCGTTGGCGTCAGATAGTATAGAAAAATAAGGAAACCCTTTTGAAGGTAAACCTGCAAACCTTGCTCCAGGAATGATGCTGGTTCGCTTAGCTAGACTTTCTCTAGGGGAGAATGATCAACTGATTTTCTATATCTTTTTTGCAGCTAAATACTCACCAGTCTATCTCCGGAGCTTGGCAGGAACTTGGCACTGAAGATATTGGCTGTGTGGCCCGTTCTAATGAAGGCCAGTATCTATAGAGATGCAAAAGGGAAAATCATTGTCAAGCAAAACAAATCTGCCTTTGAACAAGCTTGACCTTTACCGCAGTCCCATCTATTCTAATAACAATGCTGTGTAAGCTTACCGTATGCGTGTGCGCATTTGTGATGCATAGGTGCTGATCGTCCGAGCCTGACAAGATGTAGGTGCCAGCTTCGTTCCAGCATATTGTGTTCACCTGGAAGGTATACGACCCTTAAAATGTGTATCAGTCAATCAAATTTTTATATGTATGTGGTTTGCACTTATAAACTTACTAGGCAATTTCAATATTAACTAGGCACCATATGAAGCTAGTAGAACTAACTGTTCACTGATTTTATCTTAGAAACAAGAATTTCCAAACACTGCTAATCTGTGGAAAAAAAAAAAAAAAAATCTCAAAGATGTGCAGATGTTTGGTCGTTCGGACCACCAATGAGTTCACAAACGGCTGAAGAGTGTGCGCTTTCAGATGGCAGGAAGGAGATTGGTCACTAAATTAACAAAACATTGGGCCTGTTGTAACACTAATATTCCAGATCAGACATTATGCAATTGATAACTTTTCAATAAATATCCCGACACTGACTTCTGGAACAATAAATGGCATCCACAGAACTAGCATTTAAAAAACAGGAGTCCAGTCAAGTTGCTGTGAAGCAACGTTCAATCTCCGTCACAAAAACTGGGAGGTAAAAAAAAAATTACCAATGCATAGGTCATTTCAATCAGCTGTTCAAATGCGCATCAACTTACGCAACCGTTGTGCACCGGTAGTTTCACTTCCAGTCGTAGTTTCTGCACGAACGATCGGCTCCCTGAAAACGTCAAAAAAGATCGGAAGAGCTTCGCAATATGTGTGTCCACAGCAGTAACTCCTACAACATCCGAGGATGACAAACGGGGCAGTGTGAATGGAGCTCGTTTATTTTTAGAACGCATAAATCCGCCGACGCGCACATGCATATGCTGCGCTTCCTGGCTCCAGAACCAAGGGCATCAAGGTTTACATTGAACATACCGAGTCCATTATACTTTTTTAAAAAAAGCGGCTCACCTTTGGCAGCATCGAAGAGTTCGTACGGTGTTGAATATCCGTAGGGAGACCCTTCAATCTTCCAAAATAGGCCTTTTTTACGGTGCATCCTTGACTGCGTCACTGTCACTGCTACCTGAACTGGGAAGCGGACATTTGCCGTGAAGGCAAGCGCTACATTAACGATAAATTCGGGGCTAGGACGTCTAGAAAACAACGCATCCCGTTCGCGATTCACTATGTTGCGATCGTAGGACGACAGTAGCCTATGCTGGTAGCGGGAACGGTGGCGCTGATCGGGAAATCAATCTCGGGATAGAACTTGCATTTTGGTCGCGTGGGTATTTTTAATCGTTCAGACCCAAAAGTTGTGATACTCAAGTTACATCTGACGTTGATCAAATCACGTCGTATTAGAATTGATCACTGGACAAATGTCAATTTCGATTTCGGTTTCGTGTGTCGGGTTTGTTGTCCGTCGGGTGCTGCCATCTTTCCCCTATTTTCAGAACCTCCCGCGAGGAAGCTAGGCAAGCCGACCAACTTCCGGCTACGCCCACGCGACCTTGAGCCATATGCTTGAGCCTGTTTGAGCCCTTGAACAAAATGCCTTGAGCTATCTGAGCAGCCAGCTGGAGGGCTGAGCCGGCTAACCTGAGCGACGGGACAACCTTGAGGCGGAAACGCCCATTGAGCAGGACGAGATTATTATATAAGGGCAAGGGCATAGAGGTCTCGTCCTATTTCTGTGGGTACGTCCACTGCGGGACATTGTAACTTTGTATCTTGTCGTCTCCCACGGAAGAGACCTTGTGCTAGACCGAAAAAATATCTATTTACTCGTGTGTTACCCTGAACTATTCCGTTCGTATTTTAACACAAGTTTGAACTGCCGTTCACATCAGTGGCCGCGTTCAAGGCCGCGATTACGCGATACACAACATGGGCGCGGCCATGTTGCACAACGTTGGTCACTTTGGCATCAAAGAGGGCTCTAAAGTGGGCAAATTAAATCGACCTCGGTAATTTCAAAATTTACGCTCCTGAATTAAAAATTGCGTGCATTAAACTTTTATTATATTTTCTTTCACTCGTAAACTGGCTTTTTAGCTTTAGATCTTGTTTAACAAATATTGCTTAAGTTATTTATCTAATGATGATGGTAGCTATTCGATTTTACTATTTGTTGAAGTAGCCAAGCCGATCCAGCACGGGCAAACGAGCGTTTTTATTTTTTGTGGATTTTGGCGAAATTTTTGTTGTTATGAGTATGCCCTTGCGAAGTTGTTCTGGGATTTTCGGAGAGTTTTTAGGCGCGTCAGAACAGTGAACCTAGTGATCGAACCGCGAAGTATGCGACATGAACACTTTCGTAAGCGTCCTCATTGCTGTTAGCGCTGCGCTTTTCGCCATCTTTCACAGCTACCCGGCTCCGCCGAAGTCCCCCCTACTCTACCAATGGGAAAAGAATGACGGGGGATCCTATTTCATCGCGGACAACTACGAAATTTTTTACAAAGGTGAGTTTGTGCCTCACTACAGAGGTTTCGTGGCCATGTCCACATAAAGTAACGAAAAGCGTTAGTATTCTTCGCTCATCTCGGGCGGCTAGCTCCGAGAAGTTTAAAACGAAACATTAACAGCTCCAATATTCAGTTATTTCGTGAATAAATTCCAAGACGCAGGAGTGAATGTTATCCTGTAGCTTCTCGCCAATAAGTCGCCTCATTTCAGTTTTCCGTGGTGGTCTTGTTGCGTGATATATAGGGTGCTTTATTGATGAGTTGTTATAAGTGTCGTAATTAAATAACGAAAGAAACGTTGCAGTGTTTTCAAACATTCAGAATAAACACTTCAAAGGCTCTCAGTGTCGGGCATATTTTTTATTATTCATTATATCCGTAACCTTTTTGTATGGGAGTCCTTAAAAATGTTAATTTCAGCTAACCTCCTCTGAGAATTCACCAGGGACACCATTTGAAAAGTCACATTTGTGGCATATAAATGATGTCTACTGTAGAGGTCAGAGCTCACAGTAAGACTGCTAACCTTGGGTCTTCAGCATGCTATGCAGCAGTGAATGTTCTGCACAATGCCAAGTGTGACACAATGTGTGTCACATTCAGAATGTCACGAAGTCTGCAGCATCTTTTAGTCCACGTGCTGTAAAGTCATGCTACATTAAACACGGCCGTTCACCCCAAACCCCCCTACAGTTCTTTGGATTTCATAGTTTTGTGTTGTGACGGCTTCACACATGTAATTCCACTCCGCAGTCGTCAGGAATTTAATCAGGTCTGTCTGCCCCTCCTCTCCCCCAATTTTTTAAATTTTTGTTTAGGCTAATTTAAGTTTTAAATTGTAAAATGCTCAGCCTCCTTTATTTGTTGAAATAAAATAAATGTAGCACTAGCGATCCTAACCAGATAACAAAGTTTCAGAACTAAACATTTTTTTGTTTAAAAGTTATAGGTGATTTTCTGAAAATTTCAGTTAAAAGATTTGAAGGTTCTACGGCTGCCATTTTCCCAACGAAAATTTAAGAAAATTGCTTATTATTATCACTTTATTTTCGGTTTGAACTGCTAGCAGAGGCTAAGCATTTTGAAACACATAATTTATTTTTACAATAGAAAAAAACCCTGTAAATTTTTTATTAATTTGTTTACCCCGTGTACACTTGGGGTCTTAAACACCCAATCCGCCTGCTTGCTGGGAAGTGGCCCGCAAACAATCGGCTGTGGACCCCCGTTCCTATATCCCGAGCACTATACTCCGTGTCACTAGTTGTGCGCAGTGCAGGTAAAGGCAACGCCAGGCGAAGAAAGAAAGGGCGAGCACTAGGAAGGTGGGACAAGCGAGGAGGGTAATGACGGGCAAGGGGAGAAGGGAGACCACTAGGGTTGTTAGAGAAGATAGGAGGTTTTTCTCTTCCTTCCCAGCCTTCCCAGTGCTTGCCTGTTCTCCCCTTGCCGGCTTGTAGTTGTTGCCTTTGCCTGTACTGCATGCAACTACTAGTGACACAGACTATAGGTAGGGCATGTGTCATAATGACCTCATGTCGCCGATTCATTTCCTCTTGAGATGTAGCTCTGCTTTATTACATATTCACATAGTTTATACTATTCTGTGTTTCATTTTGATTTTTGCTCCCCAGTTTTTTGCAATGTCAATCACCTGGACGGCAATTGCGGTACTAGGCTGCAGGCGTGAGCTCCTTGCTCAAGGATGCACCTCGGCTCCACAAACTTGCTCGGCTGGACCAACTGCAAACGATAAAACTATGAGCTTGGTATTTTTGCGTTCAGGAAATTTCACTGTTAGACTACAAGTATTCTCCCAGACTACTGCTATAAAAAACGTCAGGAAAGCAAAAACTGTCGTATGAAGAGTTCTTTTATTTTTAGGCATTTTGAGCTTGACTAATTCCCGAGAGAATTGAGCAATGAGAACGACAATGTGCTGACTCTCTTCTGTTCAAAAATGCCGGCACGTTGGTGGTGTAGTGCCCTTTTAATTCTTGTTATCAGATTAGGTAAGGGCCCAAAGTACCGTAAAATACCGTGGAAGCACCCACTTCGTTCAAGAGGCCACATTTCCCAAACTTGGGAATTCTGCAAATTGTACGTTAAGCGCCTGACTTGACCGGTCAAGCGCACATGTCAAGATTGACCCAATTTTCAGTGAAAGTGGGGTGGACGCTCCTCCGGTATTTTACGGTAGTCCTATAAACAAATTGAAGCCACAGATGTCACTGGAAAAACTGTGAATTTGCAAAAAGCAGAGATCTTGAAGTCTCCTCTTATCTCTTGACCCTTCTGCTTTACGTTGGACCTCGACCTTTTGGAGGTGGGCTATCAGGCTCCCCCACTTAAACGAGTTCCCCCTGCTATACATCAGTGGAAGCTCAAAGGCAGGTTCGGGGGTTTAGTATAGTCAAGAAATAACAGTGAAGTTTGCACCCACAACAAATATAACTTGCAGACATATCAGATAGCAAATTAAATCTGTGTTCTTGTTTTCAATGCAGATGTGACGGGGAGTGCAGACAGTGAGGACATCCTGTTGTGTCTCCATGGCTTCCCGACGTCGAGCTTCGACTTTTACCTCATGCTGCCCTCGTTGCGGAAGATATTTGGCAGGATCGTGTTCTTGGATTTTCTCGGACTCGGTTACAGCGACAAGCCCGTGAGTTGCGACCTCATACCTAAATTAGGGTTGTAGTGCGACAATTCTTAAGTTTGAATGTTATTTTTTTTACTCCCCTTATAGAGGTTTCACACCTACTCCATTTTTGAGCAAGCCAATATCACCGAAGCTTTGGTGGCCAGGCTGAGGCTGAGGAGAGTGCACATCTTAGCACACGACCTGGGGGACACCGTTGCCCAAGAACTTTTAGCGAGACAAAAGTAGGTTACGCTATTCTTTAGGCATTAATCATTGGGCCGTACTCCTGCCTTTTTGTGAATTTAATGCATGTTGGCTTTTCCACGGATTTGCAGCGAAGGGTCCTTACCATTCCAAATCAAGACTCTGTGCCTTCTAAATGGAGGTGCGTGCCATAATCTGTTCTTTGTGAGCGGAATGTCGCCTCCCCTTTTTTCACGACCTCAATGTTCCTTCTTTACCAGGAGTCCTTCCAAAGCACCATCATCCAAGATGGTCTCAGAAGGTGATGTTACTTCTCCAGTCCTTTCTCTCTAAAGCTGCCTAACCTTGCTGACTGCTTTTTGAGTGTGTGAGCATCACAGATTGTCGGAACGCCCATTTTCTAACGATAACCACATTTTTAGACTAAATATCTGCACAAAATTGACAAATAGAAGTTTTTACCACTAGACATAATGTTTTTTCGTGCCAGGTGAAAAACAAGATTTAAAGTGGAGCCACACATGTAGCAGTGGGAGATCCGTGCTCACAAACTTGAGTCTATAAGAGTTACATGTGCTACCACGAAAATAAATATTTCTCCCATTTCGCATTTTAGTAGAACTGTACCTATGTGCTTCAAGCCCCACTAGAAAAATAATATCTTTGTAATGGTTGTTTCCTTTCAGCTTCTGCGAATGCCTGTGGTCGGAGTTGTGGCCTCAAGGCTAATGAATCATCTAGCATTCAGAGTTGCGTACGTGTCACCTATGCTGTTTCTCTTCCTTATAAATTATTATTTTTGGGTGTGAACTCATACCTTATTTTCTCCTACACAAATTCCTTGCAACTTTTCCGAGAATGCAGTGTTGTAAGCATCACCGGAAGAAGTAGCGAAGTACCTTATCCGACATGGATGAAGAAAGAATAAACAATTAAAACAGGGACAATTCTTTCTTCATCCATGACTTAAACCAACACGCTCTTCTACTAAGCATACCTTATCCGTTACTTGCAAATTAAAAGAATGCGTTACCAACTTCCATTATTTTAAAATAAAAGGATTGTGGTTATTGTTACCAACAAAACGTAAGGCACACTACTTTTGCGTTACCTTTTATTTATGAATCAAAACATTTTTTTCTTTTTTTTGACGTTACAGGTATGCATAAGTACATTATTTCAAGAAACATTATGTCCATGCAGATACTTAACCTAGTTACCGTATCTTTTTTTTACAATTCCACCTAGATTTTGCCTCTCTTGGTTTCACCAAGAGAGGTAATGATGCCACACCTGCACCAAGATGGTCTTAAAAAAAACTAAACATAAACATGTTTTAATATTGGTCAATCTTGGTATTCAGACAAGTGGAAGGAGAGGTAAATGGTACAAATATGTATTTCACAACATCTACACTCGCTTCGTTTCATCTTAGGTTGGAGCACAGTCGAAGGCTCGAACAAAGTAATGTGTAACCGGTAATGCTGCTACTTGTAACGCATTACTGCCAGCATTGCGAGTATGTCATTGATATTGTGCGAGCTTTCTGCGAACATACTGTCCCCTTCAATTGAACATAAGCTTTTGTGAAGAAGGCATTGCATGTTTACCTGTTCAAAAGTTACCTGTCTCAAACTCGCAGACTGAGCGACGTTTTTGGCCCCAACACCAAGCCCACAGCAACTGACATCCACAACTACTGGCACCTGGCAAGGCTTAAAGATGGCTACAGAGTATTCGGACTGTAAGTAAGCTTTGTTAACTTCTAGGATTGATCCATTTCAAGCATTCCTGTGCTGTGTTACATGTGTGGATATTATGTCTGGAATTAAGTCTCATAAAAATCGAGGGTCAGCTACTAGCTCTTATTAGACTTGCACATTTTTTTTCCTAAACTCAAAAAAATTTTAGAATTTGCTAAAAGCAAGAGGGGGAAGGGAGCTTGTCTAAATCTGGTTGCATGCTTGGCATTTTATCATTAGTGTAAATTTAATTAAGTGAATATTGTCAAAGTAATTGACATGACTTACAATATGAGGTGCTTACTGGTACTATAAAATATTGCTTATGTGCACATCTGCTTGACACATATGCTATTGATGGAGGTTTTCTTGCATGTTATTTTGCTGCTTCCAATTAATGCTTGGCCCAATGGTATCCACATCCGTTGTTGCCTGTCCAGCTGTGTGACTGAGCAAATAACCCATTTTGGAAGAAACAATCCCATTTTTCTTGATTTCTGAATAAGGCTACTCCAACTTACTCACGGAGATGTCGTTAAAACCTGATTGATAACATTTGCATGGAAAATGGTTCGTAAAGGTAAATTCTTTTGGTATTGAATTTTTGTTTTGCAAAATCTACCATTTGTAAAAAAAATAATGCTTTTCCTGTTCCCGTACCACATTTAATCAATGTGAAGGGTTTATTGTGCCCAGGGCGTAAAATCGGGCATTCTACATTGTGCACTCCAAATCTCATTCAATTTTTATACCGTAAGTTGATCCCTAAATGGCTTATATATGGGTAGTAAATAAGCCATTTATTGCAATCTGCATCTAAATGTGGATATGTAAGGTATTGGCATACCTTGCATATCCACATTTTGCAATTATAAATTGTGACTCTTTTGCGTTCACAAAGCCTAAGAGCCACAAAGGATTGAAACACTCTGAAAAACACTACTTACATTCTTTGCTGTTCAGTGTTTAGCAAAAGATGGAACTTGTAGAGAAACAAACCCGCCTGAGAAAAGTGGTCTTCCCCTTGCGAACAAATGCACTGCGGGAAAGCGGCCCGCGCGACACCGTCCTGGTAGTTGTTGCTTAGCCGCAATGCATCGATGCTGTGGGGGGGGGGGGGCACGCACTCAAGAGGGCTAAAACATTGCCACTGCTTCGCTTTTGAACAATGCCCCAACTGGGGCATTGTTTTTGCTTGCGTGCAGGATCCAAAGCTTGATTTTACACCCTCACGTAGAAGTGTTTTCTGAAAACTCTAGTGATATTTATTACCCCTGTTTTGCGCAATCTTCTAATTTTTGAAATTGTTTGTCCCTTTTCATGCTAACTGGCATCTTTTATGGCTCAGTAAGTGGGTACTGTAAAATATTTTGTCCAACTTGGATTTTCACTTCTGTAGCTGCTAAACACAGCTTGAATTCAGGTGACCTGATTTGCATTGTAAATCTTGTTTGTGCCATTTAGGATGTTGTCATACATCGATGAAAGGGCCGAACACGAAGACAGATGGGTGGGAGCACTTCAGAAGTCGGCGGCCCCAGGTATGTAGAGAATATAAAAAATTAAAGCCTTTGCAGTTGTGGCCCTATATCCGCTGGTGGCTGTCACAGTCGCCCTCTTTAGAAGTGCGGTTACCCCCTTGCTGTTTGCCCGCCGGCCCTCTACAACGACTGTGAACGACATGTTTTGTTCAGGGCAGTTGGCACGTGCACCCAAGTCGGAGTAAACGCAATGAGCTAAGTTGGACACACATTGATTGAACAATTAATAACAATATATACTTAGGGAAAAAAAAATATATCGAGGTGCCTGTGTACAATTGTTGCACAAAGGCAACAATTGCAAAATAACAAAGCCAAGGTTCGAGTGGAGCACCGCACAATAATTAGAAAATCCGATAAGATGGCGCGCTACAACATTACTAGGGTTCTAAACAGAATGTGAGACAATGCTATAAAAGAACAAAAGAGCGGATGGCAGAATAAATTGAATAAAACTAAGTCGGAAAAGTTCGAGGGACAGGCCTCAATCAAATTGGAGCCTAAGGGGCATCGTCGGGTTCTCGGCGGTGGTAGTCCAGCAGGAAGACGACGGATGCGACGATGAAGAAACTTCAAATATGGTGTCGCCAGGCTGCCGTTTTCGCAGACCACCCCTCAACCACAAACGTCATGTCCCTTTGACGTCCCCACACAAAAAAATCTCTCCCTGCTTGCGGTCCGAAAACTGTCTCTCTCTCCCACGTCGCATTCCCCGCTTCGCCAACACCGATGGCACTCCCTTCACCAAGGGGAGAAAAAAAAAACGGGATTCGTCTTTTGTGCGAGGTTGCAAAACCCGGGGAGGCCCTCTAGGCCCATGCAAAACGGTAATTGGTGAAGGACCACCGACAAGCAGCAAAGATACATTCAAAGAAAAAGACCATGGGAGCATCGGCCGTGGCCAGGGTTTGTGAAAGTGGTGTACATAAGAACCAACTGTAGCACTCATGTTTGTGCTCTGTACAAGGTGCCATAAAAGCAGAGACACCACATGACTTCCAGAACAGAATTCTGGATTTAGATACATGAATGATGGCAATCCATTTTCTACGGCATATACAGCTGCCCGAACCTAATTTTTAATGAAGGCCGTTCAAAGTCTAAATACTGGAATAAGTGCAGAAGCAGTGCAGGTTATTTAGTATTTTATGAACGACTAGCAGACCTGATTTTTATGACACTGCCAAAATCCTGGAATAAGCGCATAAGCAGTACAAATCATTTAAAATTTTATTAACGACTAGCGCATTTTCTATTTTTACGAAACTGCCATTGTATGTCGCGGCAGTCTGATATTTCTTTTTATTCTATACCAGCTTAATAGAAAGCTAAACTTAGTGTGTCTAGAAGATTGAATAATATATAGATAAAATCTGTGCTGAAATTTCATCTCATGTTGAGCACAGTTTGTTTTATGTGTATGTGAGGAAACATTACTATTTAACATAGAAGAACTACATTTAGAATATTGTACCAGCTACAACAAAGCGTCATGAACCTAATATGCCCCAATAAAAATATAAGAAACAGTACAAGTCAACTTGTACCACTGTACTTGATTTGCTGAACAACGTTCTACAATTGTGAATGTGACTGACACCTTCTTTTCAGTTCACATGATTTATGGCCCCGCTGATCCAGTGAATCCTCCTCCTTTCCAAGAGCACTACAGGCAAGCTCTCTAAAAGATTTTGTAGAATCACACGATGCAACCTTGAAACCTCAAGATGATTTCATCCTTAAAAAACCTCTGACACGCCAAAAACATTTTTTTTTTTCTGATTGCTCCGACACCTTGTGGTACACTCTTACGTCACAGTGCACTGGTAAGAACTTTGAATTGGGCCTCGTATTTCTATTTTTTATAAACTCTGTAGTGAAACAATTCTCTTTTAATGTCCTGATATGCCATTTCAATGCCTAGCATGAAAAAAAAAAAAATTTTTTTTTTGGCGTGTCAGAGGTTTTTAAGAAACAGGGCGACAGCTGGATTCCACTTAATATAGTTTTTCATACACCCAACACATTAGTGGGACTGCCCATAGGAGACGGCTTCCCAGACATGTCAGTTTTCCAAAAAATCACGTATTTATTTCGATTAAAATTTCTTCCACAACATTAAAAGAAATTTAGCTGCATGACAGCATCCCTCTCCATGTTCCAGTAGCTTGTTGATGCAAAATTATGTTAATTGCCCAGTTAAAAAAAAAAAAAAATTGTTTATTAACGAGGCCAGTAGGTCATGGATCAGTGTTGAACTGGGCAAGTTGGTTATAGTTTAACACGCTAAGAACAACAGGTAAAAAAACGAGGACAATGAAAGGAACACTTGCAACAGGACAACAGCTGTATTCGCAATTGATCTTTATTACTATCGAATTACATGGTGTGCACACAATAAAAAGCCCTACATGTGACCTTTATTGTCAAGAGGGGACTACTAGACACCACTTGTGCCACTCATGGTCGGGCTTTCGTTGTCCTGTCGCAAGTTTTCCTTTCGTTGTCCTCGGTTTTTGGAGCCGTTAAGTACCAACCACATGTAAGCGATTTCGGCGAGTGACGAGACAAGCGATGGCAACCCGATTCGCGTCGCTCGGTCGGTCGCGCAATGAGGCAAACCGTATGAAAGCAACGGGAGCAAGAGACCAGGGCGATGAGCAACGTTTTCTAGAAATCCAAGAACCGAGCGACGCGACGGGCAACAGTGAGCAATCTCCATCGCTCGTCGCAGACTCTCGTTGCTTGTTTCGTCGCTCGCTAAATCGCCTACATGCGGTTAAGCCTTTATTCCTATCATGTTAAACCTTGTAGGTCTTCTTTCCTGCATAGCGTAAATTGTGCATTCCTATTCATCGGCTAAACGTGGCACCACTCCCTCCTCCTCGTGCCCTTAGGAAAGAGGTGCCAAGTTCGAGCATTCATGTTCTTCCCGAGCATGTCGGTCACTATGTGCAGTTAGAAGCACCACAGGAAGTCATAGCTGCCTACTTGCCATTCCTGGAGGCTAACGGTGTCAAGACCAAGACCATATCAGTCACCATACCCAAGAGACTCATCTGAACGCCAAGTTAGTACTAATTGGTTACAAGACATGTCCTCTTTTGAGGTACCCTAATTGCCAGCAGTGTCTTCTCATAACTTGCCTATACTTACCATTCGATTTATGTTTCGCTGTTCCTGCATTCAGTGTAGTGTTTAAAGAGTTCCTGTCGACACCCGTCTGATCTTGCTGTGCTTCCTTTTGGCCTTAACAGCTCATGCAGAGCAAGGCATTTTTACACCTGTGCATGGGCATGCAGGCTCTCTTATTGAAAACAAAAGCTTCAGGTTTCAAGTGGTTTTGTAAACATTACCTGGTGGCTACAATGCAGAAGATTCAATGTCGTTTTCCTGCAGAAAGCAAACTTTTTTAGCATGCACAGTGTTGTTGTGTGGATATACAGGATGTATTGTTTCTAAGGCTTTACGGATGTGTCTAAAAAAAAGTTGTGAAAGCTACGCTAATGTGGCTTGTCCAGGTGAGTTATACAGCCAAGAGGACATATAATATAGAGAGCTAATTGTCACAATAAGATGAAAAAAAAAATTGTTAATTAGCTTTTTAATTTGTGAGAATAAGTTTATGGTTCCATTTACAGACTTGCCGAGCATCATCTAAAACCACTAAATCAGTGGTTTTTACAGAGCCTTCGAGCACGTGGGAGGCACAGTAGTACACTGAAGTTCCCACTTGTGCAACAAGCAAAAGGCTAGTAGTGACAAAACGCAGATAACAAGAGACGGAAAAACCACGTGGGTGCGTTATCGCACCCGTAGCCTTGCTCCTGCTGCATGAGTGGTCATTTTAGCGTTCCAACGTGCTTCCCACACGCTCAAAGTCTTTCTAAAATTGACTGATTTAGTGGTTTTTGATGGCGCTCAACAAGTTTCCATGATTGTAACCATATGTTTATTTCCACTCCTTAGTAAGTTGATTAACATATTTTAGTTAATTAGCCGACTTATTGTGATGATTAGCCCCCAGTATTATGTCCCCTTGGCCGTATGAAGCACCTGCACAGACCACATTAGTGTAGGTTTTTAAAGACAAATCTGTAAAGCATAAAAAAAGAACACCCTGTATATCCCGTTCGTGCCTTCAGCCGCTTGTTCTTCGACCTAGATTTCTCTGGGTCTTGCAACTCTGGGGTAAAATTGCTTGCCAATCTCACCACTGTAGTGTAAGTAACTTCTTTTTTTTTCTTTGCACTAGTATTTTGCATCTACAAAATCCCAAGTTAGGGGCAATATTGTATCAAAAACCACCAGACTGTTGAAATTTGAAGTATCTTGCTCCGATACTGAAAAAACTTTCAGCATCTGTTGCCAGCGTGGATGTCTCCCAATGCCTGGGTGGTGATATTGTCTGAATAGCGAGTTTTCGGCTGTTGGGGCTTTTTGGGCGGATTTAACCGTCATACTTAGCATATTGTGTTCACAGAAGCATTCTGAATGGAAAAGTGAGACATAAAAAGAACACATATGGCGCTCCTGTGCATCATTATTATTAGGAATTACCAGATTTTATGCTCAACAATGAATCTGATCCAGGGGATTATTGTTCGACAGTTGTCTCGCAGAACTTCCCCAGTTTTTGCCGCATGTGTAAATGTGGTTTTGAGTCGGATATTCTTGGGGAAAGAAATGCCAATCTTTCAGTTCACTCTTCTAGCTCCTGGTAGTTGTCTAATGACAAAGGCCTACCTAGGCATTTGTGATGATGACTTCACATCAGATTAGCATTGGTCAGCCCATGGTAGCACTCTTACATTCTCTAAGGATGCATGCTAGGTGAACAGGAAGTTAAGTTTTCCTTCTAAACTTAGTGGAAAGAATTATGTCACATGACCTATGCACCAAATCAATTTCCCTGCTAAATTCAGCGAAAAATTTACGTCGCAACTTATGCACCAATTCAACTTTAGTGGGAAACCTGAATGGGTTTTTAGGTTCCGTGATGTCGGATTACGTGACATCAATTTTTCCACCAAATTTAGCGGAGAAACTGAATTGGTGCATAGGTCACGTGGCATCCATTTCTCTGCTAAATTTTCTGGGGAAACTGAATTGGTCACGTAACATAAATTTTTCCACTGAATTTAGCAGGGAACCTGAATTGGTGCATAGATCACGTGACATCAATCTTCCCACCAAATTAGGGTAAGCGGGGAAATTGAATTGGTGCATAGGTTGTGACGTAAATTTTTACGCTAAATTTTGCGGGGAAACTGAATTGGTGCATAGGTCGTGACGTCAGTTTTTCCGCTATATTTAGTGTGGAGACTGAATGGACCATTTGCTAAATCCCCCAAGCGCCCCGGCCCGCACTCGAGAAATCATGAGAACGGTGTTCCTTCAGCTCCCTAAGTGGTCGGTAATTTCATCCACTTCTAAGGTTACAGAGTCCTGGGTGTGATTCGGAGTCACACTAAACAAGCGTCGTACAGTGCCCAAGGACCTGTCGTACCACTTTTAAAATTTCTCGTCAATATAACAGTTTTCGATACTGTGCATGCCGTCACCCGTCAACCTGGCTGAGCTGCAGAAATCTCTGAAAATATTATCATTCTCTTACAGCTTCAAAGATGCTGATATTAGGTTATTAACCCTAAAAATGCCATAAGCAGCCCCTTTGACTCCAACTAAATCCTGTTCTTTTTTTTTTTTTGTGAATTCTCGGCTTTTTAAGCGATTCCTGCTAAAAGAACAATCACGAGAATGATAATATTGTAAGAGATTTCTGCAGCTCAGTCAGGTTGAAAGGTGGATCGCATACACAGTATCAAAAATGCTGACGTTGACAAGAAATTATAAAAGTGATAGGACAAGTCCTTGGGCACTATAGGATGCTTGTTTAGGGTGACTCCGAATTACACATAAAACTGTGAAACCATGGAATTGGTCGAAATTATCATCACTAGGGATCTGCGGGCCGGGGCACTTGGGAATTCAGCAAATGGTCTATGTGTGCACAGGTCGTGACATCGAAGTTCCCACTAAATTTAGTGGGGACGCTTAATTGGCGCATAGGCCACATGACGTCAATTTTCCGCTAAATTTAGCAGGGAACATTAGAGGCCAGATACAGAGAAATCGGTGATGAGTAGATTAATAATGCTATCGCATTAGAAATATTAAAAGAAATAACTGAACTTTTTCCTTTCGCAGTACCAGAAAGTTGGCTTTTTTTTCTTTCGGGGGAGGGAGGTCGGAATTAAAAATATTACTACGAATTTTTCTATTTGCTTGATTAGGTACATGAAATCCCAATTATTTCTGTGTTCTTTCGTGTAATGGCTCAGAATTTTCTTGCAGATATTTCATTAACTTAGTTTATGTTACGTTAACACCCTTTTTCCTCCATGTATTACAAGTTATCGACAATGCTAGTAGTATATTTGTTTTTAGAAGGAAATTCTAACACGCTTTTGTTTGCATTTCAGGGTAAAAATTCCTTGGTTCATTTACTGCACAAAATGGATAGTTCTCTCCAGAGCAGTATGCAGTATACAAGGACTAAAGAAGGTCAGCACAATGGCTTTGTAAGGATTGTGATATGCAACATTCCTTCAAGTGGATTCTACATTCATAAAGTACAGGAAAGAAATGTCGAAAGCAGGAAGACAAGTGTTGATGGGTCGGGTTGTGTGGATTTTATATTCAGAAAGACAAATGCCAAGCTCTACCAAAGGTCTGTTTAGGAAAACATGCAATATCGGTACACAATTTTTTGTGTAACAAAAAGTGGCACTTTTCTAACTTTTATGTGTCCTACAAATACATATTGATGAACATCACTCAAGGCTAAAATTTGTTCTAACATATGTTTGATTTCTGTTTGCTTTTCGCATGCCTTCGAACAACTTTTGTATCTTTTCGTAGTCCTTGGGAGACAAGACATTCCACAGGAAGGACACCTTGCATTATTTTGCAGAAGAATGACTCTTTATATCCCGTTTTTTTGTACATTATTAGGCAATAAATGTGCCATATGAGAAAGTGAGTGCCTTTGATTACTGAATAAGTGTTTTCTTTTGGTACATACAGAGCTGTTTCCGAAGAATGCCGACCTCTTCGTTCATTAAAGCTGTCACCAGTTGGGAACTCCAGTCCTTGCCTTGTGCCACAGGCAGATTGTAGTCACGTAGAATGACCTTGATCAGGGATGCAGCTAGACAATACTGGCTGCTATCAAGCTCCGTTTCTTCCGAGCAGAAGAGGAGGGATTGCCATTGTTTTCTGTAAATGCAGTAGTTAGTTGAAGTAGAGAGCCAGCTCTAAAAGTACAATTTTGATGTAAAAAAGACGGCCATCCCAGTGGACTTTGTACACAAAACAACACTGTTCGGATAATCTAATAATGAACAAAACCTGTAACTAAATACAACTATACTTTGCATCAACTTATTTTGAGTTACATTGTCAAGGTAAGCTGTTTCCAGTCTGCTGCAGCCCTGCACTGCTGTGAGAGCACGTGGCTTCGCCTTGTGTCTCAATTGCACATGCTCTTGTGCGAAGGAGATGCCAAACGAAGCCATGCTCACCCGCAGGTAGCTTATGACAGCGTTGTATTGATGCAGAAGCTATGCTAGCCTTGACAATGAGCACCAAAATAGTTTACACCCACTATAGCACTACTACATTGATAAAATTCCCGAAGTTTCTCCAGAAAAGCAAGGTTCCTTATGCAGCTCATGCAGCAAAATTCTTTAACTTGCGATGGATTAATTGCCAAATAGACAATACTAGAATGTTACCTGTCGTGACTCGTGCACAGCAAGGTCCGAATGACTGCCTTCCCATTCCAAGAGAGCCCTTCTTTGGTGAAACCAGTTGTGGTGCTTAAAAGTAAAAAGGATTGTGAGGATTAAAGAACAGACACCTCAGGTCAAAGTACAAACCTAAGGACATTCTTGCTCTCAAGGAAATCCAATTTAGACTGAAAGTGTGGCATTGTGTTCTCGTGCAGCGAATACAGCTTTACCAGGTGATCTGAAATGTGCAAAGCGGCGCAGAATCGGCATTATGTATAACTAGGGTTCGGAGTTTTCGGTTTAAACCGATAAAAACCGATAAAAGTACGCCGAATCCATTTTTGGAAATTCGGTTTTAACCGGAAAAGGTCAGTTTTTAGGTTCGGCAGTTTCGATTTAAACCGATAAAATTTCGTCGAATCCATTTTTTTAAATTCAGTTTTAACCGGAAAATGTCACTTTGACCGTCCAGTCGTACCGCAGAGCCGTGGCGAGCGTGTTTTCAAACTCGTTGTGAGGAAGACTGACTAGATGCAAGCTCTGCATGTTGTATTGTGCTTCAAAACGTCGCACCGCGTCTCTTTCGGCGATTTTGGCTCAGGCAGCGCGTCATCTCCTCGGCCTGCCAGCGTCCAGTGCTAGCGTTGAGAGGGCGTTCTCGAAGCTCAGTGTCATATATTAACAGGAAAGAAATAGTGTGGATCAAGAAGGAGAACCTGGGGAAGTACATGTTTGTGTGTACTATAATGAGATCACGTATTCCTGATGTACAGAAGGTGAGGTTGCATGTTTTGGGGGCATAGGCTTCATATCTGACTTGTTTGTACTTCTGCGTTTTTTTCTTGTTTCTTCTACAGTTGCACACATTTGCCAAATGAAGTGTCCATTTCTTTTTCAACGTATCTGTTCCGTTATTCTTTGAGTGATCACAAATATCAGAGCTACGTACAAGGATCATCTGATCCGGTGTCCGTTGGTGTTTATTTTATATTCACCGAAAAAAGCCGATAAATTTTTGCGGGCATAAATATACGCCGAAAAAAACCGAAAATTGAATTTTAAAATAAACACCGAAAAAAGTACGCCGAATTTTGAAAAAATAGAAACCGAAAACGCAGAACCCTATGTATAACGCCTGCCCAGATCTGGAGCTCACCTTTTGTGACCACAACCACGTCATTGGGGTTGTCGGGAAGCACAAATCCGTAGTCGAGGAACAGTCTCCTGTTGCTGTGTGGACCATAACTAATAAAGACTTGCTCATTGGCGTCATGACTCTTGTGACTCAGGATCTCGAAATTTTCTCCTACCATGGCAGTTTCAATCTATCGAAAAAGGCAGAAAAAAAAATGTTTCTCGTCAATCGGGGACGAACTAGAACCAAAAGCACTGACAAACACGTTCAATGCTTGGGAGGCACTAAAAAGGCCTGTGTAAAGTATGAAAGGTTAGTACTCGTATACCGAGTGGTTCAGCAAAGACAAAAAACGCAAAAAATGGGGTGGTTGAGAAATAAAAATTCTTTCCGGGAAGATACTGCTAGCCAAGGCAGATGTCAAGGATTGCAAAAACCATATAACATTTTAATTAGTGAAAATAAACATATGGTTCCTGTTAGAAATTTTGTGAACATCATTGAAAACTACAGCCTCACGAAAACCACTAAATTAACTCATCTTAGAAGGATATAAGGCAGCTACAACATTTTGCGGCATTCCAAAAAAATGCTTAGGATGAGCGTGTTTCTAGGTTTCGGCCTCCTATCAAAGCGAATCGGTAGTGGTTCTGAACCCTTCCCCCACTTGGCCGAGATGCAAACCTACCGCCTCGCTTCCTTTATAGGATGGAAAAAAATATGGCGCACAAGCATTGGGCAGTATATTCTCTCGCAGTGATACCAGCTGTGCCGTCTCTTTCCAAGCAAGTGCGAATTTGGTTTCTGCCTACACGCAGTGGCCACACCTCGTGCAGGAACTGCGCATTTGCCCACACCTCGTGGGGGCTGCGCGTTGGCCTATAGCAAGAGTGCGCGTGCACATCTTTGACAGGCGCTGAAGGTGTGCGGGAAGTGGTACCTTTAAAATTAATTTCTGCATCTTTTGTGCACTGAATTGAAAAATAATCTCAATTTTCGTGATCCCGGAGGCCAAACGAAGACGATGTAAGTGTTTTTCTCCAAGTACACAACCGCTTCAGTTTGCCTTTAAGTTTTTCAGTTTCGGATAGAGCTAGCACAATATTGTCTACTATAAAAAAGAATGCTACTACTTTAGAGACTAATTTTTTTTTTTCTGTTATTGTAATTCTTACAGTCTTATATGTAGCAGCTAAGGAGGTCTTCCAGAGGACAAACCAACCTCCGGGGACCACAGTTTAATGCAAAAATATCTTTACAATCGGATATTTTGACGATAACTGCGTCTTCCTCCTTATGAGGAGTGCACACACGCCGGTAACTCACGCTTGCTTTCCAGTGATGATTGAGACAGTCGAGAAACGGTGCGAGCGCGCAGTGGTCGTCCTCCCACAAGGAACTGGAATTGCTGCCTTGCGCGAAGATGCAGCGCGTGTTGACTGCTGTCCAGGCCCACACAAAGTTGTTCCACGTGAAACCGGTGCTCAAACACTGAACCTCTGGCTCCTCTTCGACGTGACCTCCAAGCAGCACCTTGAGCTTGAGGAAGGTCCTTTGGATGAAGGTTATCCCCGTCTGCACCTCCTCGCGCAGGTCCTTGGGGAGGCTCTCGAACACCTTCCTTCTCAGAAACACCGGGGTTGTGAAAGTCCTCGGCAAGCTGTCCACAAACGGCCACCATCTCGATGCCTCGCCGAGGAGCTTTTGATCCAGGACGAAGAGGGTCAGCACATCAATCGGCGTAAGCTTTGCATGGTGCCTGTGGAAGGAGGGGTCAATAGCTATTTGCTTAGTTATTGCTGATTGTGCTTGGCTCTATGTTTACATGCAATAAACTACGGTAGAAAGCAAAGCTTACAGGACATATGCACAAATGAAGAGTACTTGTTGGCCCTATTAAAATTGCTTCTGGCAAAGCATTTGGTTCGCAATGCCCCAGGCTTCTTGGTTTTGTTCGAATGCACTTTCACGATTACTTAACAGTAGGAAGCAAGGTCATGCGAATAGATCTTGCATATTCTTTGGTTCGGGTGTGCTCATTCACAATATTGCTCCTATGCCAATAAGCTTAAAATCATGAGTAATACAACCAGTTTTGGCCCTGGTCCATCGTCCTGCAGCCAGTGCTCGACTCGGCTGGTTGTGATGCTACTAGTAACAGCTGCGACTTCATGATACCTACCTTATTATGAACGAGTGTAGACGGCTTTGGAGAGCTGTCCGAGTGCTTATGAGCAGGCTTGCGGGTAACTTGAGGAAAGTTTCTCCGCCAACAAGCTTTTCCAATGCCACAACTCCTCTCCCAGTATCTTAAAGAAATATCGCAGAATTATTAAGGTTTTTGCTCGATCATAGTCCATCTACTAGTCTGTATGATAATTTGATGCAGCTTGGTGCCGTTTTTGGGAAACGACACGCTCAGAGCCGTATATTGAGAGTTTGGTCAATGGGAGGTGCCGACGGGAGCTGGGGTGGAGTGGCGAAAGTGTCGCCGCCGCCAGTGCAGCATATTCCTTCGTAATGAACTTGCGAAGTAAGGATGTGTTGGGACGACTGCGGCACTGGTCTTATGTTTCTGGATGAGGCTGAGAGTACATGAATAGGTAATTGTAAGAGATTGGTGTAAATAAAGAGTCTCAGAAAAGTTTTCTGAGACACAAGGCAAAACTGCGAACATAGGGTGCGCGTTCTGGGTTAGGGTCAAAATTCCCACGAAGTTGTGTATACGGTTTAAACTGTTTTCTTGATCGTTGCCGCGGCTGCAATCAGAAGAGAGATAGAGTGCATTTTAAATGTCACTGTGCAGCAATAATTAATGTCATGCGCGTTGTTCTTTCAGTTACGAAGAGTCGCAAATTTCAACTCTAGCGTGCTGAAATGAAATACTTTAATACATCCTTTTTAGAAATTGTGATTGGAGGGTATTTGTCAAGCTGATTGCCTCCGGTAGGGGAACATTTGTGGCTAGTGGTTGGTCACAAGTAGAGTGCCTACATGTCTGTCTGCAAAAGCGCGCGTGTGTATGAAGGCACTCTAGTCACAAGAGCTGTCAATCGTCGCACCCAAGGCCACTGAAACGATTCCGGCCAATTGACGTGCCCTTTTTTGGCCCTATTCTTACCAATTAGTGACCAAACTCTCTCCATTTACGGCTCTGGACACGCTCTACGGAGTCTGAATTAATACCTGGAAAATCGCGCAAGCCTAGCTTGCTGTGCAGACGAAAACCGTTCGCTTCCATCCATGTCAGGAGGCGGCCTTCGGAACCTCTATTCGAGCGAGCGCCACTCGAAATAGCCAGTCTCCGTCTCGTCCTTTTTCTGTGCGTACGTCCATCGCGGGACATTGTCGCTTGTCGTCTCGCATGGAAAAGGCTCTGTGCTATACCGGTAAAATATATATATTTACTCGTCTGTTACTTTGACCTATTCCATTATTATTTTAACAGTGAACTGCCGTTCCCATCAGTGCACCACTGGCCGTGTTGCGCGCGCACATGGGCGCGGCCATGTTGCACAACGTTGGCTACTGCGGCATCAAAGTGGGTTCAAAAGTGGGCAACTTGAAATGATCTTGGTAATTTCGGAATTTACGCTCTAGAATTAGACTTTTCGTGATTTAAAACTATTATTAAATGACTGTTCACTCACAAACTGACTTATTAGTTTTATATATTTTAAAACATATATCGTTGAATTTTTTTTTTATTTTAATGATGATGGTAATTACTTGTTTTTAGTGTTTTGTTAACAAAGCCAAGCCCATCCAAGCCCCAAGCCGGCCAAGCTGTCAGCTTTTCCTTCCACAGCGTCGCGCTCGCGCTTGTGTGTTGTCGCTTTATCGGGCTTCATTTCTTTCCAGCTGCGTTTGGTATCCAGGATTCCTACGCACTGTTCTATTTTTTCGCTCGTGTTGCCACCGAGCTTGTCAAATGTCATGCGATTCGAAAGGTCTTCGTGAATGCCGTTAGTAGTGGCCAACGTTGAGTAGCGGCCCGTAGCTGCTCGGAAATCGAACGCCAGTGGTCGACCTCGGCAAGATCATGGCTACATCCGTGGTGGCCATGAAATGGCTGGAACTGCTCGAGAAGGAGTTCGACAGGGCCTATTTGGACCTGGACATCTTGCTGGGTGAGCTGGACGACGAGCAGTGCGACATCTCGTACGAGGCACGGCGCAAGATGACTGCCCTGAGCGCCGCCTTCTCGCAGCTCTGTCACAAGGCCCACACAGTCTTCGAAACCAACGAAAAGCTGGAGGTAAGCGTTTCTAACCACTCTTCCTGCGTTATTTATCGTGGAAATACGTCTAAGAACTAAGAAGGAAGTAAGTCGTCACCGAACCGCTGAGACTCGGGCAGCAGTTTTCGCGACGATCAGAAGCTCAGCACGTCGTCCTCGTCTTGTTTATGATATGATCACATAATCATCATCACTAGACACTGCACTGCGCAACGTTGACAGCTCGGGCCTTTATAACACGTGTTTTTTTTTTTTTTTGCCTTTTTGCGGTGCCGCGCCTCAAGCGGTTACGTTGGTCGGTCGAACCGTGGCCGAACTAGGTCGAACGGTGTTGATGTCAACAGGTGTTGTAAAATGCTCTACTGCTATATATATATATATATATATATATATATATATATATATATATATATATATATATATATATAAAGAGTGACGAATGTTGACAAATGCTTCCGTTGATATATGGGCAAAAGTAATGTGCGCAGACACAGTAGCCATAGGATGATAAAAATAAAATTCTAATTTAATGGCGAAAAAAGTCACGCAAGAAAAAAGGGTGAAGTGCCGAAAAAAAGTTGTATTAGTTTACGGGAATAATGAAGACTAGGCACAAGAACGCTAATTACGCGGGAAGGAAACTTTTAAAAAGGACGGAGTAAAAGTCAAAGTTAACACACAAGACCTTACAATATATTACAATTACAATTATATTACTTACAATATATAACACACAAGAACTTATATATATAAAGGAGGCGCTTTTATATATATATATATAAAGGCACCTCGCGAGTCGCGTGGTTGGATCTGCTGCTGCAAAATCAGTTAAACATTGGTAATCCTTGTTCATCAAATGGCAGTATAGTATCTGCAGTTCACGCAGCTCTTTTTTTTTTCCTTCCAGTTACGTATTCCTGTTTTCTGTAAAATGGCCCCATGACTACAAAGTCAAGATTGTAGGCCAACAGGCAATGGACATTTTGGCGAGTTGGTAATAATCCATATTGAAAAACAGTGTGAAAACCACACGGAGAAAGAGAAGAGAACACAAAGGACAAGGTGCTGACTATCAACTACATAGAAATTCACGCGAGGACTGCTTCTTCTTTTTCGTTTTCCACCAGTTACTCATCATTTAGTGTGTACCATTATAAATCACATCAAATTAAAACTCACCAGCACATTAAAACACACCAGGCACGTTTTCAGAATAGATAGTTGATAGTCAGCACCTTTTCCTGTGTGTTCTCTTCTCTTTGTCCGTGTGGTTTTCACTCTGTTTTTCAATACAGACAATACACACTGCACAAACAAAAGTAGTGTTTGGTGAGCCCCAGGAGTTTGGTGAAGGTTCTTTGAATGTTCCTACTAACATTCACAACCAGGCCGCCCCAGGACCACAAAAACCCATAAAATTGTTTCCCATTTTTGCTAGAGGTTGTGAGAAGGTAAAGGTTCCAAGGGTTCGGGGTGTTCATACAGATACAAGACGAAAACACGAGCAGCGTACGCGTCCCGAGATCTCTAACGAGGCTGTCGTTCGTCTGTTCTGATCGAAAACAATTTGCGATAGCTCTATCCACAAGTCGCCCTCAGCGTTGGCAGAGGCACGGGCGCGGCAGGCTGGCTCTGCAGAACGCTTTTGTGTGCACGAGCAATCGCGCGTAGATAACCCTGTCGAAAACCACGCGCTCGCGCCTGTCCCGTTGCCAGTGCTGAAAGCAACTTGGTAATTGAAATAAAAGTTATTGCGCAGTCAAACCAATAATGCGTAGTTACGAGAAAAAAAAAATGGGACACGCACGCACACAAGAGGACAGGACAACAACCGTTGTCCTTCTGTTCCCTTTTGTGTGTCCCGCATCTCCGTTTTTTAGTAGCTTAGTTACTGATGACACATTAGCGGCCATTGTGGTGGTCTTGCTACTGAGCTTGTGACCTTCTGCAGCGTATATGCAGAGCGCAAGTTCGTCTGCTTCTTGCACCAGGGTTGCGATGATGTCAGAACACCGAGCTCTTATTGGTCGATTGAAAAAAATAGTGGGTAGACCTCGAGGCATCAAGCATTGAGGTCTACCCACTATCCTTTTAATGAAAGCCAATCAGAGCTCGGCGTCGTTCTGACGTCACTGTAACTCCTGCGCGAAAAGCAGACGACTTGCACTCCGCGTATGTTTCGCACCCCCGGCTAATTTCGAAGGAGCGAGCCGACGATCCCTCCTCTTCTCTCCGCGCAGCTGTTGAATTCTATATTTTACTCTGGAGGAAGGTCGTCGGGAAAGGTTAGTCGCCACACCCTGACTTTCTGTAAATATTCACGCTCTGCGTGAGCTCATAGGTTGGTAGTGTACTAGACCGATCACACCAGCAAGTTTGACTACGGCACCGCTGCCGCAATGCATCGAGGGAAGTTTAGTTTTTCTGCACGTGCGACAACCTTGCTGGAGCCCTGCGCGTGTAGAGCACGAGACGGCACGAGCCGCCTCGTGCACCGCAGCCTGCCTCCTGTAAACTAAAGTTATGGCGGCGTCACGCATGCGCTGAACGCTTGGCGCAAAGGCCCTTTTAGGTGCCCGTCTGACAGGGGTTATATAATCTCTCCCAAAAACAGAGGCATATATATCATTCAGAATGGCGGTAAATTTTATACACTGTTACTGAGCATGTATAATAAAGTTTTGTAACTAAAGATATGGTTACACACCCGGATAGTCGTTTGTGAACCAATAACAAGCCGCTAGGAGAGAAGCGAATATACAGGGTGATTCAAGGAGACGCCAGGCTCTTTAAATCGACCTCAAAATTCGGTTTCTTAACCTATCGCGCTACGACTTTGTGCAGCGTTGCCCACAGATGGTGCATTTGTTTTTTGTAAAATTTGCGAAGAGCGAACTTACCTGAGGAAAAAGTGAAGAAAGAAAAAGGCTTAGCTCCTATGGAAACGCAGCGACGCCACCGGTCTTCAAACAACACGGCGCCGTTTCGCACGGGAGACAAGAGATGGCGCAACGAACGAGCATACGGCGCCGAGAGCCGGCGTCTTTAGCAGACAATCTTTTCGACTCAAAAGCGGCGCGCGTTCCGCAGGCGGCGACAGTCGCAGAAACAAAAACTAGGGAGCCTTCATGTGCGCTTGGCACCCTAACAAAAACAGGCGCAGTAACAACAAGGAACTGCAGTTCCTTGTCTGCTAAAGACGCCGGCTCTCGGCGTCGTATGCTCGTTCGTTGGCGGCAGTTGGCGTCGCGACCGCTTGCGCCATCTCTTGTCTCTCGTGCGAAACGGTGCCGTGTTTATTTATTTATTTATTGAAAGTACCCTCAGGGCCCGAAGGCATTACAGAGGGGGAGAGCACATACATGAAACAAAGATAGTAATATAGTAACAAGTCAACAATATTAAATATACAACAAACAAAGAATAATAATAATAATAGGTCATGGGTCACTGCTAAAATAGCTAGTGATGGAATTTCTAAACAGGTTAGTATCAGTTATAGTAGCAATCAAACCAGGGAGGTGGTTCCATTCCTCGGCTGTGCGGGGTAAAAAAGAAGATTGAAATGTTGTGGTAAACGAACTTGGAACTCCAACTTTATGCTGATGGTCAAGACGGGATGAAATGTAAAAGGGGGGAGTAATCATCCGATTGCGTAGGAGAGGGATATGAAAATACATTTTATGAAATAGACATAGGCGTGAAATTTTACGTCGCAAGGAGAGAAGTGGTAAACATAAACTATTTTTCATTGATGTGACACTAGCAGTACGATGGTAGTTGGAAAGAATGAAACGGGCTGACCTATTCTGAATGGATTCCAATGCAGTGATTAGAGTATCGTGACCGGGATCCCAGATGGAGGATGCATATTCTAATCTAGGCCTGATTAATGTTTTGTAGAGGATCAATTTTAGTGAAATAGGTGCCAATGAAAAGTTGCGTTTTAAGTAGCCCAACATGCAGTTAGCACGGGTAGTAACATACTGAATGTGGGGTTTCCATGAAAGGTTATTTGTTAAGTGAACACCAAGGTACTTGTACGTTGCCACTTGCTCCAAAAGGTTGCCATCTAGGTGGTAACAGGGACTGTTGTTAGGCTTGCGGGACTCTCTCATCTGTTTACATTTACTAGTGTTTAGTTTCATTAGCCATAATTCACACCAACGAGATACAGAGTTAATATCAGACTGAAGTGTAGACAGGTCAGAATCGTGACAGATTTCACAGTAAATTACACAGTCATCGGCAAAGAGACAAACGGATGAAGACACATTAATGGGAAGATCGTTAATATAGATTAAAAATAGTAGTGGGCCTAAAACCGACCCTTGAGGAACTCCAGAATTCACAGACACGGGAGGAGAATTTTCGTTGTTAATTGTTACAAATTGTGAACGGTTATTTAGAAAAGACCGAATCCATGCGAGAACGTTAGGGTCAATGTTAAGTTTTGAAAGTTTTAACAGTAATAGCTCGTGACACACCTTATCGAATGCCTTGGCGAAATCTAAGAAAATGCAGTCCACCTGGGAGCCTCGGTCAAGAATAGAATGAATGTCATGAGTGAAGGATAGGAGCTGAGTATCACAAGATAATGATTTACGAAATCCGTGCTGTGCTTCGGTGAAAAAATTATTCGACTCTAGGAAATGTACGAGTTGGGAAAAGATAACGTGTTCCAGAAGTTTACATGGTATGCTGGTTAATGAAATGGGACGATAATTGTTAGGGGAATACTTATCGCCACCTTTCGGAATTGGAACCACCTTCCCCACTCGCCAATCACAAGGTAAAATACCATCTTGCAGCGACTGTTCAAACAATTTTGAGAGAATAAGAGATGAGTATAGTTTAGTGTTTTTTAAAAACTTGGAATTAATTCCGTCCACTCCTGATGAGGATGATAACTTCAGTTCATCTATAATTTTTGCAATACCAGCAGGATCAACAAAGATAGAATCCATTGGCAGATAACAGGAACAGCTCATCGAAGGGTAAGTTATGTTGCGAATATCGGAGAAAGATTCCATAAATATACTATTTAAGACATTAGCACATTCGTCACTGGGCACGCTGTCACCACTAGAAGTTGTAAGAGAAATTGAAAAACGGTCCTTTTTGTTAACAGTATTCCAAAATTTAATGGGGTTATTTACCAACATGTCTGGAAGACTATGTGTGAAAAAGTGAGATTTAGCGCCTTCAATCGCTTTTTTGTACACTTGTACAGAATTGTGATATGCGGCCCAGCGACGCTCACACTGGGAAAACTTGGCCGCACGGTACAAGCGCTTTTTTTTATTTGACAGTCTCTTCAGGGCTTTCGTGAACCAAGGTGACTGATTATTTTCAAGTATATTTCGGAGCGGCACGTATTTGTTGATAAGGGAGATTACCTTATCTTTATACAAATTCCAGTTTTCGTCAACCGAGCGCCCCGAAAAGTCTGTCAAATACTGGTCAAAGAAAACCGCAAGATCATTGTTGATCTGATCAAAATTCGCTCTACTGTAATCGCGTATTTTCTTTCGTTGGTCAGTCGGCCTAGATACCGATGTTTTGAAATGAAAATGTAACATAGAGTGATCACTGATCCCTCGAAGATAAGTTATGTCACTTGCATGTTCAGGGTGAGTAGCCAATATTAGATCTAAAACACTTGCTGTCGTCGGAGACACTCTGGTGGGATGAAGAACTAATTGCGACATTTGTTTGAAGACCGGTGGCGTCGCTGCGTTTCCATAGGAACTAAACCTTTTTCTTTCTTTACTTTTTGGCACTAACCTGTCCTGCTGTGGAAATGATGAAGTGAAGCGAACGGAATAACAGGACACAAAAGCTGAAGGTCGCGTTACGGCGCCGCCCATGCACAGCTGCCTGAAAGCATTTTGTAACACAACGAGCAATTTCATAACTTTTTTTTCTTCTTTTTAGTCTTTATAATTAATGAAACCATAAACTCTAGCAGTTATTGTATTGCAACATTCAACTAGAAAAAAAAATTATTATGACTGTTCCCACTCACGTGGTCGGGCACTTTTTAAGCGTGTAGGCTATTAACAACTGACCTTTTTCTTTCTTTTTTTTACGTGTGCATTTAAAATATTTAGCACTGTCGCGTTTAGCGAGATATATAAAGAAAAAAAAAGTAAGAGCTGAGAGAACGAGGGTTGAAGACAGGTTGGCAGCCTCGAAGACATCACCCTCGGTAATTTATTCTTCAACAGCTAGAAGTAATGTCTATTATATCGAAATGTACGTAAACGATACACCTGTTCTGCACCTTAAAGGACACATGCAAAGGAAAAAAACATTTTTTTTAAACGGCTTAGATGGAAAAAGGACGCCATAAAACGCTTTTACAACGAAGAAAAAAAATTTTTAGAGCTATATTTACGGCGCAAAACGAATTTGTAGTTGGCGCCCGCGGGCACCGCGGAAAAGTGGTCTGTATTTATCACGTGACTGGTCTTTATTTATCACGTGGTGCTTGCACTCTTTCGGAAGCTTCCTATGGCCTCTAAAAGTAACTTATTCATCTTTGTTTGAAGTATAACAAAAAACCAAGACGAATAAGTAACTTTTCGAGCCCAAAGGAAACTCCTGAAAAAGCGCAAGCAGACGTGTAGACCTGTGCGCCGGTCAGACGACGGCGGCGGCGCCCCGAAGCAGACGAACTTGTGCGGCGGCGGCGACGGCGGCGTGGAGAAACGCGTTGAAGCGGCGTTCGCACAACGCCCAGCGTGCGGCGGCGACGCAGCGCGGCGGCGCGCGGGTCTACCACGTGACCAGCGGCGGCTCCCGCGAGCGCCAACTACAAATTCGTATAGCGCCGTAAATATAGCTCTAAAAATTTTGTTTCTTCGTTGTAAAATCGTTTTATGACATCCTTTTTCCATCTAAGCTGTCTAAAAAAAATTTTTTTTTTCCTTTGCATGTGTCCTTTAAAGCGCCTCTAGCTTATAGCACAGACATTGGTTAAAAAGAAATTATCCTATTGTTGTTGTTTTGTCTTAAAAGCTCAGTATGTCTGAACATTAAAATAATAATACAACTTGTATTTTGAATGATATGTGCTACAATGTGTAATAAATTAATGAACCATAAAATGCTAATGCGCCTCCACAATAAAACCTGAAGAATAAGTTTGAAAATAAAAAGAAAAATCCCGGAAGTTCTAGAGGGATAGCCTGAGACTCGCGCGAGAGCTACATTTTTAATGAAAATTCGTTATGTATGCTGTTGTGCCAACCAAGTCGGAACTTGCAGCATGGCTTCGCGTATACTAGAGTTCCACAAAAAAGCTACCGCGCTCGTTTAAAAAAAAAAAGAAAAAAAGAAAAGAAGAATAGTAATAATGTGGTGGGAGAAGTTTAGTTACGCTGAGATTTCGCCAGGTGGTTCCTGCGTGTAGCTGCATAGTAGGCAATATGAATGTTCTATTTGTGGAGACGTAGCACCTGGCAGGCCTCTCCATATGCGTCACGTGACTTGCTGGGCGAGAAAAAAAATCTGTGAAAAAAGTGTGATCTGTGACGCACCTACTGGGAAGAGGTGCCTCGTGTGCACGGCAGCTTATCGCACTCAAGGTTGTCTTTTGATTGAATGTCACCGTTAGATTGGGAATAGAGACGGGGGAGAGAGCGACCTTGGGGGTCTTGATCTCACACAGGACGCAAGGAGTTGTCGAGCTGGCCATGAATGTGCGCCGTGCCTAAGGCGATTAAAAGTACCACGCACAATCCGGTCAGTGTAAGCTTCCAGTACTGTAGAAATGTATCCTCGAGTTTATGAAGGGATCGATGAGTCCGCCTGAAAGCAAAACGGCAGAGTTCAGGTCCTGATAAAAAGCAGGATATCTATATACAGGTAAAAGTAAAATATTGGTTTATAAAGAGAGACAAGTATTTGCGGGGGTGACGCGTTTCGGTCACTGCTCAGGTTGGGTGCAATGGTCCAAAAGAATCGCGTGGTCACTACGCGGAGGTAGCGCGGGTTCGTTCCGGTCTCCATGAGTTGAGCCGTGTCCGTTTCTATTTCCTTTCTTCGCACCACTGCAGCAGCGTGAGGGCAGGCGCTGGTGAGGGAAAGCTATGCTCCGTTCACCCCAGGCTGACAGAACTGCGGAGGCTACGCGCTGGACGGACCAATCAACCGTCTGCCGCCTGATCACATGGCCAAAGATTGACGCGTGTATGACTGGTTCAACGAGCACGTATATCTGCCACCGCGCTGTCAGCTTAGCGCTACAACATTGGTCGAAGAGGGGCCTGACGAAGCAATATGACGTACACGGAACTGTGCAACCTGGGAAGAACGGCGTATTTGAGTGTTTGCTTCTAGTTCACTTTTGGATTTTTCAATAAACAGTGACGACACACTACTTAACGTCATCGTAGTACTCGTACTCTGCGGTGCCGTTGACGGACGTCCTGGCCAAGGTCCGTTGCAAGGGGACTGTTGCTGACCTGCCTGTCACTGGTCTTGTGGAGGGCATGGTGGGTGTTGAGGCGTTCGTCGAGACGTTCGTTGCCGCCTTTAAGCACGGCTGGCGACTGCAGGGTTCAGACACGAGCCGGCGTACCTCGTCGAGCGTGCTGTTTCCGGCGGCGAAGACGGCGTTGACGGCTCCCCTGAGCAGGGCGGCCACGTGGTCGCTGTGTCCCTGCAGCTGGTCGCTGATGCGCTGGGTGTCCCCCTGGGACCTGTTCCTCATCTCGTGGATGATGCGCTCGAGCAGGTCGTACAGCTGGATCTCCTCCTCCTGGATCCGGTGGCAGGAGGAGATGAACGAGTTCTGTGCCACGAGCAGCGTGGCGAAGCTGTGGTCCACGGTGGCGCTCAGCTCGGAGATCTTGCGCTCGAGTCCCTCGCTGAGCAGGCTGAGGCGCGGCTCGATCAAGGGCAGCGGCTCAATCTGCTCGTGCAGCTTGCGGAACTCCTCGCGCACCATGACCCGCGTCCGATTGCCTTGGGCCACGGTGTCCTGGAAGGCCCCGCGGACGAAGTCATCGGTAGTGCGGCGCAGCTCGTGCAGGCCATGGATGCCGTTGATGACCTTGCGCGTGTAGCTCTCCACATCAGCGTCGATCTCGTTGAACTGCTCGGTGCCCGCCCGAAGCATCTTCTCGACCAGGTCGGTCAGGTTGGTCACCTGCTCCCAGGACGGAGACTCCGGGCCGCTCCGGCAGGCGGCCGAGGTTCTCGTGGCGTCCGTCTGAATGGCGCGCAGCAGGGACGCCACGGTGAGGATCTCATGGCTGAAGAGGTCCATCTTAGCGTCAGACCGCTTGATGACGTCGGAGACGTCGGCGCGGATAACAGTGTCCATCTGTCGCTGGGAGGCGTCCATCTTGTCCAGGGAGTCTAGTATCTTGGACACGTCCGACTGGAGCCTAGCGCGGGACTCGTCACCCCTGGCGATCTTCTCGAGCGCGTCCTCGGAGGAGTCTTGCAGGTCCCGCTCCATGAGCTCCAGCTTGTTGGTGAGTCGATCGGCGCGCATGTCCAGCTTGGTCTCCAAGAAGGACATCCTGCAATGCCATACCCCAAGGTCATCGCGTGTCGCACCTCGACGCTCAAAGCCCCACTCTCGAGAATTGCACAGAAGGACAGGGAGCATTCAGCCTGAATTTGATGAGCTACAGTTCGAACATGGTTCGTTGGTGCTCATGTTGGTTCCGAGTGTTCCGAGAGCATCTATACTCTTCTTTACTTGCGCAAGATGAAAACAAAGAAGACGTCTCGGGAAGGGAAGAAAGAAGTAGTGAGTCGCTTCGTTCCTTCGCGGCACAAAGACGCCTGTTGTAGGAACGCCATCATTATCGCGTGTTTTCGCTGTGAAGGACACGGCGCCCTTTGATTTGCTGTTTAATGTTCACACAAGGTACCAGGCGGAGCTTCTCCTGTCACCAACTATAGAATGGTTAAATCACTATACTAATACGGGATTTAACATCTTGATTCTAAGCGGACTCAGCTTCTTCAATGCAGCGTATTATTTCACAGTATATCTCGTCCGATCATAATTGAAAGGCTCCATTTTATATTTGAAGGAGACAAGTCGGATTAGGTGCTCTGGAAAGGTTCAGTGGACCTTGTTTATGCCTTGCAGCACAAAGTCGTGAGTGCAGTGGCGTCACTAGGGGAAAAAAAGGGGGAGGGGGGGGGGGGGGGTCCTCGCGGCGGTCTGCCACCCTGGGTGCCACTGACCCTATTGACGCCACTGCGTGGCTGAATTTAATAAATCAAATAGGATACCCCTCTCACGTTATAGACTGCAAAATCATAACATATTATAGTTATTTTTGAATTTGAACGAGCATTCGATGAACTCAACTCTTTCCTATACACCCGCTCACATGCTTGCATAGTGCAGGCTCATCGTCCTCCAAGAGCTCTTGAACGCAGGTACGGAAAGCCGCCCACATTTCCGTTTCAGGGTCGAGCCGGAGGGAATTTAATTTCTGGTGGTTTATGTGCCAAACCAGCGGAATTCCAAGAAGCGAAAGTATGTAGGCGAACTGTTTAGGAAGCATAATAATCGAAACCCTAAACCCTGTCGTCTTGTCCGTTATTTTGTTTCTGCATGCATCGGGTATTATGATGGTACAACGGAATTCATTCAGCACGCCCCAGCAAGACCGATCTATTTTGGTCACCCCAACGTGCACTCGAAATCTGAGTTACGTCTCGGGCTGTCCTCGTGAGATTGCGGCTGGAATATTCTGCTCGGACTGTGGACCCGCCTGCCTCGGGGCCACCAACACGAGACGTGTGGACAGAACAACAGCGAGAAAGAACCACGGCGACGCTCACTTATTGTTGAGCTTGTCGGCAACGGCTTCGAGGCGCCTGGACAGGTGTTCGTCGTTGCCCTGTGCGACGCTGTCTTTCCTGCTCTGGGAGAAGGCGTCACTCTCCAGGCGGAGGTCCATCTTGGCCTCGAGCCTGCCCAGCCGGCTGTCCAGGGCGTCCAGCTTGCGCAGGGTCTGCTCCAGTGAGAAGTCGATGCGGGTGAGCCGCAGCGCCGACCCGAACGCGTCCAGCCCTCGCAGCCGGTCGTCGATGGCCGTCAGCACCTGCATGCGCGGGACGTGTGCCCCGGAGACATTGATGCATCATTCCAACGGTCGGAAGCGTTCGCGAGGCTGCTGTTCTTTGTTCCATCACATGTCCGAGCGGAGTCGAAGGCACAGACACACACAACCACGGAAACACGTACTAAAAACGCAAGTCACTGGGTCACTGGAGTCGGGGAAGAGAGCTCCTTGGGGTTCTTGATCTCACACTGGACACAAGGAGTTGTCGAGCTGGCCTTCCTTGGACATGATTGGCTTGGCGAATAGATACAGAAACATGACGAAAGTGATGACATTGTGTTTTTGAGACTGATTGATTGGTCCCACAGAGTATTGGCGTAGCCGTAGCGCTAAAAGAGCGCACTGAAGGTACGAATGACGCAGCGCTATTTGATTTGAACCGTGATTCGCAGTCTTTCCTGAAAGTTTGCTTTATGCCCGCTGACAGGCATGACCCAACGTAGTACGCTGCGCGTCACATTCGTATTTTTGTTGCAGTCTTTCGGTTTCAAGAGAACAGTGAACAAACGGTGAACAGCTTGCCCGTGCCCGTTTCTTTTTTTTATTTTTTTTTAGAGCGCAGCTCTTAGGCGCCCGTTTCCGGCTTGAGCGGCGTCGCCGTCGGTATAACTGCGCGGTGCATTATGGGTAAATTTCCCCGCTAAATTTAGCGGAAAAATTTCCCCGCTAAATCTAGCGGAATAATTTCCCCGCTAAATCCAGCGGAAAGTTCCCCCTAAATCTAGCGTAAAAATTTCCCCGCTAAATCTAGAGGAAAAATTTCCCCGCTAAATCTAGAGGAAAAATTTCCCCGCTAAATGTAGCGGAAAGATTTCCCCGCTAAATCTAGCGGAAAAATTTCCCTGCTAAGTCTAGCGGAAAAGTTTCCCCGCTAAATCTAGAGGAAACATTTCCCCGCTAAATCTAGCGGAAAAATTTCTCTGGGGAGTCACGTTATCCACCAGAGAAATTTTCCCGCTAGATTTCACGTGACCCCCCCCCCCCCCCCCACCCCGAGGTCACCTGACCCCACGTGACCTCGGGGATGGGGTCGCGTGACCCCCCCCCCCCCCCCCTCGAGAACACGTGACCCTCAGTACCCTTTCCTCCTCCTCCTCAAGAGCTGCGCTCTAATTCACCGTTACAGGGAGTTGTAAACGGCTTTCTTTTTTTTTTTCCGTGATGCATTTTGAAAAGACGCGACGTGCGCGGCGTCAGCAAAGGACTTCTCATCGACGGAAATAAGAGGAATGTAAGAACTTCAATTTTTGACGGTGTTCGCATTGTTGCTTTGAGAAAGCAGTGATTTCAAGCGTCCATCGTGCTAATTACAAACACCATCGAACGTGTTGTTCCCAAGGTAATGACGCCACGAAAAGGAACCATAGGAGGGCGCTACCAAAACATCTCGTGGCGGTAATGAGAGGTGACCGCGATCTGGATGTCACTCTTGCTTTTGTATTTGTTGTCTTTGTGACGCGCGAGGGAGATTTATCATTCGCACGTGGCTTCAAGGTCGGTTTCTAAGTTTCCCGGAGGATTGCGAACGGCCTCACTGGCGGACACGTCACCTCGTGTTGCGCGCGTGCTCTGTTCTGCGCGCGCTCGCTCCAAGAATCTCGAAAGACGGCCGTCGTGACACGGGCGGAATCTTCATAATCATGGTACCCGGAGACTGACCAGAAATTGCCCCTAAAGGCTATTTCTGGTCCCGTCATTTCCGTTTTGTCGGAATACTGAAACTGACGGTTCGAGTGGTCATGCCGCGTGTCACGCTGTTCGCGACTGAGTTTCATAAGCGACTTGTAATTTTATATTCCATCAGTGTTGCAGCAACACTGAGCGTAGAGCACCGAGGGGCGGACGCAGGTATTTCTTGAGGGGGGGGGGGGGGGGGGGGGGGGGTCAGGGTCAGGTGTTGGTCAGCGTATCATATGTTTAAGATCCTCCCCCCTTTCCCGTTTCCACGCCCTAAATTTGTACACATACAGAATTCAAGAGGAGGTCAGACATCCGAACGGGTCCATATCACATGAGCGAATGACGTTTTAGCGAACAGCGACATTTGAGCGAATTGACGTTTTAGCGAATAACGGGGGCGCGCGTTAACCCATCCGCCGAGCTGCGCTTTACGCCGCTTCGCGGCGACAGTCTGCGGCGGCTCATTACAAAAATGTGAACCCATTTGGCCCACCCGAAAACGCCGCTTCGCGGCGTCCGACTATTCGCTGAAGTGTCATTCGGTGAAACGTGGGCGTTCGCTAAAACGTCATTCGATCAAGTGAGCGCCTCCCCATCCGAACCTCCCTTCTAAATCCGCCCCTGAGAGTACCTCTCAAGTTAACGCGCTTGTTACATATATATATATATACACACTCTTTTTTTTTTTTTTTATCAATCCAACGACGGTTTAGGAATTCCGGTGAAAAGGTTACCGCAAAACCGGTGGATGCGGATAAAAGCTCACCGGCCATTGAGCGTACGCAAAGAAAAGCGCACCGATTATTTTTTTTTTTCTTCTTTTCATATGGAGGCTGTTGGATCATGGGTAACATATATCAATTTATTCTCATTAAAATTCGTCATCTTTGTGTAAAAAAAAATTAATATCATTTTTTGTAATATTTGTTAAGCTCCGAAATTAATAATTGCGGGCGAGTGTTTTCTGTGGTTTAACTCTGTAGGCCAGTGGTTCTCAACCATCGATGTTTCGCGGACCCCTTTGTGGATTGATGGAGATGATGGAGGACCCCGTTTGAAGTGAGGGGAGGGAAAGGTATAGGTTAAATATAATGATTTAAGAAATGTATATAACTAAGGGCTAGTGTGAAGTAGACCTCTCATATTGACATACACACGAGGAAACTAGCTCGAAAACTCAACATTTCTTCTCGACCTGAAAAAATGGGACTTTTATCGCCGGGCTTGGCTGATGCGGCAGGGCTTCGCGGACCCCCATTTGAGGACCACTGCTTTAGGCAATGAAAGCCTAACTGAAAATTTTATGAACTTGAAGAACAGGAAAAAGTTCGGAAACTAAATTATGTCTGCCTAAAACCTAGAAAGCAAAACTGTAAATGCCGAAAATCCGCAAGTGCATGCGCAACAACTCGGTACCCGAAAATCTCTTTGAAGCTTCGGTTAACCTTTGAAAACGGGATAGAACGGTCAGTAGGATATCGAGGTTTCTTGCTTCCACGGACATGCACGTTTTCTAGCCGTTCGTGCTGGTGTTTCCACACGTTGCCTTTGTGTGATAGTGCCCTTCTACGGCGAGCCATCCATGACCTTCGGAGCTGCACACTCGCCGTTGTTACTCGTGACTAGTCTTCTGTTAGGTAGCGCATTGGTAAACGTTATACACGATGAAAGCCGCTCAAACGACGAAGACGGAGTGAAGACAAACATGACAGAACGAAGCTGTTCTCGCAAGTAAAGTTTCATTAGCGAAAATAACAGAAAGCGATAACAGCGTAGCCGACACTGATTACATCAACAAACACTTACTTATCTATCAGACACCACACAATCTTCGGAGCTGAAACGGTTCACCACACCGCTATTCATATTAGCTCTCAAAAACCAAACCTTTTTATCTGACAGAGCCACTGACGGCGCGCTGTCAAGCTGTCAATAAATTGTCTTTTTTACGGGTGTCCGATGTTGTGATTTTATACTTGCGGCGTCATTAATAAATGAGTGATTACTAATTTCTGAGGAATTAGTAAATATGCCCAACGAACTTGAAGAATATTAGAAGAGGACAATTATTTTTAATGAAGTGAGGAATTCTAATTGTGTTAAATTGCCACTTGTGACGCACAATCCGCTAAGCCCCCCCCCCCCCCCCCCCCCCCTTCCTAAAAAAAAATTAAAAAATCGGCGAGCCTTTTCCGCATCCGCTCAAAGGCCGGTGAGCTTTTCTCCGCATCTGCCGGTTTTGGGATGAGCTTTTCTCCGCCGCCCACGGTAAAGGACTTTACGCCAAACTTCGCTCGCATGATTTTGTTTAACCACCGCGGGGGCATCGCGAGGTTGGAAAGATATCACAAGAAAAGGCAACGGTCTCTCGTGGCTCTTCCCTGTGACAACTCTTCCAAAGCAGCAACTGTCATCCGTGCGACGAGGGCCTGTTCCAGTCAGAAGGTTGACTGGAAGGTGTGGAGATCTCCGTTCGTACTACATTTCTCAACACACTTACGCAGAAGTGCCAGATCCCGAGCAAATAACTCGTATCGCCCTTGTTGACTCATCGTCTACCCTTGCTGTCATCTGGACGGCGTACCGTACTCACCTGCCTGAGGTACGGCGGGACGCTGTGCCAGGCATCCAGGGACAGGTCTAGACCCTTGGGACTCGGCTGGACGTCCAGGAGAGGCTCTCTCCTGGTCCTGGACACCGGCCGCTGTCCCTCGACCGAGCCGGCCTCGACGCCGGTCCAGGAGCACGCGATGAGCGCGGACAGCAGCAGCAGCAGGAGGAACCTCATCGCTGTCTCTAATCGCGCCAGATAGCCTCTCCTCCGTCGGAAGCCGCCTGGTTTCTCGGTGCTTTGGCGGGCCCTCGGGGCGACGAAAGGGCTCGCCGCTGCTGGAAGCGTCTCGCGTCTCGGCCTCCTCGAGGAAGGGAAAGGGAACCGCGTGTTACATGGGCCTGGAAATTTCGTGTCTCTGAAGTCGCCGCCGCCGTCGTCGTTGCTGTCGCGGTCAAGCATGCTGGTCTTCGTCAAGCAGCGGGGACCACCCACTGGAGGGGAGCGTTGTCGTTCGCCGTCGTCTTGCGCTCTTATTTTCTTTTTTTTTTTCTTTTTTACATTTTTTTATATTTGTTTGTGGTTGGTTTATCTGGTGCTCTGGGGTTGGCGAATATGTAAGACGGATAGATTATGCGCCTCTGAGCGAGGAGATCTAGACGCGGCGGTGCGACCTTGAGGGTGCTGTGGGTATAAATAGAGTTTTTTTGGGGAAAAAGTCTCAAAAAAAAAAAAAAAGAAAAGAAAAAAAAGAAGAATAAAAACGAATCATGTGGACGGGCAGTTCATCGGTGCTGCTTTGCGTGTACCGAGCTGTCTGCGTTTTGAGTCCGGGAAGTCCAGCTTAGCCCAAAGGAGAGACAATATGCCGATAACGGCCACGTATGTTGCTGACTCTAATTATTACATGACGGCCCGCAAATTAAATATATTTAATAAAATAAAAACAGATTTGCCTTTGCTTGGAAATTATGTGAAATATTAGGCCAACTAGTCTGTCGTTTTTATGGGGAACCTTGAAAGCTAGTGGAACGCTAAACCATGGCCGGACTGGAAGCGCACGCTCTCTTTCTCTTCTTACGGCCTTTGCAATCGCCCGGGAGTCAATGGCATTTTTTCTCCGTATGTAGTTCACTTGCTTGCCGCCAGGGGCGCAACCACCTCACTCCACTTCACCCTGTTGAAGCAGTCTTTGGACGACTAAGGTCCATGTGTGGAGGAAATGACATGCTTGATGCAAGGGCTGTCACAGCAGCCCTTGATCACATTGTCAAAGAAAAGGCCCCTTCTAAGCAAATAGATTCTGAGCAATTGGCAGCGGCTGTGCCCGACTCGGTTACCACTGACCTGAAAAAACTGAAAGAGCCTTGCGCTCCATCTCCATCCGTGACATACTCTGGTCTGGTGTACGTTGGTGGCTATCTGGTGAAACTCATTAGTGAGTTTGGATGCGACGCCTGTGTTATGCTGTCGACTACGAGTAACAGAGGTGGTCCTCTGTTCGTCTTATTGCAAAGCCAGGATAAAAGCGGATTTCATTATCCAAATCCTAGGTTCCTCGCACTTCTGCAAAACATTGTTGCTTTTTTTTTTTTTTAAAGGCAATTAAGCACCTTCTGCGTACAAATTTGCACGAAGTTCTGCAACTACTCATTGCACCCTATCTTGAAGACGCGCCAATTTTAAGTTGCCCAGAGGGCATTGACAACAGTCACTCAAAGCGCTTGGCTGGTTTAATTTGCAACAAGTTCCTCTGAATACTTCTGATTAACCATGCAAAGACGGTCACGGACAGAAACGAAAAATCAGCTGGCTATGTGCACAAGCCCTCGAGGAAGCACTTTAGACTGTAATATGCACTGTGCGAAAATTGTACACACTACTACACCCTCGTCTAGAGCAGCTGACCGACTTCATGTGCGGCCTATAAAACGATGATGCAGACCCCGGCAATATGTAGATTGGGCCTGCTTACATTTCGCGAGAGTGTCTGAATTATTTATCATTTAAAGTTCCTCCATGTAGAAGGGGTTTGTCTCCTCCTGTTCTTGAGTCGCAACAGAAGTCCTGGAGGTAAAAACGAGTGTACTTTTTCCGCAATTGCATTCGCTGTCTCTACTTAGTACTTTTTACTCCCGAATCTCTCGGAGATGTGCGTCAAATATTCACCGTTTTGGGCTCATCAGAAGCGCATTCAATAGTGGCTGAGGATCTAAACATAAGAATCAGGTGTCAAAGCCCATAAAAATCTCGGCCGCAAGTTGCGACAGCGCTAAGATACACTGTCAGACGCGCTCTATGCAAACGTTAAAGGGTAGCCCAGGGGTGAGGTGACAGCGCTCGCCGCGAATTGCGGCGGGAGGTGGCGATTGCCCCAATTGCAAAGGCCGTAAGAAGAGAAAGAGAGCGCGCGCTTCCAGTCCGGCCGTGGCTAAACATTGTGGTTAGGAAGTGGCACATTATTGCGGTATGCATGATTGTTGGAGACAAAGTTGGGCATATACGTAGAAGACATGTGCATGTTGATAGCTTGTCTTATGCTTGGGAGTAAACAGTCATCAATATTAATTATAGTTTTTGACAAAAGAGATTAGGGAGATGTCGAGCGTGCAGGTATTGTGCATCAAGTTGCCTGTCCTGCACCGAGCAAACGCGGGACATCAACCCGAATGCATTGGTGTAATTCGAGTTCAATTAAAAATTGATTTCAATGAAGGCAAGCTGGTGTGTTTGTAAACCCCAAGACTGGAACCCCAGTGTCCGAGTTTAGCATCTTGTTCGAGTTTGACTACACATAACTTGTATTGATGTCACACTGGCTGACACTGTGGTGGTCTAATACCATCTTCAGCATACATTTTGCATCACCGAGGGTCCCTATATCGTTTCGTCGAAACACTTTTCATAAAAACTCGTTTCGTAGATACCTGTTTCTGCGACGTTTCATCGGCAGCATATTTTTGTTTTCTGAGTGGGTTGGATTGAATTTACTGGATTTATTTCGTTCGCTGACAGCATACGGGAACTAAATTGGACTCACCCAGGTAGCTCCAGTAGGGAAAAAAAAAAAAAGGTTCTCGAGTCCTGTTCTTTAAAGAACACTGAATCTAGGGAAAAAATTTATTCCTTCCTAATTAGGACAGTCAGTTTCCAAAATAAATGTCCGAAAAAAAAAAATATATATATATATATATGTATTTTTGCCCAATATTTGTGCTATACTATAAATTTTTCGATCTGCGGGTGAAACCGAAATTGTACCCCTGTGGGATGATCATGATAGCGTTTGTACACGACTAGTGTGCACTCTGAAGGCCCGTTCACACTCTTGCGACCTGTTAAACCTGGGTTCCTTAAAACTTCTTAAACCAGAAAACACACTGGCGCCATCTATTGGGAAGCAATGTAAACTCAACGGTCTGGCATATTTTTTTTTTTTTTTATTTCTCGTGCATTATCTTTTCTTTCTTGGCTCGAAAAACTTTTGTCATTGTTATAAACGAGCCTTTCTATGGGTGTTACGCACATTTGACCTCGGAAATCCCGCAAAACCTTCGCTCTTGTGAAATGCAGTTCCAGGGTCACCGCATAGATAGCGCCACAATACCAGTGTGTTCCCTCATTCTAAAAACATTTAAGAAGTTTTAAGAGATCTCGTTTCTCTCAGTCGTACTCGGTCGCAAGAGTGTGAACGGGCCTTGAGGTCCAGCGATCTCGGAGCGCACACTAGTTGCATACAAACGCTGTCATCATCATCATCCCACAGGGGTTCGATTTCAGTTTTGCCCGCAAATTCCGAAACATGCCTGTCCTAAGCAGGTAAAAAAACATTTTTTCTTAGGTTTACTAGTGTTTTTTTTATATATACATTTTTTTTTTAAATAGTCTGCGCAACGTGCAGTCACCAATCACTCTGCTCGGGGAAGCTTTAATATAATCTCAGGCTCGAGCTTGCACGAAACCTCATCGGAAGTGCCAAGGGTTCGGCAAGCTGGTCTACCATCCAAATGCATGTGTTTTACGCAGTCTGTTGAGTAAGAGGCCTGTATACATGGTGGCTCGGCTGGATTTTGTTGCGTCTTTTTAGCGATTTCTTTAGTCTACATCTTGCAGGATATGAAACAATGACTTCATGTTGTCTCGCATCCTCCTATCGCCCATGTATTTCGTTTGCTTTTATTATAGGACACTTTGTCTTTTTTTTAAGCTTGTTTTCGGTAGTTTTCCGAGTTTTCGCTGATTTCTGGACGACGGAAGTGTGCCCACCGCAATGACGTGGCTGCGGACCTCTCCCCCAGAACGAGATGTCCGAGCTGAAGACGGACCTGTACGAGGCGCAGTCGACGAGCGCTGTGCTGAATAAGGAGCTTCAGCACCTGGTGCTGCAGCTGCATTCAGCCCAGCTGCAGGTGTCTGCCCAGATGGGACACGCAGGGGACTCCTCGGCCATCAAGCAGAGGCTGGTAAGCGCCTGTGCAGACACTCAAGTCACCGCCTCACGCTTCTCAGTTATTCAAAATGCCTTAAAGACCTTTTCATCTCTTTAGTTGCCTGGCTGGCGGATAGAGGACGCTGACGCACTCTCCGCCTTTAGCTTGCTTCAATTAGTTTGGTTTCGATTTCACCGTGTACTCGGACGTGTTGCTGTTTTATGCCGTTTTAGCTTAATTGTATCGTACAAATGTGTCCCTCGTAGCACACAACCGATGAAACAGTGATACTAAACTACTTTCTAGCTAAAAAAAAAAAAAAAAAAAAAGACTCAGTTTATGCACGAAGAGAATTACCATTGTCTACAGTCGTACCCGCTTGCAATAATTTCCAGCAAAATAAACAAATAAAAAAACTAATACATGAATGATGCATCGTAAAGATGCATGTCCACAATCTGATTAACAGTGTATTGAGTTGTGAAGAACTGGTTCTGATCACTGTATGGTTCTTGTGGACTCCAACTTCTTGTGAATTGTGCAGACTGGAAAAGACATCTATAAATGCACAGAATGTAAAAGAAAGTGATATGTGTAGTCTTGTTTTCTTCGAATGAGTTAAGTACTCGAGAAATATTTAGATAGTCCAGTAGGAAATGTCTTTAACTGTTGGTTCTGTTACAGCACTCATTAACAGCATTTTACAATATTGGCCTTAGTAAACAGTAAATTATTTGTTTTATGAACATTTGCTTACATCGTTCTAAAGATGCGAAATAAGTGACAGGCCCGTCAAATGAAGTGTGACATTTTTGTTCCGTAAGACTTGGAAAATTAAGTAAAGGGTGCAAGAGAAGTGTGGCCTTCCGTGAACCTGTGTAGACAGATCTTTATTTGTCTTAACAGATGCATTTTGTGGAATTCGGCATTGCCAGCATCTAAAAGCAAAAATTTCTTGACTAATTGACAAGACAATCCTGCGATTGGGTAATTTTTCCGCCAATGGCTTCTTTTCGGCATTATACTCCAGACCCCTGCACTCAAGCTATCTGCGACAGTATCTTACCTGGGCAGCCCCAACCTTTGTGCTGAAATAAATAATTAAATTGAACTGGTTATCTTAAGAAAATAATTAAGGCAGTTAAAGGAATTCAGCCATATGGGACCGAGCACAGTATGTTATTTATTGAAATTATTGAAATTTATAAATGAACCAATCAAGCTAATGTTAGTATCGAAACAATGGTTAAGAATGTCGAACACATGTAGATGTGACACTATGAACAAACAAATCGCCGGATGTTGACGTATTGTTATTCCTAACATGACTTTTTTTTTTCGACAGTGAAAATGCATTTTATATTTCTGTTAACTGTGTTTTCCACGAGTTCCTCCGTATAATCTAAAGCAGCTGTTTTTGATCTGTTATTAATACAAAGAATGATGGTTTCAGGAAACACGCATATTGGCCCCTTACCCTGACTATAACCGTAGGCGAATTTCGACATTCTCAATATCATGAATCTTGGAAAGCGTGGGTTTCGGGAATATTTCGTGGGTACAAAATTTTGCGATTGGGAATGGTATGTCCTGTATTTTTTACCACGAAGTAACGTGTTCGCGTGATTAATTTTTTCCGATATTTTCCAAATCGCAAAGTTTGCCAAAATTGGGGTTTTTTGAAACTTGAGTCCTTTACAGTACCTTGCACCCTTTATTGTGAATGTTCTGCCACTATTAATAAGCAAGTTGTCATAAGTAATTGGCCTTTTCTAAGACAGCCCTTGGGCTGTCTTAGAATCATCTACATACTCAATGTGCATGAGCGCTTACGCTGATTCCTGTGCCTCCTCTAGCCTCTTCACACATATCCGGTACGCTGACGATGAATATATGTCAAGAAGTGTTAAACAGTTAACTGCAGAATTTGTACAGATACTGATGTAACGTAGTAAATAGAAATATCGGGCGACACTTTACAGAGCAAGAGAAGGAACACGGTGAGGTGCGACGAAAACCACGAATGCAACATGTCCGCAAAGGCGCGTAGGGGAGAGCAGAGCGACGATTTGAAGCAACCTACTAATGGCGGCCGCATCACATGATTCCAAGATGGCAGCACACATGCGACTAAGGGTGAAAAGGTCTATAGTTTTTCATACACTTAACACATTAGTGTGACTGCCCTTGAGGTGCAGCTTCCGGACAGATCACTCGGTTTTCCACGTCATGGCACCCGCGCAATTTGCTATGGAAACTGCTGCGCTGCGCCCGTTTTCTTTGCTCGCATGTCCCCTGCTTAAGTCGACGGTTGGGGCCTGATGCGTTCCATCGTTTCCCGTTCCCAGGAGCAAGAGATGAATGTGTACCGGCTGAACCTCGGCCGCGAGATGCAGCTGGAGGCGGAGGTGTCACAGCTGCGGAAGGAGAACGAGGCCCTGCGCAAGGACGTGGTGTCTCTGCACAGCGAGGTGTTCGGGGCCAAGCTTGCCGCAAAGTATCTCGACAAGGAACTGGCCGGAAGGTGGGTGTGGGCACTGGGCTTAAGATAGTGCCGGGCTGGATCGAGGATACGAAACCCGATTTTTTTGGCCCCCATAAATTAACTATGCGTCGCAGGAAGCGGAAAGCTCGGTGGAAATGTGACGCTTGCGGTGGTGATGAAATGCGAAAGTTTGAGTGTGTGACGTTACCTGGATCAAGAAATACAAAAGAAAAACAAACTTTCTATGTTGGCCCACATCCACCTAAGCGTAATGTTCATCAAACCAAGATTTGAGATTGTGGGTGCCTCTAGCATTCATTTCAGTTAAAAAACGAATCAGCAACAAAGAAAATAGTATTGTCTTTCATACTGACAAGTTTTTTTCACTAAAATAAATGCTACAGACACCCACAATCCCAAATCTCGGCTTGATGAACATTAGGCTTAGGTGGACGTCGGTTCATAGAGAAATTTTGTTCTTCTTCTGTATCTTTTGACCCATTTAATGTCATGTGCGCAAACTTCAGAATTTCATCGCCACCGCTGGCATCACATTCTCACGGAGTTTCAGCTTTCTGTGATGCATAGTCTATTTATGCGAGCCGAAAAACTGGGTTTTATTTTCTCGATCCAGCCTGGTACATCTGTTCAGCTATGCTATTGTCAGCTTCATTGTTTAGTTTTGTCTCGCTCTTTTGCTTCCTTTTCGCAATGCCGAGAATTATTATTCTCCGCGTATATAGAAGAAATTTTGGTTGAAAGAACAGCCGTTGTGAAATGCTGCCAAAATTTGCAATGGTCACTGGCATTAAATGTATGCTGTGCTCCATTTTGCGGTGCTCTTTTGGCGGTCCGAAGACTGCCCGCTCTTCGCTTTTTTTTACCTATTTTCACATACTTTCTTTGCTTCGTTTCCTTTTGTGCACCACGCTGAAGGCGTCATGCTGTTTGTGGGCACGTATCAAATAAATAAATAAATAAATAAGTGAGAAAATGCAGCGACTCCATGCACCATCCTTCGCAGCGCTCCGTACCGACGGTTGGCACATCAAAATAAATTTGCCACGAGGTTTATATTTCTTGTCAATCCTTCAGTGACATATATGCTGGTTTATCAGTCCAGTTTTGTTACTCCGACCGTGCGCGCAACCTGCGCAAAGGTGCGACTTGTTCTGGTTTGTCCACAGATACACCACGACAGTATTAGCTAGCACTGGAAGTAGCACTGTATTAGTGAGTCAGCCAGTGATGTGATTGCCAAGCTAAACTGTGCTCAAGTGCTTACCCTGCTATATCCTGCTACATTTTACCAAAAAGTGATAAATTTGTGCCAAAACTTAATTTCTCTTTTATAATACCGAAAATATAATAGCTCAGGTCTCGCTGCCTGGCTGGACCGTTACTATATGCTTGTGTGAGTTTTCAGAACTTTTGATTGTCGTCTCAAATAGCATACTATTCGATCGCATTCGGTATCACAACTGACAGTACTTGGAAGTTCCGCAACAATTCTCATGTTCATGGTCTGTTCCGGTGGGTTAGTTTGACTCGTTGAGTTCTCTTCTCACCGCACACTGGTGTACTGCAGAGAAGCGTCCACCACAAAGTAGGCATAGCGATTTTGTGTGCCTTGCTTTGCTGCAGAGTACCCGCATGCTAGGGGAAAGCACTCCTCCAAAGTGCGACATGACACAATTTCTGAATTTCACGTCACCTATGAACGAATTCAGTTTCTCTGCTAGATTTAGCGGGAAAATTGATGTCACGTGACCTGAATGCCATTTCGATTCCCTGCTAAATTTAGCGGGGAATTGAATTGGCGTTGAGGTCACGTGACCTCAATTTTCCCGCTAAGTTTAGCGCGGTTACGCCGACGCCGCTCAGCCAGGAAATGGGCGCCTAAGAGCTGAGCTTTAAAATTAAAGTGTGTGGTCATGCTCCAGAAGTTCTTTTTGCTGCTCCAAAATGACTCTGACCAATTACATCACTGTACAGCACTGCATCAGTGCTGTTGTTTTGTTTTGCTTGTTTGTTTGGTGTTGTCCAGTGAAAAGGCAAATAGCCGGGAGAGGTGTGGGAATTCTTTATGAAGCAAGTCGCTATCAGTGCTGTTCTTAGTGCTGATTTAGCACTTCAATGTATATGTGACCCAGCCTTCCTAGGAAAGCACAATGTAAACAATACAATGGTGCATCCTATAGGCAGGAAAATTCACTCGTTTGTATGCTCCCAGGATCCAGCAAATCCAGCTGTTGGGGCGTGACCTGAACCCCAACGAGCATGACCGCCTCTGGAACCAGCTCGAATCAGAGATCCACCTGCACCGGCACAAGGCGGTGATCCGCGCCTGCAGGGGCCGCCCGGGGACGGGGGCTGGCGGAGGGCCGCCCCCCCAACTGAGGCAGCAGCAGCAGCAGTCGCTGCGCAGGCACCAGTGCGTGGGGGACGTGCGCACGGTCTGCCTCTCCAAGGGCAAGGACGAAGGCCTCGGCATCTCTATCACGGTGCGTCATAGTACCAAGAAGCTCTCCCCGTAAGGTTCTGGGGCAGTGGAAGCAGCTTAGTTTTGTCTAGTGATACCAAACTCCCAGGAAATTGTCCCTTTCCCCCACCACCATGGCAGGGGCAGGGGTAATGCAGAATGTGATGCAGCATCAAGCTGTACTTGTTACATTAAAAAAAAAGTTCTGCGCATTTTTAAGCGCTGCTTAAAGTATAGTTATTACGAAACTTTGTTGTCGAAAAGAGAAACTACAGTATGCTTTTGGCCTTGGAAACTTGTATGTCTCGATAATATGAGGTGAAGCTAACCTAGGATGCACCTACGTATATCCTAATTCAATGCATGAAGGGGGAAATTGATAACGTTCCGCAAGGAGTTGGATATTTCTTTACTACGGTTCTTGAGGTGAATACTAGTCTAGATGCGATTGCAGCGCCACCGCTTTTGACTTTGCGGCAACTTTGGCCCCGTAACTATGGGAGTGTGACATAACGAAACAGTGAAGGTGAAAAACTCCCGCCACGGTGCGTCTTCCTTGTGAACAACCCTATCCAAAAAGTGCACTAAGATATAAAAAAAAAAGAGTGTGCATGTTTGGCAGATACGCTAAAAGCCTAGAGGGTTTGCTCATTCAGTGCTTGCTAGGAGTGGAGCGCGTCGCTGGTGTCTGTGTTTGATCCCGTGACATGATCCCCGGGAGTAACTCGCATCCGCTCGGCAAGACCCGCAGCTGCCGCTCACGTCCAATCGTCGAGGAGACGAGCGCTGCATCAGCGTTTGGCTGGCACTCGCGTTTTCTGGTTTCGTCTCGTCACTGCAGCAAGGACCGTCAACGGTCAGATGTCAGTCATGTAACACATTCTGTATTAAAACGTTGGGTAGGACGTATATGTCACAAAATACATGTCACATGAATGCTAGCTGTGAAAGTGGAGATACTTGCAGTTTCGATGGAAGTTCTCTCACTTGTTCAAAAGGCTACCTTTCATCTTTATTACCAATTCCCAGCTATGACTTTGACGTAAAATGCTGTTAAACCATGCAAGTACCCAGTTTTGCATTGCAGGGTGCAAAGGACTTCCTGGAATTAGGACTCACCAGGGGCCAATTGTAATTTTTTCATTTGAATGAAAATGCAGACACTGTTTTTCTAAAAGGAACTCACACTTGAAAATTGATAAATTGACCGAGGAAGGCCAGACAGTCACCTCTCTGGAAAATAAAGTTAGAAAAGGATTAGTTTCGCACATAATAGAGTCGCACCGTCGGAAGTTTGTCACGACGACACACTGGCATCGGAAAACCTCAGCTGGGTTTAAGAAGGACTGAACCTTTGATTGATGCCAATTCTTCTGCAGGGTGGACTGGAGCATGGTGTCCCAATCGTCATCTCGGAGGTGCTGCAAGACATGCCAGCCTGGAGGAGTGGAAAACTCTTTGTTGGCGACGCCATCTTGTCTGCCAATGGTGTTGATCTCAGGGAAGCCAAGCACAACGATGCGGTCAAGGTTCTTTCCAGCCTGGTGAGGAACGAAACTTGTCTGGAAGCGACACATTGTAGCTGGGCGGTGGCATTTAAATTCAGCCAGTGGGGTGCATACATATTTTTTCTTTTTATATGTTATGCCTAGGGTGTGTACTTTCCGGTGTTTATTTGTGAGAAAAATCGGCGGATGTTTTTCGGTGTTTATTTATTCCCAAAGCACCGATGTATTTCGGTGGAACGTCTCGCGACTAGGCTAAAATCGGTGATTATCGGTGGAAAAAAATGCGATGGATCACAGACAGAGAGTTCCAATTTTATTCACATATTTCATACACTTCTTCTCTGGGAAGAATTTATTTTCACACTTGGTTATTATAGTAGATGCAAGCATACTTCGAGAGGCTTGCATCCGTCATGGCAGCACGTTCCTTGCGGTTCAGAACCCGCAATTATGAAAACGCACGCTCCTGTACGACACGGACGTTGGCAGTGTCTTCCAGGAACCACGGCAGCCTCTGAATACATGGCTTGCACCGACATCACTTGACCAGACACAATGGGGAAAGCGCACGTGAGAGCCTACCCTTTACTGCGTTAACTTTTCCACAAAAGGGGGCCATGGTAGACACAATAGGGGAAAGGCATGTGAGAGCTTAGCTTCCAATGCGTTCACTAGACGCTTTTGACCGCCAGAAAGGAGGGCAGACTGACGCCACGTGCAAGGCATGTATAAACACTGGAAGAATGCAGGATCCACGAGATAACACGTTTGACGAACCTCTACGAGGAAAGGGTTTTGCTAGGTCGGAAACATGCAACAGCCGGTGTTTTTCGGTTTTAACCAGGGTGAAAATATCCAAACACCGTTTTTTTTTCGGTTTTAACCGATTTTATATTTTTGTCACCGACGGATGTTTATCGGTGTTTTTCGGTTAAAACCGTAAAATACACACCCTAGTTATGCCGTGTACTTTACAGAAAACATTGTTTTTTTATTTGAAAGTTCAAACATGTTTAGTTTTTAAAGAAATAAAATCCTAAAGGAGCGGATAAGAACGGTGGGGTTTCGGCGATTGTCGTCGATGACATGTTTGATTTGCGCTCAATCAAAAACTGTTAGCAACAGACTGGCCATATTTTTTTAGGGTAATAAATTTGTAATCTGGTCAAACAAGCTTTTAAATAATGCTTACCTGTAGACTAGAATTTCGTAAGAAGTCCCAAACACGCCTCTGTGGACAAGCTTGCCCAAAACTTCTGATGGTTTTCCGAGTAGAATTTGTGGAGTATCAGATTCAGAATGGTGCTATGTAGTATGGATGTCACTGCCTTTCAAACTATAATAAATTATCGAAGATACATTTTCAAATTTGTAGAAGTTCAGCATGCTTAAAAAAAAGGCCATTTTAATTATTTTTTTCTCACCTCACATTTTTTTAATGTCATTCTTTTAGCCAACACATTAAGTAATATTTGTTTAGTATAGGAGGGCCAAGGTTCTAATTACGCTATACAACGTCAACTGCAACTGCCGGCGGCGGGTTTTCGACACTTGTCGTCTGTGCCAAGTTTTATTAAGTGTCAAGCCACTATTAGAGGTATATGGCCCATAATTAAAAGGGAGGTTCAAAGTTTCTGAAACAGATAGAAGCTAGATTTGAAAGTTTGAAACTTGTTGCGCCCCTGAACGAACAAGATTTGGAAGTTTGAAGTTTAACGAATTTCCGAGCGTTATAGACTTGAAAGCTCAAAGGAATTTGTTGAACCCTCTTGTTTGATCTTTAACCCTTTAATGCCTGAATTATCAAGGGCGCCCCAGAAAAAATTCTTAGGAAACATTTTGGCTTCGTTTAGTCCGTGTAATCGAATTCAATACATGTTTCGCGCAGAAAAACACTCTTGGGCGAAATTTTTGGTATGTCGCGAATTCGCGACAATGGGCACTTAAGCCGGAAATATTATATGCGGTAGTCGCAAGTAAAAAGTTTATTTCTTGAGTAATTTCGAGTGCCAGAAAACTCCTCAAAAGCATAGGAAAATGTTCGGTTTTCAAGAGACACTGCAACACTTCTCTTACAGCGTCCTAAGGTTGGTGAAAATCAAGAAAGCAGTTGACATTCTTGTTTTGACAAAGGTGCACTTGGCATTTCGTGCACATGACAACTGTCTGGCCTTTGCATCCAGGTCGCTTGCACCTCTGGCGCACGCTGTCTACAGCTGGCCAGTGGGCTGTGTTGTCCGTGCGGATGCTCGCTACTGGCACGGGCTTCATCGGGCCTCTCTTCTTCTTCGTCTCCAGCTGAGTTTCCAGTGATGTTGACGGCCGTCCTCTTCGCTTTGGGGTGGTGTCCTTGCCCTGCTTCAGCAGACGTGTGGCAATATAAAACTTGAACTTCAGGAGGTCGAGTTGCCGTCGGGCTGGAATGGCTAGTGAGTCGCAGTCGCGCCTGTAAAGCAGCCACGACACGACAATCACCATGTCGATGAAATGAAAAAAAATCTTGAGGTAAAATTTCTTGGACCTGATGTGTATTCTGTAGAAGGCAATCAGGGCATCATTTTGGTCCACACCACCCATGTGCTTGTTATATGTACGCACCGAGCTTGGGCAGCGACTTGTACAATCCGTTTTTGCATGCGTTCCCACCTGTCAACAGATGCCACTGGCTGAACGCCTGCAAAGGTGCTTGCTGTTGTCACGGCGCGGTTGTCATACCACCTGACAATTATGATTTTTTGGCCATCAATGACCGTCTCAAATTCTTCGAAGGTGCCTCGGCCTTTCTTTTTGAGATCCGCATCGCTTGGCAAAGGACAGCCTTGAAGACGGTTTGCACGCGCAGTTCCAAGGCAGTGAACATCCTTCTTGGCCAGGGCAGTGAAAAGGTTGAGATGTGAACCAGTTGTCACAATATAGATGATGATTCAGGCCAGGCTGAATCAACTTGCACAGCTTGAGAACCACGTTACCAGACGCACCCAAGTCTGGTTCGCCAGGAACAGCGTCGATCTTCCCAGTGTAAATGTCAAAGGAGTGTACGATTCCTTGCGAATCGCAGAGCAGAAATATCTTATAACCCCATTTGTGTGGTTTGCTGGGAATATATTGTTTGGGGCTTGAGCGGCCCTTAAACGGCACCATTTGATCGTCCACGCACAGAGCTTGGTTTTTTGGAATAGCTTCAAACTTCGGGAGGAGAGAATCAAGGAGTGGCCGAACCTTGAAGAGACGATCCTTTCGCAGGTCATTGGGTGAGGGCATCTCATCGTTGTTGTTGAAATGTAAATTTGATTTAATCGCTTCCCAGCGGTCACGGGACATTGTGTCAGTAATGGTAGGTATTCTGCTCTCAGCAGCCCAGTACAGGCGGGTTCGTGGGAGGCTACAGAAGGACATGAATGTGACTGTGCCCAGGAACTGCTCCAGCTCTGCACGAGTCAAACCCAGTGGTTTGTTAGGATTTTTCTGGATGGCAAAGAGGTTACTCTGCTCCACGATGTATTCGAAAAGCGCATCATCAAAGAACTCCTTGAAATATTCTATCGGGGTTCGAACGCTCTCACTTTGAGGCAAAGAACCATTCCACGATGGAATCTGGTGCTCTTCTTGACAATTGGTTTTTGCCCACTTAACAGATTGTTTGTTAGTTGTGATGCGCGCAGCCCGCGCAGTCACTGTGCCACACTCGTCATCTTCGTCGCTACTAGATTCTGACGCCATTAGGGAAACACCTTGCGTGGGTGGGTTGTAGTCTGGATAGTCTTCATCACTGTCACTAAGACAACTGTCGTCACTTTTATCCTCAGGTGGAAGGCGCGTCCGAAGCGTTTTCTGTCCATAGAAGGCGCCAGGATTCATTATCTGCCATCAATCAAGAAGAGAATTCGTCAAATGAATAATCACCGCTTATTGTATCATGACACTATCACTGGATCAAATGCCGAATGTCGCGAATTCGCGACAGACCATGTAATTGGCCATCATAGAAAAAGAAACACGTGTCGTGAACTCACAATATGCTGTGGGTAATCTCTAGGATGTAAGCGAAGAAAAGCAATTTGTTTTAGACCTGAACTCACCTTTGTTTTCCAGAAAAGATCGAAGAAATAAGGTCCGTAGCACGTGTTCTGCTTCTTTGGTAAAGCGGCGGACGAATCTGGTTATAACTTTATACCACTGCCGCTAGATGGCGCTACGCGTCCGTGGCGAAAAACTGGGTTTGTGGCGAATACGCGACAACCGGCATTTGGGCGTGCCAACACTTCGCTGCGGCACTGGGAGCGTTCTGCCGGTATGTGTCGAATTAGCGACAACCGGCAGTAAAGGGTTAAAGCCAAAGTTCAAATAAAGTGTTTGCTTTTTTTTTTTTTTTTTTTTGTCTTTTTTTGTCTTTTTTAATTGTGGATGAATGGTGGCTGTGCTCCTTTTGGTATGCATCACGAGAGTCTAGTTTTTTTCTTGGGATTCCAGGAAGGAGACATCACGCTGGAAGTGTTCTATGTCTCCCCCGAGGACGACAGTGATGAGGAGGCACAGGACAACAACCAGTCTCTGAGGTGAGTACCTCTCGAGAAGCCCGTGCGATTTGCGCGACTCTACCGGTGGCCAGGAGAAAGAGCGGCCTTTGGAACTCGAATGTTGCCACGACTCAAAAGGGTTCAGTTGAAGGTCGCTTCTACGGTACTTCTTTCAGACGAGGTCTCTTTGTTTTGAATGGGATGGCTCGCAGATTAGCAGTGCACTGAAAACCATTTTTAACCGAAACAGGCGAGTTCACCTCCAAGGGAAGCTGAAGAAGTTCCTAAAAGTAATGAGCTGGGCATGAACTCTTGTAACCCCCTGAATTCGAGCATGATGACTAACTATTTGCCCCCAAAATATTACCGAGCGAAATACGACAGCCTCACGCCACTGGCCGTAGTGTCAGAAAGTGACTTCTGACTGCCCAGCAAATGGCCACTTCACGCTCAGGCAGCAGTGCTTGCAGGCGTGGGACACCATACTCCGCTTCATTTCGCGGTGAACTGCAGGGGACGCTATGCACCATCGAAGCCAGCCCAGTGCGGCTTGACTGTCACACGACCCTTGGGTGTGACGCTCCCACACGAGGGTCATGACACGTTCGCAGCACTGAATCGGCTGGGATGGCTTCTGCTATGGTCCCTCGTAAGGTGAAGCAGACTATAGTCGAACCCGGATATATTGAATTCAAAGGGGATCGTAAAATAGTTTGATATGTCGATAATTCAATGTACAAAGTTACGTTAGTTATGATAACTTAAAGACCTACGTGCTATCTCGGTTTTCTGCAGAGAAGATAATCCTCTTTGCGCTCCCTTCTCCTGAACTGCAAGGGGAGCCAAGTTGGGGCAAGGTAAAAAGTGGAGAGGATATGGGAAAGGAGGAGGCAGGCAAAAGTGGAAAGCGCCAAGTGTTGAAATCTTGCGCATCTCTGCCAATACTGAAGGTTGTGACAGACGGGGGTTTACCAAATGGAGCATCCAAGAAGTGCTAGATACAGTAGAACCTTGTTAACGCGTTTAACTGCGGGCACCTCCGTTTGCGCATGCACCTCGTTGCATCTACATGCGCGCATGGTTGCGACTCGACAGCGTGGGTAACGTCACATGAAAGTAATGAAAAAATGAAAGAGAGAGCGGAAAGACTGGGATGTGTTAAGAAAACCTTTCTTTTTCCATTCAAAAAAGGACAACAGAAGAAAACTGGGGTGAAATCAAGCAGCAAAAGAATGAAACTGAATAACGAAAAGAAAAACGTCCACACACAGCGTGCTGCGATTGTCAGCGGTAGTTGCTGCATTGTCGAAAGGCATGTTGAAGAAGATTTGCCTTCAGCCATTGTGCTGTACAATGTTTGCAATGGGTTCTATGCTTTCAGTAGAATTAATGTAGGAGATGTGTGCTTTGGTGGAACGATTGTGCAAAACGTTGCATGTGTTGGAGAAGGACACAAAGACGTCCTTTTTTTTGCTGAAACATTTTTTTAGAATGGTTGTGACCGTGCCTGCGGTGGAAGAAGCAAAAATATGTGTGCAAGCTGTTCGTTAGGGGCGTGGAGAATACACGAGAATGGAACCTGGGCGGCGGCAGTGGGGAAACAAGGTAGCGAAGCGCGACCACCTGGTATTTTACAATGGTGGCTGCAAGAGAGAAAGGGAGGGAGGAAGGAAGGAGGGAAAGACGAAGGAGGAGGAGGAGGAGGAGGAGGAGGAGGAGGAGGAGGAGGAGGAGGAGGAGGAGGAGGAGGAAAAGGAGGAGGAGCAGAAGAGGAGGAAGAAGTCATCATCATCATCATCAACGATGCAAGAACAGCGGTGGCCTACAGGGGGGAAGGTACAGGGGGGAAGGGAGGGTGGAGTGAGGAGAGCCTTGCCATGTGTGAGGAATGACAAAGAGAGGGAGAGCAGTGCCTCCGCTGTAGAGTGGGGTTTGGCGTTCGTATTTGAGTATTTTTTGCCGGGAAGGGACACTAACAGCTGCTGCTGTAAAATGGCGAAAGGAAAGGGTAAACAAAGATAGACAAGGCGTTCAAAGCGCGATTGTGCAACCGTTGTCGACACACTTGACTAGCCAATTTTTTTTGGGGGGGGGGGGAAGGGGTGTTTAGGAGTTGAGGAGGTGTGTCGTTTTTCTCTTCCGCGGCTTTGCATCTTTTTCTGCCCGTGGCCAGAGTTGTTTATCCCTCAGCACATGCAAACTGCACGGCGACAGCAGTGTTCGGGGAAAGCCTCCCTACCAGGGGCTCGGTTCTATGTATCGAATGTCCCAGTTGGCGATTAAGACATATACCTATACTTTTACGTGAGATTTTCGAGAGAATGTTTTGACTGTTTGAAATGGACAATGTATTGAGGCACCTGGGTTTGATATAATTGGGCTCAACTGTATAGACCTGATGTCGTGCGTGAAAATGTGACATTCCTGTAGAAGTGAAGAGAGCAGCACCCGAATAACTTTGATCGGCACTCGGGGTGCTCGAGCGTCTCGAACCGATTGAGGTAAAGGAGAGCTAAGTTTCGAAATGCACCTGTGTCGCAGGTACCGCTTCTTCTATCCCGAGGACACGAGTGAGAACAGCACGGCTGCCAGTGACGAGGAAAATGGCTTCGCCAACCGGTCCCTTTCGCGATTTGCCACATCGCCGCATGCCACCCCCAGCCACGAAGCCACTCCAGCGTCAGCCGCCGCCGAGCCGGCCGTTGCCAAGCCGACAACTGACGCGAGGTCCGGTCCTAAACCACCGGCTCAAAATCAGCCGCCTGCAGAGGTCAACAAAGGTGGCATTAACGAGAACAAGTGAGTGCTTGCTCGTTTTTACTCACTCGAGACGTTTTGGGATGGGGGCGGGTAAGCAGAAGTCTGCGGGCCCGCAGTTGGTAGAGGGATGGACGCAAAAAATATTTTTTTACCTTGTTTGGCGGTGAATAGTGTGGAGTTGCAAACGCACCTGTTTGCTTGCTCGTTAGCTCATGAGGCTGGCTCACTGTTGATTGGCAAGACTGCAAAATTACGACGCTGCAAAAGTTTAGCTGCCGAGGTATGTTGCCTATTTGTAAATCTGTCTGTAGAAATACCAAAGTTATCCAAGCCGATAGTGAAAGGAAATGTGCCTGCGACAAAAGGAGGTTCTGCCTTGGGCACAGTAAAACAGACAAGCATACCTCACAGTTAAGTTTGTGTGGTCAAGGAAGACCTACAAGTTTTCACACATTTTGCCAATATTAATTTTCTTATAAAGATTTCATTAGCAAATAAAAAAAATTATATTATCTGTCAGTTGATTTTTAAGGGTTCTTAATGCTTCCTTCAGGTAAGTTTGCTCTGTCGCTGTCAGTTGGGCGCTGATCTATTGGCTCTGTTTCCGGCACCATCCAGTTGTTACTCTTTCTTTGTTTCTCATATTTAGACAACCGGGGTGGTAGGCACAACATTTAGGGTAGGCCTTCATTTTGCGGGACTCAGCTATGCAATTTTAGTCTTTATGCTAAAAAAAAAATTTATGATGGAGCTGTTTGTTTTGTCAACAGGTATTGGTGCACAGAAAATGTAACCACAGTGAAGGTGGCCAATAAGTTGATAACATCAACCTACCATAGAAATCTGAAGCTATTTTTCTCTATAGTTATTGAATGACCAGTGTTAGCGGAGAAATGTATTTAATATTTTTAACAAGATTTTAACAGACTTCGGAGGACAGCACACAAAAAGATGAACACAGATGCGCTGTATTTACCTTATTTACAGCATGTAAACTAACACTTTTAAGGCACTTTAGACGGCTTGCAAAAAATGTTTCTCTACTTATAATGCTGCAATTTACTACAGAGGTGCAAGCAGGTAGTAGATGTTTACAGTGAAAAAATCAAGGAATGAACTTGCCTTGTTCAGAAGAAAAATCATGAGCGATTCCACTCTTTGAAGGTAGATGACCAGCGAAGCTGTTTAGCACACGACACAGACCTGCCCCGATGAGCCGGAGGGAACTAGACACGGGCGATGGGACCGCCACCCGGCGGAAAGTAGACACGCGCGACTGGACCGCCACCCCGGAAGAGTGGAAGGAAAGAAAACTCAAGCGCTTAAAACGACGACAAAAAGAGGGTGATGCGAGCGTAGACATGGCCGACGCGGGTCGCACAGCGGCAAATCTTTTGAGAAACCTTTATTATCTACCCGAGAGCCTACTGATCTTGAAAATGGTGCTTATTGATAACTAATCTACAGAATAGACCTATTGCTAAATTACCCAAGCATCAAGGAGAATGCAGGGAATGGTGTTCCATGCTCCGCACGTGCCGGCATCTGCAGCAGTAACTGTTCTAAAGCAAAAGTCTAAAACAAATGGCATCTTGCACACGCGTTCGTCAACGCTTTATTTTGGTTATTTACTTTGAATTTTTATACGGGGAGGGCATGCACGTGCGACGGTGCGAATGTAGAGTTTTTATTCACTGCACACGAAAATTCCACAAAACCCTAGCCACTAACAACATCGCTGTAAAAAGAAAAAAAAAAGCTGATATTGGCAATTTATGTTGCCACTTCGCAGACGATGCATCCGTAGAACAAAGTGCTGTTGACAGATGACTTACGCCACGTCGAGGGAGCACCGGCCACTTCGGGTTAAGATGGCAGACAATATCGCAAAAGAACCGATTTTCGCGGGCCGTCTAAAGAGCCTCAGAGGCGCTAGTTCACATTGTAGCCACGAATCAACTCGCCTACATCGCTACATTAGTTCAGAGGACAATCTGTACAAGAGAACGCATAACTGAGAAGAAACAGTATGTTAATTGAGAAGAAAGAAGAAAATTTAAAACATGAACCGACGAGAATTGAACCCATGACCCCACAATTACGAGCCCGACAATTTACCACTGCGCCAAAGGGGGAACTTGCAAAGAGGAAAGAACATGTCTACTCACTGTTCGAACGCCGAATGCTGAATGCTGGCGTTCGGCATTTGAACAGTGAGTAGAGACAGAGGCAGCTAGCTCTACGTTTACCCATTAATAATTCCAACCAGAGCTTGGTGCCCCGACACCCTCACCCACTCTTATCTCCTCCTTTCTCTCAGTCTCTGTCCACGTAACAAAAGACAATTAAATGCAAAAAATAACTGCAAAGTCCGTCACAAGCCCCAAGGAATGTTGCAGAAACACACTTTGTGTATTCCCTTTTTATCCTTAGGATGAAGATATTTTTGGGTTACGCGTTTTGTAAAAGGTGATTGTGCTAAGAGTTCTTTTTCCATCCTTTCAGGAATGTGACCACGTGAAACAAGGCGAGCTTACACGGTGCCTACACGAGCTTTGGATTGTGGAGTGATGCAGGGAGCATTAGGACGTGGTGAAGATGTCGCACGCTTTCCTCGGGACTGCTTCCTTCATCGACAGCCATTCATTCCTCTCATTTGCTTCCCGATAACATTAAAAGGTGTTGGAGGCAGGGTTGTATCTTGGGTTGTTGGCAGACCTTGGAGGCGAGTTTTCTACTTTATGGGGGATTGCTTCTTTCCAATGTTATGAGCTTGGACATTGCTTTGTTCGATCTGAAGAATCTCATTAGCTGCTCACTTTGGACCTTTATGCTTTGCCATGTTCCAAGGCAGCTACAACTTCTTTGCAGCTTCTGCACTTTTTGTTGTTTGGCATTCTTCAGACTTTAGCAAAAACAAGGTGCTTCATTGTTCGTGAAGCTTGCGTCTTTTGTACGAAAAATTTACATTTAACTGATTGCTAGAAGATGGAATAAGTTTGCCACCAATACGAGGATGATACTAAACCAGATCCCATCTACCCTGTAAGCTAGGTAGAGTAGACGCTCATGAAGTTGTCTACCCCACTTCAGTCTAGTATCTAAGGCTATTGGAGCTGCACTCCTACAACAAAACAATGTAGGAAAGCCCACTAGAAAAGGATGGTCGTGGACAATTCTTCTATAATCAATACAGTTGACTCTCATTAATTCGAACTCTCTTAATTCAAACTTGTGGATAACTCAAACTAACATGCAGGTCCCATCCTATGCATCTCTATAGGAGGAAGCTCCTGGTAATTCAAACTTTGCTTTATTCAAACAAACTTTCGGTCCCCCTCGAGTTCGAATTAATGAGATTCGACTGGATCAAGGTATTATTGAAGTAGTGGAGGTTGCAGAAGTGTGGTACAAAATGATACCGCTCGCAGGCCATTCTCTGCAGTTATTCAAGTTAAGAAAAGAGTCAGTGGGCCAGAAAAATATGTGGGTCTGCCCTGTCCTCTTAACGTCTGCAGATTTGATTGTGGTTAAAGGGAACAAGGCCATGCAAGTGTACTATTTACATGTAAGAATGTTTTTTACATGACATCACTAAGCACATTCGATTTACTTGTCCTATTGTGCGCCGATGCAGGGCAGTGTACTCCCAGTGCATGTTGCAATTTCGAGGTAGGGGCAATCTCGCATCAAAGGAGGCATGGGGTACATCTGCAGCGGTGCAAAGGGAGCAGGTAAATCAAACGCGCATACTGAACTTGCCTCGTGATGAGCTTGTGCCAAGGTACACGCTGGTTAATGCTCCTATAACCAAAAGATATCCTAGGTGTTCCTACCGCTGATGTCAGCTAGTCATGTTTTCTATGTGAAACGTGTGTTTATGTTCATATATTTACAGCCCACTTTGAATAAGTAATAGACTCTCATGAAACTAAATACAAAAAACAAGGGTGCCTCTTCATCAAAGTGGAAGGCGTGGCTCCAAGATTTTTCGACTCTGCATTGACTATCTAGTTTCCTTGCATAAACAAGTGTGTGGAAGTTGAATGTACAGAGCTTTCAACAAACTGCTGGTTGACCACAAATATCCTAAATATAGATACCATTATATTTTCATAGTTTTTGACCGTTTTTTGTGGGTACTGTGGTATCTTCAAATAAAGGAAACCTTTGTTGAGTATGTTGTCCTTTCTCATTGTTAACTTCTTTTTCTCAACTAAAGTACACTGGGCTCAGGCTCACGCTTGCGGTGCGTCGTAAGTGTTCATATAGGTGGTATTCATTGGCGGCCATACTCGACTCCATTGTTGCTGTGCGCGGGGTTATGATGAGCTTCCAGAACGCTTCTGCAAAAAGCATTCCACATCACCAACGTTGTAGTTCTTATAATACTAGAGGGGGCTCGTTCTGAGCATGTGTTGTGAACACCACACTCAAATATGACACCCAGTCAGTACCCCTTAATAAGCCATTTACTAAACATATCAACTTGGAGCTTCCTCCAGCCTAGCATCGGACAGAATGAAGTCTACTAGTGCTGTTTGGATGCCACCCATAAACTGTTGGATCTTATGTCTGCCAATTGCGTTCAACTCTTCGCCATTGACGTCAGTTAGGTAATAATCGCTACTCTGTGATGCATACTAGGCCCCATCTTATTAATTGTGCTGCACTAAATTTTGTTCAAGAGTCTATACAGGGGACAGGTAAACCTTGAGCTCTTGCTGGCCGTCTCTGTCTCTGTCCCCTTCTTCGTCTTTGTTCATTCGGCGCTTTCCATTCAATGGCCGTAAAGTAATTTTTTGTCCCTTCACATGGAACAACATGCCACAGAAGGAAAGATGTCTTAACATGGTTAGCCAGAAATTTAGTGAGGGAACTTGGGTTCTGCTTAGCATGGGTATGATGGTTGAATTCAATTTTGATAACAGTGGGTCAAAGTGGCACTTGCTCCAAGCGCTCTCTAAAACACTTGCTTGAAGAATGTAGAAGTGACACTGACTTTGTAGGGTCTTAAGAAATATTTTAATGAGGCAGCGTTAAGGAGCTCGTGTTGCAGAAAAGCCGGCGTCGGTGGCGTGCGCTAAAATCTAGGATTGGTCGGTAGTCACGACGTCGCAGCCATATGAACTCGCGCAGGAATTTCAAACAACGCTCGCGTGAAATGTGACATCACATGTGGACTGAAAGCTGAAAGCAACGTTGACTGAAAGTGATTAAAAAAACATGACATGTAATGCGAATTAAAGGTCACCATGTCTCAAATTATTTCACTTTATAAAGTAATTCATTTGCCTTAAAGAAAAATTTAAATAATTTTAGGTGCAATTTGAACCCACAACCTTTGGGCTCCGAGCCAAACAGTACTGGTTAAGCCACGCAAGGCACGCTTTGGGAAAGAGTGGGGGTTTATGTTTTGCTGTCATGTTCCACTCTAAAAAGGACACTGACACCCCCCTAAAAAATTTTGTTTGTTTTGTCAAGCACTCTATTATGGTGTCAGAATAGTACCCAATCAATATTTTGCTACAGCGTCGCATATATTTTTAATAAAGTAAAAAAATGCAACTGCTCGAAACCGAAATTGGACTGGGAAGGAAGAAAAAATGTAGAGGAGGAGGAAGTTACAAAAAATCATGTGGCTGTGCAACTTTTTTTTTTTTTTTTTAATCAACATATTTGCAGCTTTTTAGAAGCCACGAGAGGTGGGTATCATATTTTTGTTCATTTGTAGTATTAAGTGTGTGCCTTCGATGACTCGCGACTTCGATTATCTTTGGTGGTTGTGTCTAAACCATAGGAAACGATACGTGACCACGGAGAAGAGTGTGGCCGAGACTCAAACCGGCCATTTCTCGATTAGCTCGATTAGCGGGTTTTCAGGCGGAAGGAAAACGAATTTTGAGCCGCAAATTATGTTCTGGGTAGCTAGGCTCTCCTATGTCATGTACAAATAAAAGCCTTCGCGAGCATAAATACCCTGTCAGTGTCCCTTCAAAGACGAAGCTTATTTTTATCTTGGATGTTCACACCTTACGCCTGATGCTTGGAATATGTATAGAGGTAACCTGTTCTTGGAGACACCCTTGGCATTTTATTCCACCTTGCTCGAGACAAAGCAAGCATTTTTTACAACCAAAAAAAGTTTATTTTGCACTGTTAAGATTTCATCTTGGAAACCGTGTAAACAATCACACAGGTCAGCGCGCAGTTTCCACCACCACAGAAGGAGCAAAAAGAGAAACAGGCAAACTTTTTTCAAATCTGCAACTGTGCATGAATGTGCACATTAACATACTGTAAATAGCATATGGACAATCCTGCCAAACAATGTATAATCACACACTCTGAAAGCTCAACAATTTCTGATCATCAATGGCTGCTAGGGTGAAACAAGTGTCGGCAAATACATCAGTCAAATAGATTAACAAAGAAATAAATAAAGCAAGGGCAAGGCACAACCAACTAGCGAACACAGTGCTTCCAGAAACCTTACGTGAAGCTGTACACAATTGACAGGATGTGACAGAGACGTACCTACTCAAGGCAAACAGTAAGCTGTTTACCATGCCGTGTGCTGAACAAAGCTGGAAGTTTTCAATAAAACCTAAATCCACCAAACTTTCCTGCTAAACTGTTAGCAGGAAAATTTGGTGGATTTATTGAGAATTAGGGTAGTTTTAAAAAAATCAAGTCAAATGTGCCCCCCCCCCCCCCCCCTCTCCCCCAATGTTTCAAGCACTGCAATTTAATAAAATCCAGCAAAAGTAGGGTTAAAAAAAAAAAATTTGTAAAATATTCTTACAAGCTGGTAAAGAAAATAAAAGTCATGGTGACTCCAATGAAAATGCATTCTTGGCAATAGAAGCACACTTCCACGGACTTGTATGCTTACTCTCTGCCCCATCGTAAAAAATTCTGGATCCACCTGTCAACAACAATCTATTGCTTACTTGCAGCATGTCGCACCTGTAAAGCATGTAGACGGTTCAGAATCTACGCCAAAACACATTGAGCAGTCAGAATGCATTCATGCCTTGCCTAAAACTTTATAGTCAATACATTACACTATCAAGGTGCCCTTACGTGCTTGTTATTCACAGGGAAACAAAAAAAAAACAAGTTGTGAGAAACTTTTCCAGGAGGAAATGTATAGGATGCATTTTTTTAGAGGTTAGTAAGCAACAAGTCATGTATTTATGACACAAGGCATTCCTCGAAATATAAAAGAATTTCTTGCAACACGCACACAAACAACATGGCAGATGTGACGACGGAACAATCTCAGGCAGTGGTAATCAAGCAAGCCTTGGATGGGTGCACAAGCATCATGCTGCAAAAGAAGGCAAAATCAAACTGGGTTAGAACGGATAACTGCAACTCCATTTTTTAAACTCCAAAAACTGCTAATGAGGAAGATTATTTCGGCACACAAATTTTATTGAAAACAATTTTAGCTATGCAAAGGGAAACATCCTCTGAAGACAGGAAAGAAAATTAAGCTTTAACACATCTTCAAACGTGGATATAAACTTAGCATAATGCCATTTCTGGTTGTCGTATTGTACTGGTATTCTGGCACTGCTGTTCTGATAATTTGCTTCAACATGCTGGTTAAAAAAAAAAGTATACATACTAAGGTTGGAGAATAACTAAACATATTGAAAGCTGCCAAACCTAACTCGGTAATGTTGCACTGTAAGGGTCATCACCACTAGAGGCACCAATTTAGATTTGTGATAGTATTATCTGCTAAGCTTTAAAGAGAAAAATACTCTTCTATAAAGATGCAGTAACATTAGGGTATGTATTTATAAGTTTCAGAGTAGAAAAGGCAAGGCAACCACTCTCCGGTGCCCAGAAGTGCTTTCTGCCATTATCAGTAACATTCCCACTCCTATCTTTGCTGGCATCACCTTCTCCAGTAGCAACTTCACAACTGGTTCGGCATGAACACTGCAACGCCGGTAGTGTGACTAAATACATAACCACTGGGCATTCACATTTTACTTGCATGGCTTTGAGACAATCATTGGAACTACTGGAGCACACTGTGTGCAGAGAGGAAAACTTGCGCGATAGACTTGCGGTGCTCATTGCTAACATGCTGAGTAAAATGCGAGTGAAAAGGGAATATCCAGTGGTGCTGATAATTATTTCATTAACACTGTTCATGGGCCAGCCATTTCATTGAAAACATGTTAAAATCTCACTACTCCAACATTTTTGTTGCAACTATACTCCCCAAACCGATTACTCAAACACGCAAAACATGCTTGTTAATACATAATTATTTTACCCGACATAACCTTGCCCAAAGTGTGGGAATTCAAACTGCAAGTGCATTGAAACGGGCAGTACTGGGAGTGTCCTTCAGAACTCGGAGACCAGTCCCAGAACAAAACGGAATTGCTGTTGTCAGCACATCTTGGGTTTGTAGTTCCCCTTGAGATTTGTCTCGTGGAATTTATACCGTAGCTAGTACAAAAGTAATTGATATTCATCATTATGTCCTGTGCAAGTCTGTCGCATCTTTGCCCATTACAAGGAAAGGTTTTGATCTCTCTTGTGTTTGGACCCCCTCGTTATCCACTTTATGGCCACCATTTGGGGAAACGCATCCCGTCCCAGAGACTCTACAAAGTGCAGTGCTGAGACCTTCCTTCTTGAATATCAATGATTTGTGGACACTGGATAAATGTCCCTCCAATAATCTGCCGATATTGTTGCTTACAAACGTCCTAGCGACAAACTGTTCAACGTGAAATTGTTCAGGCGTGTTTTCTATGAATTGAGATGTCAATAAAATGGGGGCCAGTGAAGTAGGTGCTACTGGTTAAAAGGTGACGCACAACAACATCCCCCCCCCCCCCCAAAAAAAAAGAAAAAGCATGATGTCATTGATAGACATTTAATTGCTGGTCACTTGCACTTTGCTCAGACTAGCAATGAGCACCGGAAGTTAACGCGCAAGTTTACGTCACACAGATCAATGTGCCAATAGTTCCAACGTTTGTCCCTAGGTGAATGAGCAAAATGCAAGTGACTACCAATCAAATGTGTTAGGGGTGCCGTCCACTGGGCAGCACTTAGATCGCGAATATAATGCATAGCCAGGCAAAAGAGGAGCCCTTTAAACAGCGCGGCTCACTTTGATAACAAATCAAACTCAATGGCAAAGAACCAAACACACACACTGTCCAACTGCAGGTCACACGCAAACGACTTGCAGCCCCTTTGCCCTTTAAAGCATGAAAGATTCTCCAGAAGAGCAAATGAGAGTGGACCCATAGGCGACCACTCTCATTTGCTCTGCTTCTGTGAATGCAACTCGTCCAGTCCGATACTAAATTTGCCAAGCGTCCTCCTCAGACGTGAGCATGGGTCACTCTTCTTTATCTTCCTCGTCTTCGGCTGCTTCTTTTCGCCCCGTTTCTTCGTCGTCGTCGGCTTCTTTGACAACCTCTTCGTCGCTGCCTTCTTTGACGGCCTCTTCGTCGCTGGCCTGCTTGGCGGCTTCCTCTCCGTCCATTTCCTCGTCTCCTTTTTCATCTTTCTTCTCTTCCTCAGCTTCGTCTTCTTTTACGTCTTCCTTCTCCTTTTCGTCCGCTTCTTCCTTCTCGCTTTCCATCTTCTCTTCGTCTTCCCGAGCTTCGTCTCCCTCGCCCGTTCCTTCCGCGTCCTTCGTCTCTACCGTGTCGTCTGTCGCTTCGGCATCGTTAACAACGCTAGGCACTGCGTCCTCACCTTTGTCGCCTGTTGCTGCGATGGGCTCGAGACCCTCTGGCACGACGTTCTGCAGGAATTGGGGGGAAAGAATGTACGAGGGTACGGTGAAAAAACGGCACTCGCAGGCTGGGGCAGACTGAAGCGCCCCTCCTATTGAAGGTGTGCAGTTTGCATTTTAGTATGTGCGTGGCCTGCAGTGTGCTGCTTCAAGCGAAAAAACTACATTGTTGCACATGTTTCTGTGGTTTTAAGAGCCCCAAGGATTGTCACGATTTCGTACCGATACACTATGAGAATAGTTGTGCATGATCTTGCACGTTTTGAGACCAGACCGATTCTCTCAGTGAACTACAACTACAGCTCCAGATTGAACTGGGCCGAATGCAGAATGTTACAAGAACAAAGTAAAATAATGAAGAACACAGATTCACACGATAAGAATGTAACAATCCCCACAGTAGCACAGTAGAGTTACTCCCTTGCACAGTTGTCACGCTTTTGTAAATTGGTGACTTGTGTAAGCTTGCCATGACTTGGAAAATTTTGTAACTACAGTGCAGTCCACTTATAACGATACTGAGAAAACCCAAAAATTTCAATCGTTATAACCGATTATCGTTGTATCTGGACTAGAAACTGATTATTTCCAGTCTAGAAACTCCAGAAACTGATTGTTATAAGCAGTACATAGTTATATGTGGTATCGTTAAAAGTGGATTGCACTGTATTATGCAGTATAAAATATCATTTGAGCATTCCAACACCTACAGTTTTCTTGTTTCTGCTTTGATCTTTGGTTTATTACCCTCTACTGACATTTTCTTTAATTCTTTCATTTGTTGTTTCAATGCTTGTTAAATGCCCTGAGTAGTGTGGACATTGACATGTTGTGTTTCTAGTTACCCATAGAGGTCCGAGTTTTCTTAATTTATGTGATGCAAAATTTGGGAGGAGTTTTTCAGAGTTTATATTATGTCGCAAATTTGACGTTCATCAGTCTACTTCCGTTAAATCTCAAATTCTCTTAAATTTAATGTTTATTAAAGTTAAATTTTTGTTACATTTTCAATTCCCTACACTTATGAATAAAATGAAATAATATTTACAAATGCCCCAAAGACATCGGAAGCCATTTCAATTGTGTTATATATAAACATAAGATATGCAGAATCATAACTTCCACTATTCAAAACTTTCCCCCCTCTTGTCCTTGTAAGATGCCTAAATGGTAAAGGAACATTGACCGAAGAATCATCCAAGGTTACAAAGGAGAGGAGGGCACCCTGTCCTTAGGACTACTACCCAGCATGTTACCAAGAAGAATGTGGAATGTCTCATTTATGTTGTTTTTGTCTTTTCTATGGAGTTTGGAATACTTAAATTTTTTAAATAGATTTAAATTGTCAACTTTTCTTACCACCAAGTGATTTTTGGATTTTTTGGGTTACTTAAAATTACAGAGCTCTAGCTATCCATCTCTCGATAGACACGGTGAGCATACGACAGCGTTGTTTGCTTTCGACAGAGTACTGCGGAATGTTCGCTGTCTCTATTGAGAGATGGCACCACCAGCACAAACCCTCGGTTCGAGAGCCAAAATGAAGAGTTTGAGGTCACGTGGTCGCGTTTGCGATACGAGCAGCGAGGAGTTGGGAAAAGCATTGATTGTCCGCAAGCGTCTCCGCCTTTCTGCCCGCTTCCGTCTTTACCATACGACAATGCAACGCAATGTCTGCCATTAAATGCTTCATGAAAAGACGGGTTCATGACTAACAAAAAAAGACAGTAGTCAGTGGCGTAGCCAGGGAGGGGGGGGGGGGGGGGGGGGGGGTGATGAAGGGTTGAAACACCCCAAGCAAGCAAGCGAGCGAGAGAGAGAGAGTGAGCTCTGACCTTTTGTTTATTACCCTTTGCTGACATTTTCTTTAATTATTTCGTTTCTTGTTTCAATGCTTGTTTAATGCCCTCAGTAGTGTGGACATTGACATGTTGTCTTTCTAGTTACCCATAGAGTTCCAAGTTTTCTTAATTTGTATGATGCAAAATTCGGGAGGTGTTTTTCAGAGTTTATATCATGTCGCAAATTTCCCTGTTCATCAGTCTACTTCCATTAAATTTGAAATTCTATGAAATTCAGTGTTTATTGGAGTTTAATTTTTGTGATATCTTTAATTCCCTACACTTAGCAATAAAAGGAAATATTTACAAATGCCCCCAAGGCCCACCTCAGACGGAGCAATTTTGCCCAGCAACTTGACGTCGCAACACGGGCCGCCCGCGTTCACACGCAGCAACCGAATTGCTACGACTTGCCATCATCATCATGAAATTGTATTTTTCTTACACTCTTTAGACACATAATTACGTGCTATAAACGTCTTTTTTATTAATGTAAATGACATTGAGAGTACTAATGCATCTTTCTGCAACAGTTTATTTAAGAAAACAATCAATTTCAAACCAGAACCAAGTCTTAAGGCCCGCTTCAGACAGGGCAACTTTTCCAGCAATTTTGAGGTTGCTGGCGGGTTGTTCCCTAGCTTTCCCTAGATCGACGCGAATTGCTGAGATCGGGTCCGGCTCGAACAAGCGAGCAACTCGGAGCAATTCGAAGACGGTTGAAGCGGCTGCAGCCAATCAGAGACGCAATATTTTCATGTGACACCCCTGTGGTGGTGATGATGACAGCTAAAGACTTAGTTCTGGTTTGGAATGGATCGTTTTCGGAAATAAACAGTTTCAGAAAAATGAGTTAGTATTCTCAACGCCGTTCAAAGATATAAGAACGCGTTTTTAGCGCGGAGCTGGGCATCTAAATAGTGAAAGAAGAATCAAATTTAATGATGATGATGGCAAGTCGGAGCAATTCGGTTGCTGCGTGTGAACGCGGGCGGCCGGTGTTGCTGGTGTTGCGACGTCAAGTTGCTGGGTGAAATTGCTCCGTCTGAAGCGGGCCTTAGTTGTCATCATCACCGGCACGAGGTATCAGATGAAAATATTGCGTCCCTGATTGGATGCACCCACTTCAAACATCTTCGAATAGCTCAGAGTTGCTCGCTTGTTTTGAGCGAGGCCCGATCTCAGCGATTTGCGTCGATCTAGGGAAAGCTAGGGAACAACCCGCCGCAACACCAAAATTGCTGAGCAGGTTGCTTTGTCTGAAGCGGGCCTAAGACATAGGAAGCCATTTCAATTGTGTTAATCATACGAGTTTCTCTTTCTGTTCGACAACCCACTACGGCGAGGGGCCGGGCCCACAACATTCCAGAGTAAAACGAGGATGACGGCACTGTTCGTGGATTGCGTGGAAAATGCAAGTCCGGCTCTAGCTCTCCGAAGAGCTCTCGCCAAACTCGGCCGTGTATCCGAAGCCTTTCTTCAGGCTAGCAGGTGCGAATGGCTCAGCTCCCGACATCACAAAATCCGCGAAATCCTGACCTCGAAGGACGCTAGCCTCGCCTTAGAGAATGCAGGCGACTTGACTAAACTCCCCCCACCCTTTGAGTCTCAAGGACTTGACGGCAATTTCAGGGAAGCAAACCCTAAAATTAAAACAGGGCGACGAAATCACAAACATCTTAGCGTTTTTTTTTTTCTTGTTTTCATCCAGTTTCTCTTTTTTTGAGAGTTTACCAGCCTGCACTCCTTTATTTTCAGTAATGTACCAACCAAAATGTAAATAAAAAAAAGTGAGAAAAGTGGCAGCATAAGCACTGTGGAAGCAACTTTGGAATGCTCATTGTCACTTTGCTTCAAAGCCTACCCTGTTGACTTCTTTAACCGCTGCAGTGGGGAATGTTTATAATCTTCCGTTCAGCACGCGAGTCGTGAAAGTAATGAATTCATTAGCCAAGCTATCGCTTGACGCTTTTTTTAACAATGATTATTAACCTACAACTTCAAGCATGTCATTGAGGTCTCCAACAGAGTCGGCACATTCACATCTGGCAGCATCGTCCTCCCTAGGTGAGAGCGATGTTGTGGCCAACGACGTCGGTCTCTATGTCACAAGCCTCGACTTCGAGCAAATCTCCAGCCTGTGCGGAGTATTTGTTTCGTTAAATATACTGCCTGGGGAAGTTCTGGTTTGGACACAGATGTGAAGGGACCGCACAGCTTAGCGCGTCTCAGCGGTACAGGCAACTTGCCTTTGCCCGGAGGCCTTGTATCCTAATGTAAACAGCCTGCTGCAAATCCTGGCCACCATGCCCGTTAGCGCCGCTGAAACAGAACGTCCGTTCTCGAGACTACGAAGACTCAAATCATACCTGAGAGCTTCAACATCCCAGGAGCACTTGGAGGTTGCGCTTTTGAACATTCACCGGAACATCCAAGTCAGCCCCGAAAGTGTCCTCTCGCTTCTTTCTATCAACTGACAGCGGCTTCCACTAAATGTTTAAACCCCACAAAATGATAGGAACTGGCACTTTTCTCTGCCCCTTTCCCGTAAAACGACACTGAAGAACGGAAAGAACCCAAAGCATGACCATAGCACAATCATTTCTGAAAAATGTGATCCGTGCAGGAACAATAAGCGTGACGCTTCACTTGCTCATTGTCCCAGTGTGCATTGCAGTTTTTATGTTTGATCGTATTCTAAACTTCACTATTCTCTGGCGCTCTTCCATAGTTTTTTTTGCCATGAAATACCCAAGTGTTTCGCGGAGAAGTGTATGCACCCGAATATTTTGGAGGCCTGACTGGACTCTCTTGTACAAAGCTCATCATTATGTTTTATGATTGCATGTTTTTGTTGTTCGCAATTAAAGTTTCTCTTTTTAAAGAATGGATGAACGAGATGTGGCAAAAAAGGTTGAATTTTTGTCTTCTAAGAAATAGGAGTAAAGTAACTAAAATTGTGTTTGTGCAATTTCTTTTCCTCTCTCCTGTTTTCTTTTTCTTTTTTGCATTTTGAATGGTTTGAGCAAAGAAAAACACGTTCTCAAAAAGTTTCCTGGCTACGCCACTGATAGTAGTAGTACTATTCTAAAGTGCAGGTTGAGGTGCAAACAAAAACAATGAGCTCTGTCTGAAGCAGCACTCAATCGCGAAGCGCACAATATGCTTACAGATCCATTGAGATTGTATTCCGCGGGATCCAACTTCAAAAAGGTGATCAGCTTGTCTTCCTCCGTTGCTTGGTCGAAGTCGTCGTAGTCCTGTCGAAAGACACGGTAATTAACGTTGCTGGTAGGAACCGTACAACGTTCAAGTAAATACTCCAAAAGCCTACGTGCACAATCCACTTGGTAATTTATGAACTGCTAGGGGTTCTCGCAGCAATTTTGTAGCTGCACACCTCTTACAGTAACCCACTTATGTGTGGCTCGTACATGAGGACATCGCACCATACCGATGACCATTCCCACTTGTTCTTGCCGAGAAAAACTAATTCGGTGGTAAGAAATACATTAGCGAAGTCTTTCACAATGGCTGCTGATGTTGGTGCAAGCCATGCATTGTGTGTGCCCCCACGTACCCCTAAATAGTCGTTGCCGCTGAAGAAGTGGGGTGGGGGTGTGCAACCCCCGGCATCTGTCTTCTTGCAGTGCTCCCTCATGAAGTCCCTCGCTTCTTCCTGGCCTGGCTCCGTGATGTCGATGGACTTGAACGGGACCTTGATGGACTGAAGGATCATGAGTGCCCTCTGCTGCTTCTTCTTGACCTGCACGCACAAACATCAAGAGCTTCTTTTTGTTGCATTTTCTCTCGTGCATCGCTGTTTAGTGCCACATCCCTCGTATAGAGAATTCAACATACAGATTAGGGCTGTCCAAGTGAAGAAGGACGTGTGTGGAACCAGGTGTGTTTTCAAACTAAATGCCTGGGTCTCTGAGCTGGACACTCGGCGGGATTTCTGACTGCTGCGATTGGCCAGCACCAAGGTCAAGCGCGGTACTCACCAATTGCAGCGGTCAGAAATCTTGCCAACATTCTCGCCGAGTGTCCCGCTTAGGGTTCCTGTTCTCACACACACCATAGCGCTAACTGAGCACTATAGGCAAAGTGCTGACTTTGCACTATACCAGCAACGTGGCAGCTCTCCGATGCTTGAGATCCAGTTGTCTTGTTTACAGATGCAATGCAGCGCTAACCCAGTGCCAAGTCGGCGCTGACAGTAGCGTTGATGCATGTGCTGATTTCACGCAATCTCAGAGCCGAGACACACATGTAAACCGGTCTTAAATCTGACATCTGAATTTACATACTCTTGAACATTACGAGAAGGGATGAACACGGCAAACTCGGAGCCAGATATTTTATCCTTTGGCATATTTTGGCCTTTCACTCCATATTTGCCAGTGGATGTTTTGCTATTTTGAGTGGTCATACAAAAGCATGTCACACTACCTAGACTCTGCAATTGTAACATGCCAATACATTAAAGCTTTATACTTATAAGTGGTGGAAACTCTTTCATTCATCTGCATATTTTCGATAATATATATATATACATGTGTGTGTGTGTGTGTTTGTAAAAAAGACCTAGAATTTATTAAAAAAAAAAAAAGAAAATACAGCTGTGGCATAAACATTTTTGTCTGTATGTAGAGAAATCCACCAGCACTGTAACGCACCTATAGCACATATTGGATGCATCAAGATCTAGCAAACCATATGCCATGCATCATATGCCATGCACTTTCTTCGTAGCGGTTATCTACACGCGCAGCGTGATGTGACTCACGTTTTTCACGTGACTGATGTTTACGTGCAAAAAGAGATCGATTCCGGCCCTGTTCAAGGCTGCCATCCTGCCGACGCCTCCGCGGCCGGGTTTTCATTTCTGTGCTCCAAGCATATGCGATCGCTATGCCGAGGTCGACCGACCGATGATAATTCTTTCGGTGCCGGGAAGACATCCACGACCTGTCTCGGGGTACGGGCGGCACGAGCCGATGAGGTTCGGTTCCAGAGAGTACGGATCGAAAGCTGCTCGCTTCCGAAGAGCAGCGGCGACGAGACTTTTCACGCGACCGCAGCTTGCTCGTCCCAACACCAGTTTCGGTAGCGTCTCGGGCGTTCATTGCGTACAAGGCCAGCAAGTTAAACAGTCCAAAGGACGCTGGTGTTGTCCACTTATCAGCGACAGCCAAGCGTCCTCATCTTTCTAAAAATATCTCGCATGTGCGATCTCAAGATTCCCGACTAGTGTGCGGCGACGAAAGAAACAGCGGTGCACAAAAAAGAGTCGAAGGCTTTCGGAAATCCGGTTGGTGCAGCGGAACCGGTGCACGCTGAACTATCGGAATATCCCCCGCCGACGGGATGGGCCCCAGTTGCAAGGCCTCTAGGGTGCAGCCCCTCTACGGCCCTGCCGATAACTTCGTCTTCGGAACTCGAGGACTTGAGATACGCTGTGGCCCTAGGCTGTGGTTCATCGAAGAAACCAAACGGCTCGTAGGAACACTGAAATCTGCTTGCGCTAGAACGTGCGTAAAACAGTCGAGTGCGGTACACCAACGACCTACCTCTTTGCTCGCTGAAATGCCGGAGACGTACACTTTGATCACCATCCTGAATAATCCAGAGGACGGAGGTTTGCAAGAAAAAGAAGTGGGGAACGATGAAGTCTTCAGAACTCAAGGTGGTGGGGGGCACACGATGGCTCTAGGCGTAGAAATAACAAAAAGAATCTCGCTAATATGCTGCTGCTGCAGCTTTTTCAGGTTTCCTTTTTTTGTTCGGCGCACTCAGCGCACTACTCGCCAGAACGCTTGACGGGCGAAACTGGCTGGCGCGAAATGCGAAACTGCTCCAAAAAGAAACGGGAGAGACGGCGACGAAGTGACGTCATCGACATCACGTGCTAGACGGCGTCACGAAAGAAGGCGTCGTCTGTTTCGGTTTCGGTCTGCACCGCCGAGAGTCAGCGTCGAAGCTTCTTACGCTTTTATTTTTTTGTTGTTGTTTCTTTTTGCTACTTTAAAAGCGTGACTTACATACAGCTTATTAGATGGATGAAAGCGATGTGAGTCATCTTTGTCGATCTATTGGCTTGACGACCGCGTAATCATGCAGCTCCTTGACGCCACATCTGTTACCAGGAGTGAAATACTGCGTAAGTAGCGCAGGATAGAAAAAAAAAAATTGGACTTTTTTTGTTGTTGTTTTTAGCATAGGTTTGGATGTTCGTGGTCACGATCTTCATGCATATGTCGTACAGACAACCAAAAAGGTACGAAAAACATTAGAATTCCATTCGAAGCACGTGAAAGAATTGCACGACTCTTACAAATGGAAAAGTAAGATCCTCAACTTACGTTATTTGCAATCCTTCGTCCACCCGCAAATTTGTTTTAAGTTATTTAATAGAAGAAGAAATAAAAAATAAACGCTTTAGTTACTGAACATAAGTCGCAGATATAATTTTGAGAAAAACGCCGTTGCGATTTCTGCGCGATAAATACCCTCGCGTAAATAGTTCTTTAAAAGAAAAAAAAAAAACTTTTTAAAGATTATTTGTCTTCGTTTCGATTTTTCTTTCTGTTACTTTGTTATTTTGGTTGATATTTTTACGTGTTATAAGCTTTATCGTAATTTAATTCCAGATAGCTTTCTTTTCTCATCGCATGCGCAAAACCTTTTGTCCTAAAGGAACCCTTAGCCACCTTGAGAGGATTCCCGTTGTTTCTGCCATATGCTAGAACCATGGCACACAGTTAAACTTCATTTCAAAGTCGATCTAGCTACCTCTGTCTGACCGTAGCCGACGTTGCGAACCGATAGAGTCAATCAAGCAGCACCAAATCTGCATCGTCACGACGCTCGTTGTTGCAGTGTTTAGAGTATTTACAAAAGCAGGTAAACGACCCTGGGCGGGGACTTCCAAAATGGCGTGAATCGATAGTGAACATTTGTTGCAGTTGGCATGTAGTAATCTGGAAACAGTTGTCCTTGCCGGTTTTGTTACATCACCGGCTAAACCGACCACGCGTAGAAAAAAAAAAAAAGCGCAGGATCACGCCGCGTTGGGTCTCCTTTTTCTGGACTAAGGGGACAGATTGGGCTCTTGCGGCAGCCTCGAGGGCGGGAAAATATTTAAGACAATATAAATGAGAAAATACTAAATAAATAAGCCCAAATGAGCACTTAGATACAGAAATTGAAACAGTGCAAAACAGTTCAAAAAGAAATGTGGTGGACGAATACATATATTTTACTATTAAATCTACTACTACCTCGCTAATAGGGTCACGTCGCTAATTATGACAATAAATCGAAGCGCAGAAGACTAATGGGAATTGTAGGTCTGCAGGAAACGCTAAGGAGTTTTGTGTCATAAATATACACGGACATGAAGCAGAGAACTACGAATAGAAATGCTGGGGATAACAATGTGCAAGATATTGTGGAGAGAGATCCCAAGTTCCCGTGCGGTTTTCTCTCATTCTTTCCGGTATCTTTGTTTGCGCTTATAATAAACGTCGCGGTGCCATTTCTTTTTTACGCGCGCACTTATTTTTGCGTGTGTAGTAGCAGCAGGCCGCGAGCCGGACGTCAATGGAAAGACCGCGTTCATCCGTGGTCCAGCCGGAACGCAGTCCGGGGTTCGGTAAACCCCCTGGTTTAGATTGACTTATTGTCGAGTCAGCAGTTCTTGCACGTGTCATGGAGATGTTCTCGGAACAGCCCGCCCACGTGCCACTTCCAGCCATCAGGCGTCATAAGGCGATACGCTTCGCATCATTAGTTGACGGCCACAAATAGAGACGACGAGTATTACACGGTGACGCAGTACAGACAGTCATTATCGGAAGCGACCGAAGCAGCCAAGCGTATCCCGCCAGCCCTCCGACTACGGTGTCCTTGCGGTGCACAGACTATCTGCGCGTACGTGACGCATCGCGTACTAATGCTTTGCTGCTTTGTTTGAACAATGCCTTATCCGTACACCTTCAGATCGCGGACGCAAACCTCAGCACTTCGCCGGGCTACTGAATGTCCATAATTGGCTCGCGTATTAATAGTGACCTATATTTTTGTGCTCGCAGTTGCAAAATCTAATTTCACCATTTTCATGGCGTAGGAGTATCGGGAATTTTTTCCCAGAGACAAGAAAAAAAAAAAAGGGGGGGGGGGGGGGCTTTAAAATTCGTAAAATGTGCCCACACATGCAATTAATAAGGTACTTAAGTTCACCATTCCTCAAAAATGAACTACTGTCACAACGTACATATAAAAGTGTGCACCGCATAAACAAATGCGCGTTAAAAAGAAAAAACGTACAGGCTTTTTTTTTTTTTTGCTGCACTTTAATATTGAGTGAAACTGAGAACTGCTATGTTCTTCCGTGTCATGACGTCCAAGCAAAAGTGTAGGTCTGCTGTTCCATTCTGGAGATTTTTTATTGCTTGGGCTTCGATCTGAAATCGTCATTCAAGGAAGACAAAACATCACGCATAGCACTCACGTAGCGTCAGTTTCAAACGTGCGTAATGTAGTGATTATATTCGCTTAAAGGGGCGGTGCAACGATTTTATGATTAAACAAATTTGCATCTCGTCATTTTTACGTTGTTTACCGTGTCCCAGAGGATACAGAAAACACTTCCTTCATTGAAAATGTCGCGATTCCGCTGCATAATCGCAAAGCAAAAGTCGAGCTTTTTCTTCCACCTGCATCCCCAAGTGGCAGCCGAAGGAACTACGGCGGAAAGATTAGGTGACCTCGCTCGGCTCTAAGCTGCAGCATAGCGCCCGCTAATGTACGCAGAGAGAGGGAGGGGAAGCGTCCTCCGAGATAGCACACGGGAAGCTACACGGCACTCCGAATGACGTCACTGGGAGTGCGACTAGGTGTGACCCTGAAGACTGGGAGTGAGTTGAGGGGTGCCCGAAATGCCAATCTTTATCTTTTTTTTACGCAACAACTAGGACACGCAGGCGAAATCGGTTTTCTGTTCTTTACTTCAGAAGTGTCAGGGGGCAACTTCCAGAAATCTTTGACCGAAGTCCGAAAATCGTTGCACCGCCCCTTTAAGTGCATACTGACGAGCTATGAATAGTGTAAACGACTTCATTTTCGCAAATTAAAATAAGAAAAATATATATCTCGACGTAAATCCCGCGAAAACATTACCTTACGGTAACTAATGCATCACTCCCAATCGCGAAATTTTGTGCCCGCGGTGATATTCCTGAAATTCGCACCCAATTTGCGAAATATCGAGCCCGCGAAATGGCTCGTCACAGGGTTTCATCGGGAACTCCATTCTCTATCGAACTGAAAACGAAGACACAACGCAAACACGCGTTTCGCGCTCTGCTTGTTTTGCAACGTCACCCATTCGTTACTGTCGTAGAAAAATGCTCCGTGATTGTATGAAAAGGGAGAATATCGCAAACAGCCGATATTTTTCCCATTTGCTGCTCCTCGATCATGGCACGCACGGACCAAAAATCGGCTTCCTTTTGTCACAAGTCAGTTTGTCAGCATAGGGGCGGCGACTTTTACGGGTGGGGTGTCGCCCTGTCTTCTGGTATAGTCATACGTTGGCACAGCCACAGAACTGTCGTTCCGCAGCTGTGCCAAGCTGTGACAAACATTTTTACAAAAAAAAAAAAATGTCTGAAATAAAAAGTAAACAATTCAAGCAAAAAAATAAAACAAAAGGTACCCCCCCCCCCCCCCCCCTATTTTTTTTCCCCGTCGCCTCCATCTCTCAAACACTTCAGACGCCAGTTCTAGGACGACCCGAGTTTGACGATCTGAATCACTTGACAGAAATAAGCTAGCCCTACTATAGTCACTGACAGAGTGAGAACGGAAAGGCGTGTCTTTCGAACACGCCCTTCAGGCCTTCCGCCGTGCTTCAGCTGCGCGCTCGCACGCGAGGTGCACGAGACGCAGAAGCATTGTCGAAGGTAGGAAGCTCGCGTGCTGGAGACAGCTCATGCTCCTCCCTGCCTTTCTCGCCTTTTCAGTGTGAGCTCGACATCGTTAATCAATCGCCGTTTCCTTTCTTCTTCTATTTTTTTTTTCTTCTGCTTTTGCACGACAAAATGATGTAATTGAAAATAGAGGGGTGTCGAAACCCCATTTCTTGATTATGTTGTGGGTGCCGCCATCTTTGTGCTTGGTGCAGAGCGGGTTACCATTCGAAAATAAGTCAAAAGAGGCTCAGCAGGCGATATCGTTTGGCTTTTGTCGCGCACTGGTTCGACATTTCTGGAGGACGGAAAAGCATTTCCCGCTCTTTATGCAGATAAGGCACCGGCAAACTGGCAACCATGAATTATAGGCACGATAATTCACGGGGGAGCTCGTTGTTATTCGAGGCTAGAACGGGAGTATCGAGGACTAGGACATATAAGACAAAGTATGAGGAAATGGACATGCGGTGTGCCGTATGCCAAGGGGAAGACGAGACAATAGAACATCTGGTGTTCAGGTGCACAGGGCTTGGTCCCGCCCTTCTGAAGGGGGTGACGGATTTAGCCGGAGAGCTGGGCTTTGCAGACGACACTGGAAGAATGGATGATAAGCGCATCTTAATAACAAAGAGGATATTGGAAGACTGGTGGAAATTATCTAGGGAGAATTGAATGACGTTCAACTATATATAGTTGTCTGTGTCAGTTATAACTGGCACAGACAGGCGGGACACAGGAATATTGGGACTCCCTCCCGCGTGGCACGGCCCGAAGTGTCCATTCTGTCTCCCAGGGCCCTGGTACCGGGGTAACGCCGACTAGCTTTGACTGGGCTCTGGGTTTGACCCGAGGAAAATTCGCGACTCCCTCGCCGGGGGTGAGAGGTGGGGTGTG